TCTCTTCTCTCCCTTTTCTCTATCCCTCTCTGTTTCTCCCTTTGGATTGCGTGCGATGGCATTTTGTTGTTGCTGTGCGCTGTGCATCTGCTGTTTTTTTTTTTTGTTTTTCTTCTTCTCTCTTTGTTGTTTTCCCATAGCTGTTGCTGTGTGTTGTGCTTTTGTTTTTGTTTTTGTTGGCTAGCATGCATTTTTCAATTATGATCGAGCAGCATTTGTCGCTCGTTTTGTTATTTTGGTTTGGCTTAGTTGTCCATTGTGTTTTTCCATCGGTATTCGTGTGTACTTAGTTTTTTTCCATCTTTTTCTACTGTTTCTCTCGCTTTTCACCCTGGAAAGTAATTATTTTGCTTGCCGGCTGTTCGAATTCCATAGTTATTTTTTCGCCTCTCATCGATCATATTTTTCGCTTCTCCCCTTTCTTCTTAGCACTTCCAACCCCTCCCCCTTTCACACTATCTGCTTTTTTTCCTTTTTTACGTTTTTCTAGCGGAGTAATTGAAATCGTAACTGGCAAATCTTCGCAAATATGCAAATGCGAACTAAGCCGAAGAGGAAGAATACGAGAGTGAGGGAGCAGAATACGCAGAAAAGGAAGAAGAAGAAGTGTTGGGCAAACAAACGGAGAATGGGAGGAGAGAAAACGAAAGAGAGGAGCCAGGAATGAGAATATTGTGCAAACGAAAACAACCGACAAGCAAACAAGCCAACAAACCCAGCAACAACAAAAACAATGGAGCTCCACAAAATAACAACGATCCGCACAAAATAATAATAATAAATAATAATAAGAAAAAAAGAACGATAAAGAAAGCTGGCTACGTTCAACCGAAGTCTTCATACCCTTAAAGTTATGGCAAAAGTTGATCAGTTTCTTTAATGACCTTGGCATGAATTTCGAAATTCTTTTTCAACATGCAATGATCAACAATTATTCTACTCCTTGGGACCGAATATGTCCGCATCTTTAAACATAACAAAATCATTCGTACATCATAGGTAAGGGTATAAGAAGAGAGGGGTGGAAGGAAAGTAATTTCTGCTGTGTAATTCACAATTGTCGTGTGAAGAGCAAACACTAGATGATCATATGAATATACATACATACATACACATGTATTTATTTATACATGTATGTATGTACATACCCTATTTTCTTAGTGACATATCGACTAACCACTTGCGAGATGATCCACAAGCTTTTGGAGGAGCAAACATTTAAAATCCAGGATGCTTGAAACCTAAAGGTTTTATATGACATTCCGATTCTATAAAAAAGTTAAGTTTACAATTTGGTGTCATTCCAAAGGCTTTAATTTGTTTGTAAACTCAACTTGAATTACGTGCCGCTGCAAAAATATGCAAACGGCTATTTACAAATGATGTGAGAACGCATAGGTAGAAATTGTATCTTTGGGATACCTGTTTCCTACTTCGGATTCGAAATCCCGCACAATTAAAAGGCGACGGCGCTGTGGCACTGACATCTGTACGCGCACAATTAAAAAGTCATTAACTGCTGCACTCACTTGTGGCACGCAGAAGGGATCAGCGATAGAAGGACTGTGATTGACACCAGCACGCAAGATCCACCCCCTTTCCGTCTGTCCCTTCGTTCCCATTATCCCTTCATCCCCTCATCGCCTCGCCAGATAGCCAGATACATAATATGTACATATATCCGGACTCCGGAGATATAGCAGAGATATACATCGCTGCACGCACCTTGCAATTACGCAGTCGGACATCGGGGCATGTGGCGCAGAAACCCTGGACAGAGATCCTCAAGTAGCACGGATGACATTCCCGATTCGGCAGGTGGTAGGTGGAGGGATTCAGGTAGTTAGTCGTCCTTAAAAGTGATTTCTGTTCGGGATTCAGAATTAATATGAAAAGGTTTTGCATTGATTTCATACCTAAGGGTAAGGGTAATTAAGATTACCAGTTTCATAATTAAATCATAATTATATCGACATATATTCGGAAAGTAAAAAGTAACTTTGCATTCATAAGAAACTACCTAAGGAGTATCTCTCGGATATTATTAACCGTTTTAAGCAGGAGAGTACAGATGACCTACCTACGGATCAACTTTGGCAACTGAAGGTCAACTGTTGCGTGCCCATAAATGCGTCATAAAGCGGGCTAATCCCCGTGCAACTGTCGCTTGCAACTGCAACAGTTGCATCAGCTTTTCGCTAATGCTCTCCCCTTTGCTTCTGCCCTGTTGCCACCTGCCACTCCAGTTTTATGTTCCCTCAACTCGCAACATATGCTGACAGTTTTGGTAAGGGGGCCAAATAATAGTGGGGAAATGTTTCTGAATTATCTCAATTGCTATTGATTGGATAAATACAACTTTTTGGTGTATTTGACAATACCTAATTAAGTTTTAACTATTATATCTTTTTAAAAAATGTACATTCATAATTAGTTTTAACTATTATATCTTTTTAAAAAATGTACATTCATAATTAGTTTTAACTATTATATCTTTTTAAAAAAATGTACATTCATAATTACTTTTCCTATTCTATCTTTTTTGAAATTTTTTAACGGCATTTTCGAGGAAACAATTTTTTTTGTGGTCCTACCTACCTTTTTAATTACCTAGATCCATGCCAGATCTCGTCCGTGATTTGGAGATCCCGGATTGCCACTGCCAATCACTCATCGCCATCCGATGTCGAGCTCACACTTTCTGCCCATCATCATATCGTCGTGACCCCTCTCCAGTTTCCACCCACTTTCGTTGTCGTCGTATTCCTCCTCGCCAGCGTCTTCGTTTTCTTTATTGTTTTATTGTCAGTTTAGGGATTTGACAATTTGCTTGCTGATTTTTTATGACAATCATGTATGTAAATTTCGGGCCGCTTTTCAGACTTCTCCGTTCTTCTCGGCTCTCCACTACTCTTCTGTTCCACTCAAAACTCTTCCTCAAGGCCCCACACACACATACACACACACACACACTAAAACACACACAAGCACAGGCGAACTGCGAAGTCGTATCTGTGTGCGGACGGAATGGATGTATCTGGGCTCCATTAGCCCTCGTTTATTCTCTTACGAGGGATTTTTAAATACTTTTGGCCCATTCTCAGCTGGGTTCGAATCCCCGGCCAGAAAAAAAGCGAATATAAGAAAAAAACGTGAAAACCACAGCTACTTTTAAATCCACAAACCCTTTTCGTCGCTATTTATACCCCTTAGTCATAGGATTAGGAAGTATATCGGTGATTTATTTAGACAAGGTTTCAATCTATCAAAACAATTTTCATAAGCCTGAAGGCTTAATATATTAGTTACTATACAGTTCTCGTTTTCTTCTTGTATTCTTCCATTGTTGTAATATATTTTATATATAATTATGTATTAAATATTATAATATTCTTACATAAACCGTATATTTTCTGTTTTTAAAAAGATCCGAATTTATTTTCATAAAATTAAATCTGTAAATGTAAATACAGGATATTTCGTAGTTGAAACACTCATCTCAACTCAATCTCGTTCTGGCTTAAGTTTGGCCTTTTGTTGTCTCCCATCTTGGCACTCTCGTGTGCCCAACGTAATAAAAGTTTGGTTTATTAATTTTTTAAGCGTTAAAAACTTTTACGGGACCTATGACGCCGATAATCGCTAAGCGCGGCTCGGAAACTAGGCTAGTAGTGCGAATTGGTTTTGGCCCGGTCCAGTGACTCAACAACTGACTAACACATGCCGTGGAGCTTATTAATAGACCGCTCTCTCCATCCAAGTTATGAAGAGGTAAATAAAAACAAAAATGAACAAAAACACACAAAAGACTGCAACACAGCTGCACTTTTCGATATCAAAGTAACTTGGGCAAGTTGTGATATGGTAATCAATTAATTGCTGAAGTTCGAAAAGAACTATAAAAATAGTTTCTACCTTTTTGATTCACCCAATTTAAAACGCTGATTACCATATCATGCGTACATATTGTTAACTTTCATATGATTAAATATTATATCTAAAATATACAACGTAAATATGTATGTAACTGAAATATACAATAAACAAAATATGTATTTAGCCAGGAAAAAGCAGCTATGGCAGCTATGGAATGTAAGGATCAGGTTCTTAAACATTGGTTTTCAAATTTACCGATGAAAATAGTAACGGAATTGGTTTTGATCATTGGCATTTTATAACTTCCATCAGATTTGTAGTACTTGGCAGGAAGGGTATCGAACCGCAAAGAAAATGCAAAGGCAGAGGCGCCAAAGCAAAATCAAATGCAGCGGCTGCGGCGGCAGCAGCGCCGTCGAGCAGAGCGACAGAGATGGCGAAAGCGGCGTTCTCAGCACATAACATAAACGTAAAGAAACGAAACGCCGCCGCCGCTGCCGCTCAGTATATAGCACACACACGCACACAGTCACGCATGTGCGTCGCTGCCGCTGCCGGCGTCGCTGGAATGTGCCGCATGCACGTCGCTTTGCTTTGCTTTTGGTTTTGTTCGGTTGTCGTCTGTAAAAAGCCGAAGTGTCTTCGCTTCTGATCTAGGGTTTTAACCGATTTAGAAAACGTTGCCCAAATTCTGTTAAGCAGTTCTGTAAAGTATTTCTGTTAGCAGATCGGACTCAGGTTTAGTCCGTTAACGGGTTCGCAGGGACCATCGGTTTTTTGACCGATTATGGAAACGTAGTCCAAATTATGTTAAGCGTACTTCAGTTAAAAATTTCTGCAAGCCAACAGCTTGATGGAAAATAAAAAATTATACAAAAACAAATTCACTTATTCTGATACGCCAGCCCATTTAAAATCCCGCGCACCGCATAAGGGTTAGACAATATATTGCTGTTTCCCTTGCACTTATTGTAAAACACCCTTTCAGTCGCACACATTGTAGGTATCGTTAACGGACCAACGGACACGACGGGACGGCCTTATGCGTATTCTACCATGTACCAACGTTTGTGAGACCGATTTTCTTGCAGCTCTATTGCCTTTGGTTTTGGTCATTTCATATTTGGTCATTTGTATTTGGAACGCCGTAGCAGACAGAAGGACTCGGGTGAACAGCGACGAAGCGTGCGAACGGAGTGGAGCGGCTACTTTTAGCGCCCTTTTTTGTTTAATTTTCCCCACTAACAACAACATTTTGGCAACATTTCGGCAACTAAAATATAAAAAGAAGAAGAACATTTTCGTGCTCTAAACGCGGGAATATATCAAATATATATTCCAAATAATATTTGTGTTCGTAAACAATTTTTTTCTGTTTAAACCGATCCCCGATAAACGATTGAAAACAACGCGAGAAGTGATCTTGGAAAAAGCGGTAAAGTGGCGAGGAGAGCGTGAGAACGAGAGCGACCGAGAGAGAGAGAGCGCGCCATTCTCGCGAAAACAAAATTCAAAATTCAAAATTTACGATTCGTTTCGGTTGCAAATATTGGTTTTCTTCAGTTCGTACTCGTATTATTTTTCGACTCTGCTGTTTTGTAATTCGCTTTAAAGAGCGGAGAGCAAGCGCGATCATAAAAGAGCGAAGCGAAGCAGCAGGAAAGGAGAAAGAAGGAGCAAAGAAGCAGCAGCAGCAGTCCAACGAAGAAGTGCCCAAAGCAAGGCGCAGATAAGTAAGAAACGGAAAGACAACGAAAAAGGGATCTTCAACGAGGATCTCCGCACATATATATTTTTTTCAAGTGTGTGTGTATGTGAGAGAGAGTTGCACAAACAATTGCTGTTGACATTTGCCGCATTAAATTCAAAGTTATTCGATTTCACGATCTCGAATTGAATACAACTTAAAAAGTGCCTGACGACAACTCAAATCAAAGTGAAATGGACACCAAGAACCGTTAGACATAAAGCATTGCGTGTGTGTGTGTGTTTTTTTTATTCGTTTAATTTCAAATTAATAATGGCTTAAAAAAATTCGCTTACTTTCAGTACAAATACAAAAATTTACCAAAAAACAAAAATATCACTTAAACAACAAAAAAAAAAAAAAATAAACACAAACGAACGGCTTGGCCAAAGCCAACGAAAAATCAGCGTGAGAAAAGCGGAGAATGCAGCTTTAAAATCCTGAAAAGAAAGAAATGACAAACGGAAGTGGCAGCAAAAAAACGTTAACAACGACTTATGTAGCGGTCCATGACGAGTATTAAAACCGAAATGCCGCCGTTGCACGCGGCAGAGGCATTAGCCGTTAGCAGTGACGGCGGAGGAGGAGGGGGCGGGGGAGGATCGGGCGGAGGATCCGGAGGAGGATCAGCAGGAGGATCAGGAGGCGGAGGCGGTGGAGGAGGATCATCTGGAGGCGGTGGCAGTGCGCCCGCCACGCCAAATGCCACAATAAGTGCCGCCGCCGATTCCAGTGATAATCAGCCAGGAACCCCGCAACCCCCGCAGCAGCAGCAGCAGCAGCAACAGTCGACAACGCAGCAGCAACAGTTGCAGCAGCCCCAATCGCAACAGCAGCAGCAGCAGCAACAACAACAGCAGCAGCAGCAGCAATCCATGGTTGATCCTCAGCAGCAGCAATCTTCGACGGGCATCACCCATCAGCCGTATGCCACACACCACATGTACTCCTCCACCGGCGGACAGCAGCAGCAGCAGCAGCAGCAGATCTACGGCGGCCTCTACGGCGGCGAGATGCAGCAGCAGCAGGGGTACGCCAGCAGCTACATAAACAGCTACGAGCAGTTCTACCAGCAGCAGCAACAGCAACAGCAGCAGCAGCAGGGCTCCACGGACTACGCCTCCTTCGGGGGCTTGGATTACGGCAAGAGCTCCGGGGTGCGCTACCATCCCTACCTGCAGACGCCCACTTCCGGCGGACTGGTGGGCGGCCTGCCCACCGCCAGTGCGGCTCAGTCGCAGGAGGAGGCGGGCAGCGGGGGCGGGAACGCGGTGAGCACCACCACAACGGTGCCGATGAGTCCGCGGGTGGTGAGCAGCAGCAGTCCCACCTCCACGTCCTCGCATTTGCAGCTCGGCGGCAGTTCGAGCGGCCAAACTCCGGGCTCCCCGGGCGGTGGAGCCACCGGCGGTTGCAAGTTGCAGTGCAAGAAGTGCGGCATCCTCACCACCAACGAATCGGAGCTGCAGGAGCACATAGCCAATGTCCATGGGGAGTCGCCGTACGGGAGCAGCGGCTACGCCAGTTCCCCGTACATCAAGGAGGAGATGCCGACGCCGCAGCCACCGGGCGTCGGTTCCGCCGCCGCCAATCCCGGCGAGCTGCTCGACCTGGACTCCCAGAAGATGGTCTACCACCAGCAGCTGCTGCAGCAGCAACAGCAGCAGCAGCAGCAGCAGCACGACGCAGTGGTCGGCCTCCCACTGGGCGCCCTGCCCGATCCCCTCCACTCGATGCAGTCCATGCAGCAGCGAGCCCTCCACAGCTGGGAGCAGCAGCAGCCGCCGCAGCAGGCCATCGGCTCCGTGGAGGGACTGCCGCCCTACATGCACGGCCAGCACGGACTGGGTCTGGGTGTGGGCGTCGGCGTGGGCGTGGGCGTGGGCGTGGACAAGTCACCCTACTACTCGCCGAAGCAGTCGCCGTACCACCAATCGGCGGCCACGCTGATCAAGCAGGAGTACGGCGGCCACGGGCTGATCAAGTCCGAGTACCCCGACTCGCAGCACTACGTGGACAAGTCCTTCGATCCGACGGTGAGTGGGAACGGAGCTCCCGAGCTCTGCACCAGCGTGGCCACCAGTCCGGCGGAGTTCCCCAGCACCACGACGGGCGGCGGTCAGGACTCGTCGGCGGGCGCCGGCGGTGCTCCCAACTATCGCGGCTTCGAGCCACCCAGCTCCAGTTCGGTGCTCCCGGCCAACAGCCTGACGGCCAAGGCGGCCACCTGGAAGTCGAACGAGGCCCGCCGGCCGAAGACCTACAACTGCACCGCCTGCAACAAGTGGTTCACCAGCTCCGGCCACCTGAAGCGCCACTACAACACGACGCTGCACAAGAACGCGGTGAAGTCGAGCGGCCAGCCGGATCCGGCCACGCTGCCCATTTCGGCGCACCACCATCCCGCTCGCGATCCGGTGACGAAGCCCAGTCGCCGGGGCAATGCCGCCGCAGCAGCAGCCGCCGCAGCGGCAGCAGCAGCCGCCTCGGCTGGCGGCGGACAGCAGCAGCAGCAGCAGCAAGTGCCGCAACCGCCGCCGCCGGCCAATGTACCGCCGCCGGAGCCGCCGAGAAGTCCGCCCGATTATGGGGGAGGAGGAGGCGGTGGCGGTGGCTTGGGCGTGGGAGCGATGGGCGGCGCTGCCATGTCCCAGTACTCGACCTCGCCCTCGCCCACGCAGCAGCATCACATGAGCCACCATCAGCAGCAGCAGCAGCAGCAGCAGGCTAATGGTTATGCCAATGGCACGGCCAATGGCTATGGCTACATGCAGCAACAAGTGCAATCCACGACAAACGCTTCACCACAGCACGCTTCCAATCAGCAGCAGCAGCAGCAGCAACACCATCAGCAGCAGCAGCAGCAACAGATGCCACAGCATCACAACTCCGTTCTGAACGGTCACCCAAACGGGCTAGCAGGTCCCTCCGCCCCACACAACAACAACAACACCATCCAAATGCCGTCCTCCCAAATGAGGGGCCTGCTGAACGAAACAACAACCACGCCGCCGCCGCCACCAACAACAACAACGCCACCAGCAATAGCACAACAAGCCACAGCAGCAACAACAGCAACAGCAACCACAGCAACAGCAACAGCAATCCGAGCAGCACAAATCACAGCAGCAACGGCGGCAGCTACAAAGACCGAGCAAATGGAGGACAGCAATCACACTCAATCATCACACACCCTCACCCACTCGCACATCCACTCGCACACGCACACACACATGGACACGCACACGCACTTGGACAGCAGGAGCAACAGCTGCAGCAACAGCAACAGCTCAATGGCCACGGAGGAGGCGGAGGAGCAGGAGCTCCTCCATCGGGATCCCTCGGAATCGGGGGACGATCACCTGCATCAGCAGCAGCAGCAGGTGGAGCAGCAATATCTGCTAACCTCGCGCCACTATCACAACAGCACGCCCAACAGCAACAGCAGCAGCAGCAACAACAGCAGCAGCAACAGCAACAGCAGCAGCAGCAGCAACATCAATCGCAGCTCGCCCCTTACTATCTACCGACAGGAGCCGCTGGGAACGGATTTCTCGCGCACCACCACGCGCACCACCATCACCCCGCCGCCGCAGCCGCTGCCGCCTATGGGAATGCTGCCGCCTATGGGAATGGACTACAACATGCTGGCTTTGGATATGCCCATGCCCATGCCCACGCTCATGCACAGCAGTATGCTGCAGTGCAGCAGCACCAGCACCACGCCGCTAGCTACTACCATCACCACCAGTATGCCGCCGCAGGACACTATGCCGCAGCCGCAGCAGCAGCATCATCTGCTGCACCACTACCACCCGGCGGCAGCAGCAGCAGCAGCGGCGTCGGCGGTGCTCCATCCGCATCAGCAGCAGGATCAGGAGGAGCAGCAGCATCAGCTGCAGGAGCAACAGCAGCAGCAGCAGCTGGATCACCAACTGGATCAGCAGCAGCAGCAGCAGCATCAAGCGCTAATCCTGGCGGACAGTTTGCCGCACAGCAGCAGTTCGCCCACCAGCAGCTGCCCAACTCCGCCGCAGCAGCAGCCGCTCATGCCGCTCACCACCATCACAGCGCCGCAGCTGCTGCCGCTGCAGCCGCCGCCGCCGCACATCACCAGCACCATGCCCATGCCGCCCACCATGCACATGCCGCCCATCATGCCGCCGCCGCCGCCATGCTACCAGCAGCTGCAGCCGCTGGACCCCACAATGAGCTATCACACTATTATTGGTAGTGGCTCCACTCCACTGCCGGACCACGCCTCCCCCTACGGCGGCGGTCACCACCACGCCCAGCTGGCCACCACCAGCGACGGCCAGATCCTCCAGCTGATCCAGCCCACCTCGCTGTTCGCTCCGTACGCGCCCATTTCGCCCTACTCGGTGGCCGCCCAGCGGTCGCCGCAGGAGGGCGACCTGCCGCCGGTCCACACGCTGACCACCGCCCTGCACGCCCACCAGCAGGGCGGCCAGCAGGAGGCGCAGACGACCACGCTGACGGTGCTATCGACGCCCTACTCGCCCACGGTGAGCAGTTCGCGGGCAACGCCTGCGCTGGACATGGACATGGCCACGCTGATGCAGCAGCAGCAGCAGCAGGACTACGAGATGGAGCAGTACCACCAGCTGCAGCACCAGCAAATGGAGCAGATGGAGCAACTCCAGCAGCAGCAGCAGCAGCAGCAACTGGAGCAGCAGCAACAGCAGCAATTGCTGGCGGCGGAACCGCAGACCCAGATTCTGGGACAGCAAAGTGTGCCGAAGAAGCGACGCAATGCGGTGACTCCATCGACCACGACCACGACGACGAAGAGGCGGAGGAACAGCAGCGTGGGCTCCACGTCGCCGCACTCGACCACGCTGCCATCGGGGAGGATCAAGTGTCTGGAGTGCGACAAGGAGTTCACCAAGAACTGCTACCTGACGCAGCACAACAAGAGCTTCCACTCCGGTGAGTATCCGTTCCGCTGCCAGAAGTGCGGCAAGCGGTTCCAGAGCGAGGACGTGTACACCACGCACCTGGGTCGCCACCGCACCCAGGACAAGCCGCACAAGTGCGAGCTCTGTCCCAAGCAGTTCCACCACAAGACCGATCTGCGGCGCCACGTGGAGGCCATCCACACGGGCCTCAAGCAGCACATGTGCGACATCTGCGAGAAGGGCTTCTGCCGCAAGGACCACCTGCGCAAGCACCTCGAGACGCACAACCGGCCGCGGGTGGTGGGCAAGAAGTCGTCCGCTGCAGCGGTCGCAGCAGCAGCAGCAGCGGCGGCAGCTGCCTCGGGTTCCGTTCCCGCGGGAGGATTGCTCTTGGGCGGAGCGGGAGCGGGAGTGGGAGTAGCTCCAGCTGGCACCATTAAGGCGGCGTTTGCTCGCACGCTGGCGGTGATCAGTGAAACAACGGGAGGAGCTGTCAGTACAGGTTCCCCCACTCCCGCCAATCCTCCTCCTCCTCCGACCTCAGCTGTCCAGCCATCGAATCCGAATCCGAATCCGAATCTGACTCGCAGTTCGCTCAGTTTGAAGCGGTCCATCGACGATGTGGCCGCCGATGATGACAGCCTGCTCGAGGAGGACGACAAGGATGAGCTGGAGCTGGACGGCGAGTTGGAGATGGAGCTCGACGAGGAGGAGGAGGAGGAGGAGTTCCTCGACGAGGAGATATACGATCGGCATCTGATTATCAAGAGGGAGTTCGTTGAGGAGGACTTCCCCATGATCGAGAAGCGGATCGAGCTCTACTGAAATCTCTGTTATGAAATGCTCCCTGGCTTTGAGTTTGCATCAAGGATAAAGGATAAATAGATACAGTGGGAGAAAGTAGAAAGTAGAAAGTAGAGAGGATCAATTCAGTGGGCAACTGAGTGCGGTTTCTGCTGCGAGGGCAGTTCAAGCAGCTCTGCAGTTGAGTGTCCTGTTAATTTTGTTTGTTTTTTTTTTTTCTTTTTTTTGAGAATCATTTAGATTTTTGAACCAGTTTCTTATTTTTTTTTTTTTGCCTGCTCGTTAAGAAAACACATTTTATTGCTTGGCAGGCAATAATTCGATGTTTTGCCTCGTTTCTTAATTTTTTTTTTTTTTTGCCTGGTTTGTTTGACATGAAAGTAAAGTACTTGGAGTTTTAAGCGCAAAGCCGCAGCATTTCAATAACTTGGACAGAAAGGCCACTCCTTGGCAAAAAAAAACTGAAAAATGAGAAAAGAATTGAGAACATTAAAAGGGAAAAAACGAAGAGAGTTTGATGATTAAATGCCACCCACCATTCCTGTAATTTGTATTGAGTTTGCCATATGTGGAAAAAAAAAAAACAAAAAACAAAAAGACAGACGGACAGAAGAATTCCTAATTGTTGTAGCAGCAAATTATTTAATTTTATTTGTATGTTAAAATTGTATTATTATTATTTTGTACTGTACTCTTAAACGATTACGTAACGCTACCTATATATTTGTAAAGCCTTATTTTTGTAAGTGTAAAACCAGCAAGTATACCTCAGCAACAGCAGTCCACGAAACGCTTAAAATCAGGGCGCCTATTATATATTATATATATTGTATTTAGCTATACGCGTATTTATACATATTCCATTTTGATCTATATGCAAAGACAAAAACAACAACATTAGTTATTAGCGCCCATTTTTTTTCGTATGTCGTATTTTAATTTGTAACTTGTTTAACTATTATTTGATTATTGATTATATTTGGTAATCGAGGGAAAAGAAAAAGGAAAAACAACCACAACAAATGCCATATACACGATATGTAAACTAAAAAGCAGCAACTATATGCCAATTGATATATATAAACTATATCTAGTTACTAGACAAGCGCATATACACACATATATATTTGCATATATGTTAGCCTTAAAAACGCCAAATTGTCATAGCAAAGGAAGCAGAAACTCAAGAAAATGCTAAATCAGGGATATTATTATGTTTTTAAGCACCGCAAACGAGCGCAGACAAAACAATGCGTATTATTATTATATATACCTCCATATATTTATTACGATTAGTTGCCCCATAATTTATGTTCCAAGTCCACCAATAAAACCAATTGTAATTATTTAAAATTTTCATTTAAATCCCCATCGCCACCACCACCACCACCACCTCGACTCTAAAAACCTTGTTTGTAATTATTTTTTTTATTTTTATTGTTAACCAATTAAACGCTTTCCCCTTTGGCACGCCTACAATTTTTTTTAAATGACAAATATAAACAAAACCAAAAAAAAAGTGAAAATTACACAAATTATGTTTTTATTTATTTGATTGCTTTTCTTTTCAGTTTTTTTTTTTTTTCAGTTGCGATTTAAATTCGTTCTCGACACGCGAAGAACTGAATATTTTTTTGGGTTTGCAATGGAGATTCTTTTTGGTTAATTGTATGGTTTTCAAAAGTGTTTGTTAACCTGTTTGTTTTTGTTACCAACGGATTCTAGAATTTTGCAGACCTTGTTCCTTTTGAGCGAACATTTTTCTTTTGTTTTTTTCTCGGCCCCGCAACCTTAACAACCATAAGCCATAAACTTTTAAATAAATGTATGTGTTTCTCTCTCTCTTTCCTTTTTTTCTTAATTATTTTTGTAGAAATTCATTGTTGTTGCTTTTGTTGTTTTTCGCTGCTAGTTCCAAAGAAATTACGTGCGTGTCTTTAATATTTATTTTTCGACGCCGTTTTTTTTCCTTCATTTTTTCCCCTCCCTCTCTGTTTTCTGTGTTTTCTGTATTTTTCTGTATTTTTCTGATTCAGATGTTGAGGTTGAGAATCCAAGTTCGGAGTTTCGGTTAAGATAGTTTTTTTTTTTCTGTTGTTTTTCTGTTTTGTTTGAGGCTCGATTTTTGCGAAGAAAGAAGCGAAGCAAAGAAAGCGAATGAAAGACAAGCGAGACATGTGTAGATACAAAGATACGCGTCGCTGTGTGTGTATGTGTGTGTGCTTATGTGTGTGGCAACTGGATCCCCTCAAGGATCTTCGGGATAAAGGATTCCGTTTGTTCCCGCTGCCTTGCCATTGATTTTTTGGCCATCCTTCCGCTGCAGAAACAGAAACGAGGCAATGTGTTCGTTCGGCGGATCTGGAATTTCGCAGCCCGCGAACATCGCGCCAACACATGTTCGAGTATCTTTTGCTCTCGTTTCCCTCCCTTTTCACCACATACAGATACAGATACAGATACAGATACAGATACAGATACGGATACTCAGGGAATGCAGAAGGAAATTTCGATGCCCGGGGGGTGCAAAATAGACAGGAATATCTATGAGCGTATATATAATAGTTATATTGCCAGCAGACGCTTGAAAATTGGCAACCAGCTGGGAGGAAATGTGTATTTCAAGCTGATCCCTACCATGAGTTTTTAAGGAAATATTTCCACCAACATTCTTTCAAATGCATAGCAACAGATTTTGTGCCGTTTCTTAAAAGGATCATCATGTTTTCTTGACTGGCAAAACAATTTCTGCTCATTACGTAAAACTAAATTGGTTTAATTAAATGGAAATGGTTTTTTTTTTTTTTTTAAATATTATATTATATTTGATTTATTGTTTAAAATTTTTTATATAATGCTTTAGTTCTTTTATTGTAATTTTGGTAATATTCAAAGATCAATTGCTACAATTTTACACAGTACATAATTGCTTTATAAAATCTTGAAGGTATTTCAAAAGGTATTTAGCTGGGTGAATAGTTATTAATTTGATGTTTTCAATAGAAGTATCAAAGTAACTTCTGTTTGGGAAATCAAAAGACATATCAATCTTTTTTTGAAGAGCTTAGTTAGTTTGCCAACTTAGGATCTTGTGGGGTATCTTCAAAATTTTGCCGGCATTGCGGCGAGTATCTAAATATAAATGTTTTGCGTGCTGCGCTTGCGCGACACTCGCGGCAAAATCGGCGGCAAAAGCAACAACAACAACAATAGCAACAGCAACAACAACAGCAACACCAGTTGCGGCAAGAGCGGCAAAAGCAGCAGCAACAATTGTGGCTATGTCATCATAACGCTGTCGCTTTGCGTGCTTCTTCTTCTTGCGGCGTATGTGTGTGTGTGTGTATGTATCTGTGTATCGGTGTATCGGTGTATCTTCTACTTGGTTTTTCGGCGTTTCTTGCGTTTTTGTTTGTCGAACATAAAAACTGGTTTCCTGTACATATGCTCATCCAGCAACAAACCATCTGTAATTTTAATTTTTCGGCAAGATGTTGCTGCCTCCCTCTTTCGCCGTTTCTATCTATCTATCCTCCTCTTCCTCTTCCTCTTCCACTTTTCGTTTTCGTTTTCTTGTGCGCTCGTTGATTTTTTTCTTTTTTATTTCGGCAGAGATTTTGATCGGTTATCCAGGTAGAAATTGTCTACCTTCGTATGTCCATGCGACCATGTGTGTGTGTGTGTGCGTGTGTGTTTGTGTATCTTGTAGATACATTCGTACCCTCGAAAGACAGTAGAATCGCCCCGTCTCCCTCGCACAGCATACTGTAATCCTTGAAATTTGTGCTCGTTCGTTCTCTCCCTTTTGGTCTCTTCTTTCCTTTGGTTCTACGCCTGTTTCCCCGATTCTTCAGCTATATACATATATATACATATATATATATAAATATTTATGTATGTACAACGTTAGCACTTACCATGATTCATAGTTATACACACACAGATCTTCGGATCGCCAAGGAAAGATTCTTCCTGCGAGCAACAGCAGAAACCAAAAAAAATATTATATTTTTTAAATATGTATATAGTAGATTGGAATACTTCTCGCACAATACACAATGGCTTCTTCGCCTTTTGTGTTTTCGATTTTTTCCCTTGTTTTTTTAAGGAGGAGGAAAGGAAACTAAACTATTCAGAAAGAGACAACCACAAATGTGAAGTTTCATTCGGTGTTTTTTCAAATGGTATATGTGCTATATAAGATTGACGTGCAAATTTTGGTATTCTTCAGATATTTCTTAGTTCCTCTTCCCCCTCCTCCTCCTCCCCCCTTCTCTCCCCCACTCTCTTCCCACGCGGATACCGAAAAAAAAACATGTGTGATCTGCTCACTTCCTTGGTTCTTTCCTCCGTTTTTTTTTTTTTTTTTTTATTTATTCCACCGACTGTGTTTACTTTCTGCCCGGGACTTGGGTTCCCTTCGCATAACTGTTCTTTTGTATTTGCTGTTCTCAGGGTCACTCCTCCATTTTCACATCCATTCCATCGATGCCATCAGTTCCATCTCCTTCCTGAATTCCTTGATTTCTGAATCTGCTGTCCACCTAGAAACCAGAAGTTGTATATTCTGTAATTTACAGTTGGCGGTGGACAAATAACATCGATTTATTTTTTCGAATCTATGGAACCTACACAGAGAATAAAATTTATATTTCTTAAGAGGAATATGCAGTATTAATATTACGTTAGAAGTTTACCTTAACACTTTTTATTTCCTTTTTAATAAAAGCATGAATATTTTATTTTTCTTATGATTTAACCCTGATCAAGATAAAAACGATCTTAAATATTCGTTTCTAATGAAAACAATTCAATAATAGGAATGTTTTCACAGTAAATGACGGACAGTTGATTAATCAATTTTAAAAAGAAGAAGTTAGGCATATAGTATGCTTATTAAAAATAAGGATAGAAATCAATCTTGCAATCCTGAGCTCATAAGACCAAACCAATCACATTGATTATTGTCAGAAACTCATGGCTTTCGATTAGTCTGAAATGGGATGAAAAGGTTAAATTGGCGGTGTCAGAAACCTGCGGCATCTTGACATCTAACACAGGAACTCAATCAAATTAGCCCTCCAAATTATCCCAGTGGCCAACCCCCTTTTTCTCACACCCTCCCCAAGTGAAAATCTGGCGATGCGAAATTTTCTGCTTTCCGTGGAAATGTAACATTTTCCATCGATTTACTTTTTTGTTTTTCGTGCTCTCCTGTTTTTTTTTTTATTTATTAGTAGGTTTCCCTCTCCATTTGACTTTGGCTTAGACCGGGAAATTTCTTTTTTAATTACCAAACATTTGACAGCATCCTAAAATGCTTATTGTGTTCTATATAGATACAAGCACACATACATATACAATATAATGGTTCAGTCGAAGGAATCTTGGCTGTTTGTTAACCATTTCTGGCTTTCATTTCGGCCATGTGTGTGTGTGTGTGTGCGAGGAGGAGCGCTAGAAAAGAAACCAACCCCCGGTGTTTTAAGGCCTTTAGATATTTGATTTCCAAAATTCAATGACAAACGGCAACAACAACAACACAAGCAGCAACAAAACCAGCAACAACAACAAGAGGACCAAGAATACGAAAAGTAAGAACAAGATGACAGGATAGCATGGCGGCCGCATCATCATCGGCATCATTATCATTATCTCCTCGCTCAACATTGTTTCGGCTGAGAGCATCTGCCATGTCTGGCCAAGATTCCGAGTGTCTGTCTAGAGCCTTAATTACGCCGCTTGGAAAATGGCCAAATGGATATAGATACACGAGCAGATGAATGATTTTCTATATATCTATGTACATACGGGGAGCGTGGGCGTGCATGAATGATCGATCGAATAGATTCGGGGCTTTCTAAACAAATTATTACCACACATTATTCATAAAAGTGGAAAAAGATCTAGGATCAAAAGTTGAAGAGATTTACAAATATGGTGACTTGTTTCGCAAAATATTACAAGTTTTTTTGGTGTAAGATTAGGTTTAAGTTCCTCAGAATTCATATATTGTTTAGGAACTCATTTACATAATAAGAATAAGATTGATTTTGATTTTATGTAGCACAAAAAAGAATTCCTAGAAAGCCTGATGATTGATAGAAAAATGTTGGGATTAAAGATCCCTTGAATCAAATTTTGATAAGTAAACCTTTAAGTAATTGGGTCGTAAATATTCGAAAATATGTATATACTTTGATGGTTACTCCAGTTTGATCCTTTCCGAATTAGTTTTGTATACCTCAAAATATCTGCTCAAGTAAATCCAACCGCTAGCTGTGTTCAAAACAAAAGACTTAGGCAACGAACTTTTTAGTGAACATCGAATCGAGTCCTCGGCGACGAGCGGCAGGATGAGAAGGGGGAACAAGGTGACGAACGCTGGGGCATTTTTTAAAAATCTTAAATGATATATGCGGAGCAGGGGGGCGGGGCTGGATGGGCGGGGCAGCGGTGCTGCCGCATGGCAAAAAACAAAAGAGAAAAACGAGGAGCGTCATCAAATGGCGCACAGCTGCGTCAAGCGAATAAAAACCACCAACAACAACAACAACGACAACAACAATTTCGTTGTCGTTTTATTTTTTTACCTTTGTTGCTGTTGTTGTTGTTGGTTTTTTGCCGTCCAGAAATTGTTGCTACATTTCGAGGCTTCACTTCATGTGTGTGTCCTAATTCCAATTCAACCGAAATTTTGTCTCACAATCAGTTAGAAACCGAAAAAAGGAAAAAAAAACAGCAGAAAAAAAAAAACAGAAAAATAAAATACGACAGAAAGAAGTAAAGTAAAACAAAATAAATCTTTTTGAGCCAGCGACTGAAGGCAGCGACTGAGTTTCAGCCAAAAACCAACACAACACACATTGAACAACAACAAAACTAAACTATGGCCAAAACTTTTTTATTTTATTTGATTTTTCTTGTTGTTTCTGTTGTGTTGTTGTTGTTGTTGTTGTTATAGTTGTTGTTTGTGCCTTGTTGCTGTCGGCGCTTTATCCGATTTTGTGTTGTTGCTGTTGCCCTCCGCTCGTTTCGTATTTTTTATGACGAGTTTCCGCTAATTGCTGATGCGCTGCAGATTAACTGAAGCCCCAAAGATCCAGCGAACAACAACAACAACGAAAGTTCAAGCGCTAAGATAAATGGCCACAGAAAAAGGGGGCGGCGTGGGAGGGGCGTGTCAGCGGTAGGATAGAAACGGCCACATTGCATGACTACGAAAGTTACACGATTAGATAAATTCAACCGACCGATCGGAGGGGTATCTAAATTAGGGATAGTAACTGGATTAAATGTTTTCGATTCACTATAATACAATCTATAATCGGTTCTAAAGGTTTCAAAATGCCTTATTCTTGCTCAGCAGAAATCTATTTATATATATTTTTGGTTATATTTGAACTTTTTATGTATTTCTTCAGCATAAAAAATGAAAAGTACTTAAAGAAAATAATTAGAACAAAAAATATAGGTTTATCATTATAATAGATAAGTTATATGTTTATTATAAGCAAAAGTTCAAGCTTAAAACTATCTATGATAATTGATATTTTTTATAATGATCATAACTCAAACTAATCCCAGGCAGCATTTTAAGCTTCAGTTAACCGACCTATACCCAGTTTGGCGCAGTGTATGATCTAAGCCTTGGTGTGACGCATGCATACACACATCAAATTGTAAGAAGAAGAGGGCCGGCTCAAAATTAAAAGAGGAAAAAAAAACATAAAGGCGTTCCCCTTATTGTTGTTGTTGTTGTCGCTTTTGTGGATTGTGGGCCACAGAAAAAAAACACAACAACAACTACAAAAACAAAACAAAAAACAGTAGAAACAACAAAGCCGAGCGATGAAGAAGCAGAATCATACGAATTATAAGAATTACGCCGAAACCGAATCGGTGGAAGAGAGAGAGGGGGGGAAGAAAAAAGAGCAACACACATCTTAGATATCAGATTATAGAGCGCGCTTGGCCCAAAAGCCTTGGCTAATAATTCCAAAATTTCGGGGGATGGACGGATTAACCGATGCGAGTGCGAGTGCGAGTGCGATGGCAAGTGCGAGTGCGAGTGCGAGCGAGATAGCTGTGGGACCGAGTGTGCATACGAGCATAATGAGTTCAAATTGGATTAGAGATTTATTGGATTTGATTTCGGTGCCGCGATTCCTTTATATCAACGCTTACATTGAACCTGAAAACAAATCCCCAATCCCCAATCCCCGATCTCCATTTCGATTTCGATTTGGATCAGATCCCACAGCTGCATTATAATAAAAGATACAAATACGAAAAGTTGCCGAAACCGAAACAGATGTTTCAAAACAGTCGCAGATACAAAAACAGATACAGATACGTATTTGCTGACTTGTTGTCATCATCTGTCGTCGGACGTTGACTAATTAGTCAAGTGGCAACTTTCGGCTTGGCCTTTTCTCCCCCAAACAATTGGCATTAATCTCCAACTAACCCAGCGATTCCCCTCACTTTCGTTCCATTTCAGCATCCAGGAGGCAGTCGAAATCGAGAACATCTATATACTCGGCCCAGCGACGGATCAAAATTTAAGCGAATTGAATTATTTCGGACAAGCCGTTGATCTTGGGCCAATTTCATTTTATTTTTTGGGCAAGAATACGCCACAAAAGTACACATCAACTTAAACCCCCGATCATCATTGACAACAAGGACTTCAGGATCACAAAAGAAGCTTTCTCCCTTCACCTAAAAATATATATTTTTTTTCCATTTTAAGAACTATTTTCGGTTGAAATATTTTAGTGCAATAAGTGGATTTGTCATTTTTTTTTGCGAAAGGAACGTACTAAAGATTCCCCGAAAATCTCTTAGTGCAAATTTAGATTAACAATCGCCTACCCTCGTTTATGAATATGAATGTGCAACAAGAAAATATGATAAAAATGGGCACTTTTAAGCCCATCTTATCGAACGCTCCTGGCCATTATTCCAAATTACAAAACAAACAATTGCAATTGCATTCATTTAGCTGTAAATAGGCGTAAAAAGGATTCACGGACTAAAATGAAGAAAGCGGAAGGAAGCAGCAGGATATTGTCTCCTATATCAACATTGTGCATATCATTTATTGGGCAAAACGGAAAAACAATAATTAAACTTAAATAGCAAAAGGTTAAAAAGCAGGAGAGGCAATACTTTTAGTTGAAATTGAATTGAATCGATTCGCTTTGCGAAACGCATCTCATCCGTCAGTTGGGAGTGTTTACTGTGCAATACAAAGTACTAACTATACTTTTTTTTTTTCATGTGTAAACTCGAAATGTTAAGGACGAAACGCGATTACGAAAGGATTACCTCGGCAAAAGCAAAAGCAGCTCAAAAAGTAATAGAAATCTACCTCGTTAGCAATACGAAAAATACAAATGAAAATACATATACAAATGCAAGACAGCTAAAAAATATATATTTTAGTTTGAATCTTATTTGGAAATGAGAGAAAAGAAAAAAAAAAAACGAAATCGAAGAAAATGTCAACTAATTATACGTAAAACTAAAGCAAATAACTTTAAATATAATTGTTTATATATGCTATTTATACACACACCTATACATATATACGAAGGATACTTCTAGGCTTAATACACCACACCACACCACCCCCCTCCCCCTCCCCCTGGGCCACCCATCCCCCCAAAATCCTCGAGTTGCGCAACAATTGTCATCAGTTTAAATTTGAATCTTTACAGTTTGGCCAGCTAATCATGAATTTGTTGCTCATATGACAACGCAACCACGCCCACTCCCACGCCCACTACGGGGGGCGGTGGCCCAAGGTGATAAAAGGGGGCGTGGCCGAAAAAGAAGAAGGGAGCAGTAGAGTTGCCACCCTCTGAGAGAAAAACAAAGAACACCTCCCATCTCAACCTTCTATCTTACAACGAAAATCCAATTGAGATGTGGAAACAAATCAAGTGATTTTTATACTTCTGCAAGGATCCTGTAATGTATCACTTAAATAAACTATTTGTCTGCTATTTTCAACTAAATAAATTTAAGCAAATCCATTTAGAAGTTTACTCGCCATAAATAAATCCATTAAAATGTAATTCAACTTACCAAAATCTCATAAAGAACAAGAACCTTGCAGGATTATTAAATACTTTCGGATCACCGAATCGATTTTTCCTTCCCTGAACTTGAACAAGTTTTGTTTGTGTTTAGAATTAAATTAAAGCGTAAATATAGTTTTTTTTTTAAAAGCAGAACACCTAAGCAATAATTGATGCAGGCAAACTCTTTGGTTCAGACTAAAACGATTCTTTCGATCTAAGCCAAATGCAATTTCTCGAGAGAAAACGAAAGCTTAAAGAAAAACAAAGAAAAAAAGAGAGAAACTAAAAACATATTTGAATTATGTAGCAACTACATGTTAAATTTTAGCAATTAATTATTAAATAAAACAAAAATGGGAGCACAAAACCCGCATGAAACCTACAAATTATACACACATATACGAATATGATGATCGGGTATATTTAATGGACATTTTTAAGAAGCACCAAGTGAAGAAACAAACACTGAAACCGCCAAAGAGTTTATAGGAAAAGTTGAACAATCGCCAAATGCATAATCCATATGTGGGTTTATCTTTCACAAACCGAATGAATTTTTCCCAGTTTCCGAATATTTCCACTTGATTTCATAATTGCCAGTGATCTGGATAAAATTTAAAGGAAAAATACCAATCGATTTGTGGAAGAATAGCCTGCATGTGCGTAGTAGGAATTCGAAAAACAAATAATTCTACAAGGAACCGTGTACCTCTCTCTCCACCAACAATCACCCAAAAACAAAAAGCAAATGAAAATTGAAAATTGAAAAGAAAAGCACACAGACAAAGGTATATTAAAGTCAGAATCTTAAGCGATAAATACCAATTATTTTTTGTGGATGTTGTGTGTGCGTGTGCATTGATATTTGTACATTTTTACAAGCAAACTTATAAGCAAACTCCTCAGATGCCAGCGCAACAGGCCAAATAAACCAGATAAACCAAGGAAACCCCAACTTGTGTCATGAATTTTAACAAAATGATTTTATATAATAAAAGTTAGGAAAACTCAGTGTTAAATGGTTTGGCATCAGGCCAATGCCATGTATAACGATATATACATATATATATATCTCAATGTACCCCAAAAACCAAGAAAAACCAAAAATCGGAACCCAGATTGTAATCGTAGGATCCGCAACCAAATGAATTTATGCACGAGCATCGCAAGCAGTGAAAATCAGTCGAAATTGGCTCCCTATTCGTGTATCGCTATAGTAAACCTGTACATAGATTTATGTGTACGATGCATATGAGCCACGGGTCTCCCCCCTTTCCAAAACCCTTTACACCCAAGGAGAAACCGAAATTGTCAAGCCCAAAGTATTGGATGCGAAACATGACAGAAAAAAAAATGATTTTTTTTGAACCGAAATAAAGAATGTAAACTACAGTTTGTTCCGCTTTTATTGGGAATGGAATTATTTGCCATGGTTTTCAATACTACACTATTTCTTCAAGTGTAGATAGACGCACTTGAAGCGCAGCAGGTACAGCGGAGATTACAGGGGATGGAAAGCGGAGTGCTTGGAGCGGCGGAATCACGCAGACCGTGTCCAACCGAAAGGCGCCGTGCATCATTTGGAATGACGCCATCGAATGCCGAATGCCGAAAGCCGGGGAAAATCAACAGGTAGAGTGGCGACGGCACGACGGCCCAGAGTTTCCTCTGCTCGGAAAAGTCACTCAGGGAAATGTGTGGCCAGGATCGAGGACCGAAGTGCGGGAATTGATAAACGAACACCAAAGATCGAAGACAGCGAACAACACGAATGGTGGGCAAATGCACTGGTTGCATTTGATGGTGCTGGTATGGTACTTCCCAAGTCGCTGGGAAATCAGGTGGGAAAGCCAGACTCCACGCTTATGCGTGGCCAATCCTTGAAATCGCAGTTCATGAAGAGGGACTTCCAGAAATTGCATTGAAAATATTTACTACCGATTAAAGGTTTCTACTCTATTCCAATAAATTTTAAAATGCAAAATCATCCAATAGTAACATTTGACTTTTTAAATATTCACTAACAATTTCCTTATAAATATCATTCACTAAAAAAATAATAACAAAATAAAGATATGCGATTGTAGGAAACATTTTTTGTATTACTGACACGGAGCTGAGATCGTAAATTAGGCCGCCGCATAAACGCTTTACACTTGCAATGGAAATGAACGCTCAAGGACGTCCTTTTCCCACTCCTTGCCGCTCTTTTGAGTCTGTGTCTGTCTCATATTGTTGTAATTTATTGTTGCACGGCAAGTTATTGAGTGCCGTGTGGGAAGAACAAGGATCTCAGATAGAAGACGGCCAACAGACAGGATTCCGTTGCACCTTAGCCAAGGGAAACGCCTCTCGACACTTAAAAAAACATCATCATTACGTTATTTTTACTTTTTATGAAAGAAAATATTTCATTTCAATCTAAACACAAAAAATATTATTTTAGGAAATTTCATTTTCGCTAACGTTCTCTGCGTTTTTAGCTTTGAAACTATGGCAAAAATGTTTTATGAAAACAACAACGATTTTTTTTCCTGTGTGTATGCTTTAATCCAGTGGAAAATCAGGAAAAATAATGGGATTTCAGGTAAAGCCGGTAACGCAGCCTGAAAATCGATTCAGTGTCCGTTTTCCATTGTCCAATTAATTTCTGGGTGTGTGTGTGTGTGTGTGCGAGTGTGTGGGTGTGTGCCAGTCTTTTGATTGAACAATCCGATTTGGTTGCATTCGCTGCAGTCGCGCTGGAAAAACCCAGTCGGGATGGGAAAATTGGAGTGAGAGAGGGAGTGGGCAGTTACAAGGCAATCGAAATTGAGGCGGGTCAGGGAAATGAACGCAGATGCGCAGGCGAGTGAAAGTGGGAAAGTCTTCGATGCAGGTCCATCGATCAGCAGGGTTTCCTATCTCATAAACGATATATGTTTTTGATGTACGCATATTAAAAGCAAAGCCAATTAAGTAATAATTGGAACTAAATACTCCACTACAGATTTATTTTTAAACTCCCAAAAAATCATTTAGGAAAATCCGCAATATAGTTATTTATTAAAATGTTGAAGAAAACGACATCAGCATTTGCTTATAAATGCTGCGCAAGTAAGTAGGCTACAAATATTTTTACATAACAAAAAGTAAGCGGAAATGTAACCTGGAGATTTTAACAGGCTTCTTATCCCTTTCATCCCCTTTCTCGACTTCAGCTTACAGCCTCTGCAAAAGTGTGCTCCAGGGAGAATTTAAAATCATTTAAAGCGTTTTTAGTTGTTATCTCCGATTAAAGGAGCTTAGACTTTCGCCAACCTCTTACGCATTTAAAGGAAAACATTGCTGATGGTTGAGAAAATATCGGATAGAAGCCCAATATTATCCATAAAATAATGTGTTATAGTTTGGAAAAAAGCTGTTTTATTTATTTTGATTTTTAACATTATTTCTTTTATTTTAAATTATAGACCTACGAGAATCAAACATTACTGCAAGCTGAATTTGACATTTTCAGCATCTACGAAAGCCTTCTCGAGTTTCGGGTGAACGAGGCGGAGTTGAATCTATCTGCTGGGTGCACGAAAGACGAGACCTTGAAGGCTAAAGCCCCCCAGGACCCACATCCATATCCTTCCATTCCGCCCACCACCCACCGCCCACCGTCGAAAAGCCTTGGTCAGAAAGCCTGATGCTTCCGCTTTGAATAAAACGCATTTTTCAAAAGTGCCAATGTTTGTGCGTGTGTGTGCGAGTGTGTGTGTGTGTGTGTGTGTGTGTTTGTGCATGAATAATGTAAATATATACAAGGGCAGCCACATGGGCGCGTAAGTGTGTGTGCTTATGTGCTGTCACTGTGGGCGTTTTTGGGCAGTTGGGCAAACATCACCCCAAAAGCACTCCCCCCCCCTTCCCCCTTCTCCACATCCCCCCTTCCACTACATCGCAAAATGCTGGCTGAGCCAATATTGAAACTTTCCACTATACAACGAGAGCACATACACACAATTCAAATTTGCTATGTGTGTGGAAGCAGGATTTGTGCACTGGCGAAAATTAGCATATCATTTAAATTTTGAAGCCAAGGGGAGGTAGAAAACTGGTGACAATTGCTGTTAGCTTCCCAACTGTAGTGTAGAGTGAGTTTTATATTCATACAGTATTCAGTCACGTTTTCGGAAGATATTCGGATATTTTCTAAAAGAGATATCAACATAAAACCAATTCAAATTTTATTTGTTATATATTTATAATAAATTTATAGTAAAATACAATTACCATTATTTAGATATTTGATATTTTCCTATTTATAAAATGCATTAAATCTAGCACACGACTGCTGGTCTTTGTGAATGCTTAAATTCGGGCATTATCCTACTTTCAGTCGAACAAGCCTTAAATTCCATTTTCCTGGCCCTTTTGGATATTTAATTTCGCTTAAATATACACACACATGGGCACAGGACACACACACACACACACGTGCGTTACATTTCAAATAGCGCATAAATTTTGAAAAGTCCATGCAAAATCAAAACGAATTTTCCACGCTGGACAGCATCCCTCTGTTCTGTATTTCTTTTTTTTTTTTTTTTTTTGGTTTTTAAGGATTGGGGGGATGTGCTCCAGTGGCCACATGTGTGTTGCCCAACGGAACAAAACCACCCGAAGTCCACCCAACCCACCAGTAGCCACCCCACCCAGAAACCCCCTTCGCGTCGCAGAATTACGTATGCTTTCAGCTCTAGGCATTGTTGTTGTTGATTGGGGGGCGGTGGGCGGTGGGTGGAGCGAATGTGCAGAAAGCATAAGCCTAAGCTTTTTTATCGCTCCGACAATAAGGCCGGCGAGCTCCCCTAAAAAACGTGAGTCTGAAAGTAGTCCACTCAAAGACTAAAGTCTTTAATGCGTTAACAGAAGCTGCTTTTTAAAACTATTCCGGACTATGTGAAATTTTGATAAAAAAAATTGAATTCTTCCTTGAGCTTTTGGTTGTAACTTGGCTAAAATGGGTCATTTAACTAAATTTTAGCTGTTTTGTTCAGCTGATATTTTAAACTTGGATATCGAATTTAGTTAACTATAAATTACCTACTGCGGATTATGTTTGTCTGGTGTCTGAAATTTAATCATTCATTGACGAAAATTTTAAAAACCAAATACCAGGCGCACAGATATGCCTAGAAGGTGGTTACAAAATCCAAATAATCATATCCGAGATTCAAACGTGAATAGTATATAGTCATGTTTCGAACCATCGATCTTTAATAGCATCCACAGATGAGAAATATTCCATATCTTAAGGGGATGTGGATTTTACGTTTGGGATTTTGTAGATTGGATTTTCGTTTTCAAAAATTGCCAATTTGGCTGTCCAAATAGGAAAAATTACTCTTCGAACTTGTTGTTTTCACTCGAATGATTGGATTTTAGACACTAGGCGAACATAATCAGTAGAAGTCGAAGTCTATGTTAATTGAAATGTGTAAAATTAAAAATCTCCCAGATTTCTCAATTTTTAATAAAAACCAAAAACATCTATAATCATTTTATTTAAATGACCCAAATCATTACGCCTTCTAAATATAAATAATTTAAACAAATTGGTATTTTTCAACACTAGTTTTACCTCTTCAAAAACCAATCGATTGAGCCTTGTGTTATCGATCTTCACTAGCGGCAAACAATCGAAACTATTCGAAATATTTTCTGTTTGACGCTTGTTTTTTTTTTCCAAAAGCAAATCCTTACCTTGCGAACGGAACGTAATCGGATGGCTACACTCAGAAATCACACATCGGCCGCCGGCATCTGTGGCAGTGGCAACAACAGCAATGGCCAGGATTCACCGCTGGCGCCGCAGGACGCGGGTGCCACGGCCGCAGCGATCGGATATGTGCGCGAATTCCGGGCTCGAGCGGCCACCTTTCAGGCCCAACGCTCCGAGGAGTCGTTGGTCTACGTGCAGCGCAGCGTGGCACTGCTGGGCACCAAGGTGCAACCGGTTCACTTAGTCCCAGGTCCTGGCAATCTCGATTTGGCCCGCTTCTATGTGGACTTGCATGCCCTGATGGGCGCATTGGATAACGACGGAACCGAGGGCGATGTCTTGTGGGCCTGCGTTTCACTGGTGCAACACTGCAGCCGCAATCTGGAGGCACGCCATTCGATCGTCGAGAAGTTCTGCTTTGTTCCACTGCTCGGGATGCTCATCCAACGCACCAAACGAACGGAAAGGGTTCACCGACTGCTGGTCCTTCTGCAGGACCTCACCTACGGCATACACATCGCATGGCAGGAGCCTTATCTGGCGGCCCTGATCGAGCATTTGGTGGAGATCGTCAATGGCCAGGAGGATGGTTCTGGTGCCGCGGCGAATGGCTCCGTTCGCAACGACGACGAAGACAATTCGCATGCCTTGTTAGCTCTTTCCGTGCTCGTGAATCTCTGCTACAAGAACTTCGCCGTGCTGTTCCTCTTTCTGCGCAGCGTTAATATATCCGCCTTCTGCCGGCGCATCCAAAACTACGGACTGCTGGCCTGCAAGATGCTTATTATCCTCTCGGAGGACGTGTATGTTTTTGAGCAGCGTGAGTTGCACACCTTTCTGCGCACCGCTTTCGCCGGAATCGAGGATTGCCTGAAGCACTGGAATGTGGCACAGTTGAGGCATATCGTGGACTTCCTGCTGGACTCGCAGTGCCATGCAGGACTTCATCGGGCCATGCTGGCGCATGGCCACTACTGCGAGGATGTAGAAAAGCTTCTGGATGTGAGTTGATATAAGTTGTTTGAAGAGAAATATTTCCTATTGCTTTGATTTATTTCCCACTCTTCAGCAAATAGATGCCCGCTGCGGCATGGACGACTCGCAGGAGGATACGCGCAAGCACCAGCAGATGTGTCTGGACTTGGTCTTTCGCCTGGTTAGCTACATCCTGCAGCTTTCGGAGGAAGGCAGCAATGTCATCAGCTTGGATGCCATAACGCCGCGCTTGCATGAGATGGTTGGGGAGTATCTGGCCTCCGATTTGTGTGGAGTGGCGGCCATTGAGCTACTCTGCACTCTGCTGCGTTTGGGCAAGAAAGCAGCGGTAGCTCAACTCATTGCCCGCGATCCATCCAATGTGGTTAGCCTAGTTTCGAGCGCCGAGCGACCAGAAACGAGACCAGCTCAAGTATTGGCCATTCTTCGCCTGCTGAACGTATTGCTGCAGGAACAGAAGACCGAGAAACTGGTGCTGTCCAAGATATCCGAGTCATTCTTCGACAAGATTTTGGCCGCGCCACTCGCTCTCGTTCCCCAATTTATCGGCACACAGGCTCTTGCGCAGAATGAGGTGGAGAAGGCCTGCTTCTGCCTGCTGCTGCTCGTCAACGTCGCGGGAATCGCAAAGAAGGCGTATCTGGACAAGTGCTGCACTCTGCTGGAGCAACCGCAGTTGCAGTATTGCCTGGCGCGCGGTATGGCCAGCAAAAGTGAGCCGCTGGTGGCTGCCGTGCTGCAAATAGCTCAGTTCGAACACTTTCCCAAGGCAGCCGTGGCCAAGGTGAGCAGAATCAGAGGTTCTTCTTTATCAGTTGGAACCTGAAGAATCTAACTACAAGGTTTATTTACAAGCTCCCCCATATCTAATCACTCATATCTTCTAATAGCATGTAGCTGTTATCAGCAGTGGTCCAAGTGGTGCAGCAGCCTGCAGCGATCAAGCGGAGCAGTGGCGCAATCTCAGCTCGATCCTCAAGGGACACCGCACCTTCACCGACAAGGAGACGGCGCAGCGAGTTAATGCACTGCTGGACAGCATCGGTGGCATTGTGCGCCGCAACGAACTGGCGTCCGCACCCGTTTCCCAAGTGATCGAGCTGTACAACCACCGCATCGACAGCCTCAACGGCGCAATGATCGGTCTGCAGCAGCGTTTGGAGCAGGCTGGTCAGCAGCTGGATAATGGCACCCAGTTGGCGAATGTGCAAAGAGCCGAGCTAGAACGCTTTCAGGCCACCAACTTTGAGCTGCTCATCAGTCAAGAGCGGTGAGTGGATAAGGATCTCATAAGATCGTGAACTACATGATATGGGTCTTAGATAACTTTTATATGTAACCTTCTTTGTTGTCTAGACTGCAAACCCAATGCAAAGATCTCAAAAAGCAAAGAGACGAGCTGAAGAGCAACATGACTATCATACTAAAGCAGCTCTCCGAGAATTCCGACCATCTGCAGGCCAACGAACGTCGGCTGCACGTTAAGAACTCGGAAATAGCCAGTCTGCAAAAGGATTGCGAGGAGCTGAGAACAAGCTTGACCGCCAAGGGCGAGGAGCTCAGCAAGCTGGAGGCGCACAACAAGGAAAATGTAATAATAGTGCTTTATTTCCCTCGTGTTCTTTAACTATATATACATTCTTCGTTGCACTCTTATAGACCATTCGCATCGAAAAGCTGAAGAAGTCCATGTTGGCCTACGAACAGGACATGAAGGAGAAGCTGCGCACGATCGAGGAACGCGAACGGGAGCTGAGCAAAACGCACAAAGCTTTGGAAGAACAGCGAGAAGCGCGCAAAAAGTCCGAGGACCTGGTCTCCGTGCTCGAAACGCAGTTGCAGGAGCGAAAGGATCAAATAGAGAGCCTTGAAATGGAGCAAAAGGAGACGGAGGACCTGCGCAAGACCATCATGAGTCTGATGGAGAGCAAAAAGCCCAAGCGAAAGGCCTAGGAACTGATTTTAAACTCACTTTTAAATATATTCAAGTTAGTCATTGTAAAAAACACCTCAAATTCACACATTCGGCATTTTTTTTTTTTTATATATTTATATACATTTATTGCGTCTTGCACAGTGAAATGCAATTCATTGTTGCCTAGCAAAGTTGTTCCATTCCGATTCCGATTCAACCAAAAAATACAAAACAATTTTATAAGCCAAGGTGTAGTTTACAAATTACTATAAGTTGTCTATGCGCGCGATTTGCGTGTTGTGCGGTCTACAGGTATAAAGTGTTTTATTATTCACTAAAAGCTTTTCTAAACGCTCATCCATCGTTTACTTTAGGCTTACATCTCTAAACACACCAGCTCGCGCCTCTCTCTCTCGAAGAGTTACACATCTACGATCCCAGCGCAGGATACTACTATATAAAATATATTTAAAACGGAATAAAATGTGGAATATAGCGTACAAAGGAAAACAATCACAAAACGAAACAAGAAAGGTTTGTTGTCCAACTTGCGATATATGCATATCTCGGTATATACAGTGCACCATTTAAGGAGGAGGAGCATTAAAAGGAGCCAGTTTTGGGATGAGAGACGGAAAAGGAGGAGGGGAAGTTGGAGGTGGAGGAGCATAGAAGTGGCCAGCACCGAAGTTAAAGCTAGGAATCGGTCGGAAATCCCTTCCCGGCGGTGATGTTGCTTGTCCTCCGGTTCTGGTGAATGTGGCGTGATAGCTGGTGATCTCTAAGAGCCAAAGTGCTCCTTCTCCTGGTCGATGGTCGCAAACTCGTAGCTGCCCCGTCCGTCGAACTGCAGATAGTAGTCGTGGTGCGCCCACAGCGACTTGCGGTGCGAGACGGTGAAGAGCGTGATGCCCACCTCGCGGCAGTAGCTGTACATCTTGCCCTCCACATCGACGGAAACGGCGCTGGTGCACTCGTCCAAAATGGCGAACTGCGGCCGATGGTAGAAGAGGCGGGCCATCGCGATGCGCTGCTTCTCGCCACCAGACAGCACGTCGATCCAATCCTCGATGGCGTCCAGGCCGTTCTCGCGCTGCTCCAAATAGGTCAGCTGGACGATGTCCAGGTAGTGCATGAGATCCTCGTCGCTGTGGCCCAGGCGGCGCATGTCCTCGCGCGTGTGCGGATAAATAATCTATTGGGGCGATTAAAAAATTCATTAATAGCGCGAAAAAAGATTACAGTGGGTTTAAAAAATAGAAAATAACACCCACCTGATCACGCAGTGTTCCCAGCGTCATGTAGGGCCTCTGAGGTACGTAGAAGAGCTTGCCGCGCGACGGCTTTGTGACCTTGCCGCCCCACGTGGGCCACAGTTCGCCGAGGATGCGGAACAGCGAGGATTTGCCACAGCCATTGGGTCCACAAACGAGAACGTTTGTGCCGGATCTGCAATAAAGAAGTTTATGGGGGTCAATAAGAAACCAATTCGATGGTGCAATCCCATCTATGCTTACTTCACTTCAAATGTGAGCTCCTGGAGCAGAACATCGCCATTGGGCGTGACCAGCGGCACCTGCTCGAAGCGAATTATGTTGTCCTCGAAGCACATGATGCCCTTGTTTGGACCGAAGTTACTGGACGCGGAGCCGCCGTTTTGCGTGATGTTGTTGCCGTTGATCATGGTGCGTTCGTAGGTGCCCTTGTTGAGGTCGCCCAGCACCTTGATCAGTTCGGTCATGCGGGCGGTGAAGCCGGCCAGACGCGACATCTCGCGTCCGGCGAGCACCAGACGACCGATGGCCTCCGCCAGCTTGACCAGCATGCGTCCGTACGTGTAGTAGGCCTGCAGACGCTGGCCACTGTGCTCGCCGGACAGCAGGGGATGGTTCTCCGCGAAAAAGGGAATGGACACGGCATAGAAGCCCACGATTGAGGCAAAATCTACAAAGATGGAAAGCCATGATAAATAGATCCAGTGGGGAAACTCTTGTGAGCCACCTACATTTGCCAATTATGTTGTCGATGATGCCCATGCTAACGCGGAACTCGAGGAACTTGCGCAGGTGCGAACGCAGCTTGGAGTAGCTGGCTAGCAGGGTGAGCTTCTCGCGCACGTTGCCCTGGTAGAAGGCCACCTCCTCGGAGTTGGTGATCAGTCGGCTGTTCACGTAGCGGAACTCGCCCTCCAGCTTCTGCTCCTCGACGGTCAGACGGCCAGTGGGTCGACGCAGTCGGGTCAAGAACACTCCGGCGAACAGCAGGTAGAGCATCAGGATCGAGGGCGTTTTGCCGCCTAAATTCACCGTCAGGCGGTAGACATAGATGAAGATGTCCAGCACCGGTTTGCTGATGTTCGAGTACAAGTCCGTCGCGCTCTCGCAGAACTTGTCAATGTCAGTGGTCAGCAGCTGGTCGGCGTTGGCTATCCTGTTGTCCAGATTCGACATTTTGTAGTAGGTATAGCCACTGCAAAAAGAATAATAGGATTTTATTAGATAGAAGGTTTGCTTTACAATTCCCACAAGACTTATCAATGGGTAGACTTTGAGTGCTAATAACTCAATTGTGAAACTCACTTTAGGTACTGACTGTACAGGTGATGTGTAAGATTGGTACGGAATCTCAGCTTCAGCTCACCCAAACTCCACTTAAGGACATTGGTCACAACAGAGATCTGCAAGAAATGCCATCAAAATGTTATTAGTTTTAAGATAAGAACATAAAATATGATAAAGAACTAAATTTGGATAGTGAGATAAGAAGTAATAGCGGGTTGGTGGCACTCAAATCTTACCGCTGGAAGAGCTGTCAGATATTTAAGCAGCGCCGACTTGAATTTGGAGCGGTTCATGTGAATAATGGTGCTCTCCACCACAGTCGCATTCTGGATCATCCAGATGTCGCTCACAGATCGGCCGATCAAAGCGGCGGCCACCAGGAACAGCAGACCCGTCTCAATGCTCCAGAAGCCCGGGATGAGAATAGCTACATATCAAGGAGTAAATTCCATCTTAGCACTCTGGGAAACCAATTCCGGTGGGTCATCTTAGGGATTTACTTACGGAGAAGCTGGCGAAGCTGTTTAAAGAATACTGAATTGACCTGGGCCTTCGACGCCTTCTTCTCCTTCTTCTCGGCGATTGTGTATTGGATTTTGTCTTCATAGCCGGGTTTTCTAAAATAGAGGAAATTTATAAGAACTCGTTATAATGGTACATAGTTAAATTTCCTATTTAAGTTGTCCAAACAAACAAGGTATTTTTAGCAAAAACTAAGCAGGAAAAGAAAATCGTCGATTGTTTATTTATAAAATAAATTACAATTGTTGAACTCCCTGTTTATATATGATAGTTAATTTGAATATCGACCTTTGCTTTTGCAAGTGGTTACAGGCGAGCGTTTTATGTCTCCATTAACTTAAGTACAATAATTAAGGCTCAGAGACGACACATTGCATTTTTCGCGGAGTGTCGTTAGCTGGATGGAAAACTGCTGTGTCACCCGTAACCACCTTATAAGTCACTTTTAGGGGAGAGTATTAATCAATACATTGTTTTGATAGCAGACAAGTTTACACGTCAAGTAGACATTAACTTTATAGTCAAGAGAATGTTTTAAAACTATGCGTTCCTAATTCTATCTGCACTCCAGACAAATTTGATTACACTTAAGTGTTGTATTTCGAACCGGAATGCAGGAACATGACGTAAGAATAACATTTATTATTGATAACTTAAGGCACTCGATCCGTGCTTATAATTCAGAAAGCACATAAATCTATTTCGAGATAAACTCCGGTTGATTTGGCACATAATCCATATCGAAGGATCGTTTCTAAAAATCTCAATATTATCTACTTTCTTTATTTTCTTCCATCGTGACTTCTAATCACAAAAGACACACTTCTCTATAGGTCTGAAGTGGTTATTTATTTCCGCATCCGTATGAAATATGTACTTATAAATTCAAATAGGGAATCTAAAAATTCTTAGATGCTGACCAGCTCAACACAAATACCCAAATCCGAACCCCATAATGCTTGGCCGCAGAAAGGAACACCTGATTGTCCGACATCAGAAATCCGCAGAGGGTCGAAGTCTGCTGGATTTGGGCGATGCATTATGGGCCGGTTATGGTGTTGGTCGAAGCAAAGTACAAAGCTCGCGCTTTGGTTATCTGCGGAGTGAAACAAAAATCGCAGAGTCGCGATGACTCGGTTATTTCTTAGATACCGCCGCCCAGATCTCTGAATTATTCGCAGCGTTCTTCTATTTATTTATTACTATGTACATATTATATATGTTTATATCTGCGTCCGTTGTCTGGCCTTTCTTCCTCCTCTTTCTATAATTTTTTTTTTTCTATAATTCGTATATTAAACTTGTTTTCACCGCGCGAACGGTGGAACATGTGTTTGGGTCCATAGGTCATTCGAGTGGGTTTCCTCGGCCCGCCAGCTTGCTACTGGATTCAGACGAAAGCTCTCTTTTTTTCTAATCGCTGCCGATCGCCCCATGGGCGGCACATTGAACCCAAACACGAGAAAATCGGTTAGCCGCTGTGACTCAGATAGGCGAACACTGCGATTCCAATCAAAGTTCACGCTGGTTCTCCTCTGGCGAAAGCCAGGTTCTTATCGTAACTGATAGCTGATAAAAAAAAAATTGCAGGCAAAATCGGTTAGTCGGATGGGTAGACACACACTCATCGCCGGCGGGCCTGTGTTTACCTGTTTGGCTGTTTACCTGTTAGCTTTTACCTGTTAGCTTCTACCGGCACACACTCACACACACGCACACGCATACAGAGGCACACTTGAAGCCAACTCAAATTGGAAAGAGAGACCTTGGTAACGTGGCAATCGCTCGGCAGGTGCAAATGTCAGAACTTGGCTGCGAATCTGCATCGGAATAACGATCTCATTTCACGCACTGCCTAGGCTTTAATCTCGAATTATACAAATGCAGCTCAACTGCTTTCATTACTGGTTTTCACCTTTTTCTTTTTCTCTTCTGGTTTTAGGCCCTCCGATTATCAGGGCAAAGCATTTCCGGGGACAAGGTGCACAGTAATTGAGTGAATGAATCTCTCCTTTTTATTTTTATTTCATTTTTTTATGCTGTCTGTCTGGAATCTATTACGCAACAAGTCAGCCGGGGCGAGAATTTGTCTACCTGTGGAAAACAGAGCAAGGTTTACACAAATTAACACTTATTCCCCCGCACTGAACGGCAAAAACAAGAAAGAAAAAAATGCCCAAGAAATGGAAAAACGAAACCAGAAGCGAACCATTTTTTTCTTTTAATTTTATGGTTGCAAGTCATTAAAAGGTACGGCGCTGTAATGTTTAAATGTTTATGCTTTATACTCGGGGTGTCATCATGTACAGTTATGGGCACCGCCGGGCGGTGCCATCGAGCACCGTGTGTTGCAAGCGGATTCGGTGTTAAGGGGGGAAATACAATTAGAAGGCCTGAAATGAGGGCTATCTTTGGGAGTGGATTGCAAGTAGAGTATTAAATGAATCTTAGTGATTCTTTTTGCATGTTATTGGGTAATTATTGAGCAATAAAAATCAGTCAAGTTTTTTGAAAAATATTGTAATTAAGCCCATTTATGATCAATAATGTGGAGTCGTGTTTTTAGGGAAGGACTTTGCGCCGTGCAGTCTCCAGGTCCAGGATCACGACTTAAACAAAAAAAAGCAACTGGGCTTTAAACTTAAAGGTACAGCGCACACCATGAATTAAACCATATTTAAAAAAAAATTATTTTTCCATTAAAAAATTTTAGGTTAAAAAAAAATTTCAAAAATAACGATTTTCTTTTGACTTTGATTGTAAAAAAAACATGTTATAACAAACAAATATGAAAAACCGTTATATTCATGGTGTGGAGAATTTAATTTCAAACATAATGCAAAAAACCGCATTCGATTAAAATAAAATCTCTGACCTGTACATTGCACGGCGACTTTGAAAACACGACTTTTCAGGAGAAGCGTTTAAAGTTTACTTTTGTGCATGTCCGCCATATGACACACCCTCACTAAATTGCGTATAACTCTGAAAATAAGTACCGGACGGCTTTATGCTTTTAAAGGCTTACTCCCAGATATATTTGGAGTACATTAAGCCAAAAAAATTTTTTTCGAAAAAAAAATTTTCTAATTGTATTTCCCCCTTAAACAAACTCGCCACCGGTTACGTGTTCGATTGCAATACCAAGCTGCTGGATGTCAAAGTTGTTGGACTTTCGGACAATCAGCATTTGCATAGGTGTTGTTCGTTCAACTCTTTGCCGTGCAGAACTGCAAGGAGCCTGCCCGAATTCGAGAATACCCTTTTTCGGTAGCGGCAGCCAGTCGTACGTAATTAGTCATTTCGTCTAGCCATAATTACTGCTGATTAAGTGCTATAAAACACGTGCGATTCGCAACCTTTGGGGTAAAGGTTTTCCATTGATCGCAATCTCATACACAATAAACGATTTCTTCGAGCAATTTATAGCTAGCGTCACTGATAATCTTTCAGAAATTAGTTAGGGGCTTATGAGTTCTAAATCTCCTTCCTGTTGTAAAATAATTACATTTATGAATAATTACAGATGGCCATTCAATATAGCTTGTTTCAAACATTATCACCTTTATCAACTTTGTGCAACATTTGATTAATGGAAACAAAAAATATACAAATAAAAACATAATAAAGACGTTACTTGCAACAGAAGTAATTTATTTAGCTGAACTTTGTAGTGTCGAACCGCCGCTTTCATTGTATCAAATGTGAATCACCCCATAATGTTGGGGCACTCGAATAATGGTAACGCGCATAAATTTATCGGCCATCAATCCACAAGAGGCGGCACCTGAACCAAACTCGGCAAGAAAAAAACAAAGAAACGAAATGAAAAACACAAAAACAATCGCCGAGAGCCCATTAAAAGTCTTTCATTTCGATCGGTTGCCAAAGTGCAGTCCGTACTTGCACTTAGATACGAGTTTGTATGGATGTTTAACGTTTACAAGCTGGCGTGCAGAAAGGTGCGGAATGAGCTAACTGCTAGCTGGCTATCAACAAGTCGCTCTTGCCGATATCGGAATATAATGGCAGCAATTATCGAGTGGCACATGTAGCAACGGAAAATGCGGCAATGCACTCCACTCGTCCATCGCAATCTCTCTAATTAATTGGCTCTGTCATGCAAATAGTCGAAGTCAACTCAACTCAACTCAACTCCCCATTCCAACCGCCATCGCCCGCATTTTGTATTATTAAATTAGATCGAGTGCATTGGTTGGGTTGGATAGCTATAGCTTCAGTGGGCGGAGAACATCAGGCCAAGCCCCGAAAACCCTGATATATGAATCGAATATCGGGCGCGTTAACGACAAGCATAATCGGCACGAGTTGCGATAGCGTTAGACCAGTATGAGTATTGTAGACTCGGCGTGATACCGATTAGATTAGTGCCAAGAGACCAAGTCCATCCAAATGCGGAAACGTGGCCCTTGGCGGCGATTGCAAGTGCTCGATTTCGGAGGTCTTGATCACTATAATATAACACTTATCCAAGGAGTGCCAACGTCCACTTCTTGGGACTCACTTTTCGCTTTTCCAAACAGAGTGGCGCTCCAAATGCAACGACAATCTGTCTGAGGAAATGATTAACCAAAATGGTGTACCACTCTCGTTCAACAATCAGCCCACCCATTAAACTATTATACGAGTACATTAAAGCTCCAAAGCATTTGATAAAGAACTAGAGCGTTTCTTACTATCAAGAAAGTATTTTTACCTCTTAAATCTTAGGGAAACACAAACAATGGCTTAAATGGACAAAAGCAACATTGTTTTGCCAGCTCAATTGCGTCAGTTGCGGTGGTATACTTCAATTAAAAAGCGATTTCCGATTCCGGCCAACCCGCAAAAAGGGAAATTTAATGACAAATTCTCAAATGAAAAAAAGGAAAGTCAATCAGGTTTTGGTTTCAGTTTCCGTACGGAAATTGGAAAAGGCCTGCTTATTTTGACCAACAAATGGAAAAACATTTTATTCAATAAGCTCTCTTTTTCTTTAAGAAACTCATTGACCAATTTAAACAGGTTGTAATTTAATTGAGGCTGATGGCATTGCTCTTCTCTGGTTATCCTTGGGATTTGGACAGTGCACAGTAGGACAGAAAGGTTATTTCATAAACATATTTGTGCTCTTTCTTTCTTTTGGAAGTAACTGTAGCTTTTTAAAAGAGTTTTGATTACATATGTAAGTCCCAATCACACTGTTTAAATTAATTCCATAAATCTGCTTGATATTGGGAGAGGTGTGAAAACTTTTTGACCAGAAAACATTATGGTCAAGCTCACTGTGCGCAGGTGAATGGATCAATTCAAACCGGAATACAACGAAGGGGAAACGCGATGCACATCGATTGTGGAAGGAAAATCGATGGTGAAACCAGTTTGAAATCCACCAGATGACCCACAACAAAATCGTATGTTCCGCACACGCATGCACATATGTTCACATTGCGATTTTCGAGATCGAGAGTGTGTGGGCAAATAAATCAAAAATTCAATATCACGGGAATTTCGGTGGCCAAGACCGAGACCTTCCTCAATGGAGGTTCTTTATATATATGATTAATATAGAGGGCCAAATGGAAGGTACTCACCTCTTCTTGTTGGACATTTTTCCATAGGCGATTATCCAAAGGGCAGCCGTCATTCCCGCCACGCCAACGATGGCGCTTTGATTATTGGCCAACTTGCTCAAAGCCGGGGCCATTGTGTTAGTTGTTTAAACCTCGTTCGGAGTTGGAAATTCGGAATTTCAGCGTTTGCACTTCGGTTGCAATTTATTTTAGTTTTTAAAGTGGTCAAAACGACCCCGCACGTGGAAAAAATTATAAAAAAAATTAAATCTATAAGCCACGAATTTCTATTTTTTGTTTTGTACTGCTGTTCGATGACGACACACACACACAAGCACAAATACGAAGGAGAGAAGGATGTAAACACCTGGTTGTTAAACAGCCCTGTTTTTGCCTCTTCCTCTCTCTCGTTCGCTCTCTCGCTGCCACAGCCTGCTTGCTGCTTCTTCTTCTTTTGCTGGCGCTCCTTTTCGGGCCAAAGAGGGTGGTCGAAATGATTGTCACACACGGCGAACGCTTTTATTTATTCGATTCGGGCCAGGCGCATTTCTCTATTTGATAATTACACCCCACTCTGCTCGGCTAAATCGAGAAATCTGACGAGTAGAAACATGCGACGCGCAAAAAACCAGCAGAAACTGACCAACGTTGCTGGATGGAAAAACACCTTTCCCCTTTAACGTCTTAACGTAAAATACTAAAATCTGGTATTTCCTAAATTTGCCCGACGAATGTTTTGTTTTTTGAACTCTGGTTTAGATATCGGATTGTCCTAATAATTATATTACTTACAAAGTTTTTATTTAAATTGTTTATAAAAATTATCTTAAATTTTTTATTTGTTACCAAAAAATGCTTATAGATTAAACTGCTGTTTAAATGAATAGAAAACTTTTTGAGCTACCTGATGTTTAGATAATTTTACGCTATTTTTTGCCCTTGCTAACGAAGAATTCAGGTTAAGGTTAAACTTTAAAATATTTTAAAACAAACAAAATATTGAACAATTTGGAAACCATTTTCATCCGTGATAAAAATTGTTCCTTCTCTTTTTACAAAAAATTGTCAGTAGGTTTCATTATCCATGTATCCAAAGGAAACTAAACACGAATCAGCAGTCGACAGTCTAGACTCTAGACTTTTCTATGCTCAGCTTATCAAAATTTTGGGGTTCTTTTGCTACCTTCTACACCCATGAGTCGACAAAAAGGGTTATTATTCTTATCTTTTAGTGGCTAGCCGGCAGATTAAAGGTTATGAAATATGTAGGGCCAATAATAACTAACTACAGCGGTCTTCAACAAAATGTGTGTATTCTCTGAGAGTTCAAATCCAGCCAACAATTTAACAAGGGACCTTTGATGTGTCGCTCTATTACAATATAACTCAATTTGATGTCACGCCGTCAAAAGTCGCAAGATGGTGCCGCTGGCCAGGAACGCAGGGTAAATGGCCCTCGGCACCGGGCACAGTTTTCTGTTCAGCTTGGGTTCCGTGTTCCGTGGCTGCGATGCGCATGTCGAGCGATATGTGGGACAAGTTAGTCAACATGGCAACAGACCGCAACCGGTGATTCTTGACGAGATCTAAGCAGTGGCGCCTAGTCGCAGGAGCCATCCAGCCAGCCGTCTCGCCATCTCTCGTTTACCTTGCTGCAATCGAAGAGCGGCTTGCCCAGCTTGTCGTTAACGCGATTGTGAAACTTGCACAACCACATAGCCAGTTCCTTCTGCGAGTTCACATTGATGGGGTTAACATCAAGGCTGTGGAAGTAAACAGCAAACTTAGCTTTTGCTCCAAAAACGGATCTTAAGGCGCTTACTCAGTGCGAAAGTCCTTCGCGCAGAACTCGCAGGGGTACAGGCGGGATAGCACCTCGAAGAAGGTTTTCATGTCCCGCTTCTCGGTGTCCGTAGGGTTGTCTGAATAGAAGGCGGCCATGGTGTGCAGCAGGCCCCAGGTTGAAATGCCCAAACGAACCTTATCCAGGGGACAATCATCGCGGGGAGCTGCAACCTCGGCGGCGGTCACGGTCGCAACCTTCTCGGCGGCCGCCATGTGCTTCACCTGGCGGAGATAGAGGGTTTAATAAAAGCCTTGTTGTGCGGCATAAATAAAGAGGCTATCACATCACCTTGGCGCTCTGCACGTTAGAAATGAGACGCTGTTGCTTCGACCAGGACTTGAAATCGTTGCAAGTGCGGCAGTTGGAGTCCTGTTTGCCGGCTGAGGATGACGAGGTAGAACCTTTCCGATTCGCCGCAAACGGCGTATCCTGGTGATCGTCCTCCGGCTTGGGATTCGCCTCAGCGGACATGCTAAAATCGGGATCGCGAATCAGGCGGAGCACGGTGCGCTGGAGACGGCGGATTACCAAACGGGTAGCCTCTCGACTTAGCTCTACTTGCGTGGGGCTGCTGCTATAGTCGTAGCCGTAGTTGTGGGTCTGGCGCCGTATCAAGTTTGTTGTGGCGTTGGCGGGCAGCTCGGGAATCTTGAAACTTCGCTCGGCTATTGTGAAAATCATAAAAAGCATGCGCATGGTTGCCACCTTGTTTCAGAACGACACATTACTTTTGGAAAATCCGTTTGGTTGTTAATTTTGCTAAGAAGTGTAAAGCAGAAATCTATAATCCCAACGGCTAGTACGGGACGTTTACAAGGACCAATAGCAGGCAGACAACATTTATTTCAAATTCTACCGGCCATAAAGCAATATGTGAATCGATGACAAGTGGTTAATTGCAGCAGTCTGGCAGCCTAACGACCACTGGGATCGATAAAACATCGCTTAAAGAAGCGCGCACAACTGCCACAATTTAAAATAGGTAAGCCAGCAGCTAACTACAAAATTAATCTAAATATCTCAGCGGTGGAGATTACAACTTACATGTGAAATTGATGCAAGCTGGCGTTTGTGAGTGGTGCAGCCCAGAAAAATTTTGCGCCTTGGAACTGTTTAAAATAGAGTAACACATGTGCTATTGGCAATATTTATTAATTTTTCTAATCCAAATATTCAACATACACAATACAATTTTTTGAAGACTTTTCCGTACACTTCTACATTTATAGGTTTGGTTATCTGATCTGTGACAAATTTCGCAAAAGCTCTGTGTTTTTCATTTACGTAAAGGCACAATTTTGGTTATTGTGTAATATTAATACATTAAATTCACTTAGTAACAACTACTACGTCTGGCACGTGAGTAAGACAAGTTAACAACTGGCCGCCGGGTTTTGGGTTAGCTATTTTCTGCCCTGCTCTGGAAAAACTGCATCCGAGAGCAGCCTGCAGTGGTTAGACGTACGACACATAAATATAAATATTTTATAATATGTATATAAAACTTTCCCTAAAACGGATTGCAAACGATGCAGCGGCTGTTTGTGCAGCGTTAAAAAAATATGGTTTCGAGAGTGCATACGTGTAAAATAGTTTCTTATTTTTCAGTCGCGGCACCGTTTACGACCAGCTTTGGAACGCACATAAATTAAGCGTGTAAACATTACAAAAAAGTTAATATAAAATGTAAAATTGGCGCCGACTCTTGCTCCTCTGGCTAAGTGACTCCTCTTGGCATTCAGGCATAGTCCCTGAACATGGTGAACAGGCTGTAAAGGACGCGCAGGGTGGACTTCAGATCCATGTTGACAATGTCCTCCGGGCGAGCCTTTGGCTTGGGCAAGCCTACATCCTGCATGAGGTCGAAGGCGAATGCCACGTTGCTGACCATCTGATCGACGTCCTGCGGCGTCAAATGGAACTCATGCAGGGGCACAAAAAAGCCGCCGAGCAGTCCCATCAGCAGGCAAAGATAGACGCCGTCACGAAAGTCCGTGTTCAGGTCGCTGATCTCGAAATTCAGCTTGGCCAGGTGCTTGTTAACAAACGTAATTAGGGACTTCTTCACCACGGCCAGCTTGTCGGGCGCACAATCGATCAGCGTGTCGAAGGCGTCCTTTTCACATCGCATTCCCAGGTCATCGTACTCGGATGTTATCTGTTCCTGAAACTTCTGCGCATTCAGCACGCCCGCGTTCTTTTCCGCAATCACAACGGTCACAAACACGTTTTCCGGCAGGCGAACCGGTGCCCGGAAATGGCGAACCAAAGCCACCAGAAGATGCAGGATGGCCACGATGTTCTTCGAGTGAACGCTGGCCACCGACCACTTGGGGATCTTCTGGTGAAAGCCGAGTGTCTGTGGGAAAAAAAAGAAAGGGATAGTGAATTTTTGGCGGTTACAAATATAATTCTATAAATAGTTTCACTATATACATATTTCTGAATCATTAGACTAGCTAAGGGCAGAAAAATTATGCACTCAAGGTTCAAATTAGCCCTTTGTTAATCTAGAAACTCTTTTCCGAGGAAAAAAAGTTACAGCCAGGATACTCACATGATTAACGGCCTTCAGAACAATGTTGAGCTTTTCGTGCTGACCCTGTTCCGATTGAGTGACTTCCGGTACGTCCAGCTTCTTGCCAGTGAGCTTCTCCCAGAGCTTGTGCAGCACCTGGCCGTCGTACATGTCCTCGTCTAGTTGTTGGACGATGATTCGCTGCTCGGCCAGCTCGTCGTTGATCCAGTCGACCAGGATGCGCTGCAGCTTTATCACCTCGGGATCGTTGATGGACTGTGGATCAATGACGGCGCGCTGTTCGTGTTCGCCTGCAAGAAAATGAATGGAATCAATATGGAATTCAACAAAGTTTAGTAATTAATGCTTACGCAGGGCGTAGTCCTCCGGCGGGATGTCATATTGGCTGGGTGATCCGGGTGAATCGATGGCATATTTTCCCTCCTCCTGGACTTTCTTCACTGCAAAAAAAATTATTTCAAAGATAAAAAAATACAATCTTTAAGGTAAACAAAAACGATGACGACACAAGGCCATTACACAAACAAACACACACACCACGGCACTCTGATTTGTTTGTGTGAGTCAACAGTGACGCAATGTTCTGATTAATTCGCACATCTGTTCCCAGAAGAGCTCCTCCAACGAAAAGGGAGGAGTTTTCAGGAAACTATTGATTGTTTTTCGGAAGTTTGGAGGTTTAAGAATATATTCTCCTTAGATATGGAATACTCTCGTCATCGAAATAGATCTATTTTAAGCGATCCTACCTTCGCGAGTGCCGCGTTTGCGACCCAAAGTGCTGAATTTGTCCCAGAAACTGTCCTCCTTTTCGCCCTTTTTAATGGCAGTGGGCGTGTGCGGGGACTTGGGACGATTTAGAGTGGACATTGCGGAGTTAAGGCACTACGATTATTGGATTCTCTGAAACCGAGCTAAAACTTTGTGTTATTGTTTCGTTTCTGGCAGAGCTGAGCAATCAGTTTCCCTTTGGGGCTGCCACCTGATCGTAGATCCACTGCTGACGCTGTCCAACACTTGAATTCGGAATCCGAGCCGAAAAACAATCCGGAATTCGGTGTTTTACAGTAAATTAGTCTTTGCCTAAGTTAATTTACGTTAATCGCTTCCCAGATAAATCTGTGATTTGTAAACTTTAGATTCAAAATAATCATTATTGAGTTGTTACTTTCTTAAAGATCGAATTTAAATATTAATATATTCACATTGCGTATACTACAATCCGTGGGACAAATACATTTCTTCTTATAAAATCAGAGAGAATATATGTATATGTACTAGGACTATGGATATACTAGGGCTATGGTTTATATGGAGTTGGGCAATTGGCAGGCTCGCACCGCCACGAGCTGCAGCAGAACGAAGATCGGTGAGAAGACCTCCGAGTACTCGAGGCCCGTCTTGCTGGAGAGCTTCAGGCAGAGCAGGTACTTAAAGATGGCAATCAGCACGAGGAAATAGGTGCTCCACATGAAGCGGTTCAGTGCTTTTCGCTTGTTGTTTGAGTCCAGGTACATGCGTATGCCAACGATGACGCAGAAGTACGCATTGCAGATGTCAATGAAGAATAGCGGGCTAAACACAGTGAACCAATCGCACATGGCTTCCGGAAGCATTCCACCGGGACCAACTCTGGCCTGTAGATGCAGCTTGACGGCCAGTGTGATGGTAAACACGAGCAGGCCGCACAAGTTGACCAGAATCTCGAACTCGGTGAGCCCCAGCCAGCGCACCAGTTCCGAAAGTTTGAACATGTCGACTGATTATCTTCCTATTGCCTGAACTTTGGTTGTTTGCCTCGGAATTGAGCCAAAGTTTGTGACTGCGATGGTTGCGGCACAACAATGTCAAATAAACTGCGATTGAAGATCTTGATGTGCAGGGCCGAGTTGTTGCGCTGCCGGAAGGTTACGTCCTCGGCATCGCAAAGTGGATGCAGTTCGTCCACCAGCTGAACGGTGGAGGTGTTAATCGCGTAGCTAAGAGCGCCCTCAGAATTCTGGACAAGGCGCAGGGCGAGATTGAGTCCCCGGGTGACCGAGAAGCCCATGCAGTGCAGGAAGATCTCCTTGGCTCCGGAGTTAAGCAGCTCCTCACAGCGGCGCTGCTGGGACTGTCCAGAAGCAAAGAAAACTTATGATTATGATTTGAAACAACAAAGAACCTCTCTATTTACACACCTTAAAATCTGTCTTGCTGGTGATGTAGATGTTGTGGCGATCGCTGGCGGGACGCGGCGGCTGTTTGCGTACCACTCGGTGGTTTTGGTGGTTGTTGCGGTTCCTGGTGGATCTCGGCTTGGTCCCGTTCTCGGGAGGATTGCTTCCCATCATTTAACGGAGGCGAAGACGACCTATGTTTTCCATCTGCGCGTGTCACAATTTCGGACTCCGTACTCCGCAACGCTCCCCAACACTAGCTGTGCTTCTGGCGATCCGGCAACCCGGCTCTAGCTGTCAATGTGACAGCCGACGATAGCTCTGTTTTGTGGCCATCACTATTCCTATCGCCAGGGGCTCGTGAGAATTCTAGGCAGTTGAAAATTTTTCGTCGTACTCTCGTAACAACAAAGGTATGTTTTTCGCACCTAATCACGTACCACAGACCGTAAGCCAAGCCATCGATCGACTAGCCACCCAAAAAGACAAGAGACAAACTTGGCCACAACCGTTATGTTCGTAAACTTCGCAACTCGTAATACACGCACACACATACCACACACGCATAGCGCACTAACACTTCTGCTGGTTAAATTTCCTCGGGCAGCAGGAAAGAAAGAAGAGTACAAGTTACATAACTCGCTGGTGGTGCACTTAACGTTAGCCGGGGGGAAAAGGGGGCGCCGTCTGCATCCGTAAGTTGCCCCGATCCGGATTCGGATCCAGTACCCCAAAACCTCACCCCCTTGACCCCTGGGGTTACATAAGTCTCCTCCGCTCGCTAAAACGGGGGTGGATCCAATAAAGTATATATTTATATCCTTAACCACAATCGTAGCCAGAAAAATAAGACAGAAAAAAATATAAAATCCCCTGCACCGCGCATCCTGGTTCGAGTAACGTTTTGTATTCATGCGTTCAAGTCATTTTTCCATGCAGGCGAATCCGAAAATCCGATACGTTTCAGAGTCGCAAACACAAGTCAAGAGTTAACGCACAAAAAGCAGGCAAAAACAAGCCATATCGAACTGATTCGAATCGAAACGGACCGCAAGGACCCGCTGCTCAACAACGGATGATAACGTAACGTAGCTGCAACGTTGGAGCATCAAAGCAACGCAACGCCAACTCCACAACGCAACGGACATTGCAAACAAGTAAATTACCATTTCTCATTTTATCAAAACAGATCAATCTGCCAGCCCAAATACAATCAAATCAAATCGAATCAAAAATCAAATGTATATGCCTACATTAAATCCAAGTCAAAGTCAATGTATCCAAAATTGCATAAGAGTCGCGTTAAGTGCGCCGTGAGCATTTCTTGTCGCCAAAACCACTTGGTTGGAGCTCCGGCTCCCCGATCCCTGGTACCCTGAATCCAAATCCTATTCCGATATCCGATCCAGGAGCCAGCGCCAGCCAAGTTATGCCGGCGCAAGAAATGACATCTAGATTATCTCCATTATCGATTATCGATTCTGACGAGCGAACCGAACAGAAGCGAACAGCAGAATACGATAAAAAGAAAACAGAAAGCATACAGAATATTGTGTATAGGTATTTCGTAAACGCGCCACTGTCAAACTGATCGATTTAACGCGGCACAGTTTCGAATTGCAGATCATCACTACCAACAACAACAACAACAACAGCAGCAGCAGCAACAAGCGAAATGTCGGCGGCCCGCCTGCCCTACTATCAGCAGGATCAGGACGAGGATAGGGATCATCACCGGCGTGGCGGACGCGGCCATCACCGTGGCTACTACGATCGTTCCGCAGGCGGCTCGTCCCGGCGGGAGCGCACTCGCTACAGTCGCAGTCGTTCCCGCTCGAGAAGTCGCAGCCGTTCGGCAGAGCGCTTCGGTCAGCGCCGGCGGCGTCAGGAAAGCCATCAGCAGATGAGGCAGCAGTCCCGCTACCACAGGGAACACGATTCCAGAGATCGCTCCAGGGATCGTTCCAGAGATCGCTCTAGAGATCGCTCCAGAGATCGGTCAAGGGATCACTCTAGAGACCGCTCCAGAGATCGCTCCAGGGATCGCGATCGGGACTACTCGAGGCGCTCCAGCCATTATCATCGCTCGGAGTCGCCAGCCGCATCTAACAGCAACAGTCACAGCCAGCAACGAAGTCACTTGACCGGAAAAGCACAGATGAACGCCGTTCACAAGGCAGCCGCTGCAGCTGCTGCCTCGGTAGAGCAAGCCCAGCTGGCCGGCAAGGGCAACGCCGCTTCTGCCGTTGGTGCCTACTATAATCTGGACACTGACGAGCCGTTCGACAAGGAGCGCATCCACCGCGAAATGGAGCAGAAACTGCGAGAAGCGCTGGCCAGGGAGGGAAAGGTTTACCCGCCGCCCAAACCGGAGCCACCATCGCATCCGGTCTTTGCCAACGACGGTTCGTTTATGGAGCTGTTTAAGAAGATGCAGGAGGAGCAGAAGCAGCAGGTGGGCGGCAGCAGCAGCAGCAGCAGCCATCAGTTGCAACAGCCAGCGGCGGCGGAGGAGCTCCTTCAACAGCAGCTGATCTCGACGGAGGCGAGTGCAGCGCCACCACTGCCAGCGATTGCGGTGGGAGCGGCTAGCAGTGCTGCTGCTCCTTATATTGCAGCTGCGGCGGCTGGAAAACTGGCGCCACCACCGCCGCTCGTGGGACGACGACGCGGCGGAAAGGTGCTCAAAACGGGCGTTGTGGCCAAGCTGAAGACGCAAAACGAAAGCGACGTCGACCCCAAGGACTTCTGGTCCTTGTACCTGGCCGAGGTCAACAAATATAAGAGCAATGCTTGTGACACGGACAACGGCAAGCGGCCGCTGGTCAAGTAATCGCAGTCATGTGAATCCTGAACTTGAACGTAGAACGCAGAAGAGCTAACGTGAAACTACCCAGCTTTATATTCGCTTTTGATTCGACCAATAACCCAAATCAGAACCTAGATAATCACTCCCAAAAACGAACATTTTGTACACGAGAATAAGCGAGCACAGTTCCGTAGTTTATAGTTATGTAGTTGAGGACCTTAAAGCTGCCACCGCGAGCAGTGTAATTTGTATTTTTTTTTAATTCACACCGGTCGAAGGACGACTAGCCGCAGCCTCTAGACATATACACACACACACACACAAACACACATATTAACATAAGCATATTCTAGACTGTAAGCGTAAATTAAGAAGAAAAGATCCAAACGAGATGTATCTCTCTATATAATATGATATATACCGCTCATTAAGCATCCACCAACTTGAAGAACTAACCTTTGTGATTTATATATCTATCTCTTCCTCCCCCCGTTTATGCACTGAAAATTGTATTTGACAACGTATTGTTTTCATTCCTCATTCGGTTATGTACCATCCCCCCATTACATTCATCTCTTTCGTTTTCATGGCAACTATACATATACATATATATATATCTCTCTCTGTCATATGATTTAACATTTTGGTTGCGTTTCGATCGATGATTACTCCTCCTTCCCTTCGTTTCGGTTCCCATTTTGTGTTACCCTTTTTCGTTTCCCGACTAAAGTCTATATGCAATTTTTCATGTCCAAAAACAAAAGCAGCGACAAGTCGTCAGACAGCAGCAACATGTCCGCCTATAAGCTGGAGACCGCCCCCTTCGATCCGCGTTTCCCCAACCAGAACGTGACCCGGTACTGCTACCAGTCGTACATCGACTTCCATCGCTGCCAGAAGAAGCGCGGCGAGGACTTTGCGCCCTGCAACTATTTCCAGAAGGTCTACAAGACGATGTGTCCCAACGCCTGGGTGGAGAAGTGGGACGATCAGCGCGAGAGCGGCACATTCCCGGGCCGCATCTAAGTGCCCCGGCGGCCACCGCATCATCCCAGAATCCAAATCCCCAATAATAGTACACACAGGACACGATCGATGGGCGGAGGAGGAGGAGGAGTAGGAGCAGCAGCAGCAGCAGTAGCGTCAGCGTGGTGACCAGAACCATCCGGCAATTGCAACACTTTCGACACAGACCACCAACTAATATTTGTGCTTTCCCGAGCGATGAATAGAACAACTTCACATTTTGTCGTCGACAAACGCAAATACACGAATGTTCAATTATCTGAATTCTGAATCGAGCGTTGTTGTTGTTTCTTCTTCATCTTTGTTGCTGGCCAAATTGGAACTTAATTCAGATCCGCGCAACTGTATTCCGATGTGTTATTAAATAATAAACTATTAGAAACTCAGAAGCCACTCTTTCGATATTAATACCCCCGACATTTTCAAATTAGAATCTGGAAGAATTGCTCACCTTTAAAAGTTTCATCAAATTAGTTAAAAGTTTTTCGTTCTTTTTTCCAATATCAAATCTAATTAATTTCTTTATTTCAATCCATACATTTGGAGTGTGACTTCTTTTAACTTAATTACTGCCATTTTGAGTAAAACACGTGTGTGGCCTGCATCGTTTATTTAATATGTTTTCATTAGTTATTACAAGATGATTTCTATTATCCTGGATTTCACTCTGGCATTGGAAATTTGAAGAACTTCGGGTTTCTCAATATCTTTTTCCACCAAAGCAATATCGAAAGCTAGACTTATGCAGATTATAATCGTTTTTGGCCTTAGCATTCTTTGAATTTTTATTTAAATTTTTATAAGTGTTTACATATGTGCAACTCTCTTACGATTTCCACTACTTTAGTTTTCAATTATTATCTTTTTATCATATTGAATTAAGTGTGTCGAACCCTTGTCTTATAAAACCTATATTATTTGCCGAACTTAACTGTACTATATGCCTCCTGCCATTATCCTCTGATCAGACATTGCTGTTAAACATTAAAACCGCAAGAGGAACAAAATTGATAACCTATTGAAAAAGATATAGGAGGTTAAATAGTTGTTGGGTAACAGAATGTAATAATAATTAATAGATAGTCGTGATTTTTGTAGTTCTTACAGTTTTTTTTGGATAGTATTAAATCAACAATTGCGGACGGCAGCAATTCCTAAAAACTAAGTGCTAACTAAAATAACAGGAAACTTGAGTTATATATTTTGTAATGTAATTTGAAAAGCAACCGATTCCATATGGAAATTTCTGCCTGGCAATGTCTAATCTGTTTTTAGTTTACTTCTTTAATTTATACTGTCAGTTTTTAATTTTATGTCCAGTTACAAAAAACATTGAAATCAGAAATTGGGGATTTAAAACTCTTAGAGTTTCTGTTTTTGTAAACCATTGGTAAATAATTTGGAAAATAACTATGGAAGACCTCTTAGAATGTATTCTTTCTTGACGCAGATTTATGTTTTCGGACAACTGGGCTGCTTAACTAGACAGTTTAAAATTGTTAATATCACTTATCATTTATATGTCTCGGCTAGCTTTTATCGCGTGAATTAATTTTTGGAATTAATTTGAGTTTGTACCGCTGTTTGCATGGATCTAATATCTTATAGTAGTATATATACTTTTGAACGTTAATATTACGGATAATGCTAAGACGGCTGATCGAGCGGATCGTTTTTGGGTAAGGTTAAATGCTGAATTTTGACTTGGTCGGACCTTGAGTTCCCTTCCCCTTCTGCGATTGTGAGTTGCGTACATAGGTATATCGACATGTCGTGCCATTCAATTGACGTAATGGCTTAGCTTTTTGGCTGATCGATTTGCTAAGACTAGGTCTAACTCTAGAGTGGCTATGGTTCCGAACTGTACAGGTTTATCATTTAAATGCAGCTGTCCAGACCGGACAATCGTACTAAATTGAGTATAGGTTGAACTCATATTTTCCTTCCCTTTTTTATTGTACTTAATAGGTATTGTGTTGTATTGTAACTTGAAGGGAAACTGCGATTGAGAGAGTTCACAACGTAATCCTTAGGCCTAGTTACTTGATAGTGTTAATGGAACGAAATTACCCACTCGTACTCGTCTCTCTGGCCTCCTCCTGAATCGTATAATTATAACACAGATATGAACTGATTTAGTAATGACCGCTGCCTGGCTATATTCATACTCGAAGTGGGAGAAGCGCTACTAGTACTTGGTTAGGTTTAGTGTTTAGTTGCAGGAATACGATGTGTCCATGATCCACAGTGAATCATTCATCACCCGCCGATGCCAACTTAGAGTAGCCTTAAGTACGGATTTTGAATACATAGTAAGTGTTTCTAGCTTTAGTAACATTCGAATAAGTGAAGAGAACGAAAGCCTCCTGCCATCTTCATTTGGTAATTGTGTATCTTAGTTTCTAGCTGTGCACGGTTCCGATTCCGATTCCGCTTCCGATTCCGATTAAACTTAGTCCTAATACTTTTCCCGCTGGTTTCCGATGCAAGTGCTCCGAAGTGCGGAAAATCAGCTCCTACTCCCGAATCCTACTCCGTATATCCTCTGATATTTAAAGCTTCCATTGATGATCCTCCAAAAGTGTTTATCCCTCCGTTTTTTGGTTTGTTGTTGTTTTCAATGTCCGGCACTTTGTGCCACATTTACAAAGTCTACATGCAACCGTACTTGTGTGACTCGTCCGCAGGACTCTCTAGAGTCCTCGATCCTACCGATTCCTCTCCTGGCCATAGCTATAGCCAGCCAACTCCCCCGACCCATATCCATCCATCCGTCCATCCACACATTGAAGTACCGCAGCCCGTAAACCCCTTACGGGTATAGTTACATGTAGCTATTGCTTGTTTGTTATCCAATGTCACGGACGATCTCGATCTTGTCGCACAGCTCCGAGTCCGGATCGTGGATCGTGGTGAAGTGGGTGCGGTCGCTCCTGAAGGTGTTCCGCTCGTTCGAGCTGCTCTTGATCGACCGCTCCGATGGCGTTTCCGTGCCGCTCAGCTGGATGCGCTTCTGCAGCGCGGAAACAAAGTTCTGCAACAATAAAGTATATAAAATAAAGATAAATAAAATAAGATATATTATGGCATAGGGGCTTGGTACCCCTCTGCTGGGACTCACCTGCGATATGATGTCCCCGCGAGCGGTGCGCACCTGGTAGAGATACCGGAACTTGCGCTGTCTGGCTTCCTCGCGAGTTTCGCGCGTGCGCGACTGCGATCTTCGCACGGGCGCGAGGGCGTGGCCCTGGGCCGCCTGCTGTTGGCTGTGCGGCAGGTGGGCGCCGTGGGCGTGGCCCGGGTGATTGTGGTGCCGCATGTAGACCCGCTTGCGATGGTCCACACGCCAGGCGGTGATGAAGCACTGCACCATGATGCTGAGGACAATGGTGACGGGCCAGGCGGCGATCAGGAGTCCGCCGTAACAAGGCGGCGGCGTTGGATGCGGCCGCATGCCGATAATCTGCAATATGCAAATATGGATTCATCATCGATCAGCCAGCAACGAGGGCAGCTGGAAGCCAAAGGGCATGGCAGAGTCTAGCCTATATGGGAAAGCTTGATTGTTTTATGGTGAAAGTTGGGCGAGTCGGAGTTTTTCGAGTTAATCTAACTAAAATTCATCAGACGCGACCTTCTTCTGATTTTGTTCGCCTGGTGTCTGAAATCTAATCACTCGATGGAAAACAACGGGTCCGAGGAGTATTTTTGTCCATTTGGACAGTCAAATTGGCAATTTCCGAAAAAAAAATACCAGGCGTACAGAAATGCCTAGGACGAGCAGAGTGATTTATAAATGATGTTATTATTATGTATTATGTTTCTTTCTTTTAAGTGTAGGTAGTTAATAATAAATTTTAACTTATTATTAAATATTGAGTTGATTTGGAATTATTTGCTATAAATTTTAATTATTAAATAAAATATTTGTTTTGGTTTGGGGCCTTAATAAAAATATTAAAAATTTTAATTTCTCATTTATAATGACGTGGCATGTGGCATCCAAATTTGCAGTTTCTGAGAACGAAGTACCAGGCGTACAGAAATGCCTAGAAGGTGGCTGCAAAATCCAAATAACCATGTGCGGATCATATCCTGTGTGGATCGTGTGTGGATCTTGTGTGGATCGTGTGTGGATCGTGTGTGGATCATATGTGGATCATGTGTGGATCGTGCGTGTATCATATGAGGATATGCGTCCCTTTGTGTGTTTATGTTTTCGTTTTTAAAAACTGGCACTTTGGATGCCAAGGCCACGTCATCATAAATGAGAAATTTAAATTTTTAACGCCCACCCGCAGTTGCAATTCCCAACTTGTTCTGGCCGATCCTCATGGGATTGTATAAATAGGCGTGGATTTTGGTCCATTAATTAGTTGACCCGACTGGCCGGAAGTTCCCTTCTGGAACTTTTTCGGATTCTTGCTGTGCACGTGTGTGTGTGTAGTACGACGGCATCGCCTATATGGCGATACCACCTGTGGACCAGCTCCAGGATGCAGTGCGTCAAGCATCCACGTGAGCAGGTGCCATTTTTTGGGACTCAATAAATTTGGATAAGTATGCCCCATGTGGGGAACTCCGCCTAGAGTGGAGTGCGGGATGCAATGCATCTCCGCCATGGACCAACTCCAGGTTGTAGGACGCAGTGCGTCAAGCATCCATGTGAGGAGGTTCCATTTTTTGGGGTTGAATAAATTTGGGTATGGGAACTCCACCTCGAGTGGACGCCGGGATGCAATGCATCCTGGCATGGACCAACTCCAGGATGAAGTGCATCCATGTGAGGCGGTGCCATTTTTTGATAATCAATAAATTTTGGATCCCTATGCTTCCACCTGGAGTGGAATTCCGGTTGCAGTGCATCGGAAACCCAAAAAAGGTAAGTGATTACGTGGCCATTCTGTAAATACAATTTAATAATTAAATTGTTTTCATTTATTTATTCCAGGTTTCCGGATTTCTGCTGTGCGGTTGTGTGTGGTGTTCTCCACCTTTGGACCAACTCCAGGATGCAGGACGCACTGCATCAAGCATCCAAGTTAGGAGGTACCATGTTTTGAGATTGAATAAGAATGCTTCACTGCGGATAACTCCACCTGGAGTGGACGCCGGGAGCAGTGCATCGGAAACCCGAAAATGGTAAGTAATTACGTGGCATTCTGCAAATGCAATTTAATAATTAAATAATTGTTTTCATTTATTTATTCCAGGTTTCCGGGTTAATATTTGTGATGCAGTAACTTGGACAACAAGACGTGTGTATTGTTTTCCTGGATCAACTCTATGCAGCATGCAGGACGCAGTGCGTCTTTATAGCATAAGAATGCTTCACTGCAGATAACTCCACCTGGAGTGGACTCTGGGATGCAGTGCATCGGAAACCCGAAAAAAGGTTGGTTATTACGAGGCATTCTGTAAATGCAATTTAGTAACTAATTATTCTTCTTATTTATTTATTTCAGGTTTCCGAGTTAGTGTGTGTTCAACGAGCAGCTGCAGCAGAGGAGTGTCTCCACTTGAACTTGGTCAACAGGATGCAGTGCACCGCGGATGAGTCGCAGTGAGTACCTAGAACTTAATTAATTAAGTTATTTATATATCATTGAGGAGACAGCGTATTTGCAAAGCAAAATTACACATTTTCAAAAACCGTAAAGCCTACTGAATACTAAATAAACATTTGTGTAAACATTTTAAATGCCAGTCGTTTTGAAATTTAATTACGAGTTCAACGATGTATGAAACTCCATACTCTGACCTCTATTTGCCAAGTTTTTGTGAAAAAAGAAGACTTTCGGAGGGTTTTTCACTCAGAAATCAAGCTGGAAATTGGGTTTTTCGCACTCACCCAGTTAATGGTCTCCAGTCCGTGCATGAAGAAGTCGATGGCGCTGAGGATCATGGCCGTGCCCACGATGCTGGAAGTGAGTATGGTTACGTATTTCACACAGCACAAGGTGAGCACTGAACAGATGACGGCTCCCCCGACGACGGCTACATATATTTCACGGTACTGCGGAATAGCAGGATATATGGTATAAGGTATATAAGGTATAGAATCCACCTGCCAAGTGGACTTACCCCAAACTCGTTGTCCGGAAATGTGGCCACACATACGGCCATTGCAGCTCCCGAGAGCAAGGCTCCTGCGAAGGCGCTGATTAGGACAGAGGCGACAGGATATGTGGAGCCAAGGACTGCGCCCAGCAGTCCCGCCACAATGGCCAATGCCGAATCCGCTGGCTTGCCGAGGAAGGTGATCTGAAAGTCCTGCAGGATGAAGATCCCGTTCGCTCCCACCATCAATCCGCTGAGGAATCCCACTGCCCGCAGGCAGCGATATCCTAGCAGGGCATAAACAATCCCGAACACGGCGAAAATGGCCCAGAGAATGGCGGCCAGTGGTTCCGGGGCATTGGGCGTGCACGTCTGGCCCTCCAGGATGCCCTGCGGGTGAAGAAAAAGAGGAGGGTGGGGGGTGAAGTGTACTATGTGTGTTAAAAAGGATGTCAAAGGGTGGGGTCACCGTAATCGCACCAAGGACACGACACACTTATCAAGGGGCCGCGACGATGGCGCCACTCGCCTTCTGCTCCAGCTAGCTCTTGCTCAAGTGCTAAAGTGACTCATTCAAATGCAAGTGATATATGTGGGATATATATTCTAAATTACGATCATGGAGTTGATCTATATATGCCGTCCGTATGAACGTAGAGATCTCGTGAACTTTAAAAGCTAAATTGACTCTACTAGTAATGGATATAATTACAGACAAAGAAGCAAACAATTCCGGAGCTCTGTTCTTAAATAATTACCCGTACCATAAATAATTATGTATTAAAAATAAAGAAAAATATGTTATGTGCATGCTTGTTGACATCGCTCGCTTTTCGAGTTGCTTCCCAAGATACTTAGGCTGCGAATAAAAAACACATTCATTAGGGGAATGCAGCTCGAGCTTCCTCTTCATTTTCATCCTGCTGGTGACACGAAGCTATTGACACAGAAACCCCGCACTTATACACATTATACTCGACACTTTGCATATTGTTTCGACTTAACCTAAAAAGCGTGCAAATATACTGGTGTTCGCTGGTGTTGGTGTTGCTGTTATTTACGGCGAGGGAGTCTGCGTATGTGTGTGTGTGTGTGCTTTGCGGAGGGGAAGGGGATGTACGAACCTTGATGAGGAAGGGCCAATCCAGGTGGGTGGTGCCCATGGAGTCCTCGCTGCCGTAGTCATAAACCATATCCGCTGCGACCCTCATTTTGGCGGCTCCTCAAGGATTTCTGGCTTATCAGCCGCAGGAGTTGGTATCCTGGCAAGGTATCCTGTTTCCCAATTAAGTTCTCTTCACTGCCACAAAACGTGCCCACATTCCTGCACTGATTCGGGCATGCTTATACCTTCCTATCTTGCTTTACAAAAAAAAAAAAATAGGGCGGAGCACCTGCTGTCGATTTTCGCACTGAATATATCCACCCGAAGTCCTGCAGACAACTCACTGCGGATGCATTGCAGTATTTGTACACATTTTCGCACTGCGACTCGTTAACTGAACTCAGGCTGATATCCTTTTTGTGTTTTAGCTGCAATTTGGGCCAAGACAGATTCGCTTGTGGTACAACAGGAAAACAGTCCTGCGGCCACGAAAGGGATGGCTCTTTTGTGGGCTTACAAAAAACCACCGAAACAACCCCCAAAAAGGATGTGCGAAAAGCTCTAAAAAGCTCAGGCGCCGAAGCTCCTTCACAACCCTGACCAGGTTTACTGAATACCCTTTCGAGACAGGTTCCCCGCACTTGGCTCCTTTATTTTGTAAGATATTCAGAAATTTGTTTTTCAACAGAGCCTTCGTTATGTTTCCTCTTTAATTGCATTCAAATAATGATGATCAAGTAGATATAGAAAATAATTCAGGCTAACTTGTCTTAATAAAAAATGGTAACCTCTTATAAGGCCTAAAGCTTTTGCTTTTTACCGGTTGTAAACATAAAAACTAATATTAAAAAAAAGGCTAAAAGGTTTAAGGTTTAGAAACTGACTTTGAAATTGAAACAGAAATAGATGTGGCAAAATTCAGAACAAAGTTTATATAGACGCGATAAACATATTTATACATACATAAAACAAAAAAAATGAGCCGACTATTATTTTTTGGCTTGTTCTTCCATTTCTAAGATAAGTTTTAAATATTAGTTAAGTTTGCTTTTTTGCTTAAATAGTTTTGAAAAACATAACACGAGTTCCAAAATAAGTCGCACTGATATTTAGATTTCTGTGAAACTAGAATTGTTAAAATGTACTGCGACATCCCAAGATCAACGTGGCATTAAGAAAACAATGTCTCGAATGAAAAGTGTGTTATTTGTCATACATTTTACTAGGACACGCTCATATACATAGATGACGTGCATGTGGGGGTTACAGAGTTTTGGAATGCGATTACGCAACGGCTGGATGCTCGCAGCGTTTTAATTAAGCGCAGATTTCGCTACCGATTTGCGTTGCAGTACACTGAGGAAATGTAGCTCCGATTAACAATTAACAGATCTCTCGACAAACTTGATTGATTTATATATATATGTGTGTATATGTGTATGTGTATATGCATAAATAATTGATGTATCTGGCGCAGGGGCCAATACCCAATATAATAATAATACGTAAATTACACTTTATTGTTGAGCTAATCTTCAACATCTGTTGAGAAGTTCGGTTGCCTTCTTCCTCTTCCACTTCTCCTTCGATCAATTGCTCCGATTGCTTTGTGCTCCTCTCGTCCATTGAACGACAGCCCAATGTTGTCCGCTTAAGGCGAACGGATGATGGCCTCGTAGGCGGCGAAGATGATGTTGGCCACCTCAACGGAGCGTGATTTCAGGCTGAGTGTGGCGTCCGGATTGCCCGGCTGCAGCTTCAGCTCGAGCAGCACCCAGATACTGTTGGTCAGCTTGAGCGACTGATAGAGCATGTCCTGGCCCTCCACATTCCGCTTGGCGATGGTGAAGATATTGTTGGTGGTCATCTTGGAGGCGATGCCATCGGTGGTGCCGATGACGCCGCTCAGGCTGTACTGCAGCTCGTTGGCGGCGGGGATCTCCTTCCAGGTGTTGAGGAACAGGCGCTTGTCCAACTGCCCATCCTCGGCGAACAGAACGTTGCCGTGCACCAGGCAGGCGAAGTAGAAGATGTCGATGTTGTTCTTCACGGCCACCTGCAGGTTGTTGAGCGGCTCCATGCGCTGAATGGGTCCGTTGGTGCCCAGTGCCATGCTCACCTCGATGGACTGGTTGGGCGGCAGGGGAGCGGCCTGCATCGGCGACGCCGGCACCAAGCCGAAGCTGTTCTTGTTCAACTGGATGGCGAAGTTGGTCATCGGCTGCATGGCCTTGTTGGTCAGCGTCATGTCCATGAAGATTTCGCCGTTGCGTCGCGAGAATGTGCCCTGTATCTCCAGTCCCTTGCCCTTCTCCGCCGGCAGCCACGTGACCTTGGGTATCTGCACACCCACCGACAGTGAGGCTCCGCCCAGACCGAAAATGTCGCCCAGCAGGCTGGTTGCTCCGCCAGGAGCCGCTTCTGCCGGCGGACCACCCAGGAGGATGTCCAAGCCACCGCCCAGCAGGTCAACATTGCTGGTTGCCGCCGGAGCGGAGGGCATGGCGGGTGCGTTGATGTCCATGGAGAGCAGATCGCCGATGAGCGAGTCCTGGTTGGGGATGACCATGGCCTCGGAACCGATGCCACTCTCGGCCTGCTCGCCACCACCGGCCGAGCCGGCGGCACGGTTCGGCAGCGATTTGCGCACACCAGCGCCGCGACCCTCGACGAACGCCGTCGGTGGCTTGTGGTAAACGCTAGCCAGCGAACTGATGTGGCAGATCAGTTCGTCGAGGAGTGTGGGCTCCAGCAGATCCGTCTCCTCCGAGATGAGCGGCTTGTCGGCCAGCACAACCTCCTTGGCGGCTGCCGGATCCGTGGAAAGGAGACGCCAGTAGATGAAGCCACGGTCACGCAGATCTGGGTTGTCCGAATCCTGGGTGGCCAGCGAGAGTACGTGCTGAACCAACTCCTGGGTGTCCGATGGCCGCTTGAGGAACAACTTAACCACGGCCGTAAGCAGCTGCAACTGCACTTGGGCATTTTCATCCTGTTAAATTAACAAAAGCAAAAGCAAATGTTAGAAATTGGAGAACGTGAGCAAACGAAGTGGAAAACGCACCTGGAAACCCTCGAGAAAGCTGTCGAGCAGCTCGTCGGCGTTGTCAATGCGCTCCGCGTACTCGCCAATGATCCAAACCATCGAAGCACGGGCCTCCGGTTCGTCCAGAGTGTCGAGATTCTCGCAGAGCGTGCTGATGATGCTCTCGTACTTGTTGGGGTACTTGCGGAAGATGTCCTTGATGACCACAATGGCCTCCTGCACCACGTAGTTAACCTTGGTCTGAATCAGATCCAGCAGCGTGGAAACGCAACGCTCTGCCGATGGCTCCACCTTGATGGCACATCGTCCAATGGCACGGACTGCCTTGCGAACAAAATCCACGTCCACTTCAGTGGCATACTCCTTCAGCTCGCTAAGAACCTGGGCAATGTTGCTCTGATTTGCCAGGCGGATCATGATGTCCAACTTCTCGAGCTTCACATAGATGGGATCGTTGTACTTTACAAAGAACACCTTCATTTCGTGCTTGAGAATGTCCGGTCGCTTCTGGACAATTAGGTTGATGTTGCGCAGGGCCACATATTGAACCTCCGGCTCCGAGGAGAGCAACGTGACCAGTGGCGGGGCCAATTTCTTGGTCAGAGTGGCACAGAAGTCGCTGTCGCTGGAGAGCATCTCGAGCAGCTTCATCAGCACCTTGACGGCGCTGAGAACAACAGCGGCATTGGCGTGGGCCAACCGAGGAGTGATTCGCTCGCAAATGGACTGAGCCTCGCGCTCATCCTTCGGACTGTAGTTGGCCAGGGAGTCGAGGATGAAGACCTGGCCCCATTCGGTGCACTCGTTGAGAGCCGTCAGCAGCTTGTTAATGGTCACCGAGTTCATCTCGACCAACGGCTGGCCGGACTGACTGGCCTCGTTGATCTCGCTGAGCGCTGCCACCGCATTGGCCACCACCATGGGATTGGAGTCGGACAGCAGGTCCTTCAGTTGGTCAAGGAAGCCCTGGTCCTCCACCATCGTGGCCGAGATATCGTACAGTTTGGCCACGCAAACAGCGGCTGTTTTGCGCACATACGGATCCTCATCCTTGAGACATTTACGCAGCGGTTCACACAAATACTCCGTGATCTTGTCCACCCGAATGCAGCCCATGGTGCGAACGGCCAGCGCACGGATCAGTGGATTCGAGTCCTCACAGTCCTTGACGAAGGTGTTTACCGCCATGATGGCCATATCCGGCTGTGATTTGGCGTAGTTCATGAGGTACAGATAAACCAGCTTCTTCAGCTCCAGATTATCCGTCTGCATGCAGTTGACCACGTCCGGAAAGAGAGCGGACACATCCTTGCCCACAGTCATGCTGGCGATGACCTTCTTTACCGCCTCCTTCTTCTTCTCCTTCTTGTCATTGTTCAGCTCCGATTTCAGCTCGAAGATCTCGCCCTTTTTGGTTGTAGTGAAGTACTTGGAATCGGTCATCGTGGGTGATGCTCTTCTGCTACTTCCGCTATAAACGAGAAGAAGTTGTTTGCCAGGATTAGCAGGGCGGTTATTGATTGTGCCGCAGTGACCCGCTACTCCCCCTTTTTATGGGGGCGTAGGGGGTGCAGTACGGATTCAGCCGAATACCAACACACATTCACCCGCATATCGCAAATCACATATCACAGCTTGAACACGTCTTAAAAAAGGCAGAATTTACGAAATTTCCTCTTAAACAAATCGACTTTTAAGTTCACCATCTGAATGTTGGTTTTACAATTCATCCAGAGACTACTCTCAACATACCGTACCTTTTATTACCTTTTAAATTATTAGTTCTTTGGGCACAGAAAAAATTTGTTAGCTTTTCCTCTCTGCGTAATTAGTGCGACCGTTCGCTGGGGAGTGACTTGGCTGGAACGCTAGTATTTTTAGTATTTCTCATATTCGATAAGATCGGTATTCGATAGTTCGACTTGTTTTTTTTCGATAGCATTGTATTTATCGATCGGAGTCCACTGCTTATTCAAATTGAAAACAAATTAATTTTATTTAAGAAATTTAGTCCAAAAAGCGTTTTGCTGTTGTCAATAATCCGTTACAATGATGATGATTGATGTTTGTCATGATGACAATTATTGAAAGAAACTTGTCGCAAGAGTAGAGCAATACCTTTTAAGACCCACATCCCCATGAAAAAAGATCCAAGTAGAATATCCTAACAATTTTATTTTTTAATATTCTCAAGAAATATCATTTAATAAGTTATTAACACATAAAACAAATCAAGAGTAGTATTTGAATTAAAAAATGTTTTGTTTTTCTTATATTTTAACATCATTTTCATTTCACTTTGGTTTGCTTTTTTTTTTTATCGATCCATTGAAATATATATATATGTATATATATATCATCATATAGGGATTTTCCCGTATATGTTATATATTAATAGTTGCATATTAACTTCATACCCTCTCCGACTTTATCATCACTTTTTCATCGTTTCTACTCCTCACTTTCATCCTGGTTTTTTTTTTTTTTATTTTTAATAAATGAGTTCAGAATAATTTCAAAAATTTTGATGCTTCATTAGTAAAAGTTGTAAAGTTTGTTAATACACCTTAATTATATACACGTTTAAAATAAATCATATTCCAGTAATTCAGTCTTATGAAATAAACAGAAACTTAGGTACGTTATATTCAGCTGGAAAATCAATCAATAAGGAAACAATCGTCTAAAGCCATTTCCAATGAATTAAACAATTTAATGTGGACTATTTCCAGTTACTTTTGTTTATATTTAGGCTTGGCTTTTAAGTAAACGGTCTGCTTCGCTTTTGGAATTATAATTCTCTGCTTATTGCTGCTCTTATTGTTGATCTGTTAATTTTTTTTTGTGTGCATGTCTATGCGTGTTTGTGAGTGCGATTAGGCCTTTGGTTTTTCTATTCCGATTTCGATCTCATCCTGCTTGCAGATTAAATTGCAGTTACAGTTACAGTCACAGTGAGCATAGACATTAATTTCCATTTTGAGGGATTAAAAAAGTATGGAAACAATATGTTATAGTAAAATGCATACTTTTTGTTAACGGAAGCTTTTTGGTTTACCCTTCGCACTTATCGATATATTGCATGTTATGTTGACTTGGTTGTTATTCGCTTTAAATTGGAACTGTAGAAAATCTATTAAACCTATCATATTCCCATAACATTTATCTTAACTTGGTGGTACCGAAATAACCGAAAGGTGGAAGAGCAAGCTGCTTCAGCCCGCAGTTACTGGATTGCCTGTACTGATATTTAAAAGTACGGTTGGAATTCCTCTGAGTGAACATTCAGCAGAAGGTTGAGATCCCTTCTCACTGATGAAAACGCTAGTCCGTAAAAGGAAATGCGTATTAATTCAAAAAAATAAGTAGTTTGACCCAACTTTGTAACGAACGTAATAACGGGACTTTTGTAATCAACTATCAGTGATGATGATTATCAAAACAATCGGTTGAATGTTGACTCGATGAATTCCGCTAGATTTGTATCTCAACTTTAAGCTGTGTGGTAGGATATGTTATTCTTTAGTTGTTACTTTTGTATCTGAGTTTCGTTTCCCTTTAGTTGCTTTATGTTTGTTGTGTCTTTTGTTCATAAAAATATACATTCGCACTGTTTTTGCCGCCTGCCTGTAAAGTTTTGTGTATGTACAAATCGTGTTTTGTAAGTTTCGAAAACAAACTAGAATAGTTTTCATTAAAAATAAGGTAAGAACAGGTGGTGCAGGACCAGTTGGGTGGCACTATAATCTTAAGTAGTTGGTCCGGAAAGCTCCTCATCGCAAAACCCTAATATTGAGTAGGTGGAACGTGGAACTAGTTTTGTTTCGGTCCTAAGACTTTTCGTTATTACTTTTTCTGCTTCTGGTTCAAAGAGTGCATGGTGCATTGATTTGGCACTCGAAATTGATCGGATCAACTGAATAAAAGCGAAAGTACTTAGCTAAAATCAAAATATTCAACTGTCGAATGTCTTAGAAGGTACGATTTTTCGTTTTGTTTTGTTTTGTTTTGTTTTGTTTGTATATAAATAGTGTCTTTCTCTGTTTTTGGGGCCAGATCGAAGTTCATAGCCCTAGGTTATTGAGTTCTTGTTTGCATTCTTTGATATTCGCTATTCGGATTCATTCTTTCCTGTACAAAGTCGTGAAGTACAAAAGGAATAAATTAATCATAAGTATTAATATTATTAAAAAGGTTGATTTTGCTTTTAACGTTGCCATATACTTGTAATTTAGCTAAAAATAGTTATGCATGGTTTTGCTTGTACATAGTATATAAAGTGGAAAAAAGTATGCTTGTACATAAATGTTTTTCATTATCATATTTGCTTTTGGTTTAAGTTAATCATTGTGTTTATACATATTTGTTGTAGTTATGCTTGCTTTGGTTTTTACTCTTGGTTTAAGTTTTGAATAGTTCAATAAATATTTTTTTTGGTATTCTTTGGTATTCGTCTATATGGTAATTTTTTTTATAAATATATATGCATATTTGTATAATTTTTTGCTTGGTATTCGATTAGTAAAATGAATTGTATTACAACGTATGCGAAATGCCGCTTAAAAATGAGTTTTTAGTTTAGCGCGAGCTTATAGGATAAAAAAAAATCGAATAACATTCCGATAGAGTGAGTGAGACGGGACGGTCGTAGGCAGGGCGTACTGTACAGTAGAACCTCAAGCCCCAAGTGCCGTATAAAATGCATAGCATAAATATGTAAACAACAATCGAATCATAGGTACATAAGAAGTGTTTTTCCTTTTCAGTGTGTTTTTAGTGAGTCCGTTGTGTGTGAGCAAATCCCAACTTTATGCAAAGATCGTCTTCGATCGGAGGGCCTATATCATTTGGGGTTACGACAAGTCACCTCTGATCTGATCCGGGGATCCTTTCACAAGCCCAGGGGTTTTCTTTTCGTTTCTTTAAGTGTGTGTGTGTGTGTGTGTGTGTCTGTGAGTGTGAGTGTGAGTGTGGGGGTGGTGGTGCCTAAAATGTACAGATGTGCACGGTTAAATACCCCCACACTCGCCTCACTTCCGGTCGATTCTGATATTCCATTTGGTTTGGGGTTGAACAATTTCAGAAATATGCATATGTAATTATTGTGTCTGTTTCTGTGGATCTGGATCTGGATCTGTGGATCTAAAGTCTGAATCTGAATCTGATCGGCCTTCCTGATTCGTGTGCTGAAAACCGATTGACGAACGTCACCCAAAACGCTTGCCAATCGAAGTTGAGCACAATCGTTCGTCGGTTAAATTGGTTATCTGGTTATCGGTCGCTTTGCTTATCGCCTATCGCTAATCGGTCGGTTTGTATCAAGTTTCGGGTAATTGGAATTCGGCAACTTTGCACTGTAACACTTTGCTGAACTAATAACCCATCGCTATATATATGTAAATATATGTATATATATTTTTGCTTTGTATAATCAATATATATATATATGTATATATATATAATGTGTATATATATTATGTATTTGTATATGGTATAGGTGTATAATAGTGACCTCGCCGGGAACCGAACGGAGTGCCGTGAACAATGACTCCGTCGCCCGAGGACACATATGCCTTGTATACGGTATGCACGATCTGCCAATCGCCATATATGTATATATATATATATGGTTAAACTTAACATCTCTAATCGTATTTACAAGTGTATGAGTGAGCCCCAGAAAATCCTGTTATTCCTGATTCCTGGCCATTGAGATCTTGGTTGTCCTTCCTCGATGGAGCATCACTCAGCGGAAATCAGCGGGATTCTGCTGGAATGGGAATGGGAATCGGAACGGGGATGGGAATGGGAATGGGAATGGGAATGGAGATGGGGATGGGGATGGGGATTGGGTTTGTGGTCGCGCTACGGCTTAGTCCTCCCACGTGGGAAACTGTCCCTCGTCGACGAACATGCTGAACTGGCCGGTGTACTGGCGTTCCATGGGAGGACCACCGCCCTTCGTCTGGTTTTGGCCGGGAATCGGGGGAGGTGGCACCGGTCGATTGGGACCCGCGGTGCCTCTGCCCGGCGGCTTCTCCGGCGCACCGCCGTTCCTTGAACTAACCGCCTGCTGGGAGGACGAAGACGACGAGGTCTTTCCGTAGTTGTAGCGTTGCTCTAATGGACACAGCAAAATAAATGGCGCACATTTAAAAGTGAAAGCTATTCCTTCGTAGAAAATCAAGTGATCAATGTTCAGCGGTAAGTAAATAAACAATCCCTAAAATACAGTGGGACAGTGGGAAACTAAAGTCCAATTGCAGTACATCACGGAAATATCACTCATCCGCCATGTGGTCTTAGGGTTATACATATGGATATTGGAGTTCTCAGGAGATTTTTTTTCTGTGTTTGTCTTATATGAAATGGTATGATTTTGTGACTCACTTGAAGGCTGCTTGACCTCCTTGCTGGCCCAAACGGGCTCGTGGGTTTGGTTGTACGACTGCTGATCCCACACGGCCTTCTCCTCGACGTTTTTGCTCTGCGGGATACGAGATTACGAGATAAAGAATCCGTTGAGAAGGAACCAATCAACTGGAGCACTCACATAGTCGACGTGCAGCTCCAGTTCGTCGCTGGTCTGCTCCAAGCTGCTGTGCGTGATGCCGTAGTAGAAGTACATGACGAAGCCCAGGGACATCCACACGGTGAAGCGGACCAGCGTCAGGATGCTCAGCTTGAATATCAGGTAAATGTTCACCGTGATCGCGATGGCCGGGATGAAGGGCAGTCCCGGCGTGAGGAAGGCCAGCGCGTATCTAAGCGGGAGTGTTCGAAATGGATTTAAGCACCGACTATCCGGCTGTGAGTGAGCAAGTGAGTTACCTATTCTGCGGCTGCCTCGATATAATCAATAGTATCACAAATATGCCGATAAACAAAATGAAATAAATGAAGGCGGCGAGGCCACCGGACCAACCGATGGCCGCGAACAAATCCAGGAAGAATATGAGACCGAACATGATGCCCACTAACTTGGTGACGTACATGCCTGGTTTTCAATTTCATGTTCGATGTCGATGGATCGGTGGATCAGTGGTGCATCGGTGGTGGATCGGATCGGATAGGATTGGATTGGAAAAGCAAAAGCCAAGAGTCAATTTCAAATAGCAATTTTGTCGGATGAATGGTTCTTCAGCTTCCTGGAACTAATTGCGCTGAAATAGTTCTGGGTTACACACTGCTCTCTATTTGGATGGTAAAAAGGTTACTTGCTTTCTTACTTTACATTAAGTTTGGTCAACACTGCGTATGAGTGATTCTCTGAGAAGTTCAATTTTAAGAACAGCATCTAAAAACTTTAAATGGGGATGCTTTAATTCTTTTACAGCAACCGATGGCTAGAAGTTCATCGATATTCAATTTAAAATCGCAGAGCAACCATTTAATTGTTTCACCAAATCCAAGCAACATGGTTCACCCAGAACTACCGAGACAGTTCCGTATTATCCTTACCACTTTCGGCGGTGGCCTGGCCGGGATTTATCCAGGGAAAGAAGCCGGGGCACAGGTACGCGTAGTCGTGGATCTTCCGGGTGACGAAGTTCAGTCCCATCGCATCGAAGGCGGTGGCCTGGCCAGTTGGTCCGGTGGGAGCGCCGTGCACGCTGCCGTAGAACTTGTTCTCCGATCGATCGGAGACCAGGAACTGATCGTCCCGCCCGCCGAGGAATCCCTCGGGACTGTCGTCGATGAAGGAGTCGTCCGAGTCGGACATGCCGCGGGTCACCCGCTTGATGGTCAGCTTGCCGGGCACCTCGAGCACCTCGGCGGGCGTGACATGCGACCGGGAGTCGCTGGCCGTTCCCGGAGCCACTGGCGTGCGCAGCTGTGCCGGCAGCAGCTCCACCAGCGAGGTGCTGTGCGGCTGATAGCGCAGGACCAGGACACAGGTGGACACCAGCGTGTAGGCCAGCAGCGTGCCAATGGACATCATCTCGACGAGGATCTCCAGGCGCACAGTGAGAGCCACCAGGGCGGCGGCCAGTCCACTGCCGATGGTCGCCAATCCGGGCACGTTGGTGCGCTGCCACAACTGCGACAGTTGCCTGCAGAGGATGGCCATTGAGAATCTATGATTGAGTGGGAAAGGAGTGGCTCCGACTCACCTGAAGATTAGACCATCCTGGGCCATCGCATAGATGACACGTGGCATGGGGAACATGGAGCCGAACATGGCCACCGAAAGTCCTGCCGTGGCTCCAATGGCCACCACCGCCCGGCACTTCGGGGCATTCACATAGGACCACATTTGGACCAGCGCAGCTCCCGTGTTGATGTGATCGTAGGGAACTGGAAAACCGGACAGGATTGCATTAAATAATATTACAGAAAAGAATATTCAACCGGAAAGCGTTTAAAATTGCGCTTAAAAGTATGCTATGGCAATTCATACTTCGGATTGTTAGGTAGTTTTTTAGATAGTTGAACAATTTTTCGAACAGGAACACCACACAATCCATTCTTAAACTAATTTTAGTACTATTTGTGATCGTAGGGAACTGGAAAGTCGGACAGGATTGCATTAAATAATATTACAAAATAAATATTCAACCGGAAAGCGTTTAAAACTGCGCTTAAAAGTATGCTATGGCAATTCATACTTCGGATTGTTAGGTAGTTCTTTAGATAATCAATCAATCCTTTCTTGAACTGATTTCAGTACTATTTTGCACTCATACTCACCCACTAACGTAAGGACTAGACTAACGCTAACGTAGGCGATCAGCACGACGACCAAGGAACCAACGATCGCCTTCGGTATGCTCTTTTGCGGATTGTGCGCCTCCTCGCCGGTTGTCGCAATGATATCGAAACCTATAAATGCGTAGAAACAGGTGGCGGCACCGGAAAACACCTGTTTCAATAACAGAAAAGGATTTGAGTTAGTTAATTAATTAATTAAAGCACTCAAAGAGCACAAGTTTCAATAGGTTCTTGCTGAGGTTCCTTTGATATTTTTTCAATATATAGTATAGTTTTTTTTGGATACTTACACCACTCCAGCCGTAGGGCAGGAATCCCTGGTGCTCGGACCACGTCTTCGTGTCCACGTAGAAGAGGCCGGCGGCCATGACGAACACCCACGTGGCCAGGTTCACGGCGTTCAGCGAGTGGTTGAAGATGACCGACTTGCTGGCACCCATTGCCAGGACGCAGGTCATGAGCAGCGTGATGCCGAAGGCAATAAAGTCCGGTGGTTTGCCTAACAAAGAATACATTATCTTTAGAAATCAAAAACCATATCCGACAGATAGAGAGCTATACCCACCGAATATCGTGCCAATGGACTCGCTTATCGTTCGAGCAATGGCATTGCCGGTCAGGGAATCGAAACTAGAACTTAACGCACAGGCACAGGCACTTGTTCCTGTTGAATTTGCATTCAAAAGAGGGTATAGAGGGTGCTCAAATCAGTACTGCTGTTCGCTCACCTATTAGATATTCCAATATCATGTTCCAACCAATTATAAAAGCTACGAATTCTCCAACCGCCACATATGAATACATATAGGCCGAGCCGGATGTGTGTGGCACACGAACGCCAAACTCCGCATAGCAGGCGCCTGCGGATCAACCAAAATTGAATTCAGAGTGGATTAGAATACCATTTGGTGTCAATCAAAGAGGATCAACTGAGTGATTGAGCTAATTATGAGGTTTTATGGGAGCTAAAGATAAACAGCAGGTTGTAGCAACGAAATGTATCAGGATCTTCTTTATTCTGTTCTCTTTTAACTTTCGATACGAACTAACTCGCTGCTCGCAGGCAGCTAGCTTTCAACTAGGGTTGTTGATAATATATCAAAATATCAATATATCGATATTTTCTTTTTAAAATGATATATTTATATCGTAATTTTTTGTTTGCCTAAATATCGGAAAATCGATATATTTTTTTGATATTTTTTGATATTTTTGTCTCGGTTACTTTGTATTCCAAAGCGACTTCAAGTGAACGAATTCAAGCGCAAAATAATATTTTCGCAAAATGCGCGCAAAAGAAGGAATATACATATGTGCTATGTGTGCGTATGGCCAGATTTCGTTGTCTATGTGTGCATATGTAACTTACGCACATACCACCGAAATTTGGCGCCAAACGCGCACACCCACGTTGTTCACAGATATATTAATTAGTTTTCATTCTTAGCTGTCCACGAACTTTGAAGGTATTATGACAATAACGGAGACTTTCAAGAATGCTGAAGTAAGGATTGTTAATAACAAAAAAACGGTGCAAAATTTTCACTTTCCGGCAACGGATTTCGAAGTCCGGACCGCACTTGTAAACAATTACCGAAACTTATTGTCTTTTTATTGTGGGCAGGAAATTTTTTTATTTAACACAAAAAATATCAAAAATATCAATATATCGATATTTTTCGGTGATATTTAGAAATATTATTATCATATTATTTGATAAAAAAAATATCATCGATACGATATTTTTAAAATTTTCGACAACCCTACTTTCAACCCCCGTTTATGCTTAACTTCTTACTCTCTCGAGAGAGCACAGCCTCTCTCGAGAGATCAGAAGTGTGACCAACGCTTACAATATAATCGATTAATATAAAATAATGATATCAATAATATAAGTTAATATACATAATTAATACCCAGCCTGTTACAGAAACAAGATTGCTCTTAAGATTTAAATATATATCTCTGCAAATTGACTATGCCAGAAAAGGAACTTAATAATTAGGAGAGGAAAGGAAATTAATAAATGAAAACCGTTTACAAAAACAATTTACTCGTTTTACAGCCCATCACAATACATTTAACAATCAATTCACTCAGCTGGCAAATTCGTTTCCATGTGAGCAGCAAACTGTTTACTCACCTGAGAAAATACTCGCTATGGCGGCTATAATAAAACTAATAATCACTCCGGGTCCGGCTATCTTCTGGGCCACCATTCCGGCCACCAAGTACATGCCCGTGCCGCAGCAGGATCCGATTCCCAGCGAGGTCAGGTCCAGCGTGTTGAGACATTTCTGCGGGCGATGGAAAGTCGTTTCAGTTTTTGTATCTTTCTGTTTGATTTGTATTCTTTTCATTGTTCCTCCGATGACTCGAAGGGCGCGTCCTTGGAGGGGGATCCCCTCTCACTCACCGTTAGCTTGGGCTTCTGTGGCTGTGCGTTGCCGTCCTGCAGCTGCTTCACGTCCTTGGTGCGAATGAGCTTCGGCAGGAGCGTCGTGGAGCTGACTCCCGGCGGCAGGGGCACCCTGAACTTGACCTGAAAACGCAACCGGAGCAGCAGTGCAATTAATTCGAGGACCCGCCTCCTCCCGAAAGATGAGTGCCATCGAGGGAGGCACAAAAAGTAAAGGAACAGCCATCGTCCATCCTCCCACAACGAAATAAAAATACAAATAAGGGGAAGAGAGTGTTCTCCACTGATAGCTGATGTCGCAGGAGCTGCTGGAATATGAATGGTTAGAGATAACGAAGGAGGAGCAGTGGCGCAGGAGGAGCCTGCCAAGGATATTCCTGCCTGCCAATCGATATTCGCAACAAGTCCTCACTGCCCTTGCAGCGAGTTCTTTCCGCACACAAATACTCGACTAAAAATCACATATTGTGAACTTCTGTCTCGGAAACGCTTTCCAACTTTATAATGTTGCGTGTTTAAAGTTAACTAATTAAAGTTGCTATTGCAAAAAAGTGAAAAATGTACCATATTTTAAATAAGGAGTATTTAAACCCTATAAGATCGATCTGAATTGACAGTGGCATACCTCCAAACATTTCAATTCTATTTATTATAGGCCGCAAAATTGAGGTATTCAAATCTGCATTTCTCTCAGAAGATGAAATTCACGCAATCATTCGGTTGATTAGAGCGGAGAAAATGGCCTCGTTCAAACTGTCGTCTACTGATTTCTGTTTTCCACTTCTATTTCCACTTCCACTTGCACTTGCACTCCCATTTCCATTTCGAGGAAATGCCTTTTGAAGAGGAGCACGCGTTGCATAGAGTGTATTTCAGGCGGAGCATTTGCCTTTGCCTTTGCCTTCGCCTTTGATGTCAGCTGCAGTGGCCGTCATCATTGGGTTCGCAGCTAAATGCCATGTCAGCGGGTAGGCAGTCGACCGCAGGATGCGTATCCTTTGGTCCTTGCGCGGCGCGTATCTGTAGCAGCAGATATCTGGCCGCGTGGGCCGCAAACTGGGTAAGTGGGCAAGTTCGGTGAAAGCCGCCCGCCCACAAGCCACGACAACAACAGGCCAACAGGCTAACAGGCCAGTCCTTGATGCCATCAAAAGCACGGAGCCACTGCTGGATCTGGATCTGGATCCTTCACCGCGCAATGGTGTCCTTCGGCTAACCAGTGCTCCGCCCTTTGTATTCCGATGATTACCCCGCTGCCGAGCCACATACATACTGTATATTAATTATCTTGCAGAGGGTCCATCGGTTTCAAGTTGGTTGCAATAAGAAATAATAATTTAAAGAGTGATGCCATATTTAAAGTGGTGGAAAAAGTATTCATTTTAAACTTTAAGAACTCATTATTAAAGTAGTTAACCTCCTGAATTTGAAAATGGCTTACAATATCTCATTTTATTATACAATATACGCATAATATGAAATCGAACTAACATTCTAATGGGAGAACAACACTCGGAAAGCGTATTTCCCAATTCGACCAAGGTCTCCCTTCCTTTTCCCTATTTCTATTTTTCTGCAAACAATTTGGCGTTATTAATGGCTCGCAAGTGTCGAGGGATGAGTCGCAACTGCAATGGCAGCAGCAGCCGCAGCAGCAGCAGCACAAAAGGTCACAACGCCATGAAAGGACTGGACTTCCTGGGGGACGATAATCTCGTGGGGGTCTCCTCTTCGTTCGTTCGTTCGTCCTGTTCGTCCTGTTCTCCCTGTTTGCCAGATAAGCCAACTTCCAAGGGAAGGAGGCGTCTACAAATAGAAAGTAATTCCAATCCTAAGAGAATCTGCCGCCCGACAGAATTATTAGTCAATAAATGTTGAGATTATAGTGCGGAAGTGCGGAATGAGACCGACACTCAAATGTTAAGAGCCCATTAAGGTTCGAATCCACATACACCATCACAGAAGCTCTTAATAAACAGACTTTGTCCTTTGCAGCTATTCTGTATTCGACGAAATATTATATTTGTTTTTTGGCTTAAACACAACATGAAATTTATCACCGCAGTTAAATTTATCAGTTTCACTTTAAAACCCAAAACGAGGTTTTCAATTCTCTCATTTTTCCATTAAAAAAATTGTATTTAATAAAACACAAATCAGTGCTAATAATGTTCACATAAAGTAGATAAAAAAGCGGAGGCTTGAATATGAATAAAATATACCTATTTATTTTTGCTGACACTTTTTGTTTTCATGCGATGGCGTAGCATACTTTTTGGGCGGCTAAGCTGCTCTTGCAGGCAGTCACACGCTGCGTATGAGCGATATTGTCATAACAAAGCTCCGCTCCTCCATTGCCATCCCGCTCGCACGTAATCCTGGCCAAGAAACACATGCTCCTGCGAGCGAAAGTAGGACTCTGACTGGGATTGGGATTCGGATTGGGATTGGGATTTCAAGTGGGATGGTGAGCGGTGGAGTGGAGCGGAGTGCGGTGTATCAGTGGAACTGGGGACTTTCGTCTAGAGACGAGCGACTCCAATTACATTCGGCGGTTGTAAAGGGCCAGCGCAACAGAAGTGGCAATAAAGATAACGCCGAGCCAAAAAATGTGCTCGAAAAAGGGGAGCCATCCCTTTTGCTTTATGCGTCTGTCTCTCTCTGTATGTGTGTGTGTGTGTGTGGGTGTATATTTCCTCTTTTTTTTTTGGTTTTTTTTTTGTTTTTACGTTTTTTTTCATTCTTTTTGTTGTTGTTTTTATGCTTTGGCATTGAAGTTGTTGCTTTTGGTGTTGGTGTATTGTGCTTGCCACGTCTTGTTGGTCTGTGTGCCTGTGTGTGTGAGTGTATTGTGTGTGTGTGTGGGTGAATGTGAGTGAGCTTCTTCGTTGTCAAACGGATTTGCATAAGTCCAGGCTACGAAACACGCACACGAATGCCTTTGCTTTCGCTTTTGCCTGTCTGTCTGTGTGTGTGTGTGTGTGTGTGTGTGTGTGAGTGAGTATTTCTGTGTGTGTGTGTGAGCTGATGTGTGTGCTTGTGTGCGTCGGCGTTCGGCATCATAATGACCTTTTTGAGGCACACCATTACAACAAAGCCCCATTAACACACGCACACTGTACGTGTATTGGTGTTCATAAGTAGATGAGGGGGTGGGAAAGGGGAGGCGGAGGGGGAGGGGGGATGGCAGCTCCAATTTTAGCAGTGACCAAAAAACTCTGTGTCAGATTCAGTGAAAAAATAAAAATACACTTTTTTTGCGGGGAGAAGGGGCAGGATGTTTGTTTGTTTTTCAGTTTCTTTTGGTCTTTTTTCGGGTTTTTCATTTTTTTTTTTTTTTTTTGGGTTAGCTGTGCGCTTACCTTTTCTAGCACCAACAACAAATCCGACGGCTTCATTTTGTCACTCAACCCTCAACAGTTAGCAAAAAAAAAAAAAGAGAAAACGAAACAGGATAGCACACTTTTTTTGGAGGGGGAGAAGCAGCAAGGATATTTCGGCGATTGTTGCACTTGAATGCCTCCCTTTCGCAGTGATTCGAGTGCTAGCTTTTTGCTTGCGCTTTTTATCCCTATCGCTCGGCCGAATCGTTATCCTTTATCTGCGGGAGCGGCGCAAACTGGGGATCCTGGCTGTTGTTACCGTTACCGTTACCGTTGCTGTTGCTTCTTTGTGCTTCACATTGATTTTTGTCAGCAGCGTCATTCTATATTCAACAGTTTACGGCTGAAGGATCCGCGCCCGTTGAATACTGAATCCTGGCTTCCTTCTTTTTTTTGTTCCCCCCCGTTTTCGAATTCGTATTCGCTTTTGTACTCGTATTCAATTTTCACTTTCGGTTTTTCTTTTTTTTTCGCCAGCACTGTCACTTTCTCTATCTCTATCTCTATTCCAAACCGCTCCTGTTGTTGCGCGCCTTTGCCTTCGCCTTCACGTGGCCCAAACACACACGCACGCACTCGCGCACACGGACACACACACACAGGACTTTCGTTGGTTCGTTCCGTTCCCTCTAGTGTGTGTGTGTGTGTATATACTCTTGTATCCTTTCACCGTTGCACGCACAGTCACACAAACAAAAAGTCAAATGCCAAATGTCTTGGAATCTTGCAAGTTAACATAAATGTATTAAGGATGTTATTTTAATATTTTTTTGGCCACGTTTTTTTGTTTTATCCTGCAGGCGGTCACGCTTCTCGCCTTGGTATTCGGTGAATGAATGCCAGCGATTTTTCCGTGTGTATCAGTTTTTTGCGTGCGAAGCGAAGTGAAGCGAGTGTGGCCCTAGAACTCTCCGTTTTCTGCCTTTTTCGGCCCGCTGCTCCTGCAGAAGAGCTTTCGTCCTTACAGCATTACATGCGTGCGATGCGGCGAATGGTGAACGTCGAACGATGAATGGTAAACGGTTAACGGCGAAGTTGCCAGTAGCGATAGCGATAGTCTGGCAACGCTGCGGCAGCGAACAGGAAGTTTCCTGTATCTATAACAGAGTTGTCCTTCCAAAAAGCTACAAGTTAACCAACTTTCGATTTCGAATCGCTCTCTCGCTCGCAAACTCTCTTTTACACTCTCCCAACGACGCACACACATGCATGCGATTGCTCTCTCTCACGCACAAAAGTAGGCAACGGAAAGTGCAAGCAGCGAGAGCGCAGACGCACGTGTGTGTGTTTGTAAGAAAGACGAACGGAGAGAGAGAGAGAGAGAGGGAGAGAGAGAGAGAATCGCACTCAAGGATATGCAAATACGCACACACTTGCTCCCCAGAGGCGCCGCTTTCAACGGAATTGTGTAACGGAACGCACAGCACATGTGTGTGTGTTCGCACCTGTTAACTGCTGTTTGTCGTTTGCTGTTAGAAACCACCCACTTCTACCGCCCCAGGGCCATTTACAGTTCTTGCTACCGCCGCTTATCTCACATCAAAGTTAAAGCTGCTCAAAGCTCCGCCATCAAAAAGGATAATCGCCAGCTTGAGCCACTAGATGGCGCACCTTACTGAAGGACTTCGAAAGACGATTGCCAGGCGCTTTGAAGGACTTCTTAAAACAGATTCAAGAAAGACTATATTATTTTTTTGTGAAAAATCCAGATCGCATTTTTTTGATGTAACTTGTGTTGCTAAAAGCCGAAGCTAACAACTTCCATCCCTTTTCTGCTAATTTGGGAAAAAAAATTGTTTAATGTTTTTCGAAATTTTTACAAGTTGATTCACATTTTTTTTTTGCTAAAATTAAAAAAAATAATTTTTATTTAAATGCCACTTGATTGGGAATTTAATTAAGAGTTTAGCCAAAACATCAATTTTTTTAAATAATTTTCAGGACTAAGAATTCCGTAAATAAATATTGCTTTTCTGCTGTAACTGGGCCAATAATAAACTGCAATGTTTTGAACAGCTGGCAACCAAATTAAACGAACTTAGTCACTTTCTATTAGGACCTATGTACATATGTATCATATTTTAGAACATTTTCTAGATCGTTACAAATCGAATTCCAAGAAGAAGAGATCATATGTAAAGCAGTATGTTCAACCCCGATGGCAGTGCCAAGAATCATCTACACAAGAACGTATTTATATAGTCGTATGTCTGTATCTGTATATCTGTATCGCAGAGTGCAAGTATCTCAGTATCTTTGCGCTTTATAGCTATTGGTTTTTGGTCGTTTGCTGGCTGCCGCTTTCCGTTTTGAAACAAAAATGAGTACAATGGTTATTTTTAGAACTAAAATTTTCTTGATTTTTACTCGTTAACATTGCTTACGCTCCGTTCTGTTCTGTAGTCATTTCCCGCCCGGCTCCCCGTGCTCGAAATTTCCTCCGCTGGCGTCACGATCTTTTCTTTCTTTTTTCCCCGTAGCCGTTGCTATAATATCTGTACATCTGTATCGCTATGCCTGTATCTGTATCTGTAGCTGTAGCTGTATCTCAATTCGAAATCTGTTTCTGAATTCGAATCTGTTTCTTTTTTCGGGTCCGGTGTTCATCAGCGTTGACTGTAAGATCTTCCCTCCCCCAAATGGCAACTTAAGTAACATTAGTTTTGATAGTTTCAGCCCAGCATCGCATATATGTGTAGATGGGAACATGTGTCTACACTCGCGAGAAAATCAAAGTTTTTAAATCGGTATCGGTTATTTGTAATTATACAGATTATACAGATTTTAACGGCTATTGATAAATATCTATGATAATAACTTATTATAAATTGCGTCTCATAGTACTTAAAATATCTCGACCCCAATAGAATTTTTTTGTATGATATAATGCTATTTTAAAGAAGTTTTAAATGGTTTCCACTGCTAATATATTATGTATTATTGCATCGAATTATCTTTTAAAAGAGTTCACTGTGTGGCAAATGAAACAAATCTTATGGGATCAATAGTTTCCATATTGCCACATTCGACAAGCATCGGTTTAAATGATATCCTAGTCGTTACCGGAGGACATGGAAAGATCGATTTTGTTAAGTGTGCGGACGGACTGACAGATGTTCGGATGAGTGAGTGCATGTGGCCGATTTACATGGGATTGTTGGATTGTTGGATCGTTGCATGCAATGCCCTTACTTTCACACACTGCAACTGCAACTGCAACTGAAGCAGCGACAAGAAACAGGGGATCGTTTAACGAACGAACGTTTTTTGCCAATGACAGCAGCGTACAAGAGTACATAAGATTTATAGTTGCTATTTTTAACGCACTAAAGTATGAAGAACCGTAGGCCAAAGACCAGAAACACCAGAAACACCAGAAACAGTCGACTACCAGCGACCCAAAACAACATTTGCCTCTCGGCAAATGGGGGAACTTTACATGCACTACTCGTACAATACAATATGGTATTGTATGGTTCTCTTTCGGGGGTTATTGAACTGAATATTCCCGACTGGAGAACGGAACGAGCTGTAACTGTTCTGATTACACCCAGAAATGGTTAATGTAGATTGTATATTAAATGTTTTATCAGTTGGGCAACCAAATAATAATGCCTAATAATGTTGGTCCAAGTTACATTAGTTTGTGATAACAAAACAGAAGAACTTCCAAAACTTTAAATACATCATAATCCGCTTATAAAAAAGAATTTATTTAATATATATAAAAATTATGTATATTACATATAATTTGTCCAGCCCCTTTTGTTGCAAATCATTTTCGTTCTTTTACAGTCATAGCAGCTTTTCCAATCAATTAATATTCTACTTTGTTTTTCATTTGTTTAGTTTGTTCACTTTGTAACTATTTAGCAGCTGATGCAAGTAAAATATCTTCAACTTGGCTTGCGCAAAGCCCCGACCGAATTTCATCCAGACGGAGGCAGACCACACACATTTTGATATGCAACTGGGTGCTTCTAATTCTAAGCGTATGCAGATGTATGCACCTCCGTCGATCGGGTGAGTGTTTACTCGTATAAGCTAAATCGGATTACGATCGCCGGTGGTTATTTGGCTTTGGGCTTTGCTCTCTCCGCCACCTTTGTCAATTTTCATTGATTAGTTTCTAGCTTCTAGCTTTTAGCTTTTAGTTGCTACCTTCTAGCTTCTAGTTTCGCTTTAGTTTCGGTTTCAGTTTCAGTTTCAGTTTCAGTTTTGCCTGACTCACGTGTCGAGCGATTGGCGATCGATCAACGATCAGCGATCGATCGATTCGACGGATGGCATGGAAAATGCCCAAATCGTAACCAAAATTCCTTACCCTCGTTGGAAATGGAATTGAAATGGAAATTGAAATTGAAATTGAATTTGGATTTGGATTGGGTGGCCCGGCAGTCGTTCAAAAATTTTACTCACGGCCCCACCGTTATTTTTAATTTTTAGTACATATACCACCACACACAAGCGTACGAAAAAAAAGCAATGCTCTGGCAACGATCGTATTCTATTTGTAATCCAAAATAAGTGTACGTATTCTGTAGCTGTATCTGCATCCGAACTATGTGGTTCGCTTTACGATCTCTCGTTGTTGCCCACTCTCTTTTCGTTGTTGTTGTTGTTGTTGCTGTTGTTGTTGTTATTTTCCTTATTTTTCCGCCTTTTTTTATTCTTGATTCTTGGCACTCAGCGAACGCTTTTCACTGGGATGTCTTCTTTGTGCCTCGTATCGAGTACAGCCTGCAGAAGTTTATATCTTACAGCCAGAGCAGAGAAGTCACTTACAGTCGCTCGATTTTCGGGCGCATAGGTCCCAATAAAGAAATCAACTTACTCTCTACTAATCTCTAGGCGCTAGTGGAACAAAAAAAAAAAAAAAAAAAGTATTCACCATTTGGCGGGAGCGGGGTTATCTGTCGAACCCAATGACTTATCACTGTAGCTTGGTAGTTGGTCCGTAGACTCGACTCTCGACTCGACCTAAGCTTCTTTTTCATACGTCTACTTTTTGATTAGACCCATGGAACTACAGTCAAAGCTCTGGGTTTACGACCTACATATCGTAACGACAATGATTTGACAATTTTCTTTTTTCCATTCACCGAAAATAACTAGTGGTCACTTTGAAGGTATTTCAGCAAAAATTTTGCCTACTAATTCAGGAATTTGTATCTTTAAGAAAGCTTCATTTAGTTTTAAAATGCAGAAGAAAGTTGAACATGTGTCTCATATTTTTTCTGTTGATTAAACCATATTATTTCCTAAACAAACTATCGTAATACTGTTAAAACAGATGTACAATCTTGATCAGCAAAGCCCAAATCAGTCCAACGAATCTCGTCGGTGAAACCTATGAATATATGTTGTTCTATTTTTCAACATAAACTCCAAACATTTGAGGAGTTTCTAATTTACAACAGATGTTAACCAATATGTTGCAGCAGTACGTCGATTTTTCGGTATCCTGATGCGATTTTGTGGCCGGTGCTCGAGATGCAGTTTCGCTGCAGAGATCATCAACCCAAAAGCCGAAGAAACAGAAGCCAAACGCCAACCGATTGCATCCACTTGGGGTGCCCAAACACCATACTTGTATCTATATTTAGGCTACGACTTTTCCCATTTGGCCCTTCATAGATCTAGATCGAGATCCATCCCATACCATAACATACTATACCATACCATCCCGAATCGAACACATGCACCGAGTAGTCGGGAGAAGAGTTTCGAGTGCACTCAGAAAATATCAATTCTTTTTTAATTTCTGACACAAAAACTATATAGTAACAGATGGATTTATAGATGATATATTTATTTTATATAGAATTGACTATAGTGCAGTTCGGAAAAGGTTGCATAAAACAGATTGATAATCAGGTAAATGACAATTCCGAAATATCTCAGAATTTATTTCAAAAAAATTTAAATAGTTTTTTAGCCGAACTTTTTCTGAGTGTAAGGGTATGGAATAGGTATAGTTACAGTACAGTGTGCGTGGTTTATAGAGTAGGAATCGAATCAGAATCGGGAATCGGGATCGGAGTAACTGCTTCGGACTGTGGGGATCGTTGGAATATTGCTTGCTCCCATCTTTGATGTCTCTCTCTCTCTCTCTCGCCATCGTAGTTCTCCGTCTCTGGCCGATTCTATAAGTAGACATATGTACACATTCGTGTATATTTATATACCCAATCGGCTGTCTGTGTGGGAGCACACATGTGCACCGCAGAAGGCATCACCATCACCGTTCACCATCAACATCAGCATCTCGATCGGCTCTCCGCCGCAATAATCTACCAGGTTAGAGCAGCGCCGTTTCGTTCCGTTCCGTTCCCTTTCCCTTTTTTTGTTCGTTCCAATCGGATCCGTTATGTTCCGTGCCCGAGGAGCGATCCGTGCCGCCTAACGATCGTAGCACTATATATATATATGTATTTATATATATATATCTATGAAAGTGTGCTCTACACGTGAGTGTGTGTGCGACTGCCGTTAGTATCGGCAACGGGATCGCAAACAAAAAGTTCAGTTTCTGTTTCGTTGTTGTTTGGTTTGGTTAGTTTTAGTTGGTTAGTTGGAATCTCAGGACGGCGGACTACGGAGAAACGGTAAACGCTTGTCCGGCGTAATGCGAAATTGGAATCGAGACGCGCTCCCTTTTTGTTATTCTTTTTCTCTCAGTGCATATGCAGTTTGGCCGAAAAAAGCTTCTCGTGCGTGAGTGAAAGAGAGTGTGTCCGTGTGCTCCCGTGAGTGTCGTGCTCCTTTGGGTGTGTGAGTGAGAAAGAGTACAAAAGATTTACAGGAGCAACAATAACAAAAACAACAATAGCAAAAGAGCAGGATTCTGCGACAAAAAAAGAGCGAAAAAGAAAGTGCCGAAATGTGCATGTAAATAATCAAAGGGATATTCGTGAGTGTTAAACACTGGGCACATGTGCAACTGATTTCGTGATTTGTGTTTTACATTTTTTTCTTGTGTTTTCTTTTCTTATTTTTTCGTTTTATTTTGCGTGTGTTTTTTGTCGACGTTGCCCGTAGCCGATGAGCCGCCGTCTAAGGCTAAAAGGTTAACTTCTAAATATTAATAGTCGTTGTCGGTTTGTTGTCAACAACGAAATGCGAGTAACGCCAAAAACAACAAACATCAAGTACAAAAATCGAGTTCGTTTCGATCTTGATTTTATTTTGTTGTTTTCCTTTCTTTTTTTGTGTGCCCCGCTAAACGCGCTTTCCGTTTTTTATATTTTTTCGTAGACAGAAACAAACATTGTACAGTTAGTCTTGTATAAGTGAGCTTTAACCGTTACCCACCGAACGCTACAAGAGTTATGTTGCGTTTACACTAGTGCGATTTTGAAATGCAAACGCGGCACGACAGCAACAACAAAACCAACGAACAGAAGAGCAGGAGAACCCGCCATTAAATCACTCGGAAGAATCCGTAGCGGAGAATACAAGAGGAGAGAAGAAAACCAAGGGGAGCGTGAGATTTCGATTCCTCAGCAGAATCGGAGCATCAAGAAGCTGCTGACAACACAGAATTCTCAAATGGTAAGAAACCAAACAGCTTCCAGGGAGATAGAACCATGATTTATAAAAAGGAACCACAAAAAAGATAGATCGCCAAGACTCGGAAGCGTTTGCAGTTTGGATCGGAATGCCAAAGCATTTGCATGGATTATTATCTGCAGCAGTGACTATCTGCGAAAATCTGTGAAACCGATTTCGCTGCTCTTAGTCATCGCAGTCTTCAGTCCACTCTGCTTGGGGGTATATTTCGTAGAATCTTTAGCACGACATAAATGAGTTGCTACCAATAGAATAATGAAACACAAACAGTTCTGACCAAAACCATAACATCACTTCTATTAATTAAAAAAAGACGGAAGGCATCCTTAAATTCAAACTTCTGTACTGGCGATCCAATAGATACGAAATCCCAAAGGCAATTTATAGTTACTAATGAATGGGGTATGTTATAGGTCATATATGTATGTACATCTGCAACGTTTAAATCTGAATTAAAGAACGTACGACTCTTTAAAATCTATAATAATCTTGCAATTCTTTATTTTTTTCTTAGAAAGTTTTAAGGATCTGTCTATGAATTCATTTCGGTACTAATACATTTTTGGTAGAATATCTTTTGACAGCTAATTTGAAATGATGACTATCGATCAAATGAATAAGCACAGATCCAATTTTTAGATTTCTTTTTTAGAACTAGAATCTATCTACCACTTTTCTATCTATCATTTCATGCCAGTTTTTTCCGCCAAATCAATTTTTATACTATTTCTTAAAAACTTTAGTGATATATACATACTTGCAATCTCTTTGTTTTTTTTAAATTTATGTTTTACGGGCATTTCAGAAATAGAAATACAATAAATAAACAGTATTAGTGAATACTAATACTTTTTATAAAATATTCTAAAGCATCAAACTTTCGCCCTTTTTAGATAGTTTCAAGCTTGATCGAGATTTCTGTGCCATTTTCGAATATCTTGCAATGGCAGTACCAAAAGTAAACCAGTTTTCTCCAATTTGTAATTTAGGAGACGAAGAATCCGCCGCCGGTGACGAGCAGCTATCACCACCAGCGGGCGCCGCGGACCCCGGAGTCCTACTTCAACGTTCCGGAATCGGTGGCCCTGCTGAATATCGTCAAATCGGAGCGCATCCAGAGTGCCTTCCAATCGAACCGGAAGAACCATGCCAGCGTTTGGGAAATGGTCGCCGAGGTGCTCAATCGGTTCAGTGCGCGGAAGAGGACGGCGAAACAGTGCTGCAATCGCTATGAGAATCTGAAGAAGATCTACACACAGCTGAAGAAGAATCCGGAGCGGCATGTGCGCAGGAATTGGCCGTACATGTTCCTCTTCAAGGAGATCGAGGAGCAGCGCGGCGAGTGCTGGGGATCGAATGGTAAGCGCCTGGCGCTCATCTCCAAGAATCACAACGAGCTCTCCTACTATCAGCGTCGTCGCCAGGCGGCCGAACTGGGTGTCCTGCTGAACAAGGACAATCTCACGCCGCACCAGCACAGCCTCCTGCAGAGCTTGAGCCAGAGCCACAGCCAAGGACACTCGCACGCCCACTCGACGGACTCCTCGCAAAGTGGCAGCAAACTGGAGCGCTTCCTGCCCAATCACTTTGTGGAGGCGCAGCTGAACGAGGTGCCCTGCCAGGTGGGTGGACCCGGCGGCGGCACTGGCCCCGTCTCCGGCTTCGACGACAATCCCCTCCAGGTGCAGATGGCCGCCGCCGCCGCAGCTGCTGCCGCTGCCGCCGTCGCCGTCCAAAAGAGGCACGAACTGCAGATGGCCAATGTGGGGCAATTGGTGCCGACCGAGGAGGACGACGATGGGGAGGAGCCACAGCGTCCGGCATTTAAGAACCACCTCCATGGAATGGGACATGGTCATGCCCTCGGCCTGGGTCACAATCCCATGGACGAGCCGGGCGAGGCGGGCGACTTCGAAAAGGACTGCAACGGAGCGCTCAACATGCACCACCAGAACCAGAACAACAACCACGACAACAACATATCCATGAAGTGAGTGCATCAATGGGGCAGACAAAAAGGAAACATTTTTAGGAGGCCTTAAGTCTCCACATAGTGAATGAAAACTGGTGCCTTTAAGGTTTTGCACGACTAATTGAATACCTTTCCTCTGCAGATCGGAACCACTTTCAGAGGGCGAATTCAATCCGGACGACATCCAACTCATGCAGACGAACTACAATGGGTGAGTGCTGCTCCTGCGGAAAGAAGATGCACCACGGTGAAGTCCCTTCACTGACTGAAGTGTTTTATTTTCCTTTTGAAGGGCACAAAACTACTATTCACCAGTTCTGGATCCGAATATCCTGCACCCGGACGTTATTGTTGACACGGACAATCTGTCCGACTGCTCCTCGTCCACGACGCTGAAGAAGAAGCGAAAGATGTCCACCTCGACGGATGGCGACAGCACCAACTACGAGCTGATTGAGTACCTAAAGAGGCGGGAAAAGCGCGACGAGGAGTTCCTCAAGCGGATGGATGCACGCGAGGATCGGCTGATGAACCTGCTCGAACGCACCGTGGTGGCCATTGAAACGTTGGCCGTTCGACGGGCGCTTTCGTTTCCGTTGAACGAAATTAAACCATCGGCAGCCACAGCCGCATCAGTTGTTGTTGTTTCTCCGCCAACGGAAGCGACATCGGCAGCTACGCAGGAGCAATCATCAAGCAATTCTTCAGAGAAGAAAATCAGTGCACCAGCGAGCTCCATTCCCGTTGAGGATCACGATCTGGCCATTGAAGTGCCGGACGATGGCGATGACGAGCCGCAGGCGATGGACACACCAGTTGCTGTTCCACCAGAAGCCGGAGAGGATGACCGAAGCGAAGGGAAGCAGACTTAGAATAAAGGAAACCCATTAACCCTCTACTTTAGTCGCTCGATAGATCTACTTAAGCCCTCCTCCCTCCACCCAAAAATCTTTCCCCATTCCGTCAATCCCGACCGGTTGGCGAATTGATAGGGAGGACACCACACACCCACACAGTGCCAAAGACGAGCCACGTCTCGAATTCTAATTGAGATTGCCATGTTTACTTAGAGAGAGAGCCAACAAAAACCAAACGAAAGAACCAAACTTGCTTAGCGGTCGAGTGAAACTTAAGGACGAGAATGCCGAGCATCGCAATTCTTTTTGTTGCAGCGATAATTTTACACATTTTTTAGCGCTAGCTTTTAGCTTTTAGTTAGGCGGAATCCCACCTACGGATGCCAGAATGAATCTCAAAAATACAGCAGGATTCAAACCGCTACGATAATCTAGTTGGAGCTGCAACGGGGCTCAAATGCATTTGTGCAGCAACTTAGGCACAATCATTTCTTTTTTTTTGTAATCTAGATAAATACAAGTACGATTTAAAAAAAAAAACAGACAAATGTGGTTTATTTCACAGAGGAGTAGAGTATGCTTAAATTTCTATTACTACCACATATTCAGGTTTTCAACTTACCAATTGTTGGCCAGTTATTTGATTGATGGCCGAAAACCGAATATAAGTTTCTTGAACATGGTTGTGTGTAATCCGGAGTACAACTTTTAACTAACGTAGTGTTTATACTATGGGTGCCTAAGTGTATTAGCGCTTTGCTTTCTTATTTCGGTACTGTTTGATGTCCTTGCTGGGCAGGTTCTTCTTGGTCTTGGCGATCTTGTTGCTGATGAGCAGCTTGAGTCGGTTTCTCACCTGGTCGTACTCGGCTTGGTCAACCTCTGTTTTCGCGGACTTGAAGAACTTGGCACCCTCTGCAAATTGAAATAAGAACAGTGGGTTAGTAAGTTTTCTGTCATCAAGTGTAAGTGAGTGTCTGTGATTACCCTTCAGTCGGGGATCGTTTTTGGGTATGAAGAAGGACTCCAATTTGATCTTGCTCTTCTTTTGCGTGGACTTCTTTGCTGGCTGTGCCTGATTTTCTTTGCTATCCTGCTGTTCTTGCTCCTCATCTTGCTGTTTCGCTTCATCCTCGCTGTCGGATGAGTCGTAGGAGAACGGATTGAGTGTGGCGAGTCCAAGTTTGCTGGCCGAAGCCTTGCCCACCAGGATCTTCTCGTTTCCCAGCTTCTCCAGCTGATCCTGCCGCTTGGCATCCTCTTCGACGGGCGCACTGCCAAACATGTCCAGCAGACTGAAGCCCTCGCCGCGAGTGTTTAGCGATTGCTTCAGTGTATCGGTGACCATATAGAAGGCAGTTTTCGAAACCGGAGCCTGGGCAGCGGCACTATGGCTGTCCTCTGCAGTATCCCTAGTCTTGGGTGTCGTCTCCTCATCCTTTGACTGCTTCTGACGGACCAACTTCTGGTGATCCTCCTTGGCCGGATCGAAACGCAGCATCTTTTTACTTTTTGCCGGCTTGCCGTCGTTGCTGTTTGAACCGGGAAGCTTGTGACCAACAACCTGCTCCAGTATATCCATCTGCCACTTGCGCTCACTCTCCACCGGCTCTGGCTTATTTCCATCCTCCTCATCCGCCGCCTCCTCCTCGTCCTCGTCCACGAAGTTGGCTGTGATACGAAAGCGGGGATCTATGCTCTGTTTGCTTTGCATTTCCACCAGCCGCTCGCCTTTCTTTCCCTTGTGTTGCGGCAGTACAACCTGATCATTACCCTCTTCGTCGTCGTCTTCGAAGAGATCGCGTTTTTGAGATTTGGATTTCTTGGCGGGTTTAGGCTCGGTTTCCTCCTCAGCGTCGCTGAACTTTATTCTCTTCCCCTGAGTGCCTTCAATGGAAATGGCAGACAGCGCCAGCTGGATGGCTGACTTCTTTTGCTGGTGACCCTGCCGCATCTTGTTCAGCGACTCCATGCGCTTCTGCTCCGCCTGGCTGATCTTGGCGTCTGCCGGCTGTTTGGCTGGCTTGCGATGCTGCTCGATGACGTGCAGCGGCTTCACATCGTGCTCTTGCTGTATGACAATCTGTGTGTAAGGGAATGAAAATCAATTAAGATGGCTAAAGGTGGTAAGTCACTGAGGTTGAGCCTACCCTGCCATTGTGGATAGAGTGGGCGGCACGCTTCTTTGTGATCAGAAGCTCTGGTGCGATCTCATCATCACCGATCTCTTCATCCTCGCCGAAAACCCTGCGTTTGTTTTGGTTGCTCTGACTAAGCAGTTGGGAACTGTGTGCAAACGTCTCCGATTCCTCTGGTTCGCCCTGTTCCCTTCGCTGGTTTTCCTCTCGTTCGCGTTTCAAGCGATCCAAAAAGGACTCCTTTGCCAGCGACACGCGTAACTTGGCGCCGTGTAACTTCTGCCAGTTGAGCTCGTTGACACCTGTTAAAGAAGCTATATTTATTTTTCTTTTATGACCTTTTAAGAACAACTTACAGTACTGGGCATCCTCCGTTTGCAAAGTGACGAAGGCAATCACCTTGGTGACGCCATCCTGCTCTTTTCGCTTCAGATCCACATGCTCTACATAGCCGTAGTCCTGGAATAGGCCGCGCAGGTCCTCCTCCGAGGTCCTAGCGGGCAGATCCGCCAGGAAGAACCGAGTACTGCCCATTTCAGAGATGTGTTTTAAGTATTTACAAAACACAATACGATTTCACTGCACGTGTAGAATCCCGGCATCTGGCCAGTGTGACCATTACAATTGGAAGAACTGGAGCTTTAAATGAACAGTCGATGTCATAACACCTTAACTTTCATAAAAAATATTTTAATTTTTCATTTACTTTTAAGAAGCTTAGTTGAAGCTAAGAAAAATACAAAAATATTTGCCAGCCATTTTTTTCAATTGCCAAAAATCTAAATTGTTATAAAACTGCGATTGCCAAGCAAATAATAATTAAATATTGATAATTTAATTTAAGGCGAACCGTTCTACAAATATATCTTAAGGCTTTTCCCACCAACTTAAGAAGAATAATTTAACAACAATACAGCATAAAATACTTGTTGAAAATGGGTGTCAATCTGAATCCCCTTAGCCAGTGTTGCTAAACGCTCGGCTCTGCGAGCAAGACTTGTACGGTGAGCCCACAGCTGGTCACACTGGCAGCAGACGTCACATTCTATTATTTTTTGTTTTGTTTTGTGCGAAAAGTTTGCAGGCCAGGCGAGCGTGGACCAGACCACAAGCGACGACGACCATGGCTAGCGGGACGACAGCAACCAGCAGTGGGACAAGCATCGGCAGCAGCAGCAGCGGAGCTCCCGCTTCGGCGGACACATCGCCGCCGTCGGCGGAGAAGTGGGGCTTCCCACTGGTGGAGCTCTATCGCCTGGCGTTCACGTTCTACAAGCGTGAGTGCTTCTAAAGTTACAGCTGCGGCTGCCGCTGCCATTGCCGATTCCGTCCAACTAACCACACCCCATTTCCAGGCAACTCGGGCAAGGCCATCCATCTTTCGTACGAGGACAACCTTAAGCTGATCGCTTTCAAGCAACAAGCTGCGCTTGGTCCCTTCAACACGAGTCGTGCACCGGCGCTGGGCGTACTGGATGTGATTGGACGCGATCGCCAGCAGCACTGGCAGCTGCTGGGCGAGATTACGCGCGAGCAGGCCATGGAGGGATTCGTTGACCTGCTGGACACGATGTGCAGTGCCTTTCGGCCGTACATTGAAGCCGTGCGCCAGGATCGGGATGAAACGCTGCGCAAGGAACTGCGTCTCATGGAGCTGGAGAAGGAGGCACGGGAGCGGCAGGAAAACGCCCAGCAGGAGCTGCTCGAGGAGGGCTACAAGGAGGAGTTGCAGCGCCGCCATCTGCAGGATGCCCTGAACAAGCAGACCTATCAGCAGTTCAAGGTAGAACATTGATTTTTTTCCACCACCAGACGCCGGGGCCTTTGCACCCGTTGTTGGGCTCGCTTAATAATTCATGCTAATGGCCCTAAGTGTCTGGCATTGAAAGGGGGTCATGACCCAGTTCCCAGGCAATTATTTTACCCTCTTGTCACTTACCACCCATAGCTGTATGCGGAGAAGCAGTTCCCGGGCAATCCCGAGCAGCAGGCCGTGCTCATCCACCAGCTGCAGCGGGAGCACTACCACCAGTACATGCAGCAGCTCCATCTGCAGAACCAGAATCAGCTGCAGAACCAGAATCCGGAGGAGAAGAGCCAACCAGAGACGGAGGACAACGCCCCTGGCAACAACAACAATAGCAGTACCGACTTGCCCGGCGCCATGGAGGGCTTAAAGCTTGCCGAGATTGAAACGCAGCAGCAGCAGCAGTCGCAGTTGGCCGAGGAGCAGCACAGCCAGGTGGAGCAAGCCGACGGCGTGGTGCAGGAGCATGGGGGCGAGGAGGAGTACGACGACTACGTCATGATCTGCCCGGCCAAGATCTGGACTCGTCCCGACATCGAGCAGTTCAAGACTGAGGTGTCCGCCGGCGATGGCGACGGCGTGATAACCATTGGACACGGCGACACAGTAACGGTGGGTCTAACACCATGCTTTTTGTGAAATTCAAGTTACAATAATTGCAATTTACAGGTGCGTGTGCCCACCAACATGAATGGCAAGTGCATTTTCTGGGAGTTCGCCACGGATAGTTACGACATTGGTTTCGGCATCTACTTCGAGTGGGCCAAACCCGTCACCAACGAGGTGACAGTGCACGTTAGCGATTCCGATGAGGATGAGGACTGTGTGGACGAGGACTATCTTTCCACCACCGAGGATCTGGAGTCGGGCTCGCTGTCGCAGGAGCGCGACGCGGTGAGCAGTCCGACTGCCGCCCCAAAGCCACCCATCTCCATTATCGTACCCATTTACCGGCGTGAGTGCTACAACGAGGTCTACGTCGGCTCGCATTCCTATCCCGGTGAGGGCGTCTACCTGCTGAAGTTCGACAACAGCTACAGCATCTGGCGCTCCAAGACACTGTACTATCGCGTCTACTACGAGCGTTAAGAGGCCAAAATGTATTTAATATCCTATCCACTAACTTAGAAAAATCCTATCTCTATAAAACGGGCTAATGTGCAAGTCCGGAATAATCTGTATGTGCGTGTGCGTCTGGGTTTTGGTTACGATGTTACGTGTACGTAAAAGCATCTCCGGACCGGAAAAAAACAAACGGAAATCTCCATCGCTTTGCAATTTAGCGAATGGCGTTTTCCAAAACAAAAAAAAAAACATATTTATTATTTAGTTGTAAACCGACAAAGACAAGTCCAAAATTCAATTTGAAAACAATAAACAAATAACAAGACAACTGTAAATATTCACTTTTCATAAAACTTGTAGAAGGCAACAAATATGTACTTTTTCCCTGTTCTTTAATTAATTATTAAAGGCATGCAGCATTTAAATGACAACTGTGTCCTGCAATTTGTCATTACAAAAACTTAAACTTGTTCTAAAAAACAAAAATTTTGTTTGAAATAAGTACTTTTCAAATAGGTAAGTTTGAATAAAATAAAAAAAAAATCATGTTTGCTTAGTTTCTGAGATTTAGAAACTAAAGAAAATTTAATCTTTGCTTTGTGAAAAAAGTCTTTAGTCAAACGGTATCACCATTTACTGGCGCCCAGTGCTTTTTGCCGTCACCTGGTCACACCGACCATTATGCATGCACTCAGGTGTTTAGCCGGCAATGAAATACGAAATGCACTTGGATCAAGAATCAGAGGAAACCTCCGAAGCCAACGACGCCTTCTTAGCTATGTCCTGGGTATTGAGACCTCCTGCGACGACACGGGCATCGCCATCGTGGACACCGACGGTCGGGTGAGGGCGAACGTGCTGGATTCCCAGCAGGAGTTCCACACTCGGTGAGTGTTTTTTTCAAAGGAAGGCCAAAAATGTAACCCACTCCATGGCAGATATGGAGGGATTATACCACCGAGAGCTCAGGATCTGCATCGCGCCCGCATTGAGTCCGCCTACGAACGCTGTTTGGCGGAGGCGCAATTGCAACCGGAGGAATTGGCGGCCATTGCGGTGACTACGCGACCCGGACTGCCACTGAGTCTTTTGGTAGGTCTGCGCTTCGCCCGTCACTTGGCGCGCCGCCTGCAGAAGCCCTTGCTGCCCGTTCACCACATGGAGGCCCATGCTCTGCAGGCGCGTATGGAGCAACCGTCAGTGATTCGCTTTCCGTTTCTATGTCTGCTGGTCAGCGGTGGCCATTGCCAACTGGCGGTGGTCCAGGGACCTGGCCGATTAGCGCTTCTCGGGCAAACGTTGGACGATGCCCCTGGCGAGGCCTTCGACAAAATCGGACGACGCCTGCGGCTGCACATCCTGCCTGAATACCGCTTGTGGAATGGTGGAAGGGCCATCGAACATGCCGCTAAGCTGGCCAGCGATCCCAGTGCTTATGATTTTCCACTACCTTTGGCCCAGCAGCGGAACTGCAACTTCAGCTTTGCCGGGATCAAGAACAACTCCATTCGTGCCATTCGCAAACAGGAGTGGAAAGAGCGAACGCCGCCGGATGGAGTGATCAGCAACTATGGAGACTTTTGTGCCGGCTTACTGCGCGCCGTAAGTCGGCATCTAATGCATCGCACCCAGCGGGCAATCGAGTACTGTATGCTACCGGAAGTGAGACTCTTTGGCGATGCACCGCCCACGCTGATTGTGTCGGGCGGAGTGGCCAATAACGATGTCATCTATGCTAACATTGCACATCTGGCCGCTCAATACGGATGCCAGAGCTTTCGGCCGTCGAAGCGGTATTGTTCCGACAACGGCGTAATGATCGCTTGGCATGGCGTGGAGCAGCTCATGCAAGATAGGGAGGGTTGTCTGCGATTCGACTACGATCGCATTGACATCCAAGGCACTGCGGCTTTTGCGGAAAGCCACGAGGAAGCTGTGACCGCGGCGGCTCTTAAGTGCAAGTGGGTGCAGCCACTGGGATGAAGATTGCATCTGGTTGAAAAGCTAGTTTTTCAGTTTTTACGTTCCTGCCAAGCTACTAGATGAACGCTTTGGAAATAAAATTCTTTAACATTTGTTTTGTTGATCGTTAGTTATCAGATATATATTTTCCGACCACTTTTTAAAGATCTTCGTACAGCACACAAAGTTCAAGTCGCTTAGCTTTTTACGATCTGAGTTGTTGGGCTATTGATTATTGTTCATTCTTAAAAACGAGCAACAAAGAAAACTAGTTCGTTTTGGATTTCGTTTTATTATAAGATATTATCTGAAATCAATTATGTTAAATCTCTAAGGTCTAGAAAAAAATGTAAAAATTGATAATGTATACATATAAAAATATTAAAAAATGCATTAGTTCGTATTTTCTTTTCATCTTTGTTGTTTCTCGCTGAACTACAATACAAATTTCTTTCTTGCTGTTGCCGTTTTGTTTTATTGTTATACTTTAATGGGTTATACATATTTAAATATATATATATATATATTTATAAAGATTGTAGATTTCAGATGTGTGTTTTGTGGTGCAACGCCTAGTTTTGCTTTTGTTTATATTTCTTTTTCTTTTAATTTATTTTTAATCATATTTCAATACTCATACTCTTAGTTTTATTACATAATAAGCTTCACTTTCATAGCGAATTCCTTCCTACCTCCGTTGTTTGAACATTACGCCATCAGTTATCATAAATATTTTATATAATCTTCACATTTCATATTTTTCACGTTGCTCTTGGGACTATCGACTTGGATTACAAGTGTTTTTTTTTTTTTATCGACTGATGCAAAACAAAAAAATTGCATGGTTCTTTTCGCTTCTCCCTTTCTTTTCCTTACTTTTTTGTTTTGTTTTTGTTGTTTTGTTCTGGATTGTTTGATTTATAATAAATTTATATTTGTTGTTTTCTCTTAATCCTTGTATATATATAAAGAAATATATATAAATAATTTGTTTTCGCTATATTGATATTGTGTTTTTCTCTCTTTACTTAATAAGAAAATTGCGCCAGAAACAAGAATGCGAGCAGAAATGAAGGTCTTGTTTTGATTTCACCTGCTGGGCGGGCTTTTGAATTGGCTGGGCTTGGGATAGAAGAGGTTTTTCTTATATATTGTTTTTTTTTTTTTGTGGCGGAAGACTGTCCCGAGTTAAAAAGCAACTGCCCAGTCGGCTGGGACAGTGGGTAAATCATAAAATCCGACTATAATCCGGGGTTATTTTACAACTCCCGGGTAGGAGGAGCACAGACTCTACTGACATAGACACGGAATACACACGCACAGCGGCAGAGAGATAAAGAGAGACTGGGCTGGACTGGGCGGCTCCGGCGGAAACGATTGCGGAATAACATAATCAAAACATATACATATATATGGGTATATATATTGAACGCTTCCCCGACGGACGAAGAAGGAGGCTGGGAAGGAGTCTCATTGCGATAGTTGTAGAAAGCCAAAAGTGAAAGGGAGGATACACATCATGTAAGGGGGACAAGGGTGTTGTGAAGGGAAGGGCTAAAGAATTATAAGAATTTGCACTTCCTTTTCTTTGTCGGCTCTGGTGGCTCCAAGGCGGCCAGAATGGCCTCATCGAATACATTTTTCAGGCCCTTCTGTGTCAAGGCCGAGCACTCGACATACTTGACGGCCTTCAGCTCCTTGGCCAGCTTCTCGCCCTGCTCCATGGTAATGGGCTTCTGCTTATTCTTGGCCAGCTTCTCCAGCGTGCTGGTTTCGTCACGCAAATCGATCTGTGTGCCCACCAGCAGGAACGGTGTCTTTTGGCAATGGTGTGTGATCTCGGGCACCCACTGAGAAAGTAAATAAATCTGTTAGCTCCTTTTCAGTTTGGATATCCAATTGACCACTCACCTTCTCCTTTACATTCTCAAAGGAACTCGGACTGACCACCGAGAAGCAGACAAGGAAGACGTCTGTCTGCGGGTACGAAAGCGGGCGCAGTCGATCGTAATCCTCCTGGCCGGCCGTATCGAACAGGCCCAGTGTGTATGGCTCACCACCGATCATCACGGTCACCGCGTAGTTATCGAAAACCGTGGGCACATATTCCGAGGGGAACTTGTTGGTTGTGTACGAAATTAGCAGGCAGGTTTTGCCCACGGCTCCGTCGCCGACGACCACGCACTTGATGGTTTGCATGTTGTGCAGAGGGAAGTGGTTGACTCCTGCAAGGGAGTGCAGAGAAGGGTTAGTTAGTCGGTTTGTTAGTTAGTTAGCAGGGTGTGTCAGTGGGCTTGTTCTGGTCCTTCTCTTTCCACTCCTCCTGCTGCTCCTGCCAGAGTGACCGTTTGCCGGGTGGGCCGCTTATCTATGCAGCGGAGTGGGCATATGTACATATCTGGCCAGACCGATGACTCAAGCCAAAGAAAGAACGAAAAGAATGGAAAAGCAACGGCGCACACAGATAAGCCGGACGGGCATCAGAAAATTCTGATTGGACACACACACACACACGGGCGCAGCATTGGTGTGTGCGGTGCGTGTTCACTTGCTCAAAAATGCAGTTTTCATGCACTTACGCACAATCTTTTATGTTATTCCATTTCCAAACAAAAAGAAACAAACACCAGTTGCTAACTTTAACGTGTTTTTCATCGCAATTAACAATTTAACAGACTTTATTTGTCATAGGAAGGCTTAAGAAAACTAATGAAATTTGGAACCAATTATTTATCACACACGCACACTGGCGCACAAGCCACTAACGCACACACACACCCGCAGGCCCGTCATCGACGTTTCGTTCACTTTTCACTGGGTAATTTTCGACTTTACTGCCCAAGTTTTGCCTTTTCTTTTTTGGCCAACTGATGCAAGCACATTTTCTACTTACAAGTTTTTTTTAAATTGCAAACGCTGGCGAGTCAGTTGCCTTTTTTGCTTTTCTGGGCTGGGCTCGATTCGTACGGAAAACTACTATTTCCTTTTGTGTGTTCGTGTTCTCTCTCTCCAGCGAGCTAACTAGTGCAGCGTTGCCACCCAGCCGTTGTGCTCCCGCCCGGCTTAACGAGATGGTATTTTTAGTTGATTTTGGAAAAACGCGGGGTTTTGTAGGACATATTCGTGTCTGATTTGCACTTGTTTACATATGCTTTATAAATTGTTGGAACTTATATTTAAAATAATTGAACGTTTTTAGGTATGTTTTACAAATAGTTATTTAGCACTGAATGTTTTAAATGTTTATTTCTCTAAAATCAACAAGGCTTTTTAAAAATACTCAAAAAATAACTTCATAAGAATTTGGGCTTTGAATAATTCAACATAGATTTATCAAAGTACAAAATAATTTTAAGACAAATTAAAGAATATAACTCTATATATATTCTTAAAGCTGAATATTGATAATTGTCTGGGCACACTGTCAGCCGAACAAGGGTAGCTACTTGCTAGCGAGCTCTTAGACAAAATAACAATCAGAATTGGAGAACTGTCGTGCTCATATAATCATTAGTATAAATGCTAAAGGAGTTATCTGAGGATCAAGGTCTTAACAACGTAAAAGAAGCACCACGCCAGTTTCTGCCTTGCACTTTTTTGGTTCCAACACTGCAGTGCCTGGTCATTTCGAGTTTTCCGCTTGAGACCACTATTTCGCTTTAATGCGAATTGGAGAATATAATCACAATAAGAAAGAACTCAATTAGCTAGCCCTGGAAGTCGGAATGGCTGGCTTTCTAGAAACACGGTTAGTACTGATTTTACGCTCCCATCAAGCATCCTGTTTACACTAACAATTCATTTTAAATCAACAGGAAGCGCAGTCGGGAGGACGACCTGCCCTGTGACTCTACGCCCCTTTCGAAGCGCATCAACAACCTGCATTTAAACTACGACGATGGAAATAGCAGCAGTAGCAGCAGCTGCAGCATTCCCCCGCTTCCAGGTGGGTCAGCAGTGGGAGGCGGAGGAGGAACAACAGCAGGTGGAGGCCCAAATGGACCAGATGCTACCTCAACCGGAAATGCAGTTCGTGCCGGTTACGAATACAATCCGGAACTGGGAGCCGAGCAAAATCCATATTACTACGAAAAGAACAAGATGCTATACGATCTACACGTGGAGCGCCTTAAGCGGGCCAGCCATTAGCAAGGAGTCTGGAATCTGGATACCGAGTTCTGGCACCGCCATTCAAGTGCCAATCAAAGATGTCCTCTGCCGCAACACCTTGTAGTCCTAGTTTAGTGAAGTTATCTGTTCATCCATCCTGTTGTGTCTACAGAGCTGGGAACAAAGAACCCCAGCAATTGCGTTTGTGTGATAAACATTAATTACTTGCAAAGCATTAGCATCGCCAATAATAGAAATCGAGCCAAGACTACCAGAAGCACGCACATATATAGCCTAAATCGATCCCCGGATTGTAATTTTAACAATATAAATATAATATAAATTATAACTATACTATTTTTAAATTGGTCTGTGTATAAGAACGCATTCGAATTTAATTAATTATTAAAAAATATAACTTTAGTATAAAGCCGTTACTGTGTTAAGCTTTTTGGTTTATGAATATTTCTTCTTTTTAATGGTCAATCGAATTTTGCGCTCAATTATGCTCATTTTAAATTTTAATATGCTATTGATATGGCAACACCGAAAGTTATTCTAGTATTTTTTGTACATAAATCTTTTGTACGGAAATACCTTTTTTTAATTTTAAAGCTTATACTATAAAATTAATATTAAGACTCAGGGTTTAACTTTTTTAATTTAAGGAAAAACAATTTACTTAAAACTTAAAATATGCAAAAAGCGACATACAATTTTCAACATTCAAAAACCAAAATTCAACGTCCGATTTGAAATACTCAACATCTTTGCTATATAAAAAATATACAAAAAATTAAATTTTAATTACATCGACAATTGGCCACGACATCTCCAATAAGAACTTCAAACATAAAATTAATTGCAAGTCCCACCAGGTTCTAGCTGGTTCTTAATAAGATAGTGGTTGATTTTAGGTCGATTTACAAATGAGTAAAAAAAATACAAGAGTGCCCCTTATATAAAAGGCATTTCGCAATAAACCCATGACTGGTCACACAGCTTCCGTTCATGCCGCGCACATCGCAAATTCACCGAACAATTGTAATTAATTAAGGGTTTTGCATTGGCTGCCCTCCGTAGGCGTTCCTCATTTCTATTGCTGACTTATCGGTAAGTGTTCCAACCGAAAGGACATGGTTAACGGAGCACAGTGGGCTCTAGGATACCATCGGCAATCAGTTCACGAGTCGCGCACCCGCATGAGCGAAGTGAATTACTCTTTCTTTCTCTCGCAGCCTTCAGCTTCTGCCCAGAATTCCCAATTGCCCGGAGCACAGAATTTGGGCTGCAAAATGAGGCAGTCGGCGGAAAGCGAGGACCGCAGGATTAGCCACCAGGAAGTGGGCCACTAGCTGCAGGAGTTGCAGTTTTAGAATTCAAAGGACCAGCACAGGAGCAAAAGGGCAGCAACAAGTCCTCCTGCACGCAACAAGTTATCACAGAATTGCCTTTTAGAGCACCCAATTGCCAGCGCCCTCACATCACAACACATCACATAAAAACTCAAACAGAATGAGCCTCTTTAGCTCTAAAAAGAATCGCTCTTTGTCGGTGCGAGTGAGCACCTTCGACTCGGAACTGGAATTCAAACTAGAGCCGCGCGCCACTGGCCAGGATCTGTTCGACCTGGTGTGTCGCACCATCGGGCTGCGCGAATCCTGGTACTTTGGCCTGCAGTACGTGGACACGCGCAGCAATGTGTCCTGGCTAAAAATGGAGAAACGGGTGCGGGATCAGCGTGTTGAGCTGCATGCCAGCAACAACGTGTACGTCTTCAGCTTCTATGCAAAGTTCTTTCCCGAGAATGTCAGCGAGGAGCTGATCCAGGAGATCACACAGCACCTGTTCTTTCTGCAGGTCAAGCAGAGCATCCTGTCAATGGACATCTACTGCCGGCCAGAAGCGTCGGTGCTCTTGGCTTCGTACGCGGTGCACGTTCAGTACGGGCCGTATGATTACGAGACCTACAAGGATGGCATGCTGGCCGGGGGCGAACTCCTACCGAAGGGGGTGACCGACCAGTACCAGATGACGCCCGAGATGTGGGAGGAGCGCATTAAGACCTGGTGGGTACCGGTGAAACAAACAAAACTCTCGATCAAGCTAACAAATAGAGGTTTTTAATCCCAGGTACATGGACCACGAGCCCATGACACGCGATGAAGTTGAAATGGAGTACCTGAAAATCGCACAGGACCTGGACATGTACGGAGTAAACTACTTTCCTATTACAGTGAGTTCTGTGTGCCATGCTTTTGGTTTCGTTAACTGAATCTGAATCTGATTTGTGTGCCCGACAGAATAAGAACAAAACCAAATTGTGGCTGGGCGTCACATCAGTAGGCCTAAACATCTACGACGAACGCGACAAGCTAACGCCAAAGACCACGTTCCAGTGGAACGAAATACGGCATGTCAGCTTCGACGACAAGAAGTTCACTATTCGCCTTGTGGACGCGAAGGTCTCAAACTTCATATTTTACTCTCAGGACTTGCATATCAACAAGATGGTAAGCAGGCATTATTGAATGGTTAATAAACTATGGAAACTAATCGCAACTATGATTAGATTTTAGACCTTTGCAAGGGCAACCACGATCTTTACATGCGGCGACGCAAGCCAGACACAATGGAAATTCAGCAAATGAAGGCCCAGGCGAAGGAGGAGAAGCAGCGCCGCCAGATCGAGCGCAAGAAGTTCATCAGGGAGAAGAAGCTGCGCGAGAAGGCCGAGCACGAGCGCTACGAGCTTGAGAAGAGCATGGAGCACCTGCAGAACGAAATGCGGATGGCCAGCGATGCGCTGGTAAATTGGATATCCTAAAAAGCCGCTCATTACCTAAATTTGTGTGGGTATTACCATTTCAGCGCCGTTCGGAGGAAACCAAGGAGCTGTACTTTGAGAAGAGCCGCGTGAACGAGGAGCAAATGCAGCTGACCGAGTGCAAGGCGAAGCATTTTAAAACCGAAATGGATCGCCTGCGCGAGCGGCAGATGAAGATCGAGCGGGAAAAACACGATCTGGAGAAGAAGATCCGCGACGCGGACTTTTATGTTCACCAGCTGACCGTGGAGAACGACAAGCGTGAGGCGGAGACGGAGAAGCTGCGCAAGGAGCTGATCTGTGCCAAAATGGCCGAGCGCGAGGCCACTGCTCGCCTGCTGAACTTCTTGAACAGCGGACGCAAGTCCTCCACGGACAGCCTGCTGACCGCCTCGAGTGTTTCGAACGCGGCCAACAATTCGTCCAGCATGGCGGCCATTAGCACACCCTCGCTGACCACCAGCAGCTCGACCAATGACATGGAGACCGCCGGCGGTGCCGAGCTAACTGCCCATTCGTCACACTATCTGGCGCAGGGCGACAACTCCAGCGGCATTTCCGATGACTTCGAGCCGAAGGAGTTCATTCTCACTGACAACGAGATGGAGCAGATCACCAACGAGATGGAGCGCAACCATCTCGAGTACCTGCGCAACTCCAAGAAGCAGGTGCAGAACCAACTGCAAACACTGCGCTCCGAGATTGCGCCCCACAAGATCGAGGAGAACCAAAGCAACCTGGATATTCTGAGCGAAATGCAGATCAAGGCGGGCGAGAACAAGTACTCCACGCTCAAGAAGCTCAAGTCGGGATCCACAATGGCGCGCGTCGCCTTCTTCGAGGAGCTCTGACCAACTCCCATCGCGCTGGTTCGCCCGGTTTCTTGACCGGACCCCTTGAACACATGACTAACTCCCTCACCTAGCTGTACGATATTTGGTGTGTGTGCCTGAGCGCGTGCTAGAGTGTGTGACTGTGCCTTAACCATAGTTTGTACCATACTACATATACATATACTTTACTAAATGTGTTTCGATTGTTTACTCAAGCCGCTGCTGTAATAAACCAAGGCCAGCATTACAATTGCATGTTGTGTGCGAGCTCAAAGATACAAATATGTAGATATACATATGTGGTGTGCATTCAGGGGTATTATCTGGGTTAAACGGAAAATGTGCTCTCATTAGGGTTTTAAAACTAATGATAGATGTAAGAACTAGCTGTTCTATCATTCTATCTTTATCTAAACCAGGTCTTGCAATATTTTAAATGGAGTTTATATTCCCTTCCAAGAAAATGAAACAAGAAAGCGGCTATAATCTAAAACCAAAGTAGCTTTATTACTGTTTTAAAACATGTGATCATTTACATTTAATTACTTAGTTTCACTTCCTTCACTAAACAAATAAACGTAGCTCCGATCGCCTTCAGTACCACCTGACCACCCACCCAATCCCCCGATGAATTTAGCCCACCTCCTCTTCTCTTCTCACCGGCGAGCGACGATATATAGTAGTAGTATACATTTGATTTCATACTTTCATATATAGACAGTGAGCGCACGAAGGGAAGCGGAAACGAGTCGAATCGAAAGTGTGTTATTCGGAGAGGGATGCAATCGGGATTTTGGGGAACCCACTAGAACCCACCCGTCCAAAGTCCCAACAAGTCGGTTATAGGCATGCGAATGCTTAGAGTAAATTACAAATAATATGTGTTTGGGGATTGATTCTCTCTCTTTTACTAAGGAATTTCAAATATCTTTACGTCTTTTGTTAACACCATGGAATATTTTGATACACATTCATATATATATATACACATAAATAAACCCACAGTAGATATCGGGTAACATGCAAGTAAGGTCTTTATGCAACGAACCTTTTCGCAATTCCTTACAATATTCTTTGAAACAAATAGGATAAATAACGCTTGGAGATTATTCGTATAATAATGGATGAATAACTGTGTTTTGACTACTTGAATTGCTTGTTGTTAGCATTCCCGCCGCTGCATATATCTGATATCTACTGTACGTTGTCCCGTTTGCAGTTGTGTAATTTGAAGAACATTTCCGGATTGCGGGAAAGGGAGGAAACGGAACTATAGGCACCCGATTTTTGATCTCTGCACCGATCTTCTCTATAGCAAAATATGTAGTTACATTAATAATGACAAACGAGAGCACGATTCCGTTCAAATTTATTGAAAAACAATCCAGTTCTCAGCGGGTTTAAAAGCGGGAAATGTTTCTGATTCTGTTCAAGTGTTGGTGAAGGTGTGCAGATATATGCATGCGCTGTTTATGCATACTGAAATTGCTTTTTGAATAACACATTTCCGCTTTAAGGTTTAGAAGGAGTCGCACAAAGCCTTCAGATCTCTCCGAGTTGCTCTCGAAATGTAAACAATTAAAAGAAAAAAAAATTAATGATATCAACTACGCAAGTGCCGACACTTTGGTATTTGTGATCTCTATCTAACTTTCTCACCGGCGACATATCAACCTAATATCTCTCCGTTCTCTAAGTTTAAAGTTTTGTCTGTGTATGTGTGAGTGTGTGCAGTGTGTGTGTGGGTGTTAAGGATTCAAGATATTTCCGGCTCAATGGGGAATAAGCAATCGATAAATCAGTAGAGCTAACTGTGGAATTTGTATGTTTTGTGTGGGGTTCCGCTTTTTGTTTAGGAAAAGGACCCCGCTTGTCCCGCTTTCTCATCGTGTTCTCGTCTTGCGGCTTCTCATTCGCGTTCTCCAGGGCTATAGTGTTAGATATAGATGTAGTTCGTAGATATATAGACAGGTTGTTGTGTACAATGTGGAAATGGCTTAACGTTGTTAACTCAGGGACAATTGGTTGAGGGAGAGCAATCGCTCTACCGCCGCATTGATGTCCCCAAAGGTGGCGATTAGAGCTATGGAGCAAGAACAGAATGGATAGAATTAGAAACTGGGTTGCTTTGGAGGTTAATCTTATCTCACCCTGCAAATTGGCATCCCGGTTGGCGAAGCCCATGGCTGCCAGTTGCTCCAGCTGCGACTGGTAGCGCACCTCCGGCGGCTGCGTGCCGTCCGCATTGTTCGACATCCCGTTGAGCATGCGCATCATAAAGTCGTTGAAGAGCTGCGCATTGGGACCACCGCCAGGGGCTAGACTTGGTCCTCCAGCGGCCGGATTGCCGCTGCTCGGCGACACATTGTTGGTGGTGACTCCACCGCCATTGCCGCCGCTATTGCTGCCATCGCCGCTGGCCGGATCCGTGGCCGAATTAACGCCCGGCGGCGGCGGGGGAATACCCATGGTGCCGACGAGACCAGGTGCGGCGCTGCGCAGCTGTTCCATGCCCTGCTGGATCTGCAGGATGGCGTTCATCGCGTCCGGATTGGTCAACATGTTCATCACCTCCGGGTTCTGCATCTGGGCCATGAACTGTGGCATCATCTGGCGCACCTGCTCCTGCAGAGCGGGATTGTTCGACAGCAGCGGACTGCTGCTTAGCAGACGCGAGGCCATGTCCGGGTCCTGCGACATGGACTCCATCATGGAGCGCGTGTAGGGCGCATTTAGCAGGTTCTGCATAATGGCCGGATTGTCGGCCATCTGCTGGAGCAGACTGCGCATGGCCGGCGTGTTGAGGACATTGTTCGGCGGTAGATCACCGCCCGTTCGATTGCCTCCTGGGGTGCCGCCGCCACTGCCAGATCCAGTGCCATTTGTGGTCGAATTGGTGCCGCCGCCGCCGCCCCAGGGGTTCGGTAAGGGATTGCGATTCTCGGTGCCTTGCTGCGGATTGACGCCTGCACCAGATCCGCCGCCGTCGACTAGTCCGGCGAAGGGATTGCGACCAAAAGACTCGGTGGCTGCGTTCATCATCGGCTCCTGGATGTCGCGATAGATGCGCTGCAAAGCACTGTAGCCGCCCGGCACCGACTCCAAATTAGACATTGCCCGATCGTGCGAGCGCATCAACTCCTGCAGCATCGAGGGATTGCGGGCCAGCTCCATCGTCTGGCGCAGCAGATCCGGATTGTTAAGCATGTGCGAGATCTCCGGGTTGCGCTGCATCAGGTCCTGCATCTGGGGATTCGATGTGATCAGCTGGCGCATGGTCTCCGGGTTGTTCATCATCTGCTGCACCAGCGGATTGTCCATCAGGGATCGCAGCATGTCGCCGTTGTTAAGCAATTCGTTCTGCATGCGCGCCTGTAGATCCATAAAGGTGTTCGATCCGGCGCCAAGGGCCTCCATGCCGGCGAGTCCGCCAAATTGATTCAGACCGAAGGGCGTTTGGCGCACATCCGCCGGTGTGCGAGCCGGAGTCTCGTTGTTGCGCGTCGGCGCCTTAATCACCAGGTGCACCGTCAAATTGTCCTTGATGTTGTGCATCTTAAGCGTGTCCGTGTCCTTCATAATTTTGCCGGCAAAAATGAGCACCAGCTGCTCGGGCTCTGCCTCGAACTTTTGTGCAACCAGAATTTTGAACTGTGTGGCATGGAATAATGTGATTTGATTAATTGTAGGGGATTTAGTTACCTGTTTGACATATGGGTTTAAGGGCTTAAAACCAAATCGAATTGCCCTTTGCCACCCCTTTTTTTCAGAACGCACTGTACCAGCAAGGTGCAGCAAGTGCGCAAAGTGTAACTTAGGCAGCGGGCACTGTACCTCTGATTGTGGGCATTAATTGGCTCGCCCTGTGTAGCAATTGCAGCCAAAGGGGTGGCGCGGGGTAATCGATGGGATTGGGGGGGACCACCAAAAAAATAAGGGCCACCGAATGGGTCACGTGCATCGTACTCACATCTTTTATTCCAGAATCTTCGTCCACCTCAACCGTCTTCTTGTCCTTTGGCGTTTTTACAACCACGTTGATGCGCTTGCTGCCGCCTTCCGCCATTTCGATGGTGTAGTTATTGTGTTTTTCCGGGTTGCTTGTTTTTTACCGCCCTACGCCGATTTAGCTCGTAGTGTTAACGTCTTCACAACTAAAATTTTTATATTTTTCTGGTGCTCTGAATAGGTACGTGTTTTCAAACTAAATTATTTCCCATTTGATGAAAAGTAATTCGTCACTTTCTCACTCACACACACACACACATGCACACGCTCAGTTCGATTTTGACATTTACACACAAGCCAGGGCTGCCACAATAAGGTATCGATATATCGGTAATCGGAATGTTAAACCACTCTTATCAGGTGATAAGACAGTGCGCAACGTTTAAAAACGGGGTGTTCTCACGAGTCTGTGCAGGAACAAAGGTTTAACGGCCTTTTCGATTTGAATTGCTGTGTAAGTTGAACAGGTGCGACTATCGGGCTATCGCACAGGTAACCCTTTGTCAGATATCGCGTATCGAGCTGCGATAAGTTGCGATAAGTGGTCACACTGCAGACAACCCAAAAAATCGTCGACAATAACGCGAGCGGGGGCAGGGAGGAAAAACGATCGCCGTCCTTAGCCAACCGAGGATTCTGAATTTCTGCGCAGCCATAACTTAGCAAAACAAACCTAGCATCAGCTAAATATATCCTTAAGTAGTGAAGTGCCGAAATAAGAGAAAAAAGCAGCCCACCACACCTGGGGACAGCAAAATGTTTTAAAGCCACTTCCAGGAACGCAGCGTATAAACGGTTTCTGAGAACTGTCCACCAATACAGAGCCACAAGTGCCACGGCCAGCAAGGTGTTCTTGTGAGTGTGTGCGCGAGAGCGGCCTATCGGTGTGCGCGTGTGTGAGCCGAAAGAGAGTTCGAGGAGGAGGAAAGGGAGAAACCAAACTAGAGTGACCCCACTAAACAACAGCAGCTGGAGAGGATTAGAGTGAAACTTGACAGCGGTGGTGGATTAGGAATAAGGAAAATGTGGCCCAAGGCGCAGGTCGTCCTGCTGCTCTTTATGCTGCTCGCCGGTTGCGAGGCGGGCGTGGAGCCGGGTTGGCTGATTCCCGACAAAGTGGAGCAAGTCATCGGTGGCGACTTTAAGATCAGTTGTACTTTGAACGAGGCCTACTTCCGCGAGGTGAACGCTACCGAGCGCTGCACAGTGGAGGAGCTGTACTTTCTGGCCGGCAAACGGGAGTTCCGCAATCTGCCCGACATTCGGCGGCTCAACAAAACGACGATCCTCTTCAGCGCCCAGAACGCCTCCGAGCAGGAGCAGGAGTACCTGTGCATGTGCCGCGACTATGTGATCAACACCTCGAAGGTTTACGTGGGCACCAGTCCGCTGTTGGTGCGCGATTTCAATTGCCTGGATTACGACTTCCAGTTCATGGTGTGCAACTTCACCCAGCCGCCCAACAAGGTCATTACCAAGTACAACATCAGCTACAACACCAACAACGATTGGCGGTACAGCAATTCGCTGGACTGCAACTTCGATGCGGCACCTGTGGTCACATGCAACCTGACGGATGATAATTACAAGCGCTTCAGCGAGACCTTCTACTTCAAGCTGTTCATTGTGAATGCTCTGGGTCACGAGACGCAACCGATTACGATGAACCACTTTGAGCGTTTGGTGCCAGCGAGGCCTGGCCAAAACCTGACCCTGGTCAACAGGACGGAGAGCTCGGTGTGCCTGTCGTGGGAGATGCCTCGCCGGTCCAACTACAACCGTGGCTTAACTTGGCAGGTGCGCGTAGCGCCGGAGAACTTTGCCACTCTCAATCGGACCAGTTGGCGCAACAATAGCTCCACGATCAAGGACACACTCTGCCTCACGGAGCTGCCCTTTCCCTTTTACAATTACACGCTGCGTGTGCGCGTGCGCGCCAACCAGAATAACACAATGTGGAGTGATCCCCTGATCTACGGCTTCGAAACCGCTCCCGCGCGGCCACGGCGTCCTCCGCGAGTCACCTACGGCAGCTTCTATGTTTACTCATCGGAGGAGGGCATGCGATTCTTCTGGGAGCCACTGGAACGGCAGGAGCACAACGGGCCGGACTTCAAGTACATCATCAGCGAGTATCGCATCAATGGAACCCTCATGTGAGTACGAGGATTAACCGAAAAGTAATTGCAATCGAGGTGAAACTAATTAGACAACGAAGTGATATAATCAATTGCTTCTTTATTTGTTGATAACTCGTATTCCCCTGCCGCTCAAGTAGTTCAATTCGATACACAGAAAATAAAGAGTGTGTGCTTATGGTAAAAGTTTTCAATTTGTATTTCCATATCACTTTCATATTTTAATCATTTGTTTTGATGTTTTCTAATCTCGAAAAAGAAAGAAAAGATTATCATCGTTTCATTTGTTTTAAACAAAGCCTAAAAAAAAAGAAACTAGTTTTTTTTTTCATTAAGTACGAAAAGGATTTTCGAATTTAATTTGTAGTCTGTATCAATGATACTTTAGATTATTTTTTGAGGTGCATGGGGACCTATATGATAAGTGTGATAAGGGCTTTGCCAGACTTTGGCACCTCAATTAGTCAGTGGCAAACCTGTCTCAGTCTCAATTCAATGTGTACACACATTCGTGCTACGGCGGAGAGATTCGCCGGAAGACGGAGACGGCGACGGCGACGATTTCTTGAGAATACGTAAGGCAAGACATACGGCGTAGTATTTGCAGAAGCACACACGCGGAGAGCCACATTCCCATTCCCATTTTCATTTTCATTCCCATTCCCATTGTGGGGTTCCGTTGAAAATGTTTATTTTTATCCATTCGCCCGAAGTGCCGATGTATCTACACACATCCATATGCACACCAGTAGCAGAAGCAGAAGCAGCAGCAAAAACACGTTCATTAATAGGAAGATGGGAGGTGTTTTGTGCGAATGCACTTCCACAGAAATCGGAGCCAGATACACCGATACCCTGCACTCATCGCCATCGCCATTTGACGCCACTACTTTGTGTATCTTAAAAGTAATGGATTTGCAATATATGTTCATAGGTACTTATTAGTTAGCAGTATCTTTGCCTGCAAAATTGATCTTATTTAGTTCGGTTCTTAATCAAAAGTATTATTTATTTACTTGTTTCGAAATACAAAGCAAAAAACTAGTCTTTGTGATAATTTCGTTTGAAAGCAATTATTGCCTTCAGAGTTCAGAAACATTTAGCTTGGAAAAACCAGCACATGACTTATTAAATCAATCTGTACTGGAAAACCAGATGATAATAATTTCTCAGAACCCTCTTAAAATAGTTTCTCGTGAATTGAGCTGATAGTCGTTTCATTATAAAAGTTCTATCTTTTTAAAAACATTGGACAACATTGTATAAAACCAAACCATCTTGTTTACAAATATTTTATAGCAATCTGATGATACAATAAATGAAATTTGTTCAAATGTACTTGTAGCTTTAAAAAACATTCAGAATGTTTTCAAAAGTGACTATTTATTAAGAAATGAATGGTGTAGCTTTTTCGGCAGGATTCCTAATCCAAAACCCGTCTCCCTTTAAACTTCTTCAGGGACCCTGGCCTCATCAAAGTGGAGAACAACTCGGCGATGATCGAGCACTGGGACATGAATGCGGTGCACCACTTCCTCATCCGGAGCAGCAACAGCGAGGGATTGTCGGTGAACGCCACCCCGATGACGATCGGTCCGATTAGCAACCGCGACTTCCGTCAGCGGGTCCCGAAGAACATCCGCAGCGAGTACCATTCGATCAACAACAGCTACACGCTCAGCTGGGAGCCGCCGGAGGACCGGCTGGAGCTGCGCAACTACACGGTCTTCTGGTGCGAGCCCAAGCCGGGCCTCCAGTCCGAGTGCAAGGGACCGATCCGCTTTGCCGAGGTCTCCAGCGACCATCAGCACTTCACCACGGCTCGGGGACAGAGCACGCTGCACATGGCCGTGTCGGCCAACTATCGCACGCACAACACCGGACTGCGGTGGCACATCTGCAGCAGCGACAAGATGGACGACCTGGCCAAGATGGAGCCCTCGATCGATGTGGCCACCAGCAACTCGCTGAGGGTCAGCTGGGTGACGGAGCGCGTGTGCCCGGTGATCCTGGAGGGCTACAAGCTCACCTACTGCCAGCGATCCAGCGGACGTCCCGATAACTGCACCACTGTCGCGATTGGAGATCGCTATGCCACCAAGTACGACATCAGGGACCTGATGCCCTACACGGAGTACAGCGTGAAGATGCTCATGTACTCGGAGTCGCGGGCCAGCAAGTACAGCGACGAGCTGGTCAATCGCACCAGCGAGGCGGCGCCCAGTCAGCCGCGCGATCTGCAGCTCATCCGGGTGACCAGCGCCAGTGCCCAGCTGAGCTGGAAGACGCCGCTCATGGCCAACGGGATGGTGCGCGCCTACGAGGGCACCTTCAAGTCCCTGCACGACAACGTCACCGAACACTTCCGGGTGATGGCCTCCACCATGGAGCTGGTGGACAACGAGAAGCCCATCTACTACCGCCTGGGCAACCTGACCGCCTTCACCGACTACGAGGTGAGCGTGCGGGCGAGGACGCTCTTCTCCTCGGAGCCCAGTAACGTCATCAACTTCACCACGGCTATCGGAGGTGAGTCAGCACTTCTCCCTCTTTATCAAGGGGTTTTTTTTATTTATGGGGGTGTGTCTATTTTCGCTAATACGAATTCAAATAAACAGGAATGCGAGATAAGCAAACAAACTTAAGTCACTGTTATTAACTGTTCAGTGTCGTGTTACTATATACTATGTATATAATTAACACCTTTGTTAGTAAGCCTTATTTACTATATATATCTACTATATACACTAAAGTGAACATTTCTCTGCGCAGTTCCGTCGCCGCCAACGCTGCAGGTGACGAACAACAAGGACCAGAGCTCGCGGCTCGAATGGCAGCCACCGAGGATGCCGGCGGGCAGCATTGACTACTACGAGATCTCGCTGCGCGACAACAACGCCACCTGCCTGATGAACATCGTGCTGCCGGGTCGCAATCGCAGCTTCACGATGCCCACGCCGCGCTGCACCAGCCACAATCCCTTCCAGCTGGCGGTGCGCGCCATCAATGTGGATCAGCATCCGCAGTTCGAGGGCCTGGATGCGGCGGAGAGTGCACTGCTATCGCTGATGTCGTCGCGGGCCGGCCAGGGATGCGAGCCCCAGACGGACGCCCTGGGCGAGCAGGAGCGACGGCAGTTCGAGACGTATGCGGGGAACAGCACTGCCTATCGGCTGTACAGGTCCGAGTGGGATGCGTACGGGTTCATCTGCACCCCGGACACGAACAGTGTGAAGGCCATGTACCGAACGGTCGAGGTGTCGGTGGCCATCGTTGTGCTGGGCGTGATTTGCTACCTGGTGTACAAGAAGTACCGCAAGATGTCCGACATCGACTTGGTGCTGCCGCAGGGCATCATGGAGACCCTCAAGAAGCCGATGGACATGGGTGGCCTGGGCCTCGGCATCGGACCCGATTCCTCCGTCAGCGGTGGCATCGTTTGCACGCGCGTCGACGATTCGCCGCAGTACACGCCGCAGGATCTGCCGCACGACTTTGGCAGCTGCGGCAGCGAGAGCTCCAAGCTGCTGCGCACACAATTCTCCACCGGCGGCATTGGCTGTGTGGACGACGACCACCAGGAGACGGCGCCCATTAGCGCAGTGGCGCCCCCCACCAGCTACTTGTCCATGCGGCACGGGCTGCTCGTGCAGAACGATCGCGAGCGGGAAAGGGAACGTGAGTTGGCGATGGAACGTGAGCAACAACATCAGCAGCAGCAGCAGCAACAGCAGCAGCGGGAAAGCGATATGGAGCGGGAGCAGCGGAACACCAACGGTTACATCAAGCCCACGCAGATGAAGAGCTGGGCGGCGGGAGGCAATGCCAATGGCAACGGCAATGCAGTTCAAGCGCCGCCGATGTCCATGCCGCTCAGTGGCTATGTGCCAGTGCCCATTCCCCAGGCGCGGTTCAATCCTCCTCCGGCTCCGGTCCAGACAATGGCACCCGCTGCTTCGGCCGCCTCCGCCTTCTTTCCGCCGGCCCATCTGCTCAACATGGACAACTACGTGCAGGCCTCGGATCTGCACAAGCTGAAGCCGCTCGTCTCACCGCCAATGACGTCCTCGCCAACAGTTGCCAGCCAACAGCAGCAGCAGCAGCAGCAACAGCCATCGACCCAGCCAGTTGGTCAGCCCACTGCGCCCGCGCCAAAAATGGCCGACATCGGGTACACCACCATGGAGCAGCTGCAGCTGACCGGGCTAATAAAGCCGCCATTGCCGGCCGCTGTGGGATCGCCAGCTCATCACAATGCAGGAGGAGGAGGAGTTGGAGTTGGAGCGGCGCCCTCTCGCCTCCAGCCGCAAATCAATGGCTATGTCACGCCCCAGGATCTAAATGCACTGGCCCACAATCGACAAGTGCTCTAGAGGAGAAGGAGGAGCAAGAGCAAGAGCAAGAGCAGGAGGAGAAGGAGGAGGAGTCAGTCCGCCACATTGCATGCAACCTCACTCTCAACGTGACATCCTATCAACCAACCATCATTCAATTTGTGTCCAAACGAACCCCATTCGCATCCCGTTCCAATGCCATGTCATCCACCATGGGTCCACCAATTCTCCGGCAGCTGTTTATAGTAATTAGTTGAGACTCCCCGTTTTTATTTATTTTATACTTCTTTGCGATGCGTGTGAGGCAAAAAGTATTTTGAATAACGCTGTAGTATTTTTTTTATATATACATATTTATATTCGTACGTGTACAACTTAACCATCCGCGCGCGTCGACAGATCGAGCTTTTAAATTTAACATATTAAATATATAATAATATATAACGCACACCGCTGTATGTCAAGATAAAATTAATTTTAAAAAAATCTCAACGTTTCGTTTTGCTTTTATTTTTCGCGGGCTTGGATTTAAGCTCGAATGGTCATCGGTCAATCGAACATTTCTTATCGATAAGTATGCCGAGCTCCGCTGTTCGAAATTCGAATCGGTCAGTTGTGAAGTTATTGAGCTGCGAGAAGGTTCGTTTCTCTTCGAATTGCATCGTTCGCCTGGAGTGTTATCAGTGCATTAAAAACATTTAAATTATCATCGATCTTTTGATGTGGTCAATGTTATTTATTTTTCTTGCAGGGAAAAAAGCTTCAGGGCAATAAGATAGTTATTAAATGAAACTTTTAGCAGCATAGAAACGTTATAAAAACAAATAGTTATCATAACGTTTTTTTAACTACTTTGTGCTTCTTTATTTGAAACTTATTTATCATTAATTCGAAACTGTACTGCCATTTGCAAAGGGGCGATAATCACGTTCAAAGCATTTGCTCAAAGTTAATTACATATTTCCTAATCGCCCTGGTTCTAAGTTATGCATTTTAATGATGGAATTTTTGATGTGAAAGCTTTGATTTAACGATCTATAATTCAGAACCCAGAGCAAACTAAAAAGCCCAGCTAATACCTAGTATTCAATTAATCTACAGCTAGAGCTATGTTTACTTCGGTTGAAGTACACATAAATCAGAGAATAGCCAAGACCTAGAAATTCGTTAAGACAAATATCCAACCCGAGACAAAGGAGAAAGGATGTGCAGGAAATATAGTCCCTTTATGGTTTCTAATTGTTACCCCAAGGTTATATAAGCTTTCAGTTGACCAAGTCAATTTAATTTCGGTTTTATTTCCCCTTTTTTTATAATATAGTTCAGCGATAAGAGAACACAAACGTTACCAGAACTAATGGGATGGAGGACATGGCTGCTGATTAATATGCTGGTGCTCGGCTCTCTGGCAAAGTGTATGGATTTAGGGCCGGAGTCGGAGTGCACGACGATGGAGGTGTGGTCCTCGAATGATTCCCAGTGGCGAGTCGGTGGAATCGGCGAGGTCTACTGCAAGGGATGCGAAAACGTTGATCCGCAGGACATGGTCTTCCACCTGCCGCGAAGGAATCTGCCCCGACAATGGCTGGACAGCAGCAACACCACTCTGGTCCACTCGGAGGGGAACCTGAACAGCACCTGGGAGCTGCGTTTCGAGTGCCTCTACCAGGATGCCCTGATGGGATCCGCCTCCGTGAAGGTGTTCCCACTGATGAACGTCACCGATTTCGAGTGTCGCTACAAGGGATATACTTTAATCTGCACCTTTAGCCGTTCGGAGTTGGAAAGCTTTGTGGCCGTGACCAGCTACCAATTGGAAATGAACTCTTTGAAGCCCGTCGATTGCGAGAGAGTGGAGAACTCAACTAGGATAACATGCCGGGTGTACATCGCTTCGTTGAAGCCCAATGAAAGCCGCTTTGTTTTGACCATGATCGATACTTTGGGCAATCAGACGCAGCACTTCAATTTCAGCAAGTACGAGATGATGGAACTTGAATGGCCAGCGGAAGGTCCCAAGATCAAGATGCGATATGATAACAGAACCTGCCTCACCTGGAACTGTCCCTATGTTCTTCACGACGAAAGGGTTGAGTACAATTTGCTATTGCAGCACTCGAATCCAAAGCTATCGAGGAATATCACCGAGACCAAGGAGCTTGTGGGCGGCCTTCTTGTGTATGAGATTTGCTTCGAAACTCCGCGGCAGGGCGATCAAAGGTTTGATGTGATCATAAAGCAGCGGTTTGCCCAAAAGGATGCTCCCTGGTCGAAGGACTTTAGACTTAGCTTTACCACCAACAAAACATTGCCATCCCGTCCGCCGGAATTCCTGCCCAATGGCTTCCACTATGATCCCAATAAAGCACAGTTGAGGGTCTACTGGGAGCAGCTGGACAAGATCGAGTTCAATGCCCCCAAACAGAGTTACGAAGTTCTAATCGAATCGGGGTAAGTTCAAACTACATATAAACCATCTTGTATTCTAGATTATTGGAAATGCTTTTATTGGTCTCCCCGAAATCGTTCTTGAAAATTAGTTTGAAACCATTTTTATCTCCGAAATTTTACAATTTTTTCTTTAGGAAACCCTGAACTCGAAAACTCTAGTGTAAACAAATAAATCAGAGTCGAGGTTTTTGTGTTTTTTTTCTGAGAAATCGTTTCAATTTTATTGCGTTAAACACGCGTCACATTATCTGCTCATTTTTCCAGGAAAAAATACTATATAATTTTATTAAGAATTCGTACCGATAACGCTTAGATTGCTCCCTATTATTTTTTCTTTATTTCATTTATTATTTCTTTGTTCGCCAACAAATATATTTTTACATCCTTAACAGCCTTTTATCATCAAGTAATTCAAGCCATGTGCTTTGCAAATTGATCGGGTTAAGCGTTTTTAAAGAAACTTCTTAAATTTAAGTTAGTTAAGTTAGTTAAAAAGTAAGAGAAGTAAAACCTTAAACGGAGTTTTGCCAGTTAAAAGCTGGTATTAATTCTTCTAGTTGATCGTTTCGATTGTTCCAGCAAGAATGCCTCCATCACGAATCGCAACTCCGCGCTCTTCAAAGACTGGAATCCCTCGGGTCCAACGACGATATCGATTTGGAGCCGGAACGAACTGGGTCGGTCGCTGAGGAGCAGCCGAATGGTGGTGCCCGACCTGCACGACGCCAATATGCGACAGCCGTCGCAGCAGGAGTACAACACCTCAACGAACACGCTCACCTGGCGTCCTCCCGAGGACGAGGCGAATCTCCTCCGTTACATTGTCGTCTGGTGCAAGGCCTCCAGTGTGAACTACGACGAGTGCAGCGACGAAGAGCCGATTGAGAAGCGCTTTACCCGGGAAACGAAGTACAGGTTCGATGGACCAATGCCCCTCCATCGAATGGCGGTGGCAGTCGAATATAGTGACAATGCCAGCGGAGGACTCACGTGGCTGGGCAAGGCCAGGAGTACTCTGTTCGAATCGACGATGCGCATTTTCGAGGGCATCATAGCCATGCTGGTGGTGATTGCTGCTCTGGCCGTGTTGGTCTTCAAAAAGGTGCGAAAGATGGCCAACATTCGGGTGGAATTGCCGGACATGGATTTCGGCCCTGCTCCAAGCTGCCAAGGTCAGGCGAACATCCAGATGCCGGTGGAATCGGTTCCGGGAAGCATGCACGCCAGAATCTACTACTCGGATCTACTGACAAGGGCAAGGGATTCCCCGGAACCCATCGACTACAACTGGCAACCGGAAAAGCCAAGCCAAGGAACACCCATTGTGCCATTGAGCCCGTATGTCCACATGAACGGATCGAATCCAATTTGCAACGATGGCTACTTAAAAGCTCCACCACCAAGGGCAAGGGATTCCCCGGAACCCATCGACTACGACTGGCAACCGGAAATGGAAGTTGAAGAGGTTAGCGCACAGCCAAGCCAAGGAAAACCCATTGTGCCATTGAGTCCGTATGTCCACATGAACGGACCGAATCCAACTTGCAACGATGGCTACTTAAAAGCTCCACCAGCAAGGGCAAGGGATTCCCCGGAACCCATTGTGCCATTGAGTCCGTATGTCCACATGAACGGACCGAATCCAATTTGCAACGATGGCTACTTAAAAGCTCCACCAGCACGATAATGAGACATAAACATTTGTAAATATGTAAAGTTAGAGATTCCAGTTCAATACTCGCCTTGCATCATTGTGATTCATTTAAAAGTAGTTATCCATTATTATCATCCACATTTCATTTTAATTAGTTATAATTATTGAGGTAACGTCCTGAAAGTTAATTTTGATAGGAAACATTTTAACTATTTGCAACCTTTTTTTTTTAGCTATAAAAGTATAGCTTTAGAATTAGAATACGCTCGTATTTATTTATGTTAATGTTTAATAAAAAAATTCTCGTACAAACCAAAGAAAAATAATTACAAATAACCAAAAAAAATACATATCGTATATGTATGTGCGTAAGGACAGAGAGGAGCAGGTGGAAGTGGAGTGGGTGGAAGTGGAGGAGCAGGTGGAAGAGGAGTATGTGTGTTCTTGAACCCAAGCCCGAGCTGGAGGGCATGACCCCTCAGAGATTGGAGGTGGCCCCCTTGCCGCCGTGCCACTTGTACGAGCCGGAGTACTTGAAGTTGTTCTCCTCGCACTTGCGGTCCGCCTGCTTGGGGCCACGGGAGCCGTACTGGTAGGTGATCGGCTGGATACGCTCCCGCTCGATCTGGTGCAGGATGGGCGTGAAGATGCGCCACGCCTCGCGCAGCTCGTCGGAGCGAACGAAGTGCATTTGGGAGCCGCAGAAGACGTCCAGGATCAGTCGCTCGTAGGCATCCGGCAGGTAGGAGTCCTTGTACCGGTGCTCGTACGTCAGATCCAGCTCGGTCTCCTCGATGTCGAAGGTGATGCCGGGACTCTTGGTCATCATCTTGAAGTACAGCGCCTCGCCGGGCTGGACGCGGATGACCAGCTCGTTGCGCTTCGTGGTGCCCTCGAAGATGTCGCCGGGGACGTCCTGGTACTGGATCCTCACCTCCGCCTTGCGTTCGTTCAGAGCCTTGCCGCAGCGCAGGATGAAGGGCACTCCCTGCCAGCGCTCGTTGTTGATCTTCAGCACGCCCATGGCGTAGGTGGGCGTGTTCGAGTCATTGCTCACGGTGGGATCCTCCAGGTAGCCCGTGCGCGCATCCTCCGTCGCTCCCTGGGGATTGCCCAAATACTGGCCCAGGACCATGTCATCCAGCGTCAGGGCCTGGATGCTCTTCAGCACCTTGACCTTCTCGTCGCGAATATCGTCCGGATGGCAGCTGACCGGCTTCTCCATCGCCACCAGCGACAGGATCTGCAGCAGGTGGTTCTGCATCACGTCGCGAATGATGCCGAACTCGTCGAAGTAGCCACCGCGACCCTGGGTGCCGAAGGGTTCCTTGAATGTGATCAGCACGGAGGCGATGTTCTCGCGGTTCCACGTCGAGCTGAGGATCTTGTTGCCGAACCGTATGGTCATCAGGTTCTGGACCATCTCCTTGCCCAGGTAATGATCGATGCGGTACAGCTGATCCTCGTGGAACAGCTTGGCCAGATGGTCACTCAGCGCCTGCGAGGAGGCGTCGTCTCTGCCGAAGGGCTTCTCGATGATCACGCGGTTCCAGCCGCTATAAAAAATATAGATATTATCATAATACAATGTTATATGCTTTAACTAATATTTGTTAAACAGTTTTTCTATTATTTGTTACTGCATCTTAGTAGCCTTTAGATCCTAGTACTCACCACACCGACATGCAAATCTCCTTGATGTTAATGGTCACCTGCTCGAAAACGCTGGGCGGCAGGGCCAAGTAGAATATCCTGTTGGCCTTGTTCTTGTTCTCCATCAACTCCAATTGCTGGTTGAGCAGCTCGAAGCCCGTTCGGCCATCGTAACTGCCAGAAACATATTCATTGAGGCCCCAGAACTCCTCGTACTTCTTCTGCTCGTTTTGCTGGAGCTGCACGGATAAGCGATGGGTTAGGGATCCACAAGATATAGCTTGGACATGGGTTAGAGAAGTACCTTCATGTAGGGCAGGCACTGCACTTTGAGAGCGGCAATCGTGAGCTTGGAACGAGCATAGCCGCAGAATTTCGTGGGCTTCGGCAGGAGATCGTCGCGATAGAGCCACCACAATGTTGGATAGATCTTCTTCTTGGCCAAATCGCCGGAAGCCCCGAAGATCACAAAAGTGTGGGGGATCTGGCCATCGAAGTGGGTGCCCTCACAAACCATTGTCGGGGACTTGAGCGATTTTATGATGAGATCCAGGGCGGTGTGATCTGCAACGAAACGAAAAAAACATCATTGAAAATCACTACCAGTTTTGGTTATTCCTACCAAAATCCATCCAAGGTTATTTTCTATAAAGATATATCAACTATGGAATTTAAAACACTTTCTTCTTTTCTGAAAACTAATATAAACTAAACCCTTTTAATCGTATCTTTAAATTGCCAAAAAAAAAACCCATCTAACTGGGGTTACCCAAAAATCAATAGAAAAAAGATTTTTTAAAAGGTACTAGAATATTTTGTGTCGAGGCATTTTTGAATTCCCACCAACAAGTTATTCAAAGTCTACTTCCAGGTTGATATAATGTACCTTTAACTTTAGCTTGGAGTGTGATAGAAAAATATTTGAAAGTCATAATGATTTTTTTAAATAGAGTATTATATACATATATAGTAAGAGGGGAAGTTATGTGTGTAATTAGCATTGTGAAAATATTTTAAGGAAAGAATGGGTCATATCATTTGACTTGTTTTCTTAACCCTTTCCTACGTGTTCTGAGGGACGTTAGGACTCACCGAGCTCCCGGAGGAAAGTGAACGCCGAAGGTCGTGTGCAGACTTTATTTGAGCTGGTGGAAAGGGCGATAAGCACTCGATAAGAACCGAATCCGTTGTCTAATCACCGCCGAAGCCGATGACTGGCCAAGCAATCCGTGAGCGGGAGCACTGCCAGAGGTCACCCTCCCAACCAGCAGATAGTGGACCTCTGGAACCGCTGGAAACGGGTGTGGAAATCGGCGGCCAGGTCGGAAAAGAACGACCAGGTGGTGGCAGGAAAACGCGGAAGCGCTTTCGCGTATCTTTCGATGCGGTTGGCACAACAGCGAATGAAAATCGCTCAACTGCGGTTCATTCGGCTGTTGGGTTGACTTTAACAAGGTGTTGGCGATGAACCAGGCAGCGACGTCGACTTCGCAGCGATCGTCAATCGCCAACTGTGAGCACAAAGTGCAAGCGACATGTAATAGGTGTAATCTTCATACATATATATCCAAAACTTGGCTTCGGAATAGGCCCCATCAGTTTCAAGCCGATCGCGTGGCGGAAAAGCGTCAACAGATGCGCCCCCACAGGGGCTCATTAAAGCGCCTTTGATTTGACCTTTTCAAAGATACTATACGATTTTATCAATCCGAAAAATCACTTACGTAGCTCTTCGATCTAATTATTCTTATCATAGGAAACAGTAAGCTTCGAATAATATATTTAGTCTAGCCAAAATATATAGTACATTTACTTGTTGAGGAATAACCTTAGTTACCTTTGGTTTTTGCAAGGTAACATCGAACTATCTCGACTTCCTTAGAACACAAGTACTAGTCAAGTTACAGAATTTTTAGGAAATCATTATCAAAAAGATAACGGTGAAATAGTCAACCTTTTGAAATTCAATTATTGATTTAAGATACAAAGCTAAGACCCATTATTTTATTTGAAACAGTCAAGTAAAACCGAGTTTTTGGTAGAGATTGAAACAATAAGGTAATAATCATCATGAGTCGTTTAAAAGTCAGACGACGTATCACGTGTTGGTACGGACAATTCAATTACTGCTAGCGAAGGGTAAACACATTTTGAAATTGAGAAAATTAACAATAAATATTTAAAAGTATTTTCCTTGCTTTAAACAGAAAAGGCATACTTTTCGGCTGCAGAGGATCTGAAAAATCTGCGATCTGGGGGAGCAAACCAGATTGGGTCTGTAGATGATGACTAAGTGGACTCCTTTGAATGCCAAGATTGTGAGTCAAAGCATTACAGTCAAACTCCCATAACTCGAACTTCTTTAATCTCAAGGCTTTGAAATTAAAATTTGACCTTACATTCGAGAAAGGTTTTGCTTTTAACTTTAGGAGTACAATTTGATTGATGGACCTGTTTTAAATATTAGCCATTGAGTGTAACAGTGAATATATCAGTTATATTTATATTTTAGAAATATATATATGTATATATTTTTTTGGTACAAGATGGTTCGATTTGTGGAGGTCGGACTGTAATCTCGGCCGCATCGCATTTGACATTGACACAGACGAAGGCATTGGGGCAAGGAGAATCGCGTAGTGGAGAACCGGAGAACGGAGAATGTAGCAGGGAGAAAGAGAAGAGAGAGCCAAAGAGAACAAGGTAACGTGTTTGAATACATTAAATGCCAAGCGGGTTTTGTGTCTATTTTTGTTTTGGAAAGGCTTTTCGTAAGACAACGCTTATGAACCCACAGGTGAGGTAATTATTTGTGCGTTGAATGTTAAGGTACATTCATGTTCCAATGTCATTGTCAGTGGAGATTGGACAACGGTGAATGGAGAATGGAGACCAGGGGTCGTCATGCCGGGTCTTCATGCCGGGTTTTAATCTTGGGGAACGGGATTGAATCGGGAATGAGAACGAAACCAATTGCTGTTGTTGTTGCTGGTTATTATCGGTTGGTAATTGTGGAGTGAGAGTGAGAATGAGAGCGGGAAGATTGATAAGACTGGCGTCCGTTGCTTTTTTGTAGGTGACCCCAGTCGAAGAATACACTTTTGAAGGGCGCAATCGCCCACCTGACGCGACAGTGATCACGAAAAGTTTGTGCCCCCGGCAACTCATATTTGAATTTGTTGCCAACAATCAGAATCGATTAAATCGAGAAAGCCAAATCCCCGAACCGATATACTCACCTTCCTTATGCGTTGCCATCTTAACCTGTGTGTTATATCCGCCGCAAAAAAAAAAAACAACAAAATTCAAGCGATCGGTTTTTGTTTGCCTTCGGAGATTTCACCACCGAAAAAAAACTTAAAACGTTGTTTGTTAATTAACCTTTGCGGCTTTTTCGCCCGAAACGCAGTGTAATTACATTGACCAACGAAGAGTTACTGTCTGTTGTTTTTCGGCTTGTCTTGTTTAACAATTAAACTACGGAGTCGCGGAGCTAAGTAATGAAGCTAAGCACGATCATTCCCTGACTGACTGAAGCATAAAATAAAGCGGCGACGGCGGCACTTGCCAATGGCAACAACACCAACCGACGCTTTGTAAACCCCGACTGCGACGGTCGATCGCAGCACAGGAGCGGATTTGGTAAACTAAACTTAAAAAAAAAAAAATCTGATTAATTAACAATTTGTATAGACATAGTAACCAATAACTTATATTTAAAGTCCAAGTCAAATGATGACAAACAATATATTATTTTGCTAAGCTTAGCGTTCCAAATTACCGGCGCGAAAACTTATATATTAAATTTTCTTTTTTTGTTAAGGGTGAATATAACTGTTATTTAAAATAAAGAATTATAGAAGGTGTAAAACAAAAGTTTAACGTCAAAATAAAAATCATTTAAATGAATGTGCAAACTCAGTAACGTTTTATCATTGTATTTTGCGGATCGAAATAATATAATAGCAAAAACATTGTGTATATTAACTTTAAAATATTTGCTTTCAGTAAACAGATATGCATCGGCTATTTGTAACACATAGAGGCACACAATTTTAAATATATCTTACAAACTTTAAACCAAAAAGTAATTTGGGGACTCAAAGCTCTTGTTTAAATAACCGTGCTATAAAAATTTTAAAAAGAAAATAGTGTAGGTAATATAAGTTCGAATGACAGCCAAAGTTCAAATTAGGATTCGTTTTGATCAACATTTTGTGTTCAGAACCCGATGCATTTGTTAAACCAAAATAAACAAATTTTGAATGTCAACAAGAAAACCTCCTTGACTGGCGTACTATTTTTATTCCAATCATTATTGTTGTGAACACAATCTGAGTAAGTCATCTGCCTTGGTTGGTTTTTATTGTATTCACCGTATCGAGCTTGCACTGTATGTATTTAGTATCGTGTACTGGAGCCCGCAGCGGGCCTTCCTTTGGCTATTTTGCTTGAAACATTCGGCACAGATGATCTTCGGGTGCTATTGATTAGGCTATAAAAATGGCAGGCGGACTGGCGCCCTGTCTGAACAATATGAAAAAACTAAGCTAGATTAGAAACTACACCCCTCTGGCCACAAGGTGGAGCCCCAAAGGCCCCGATCTCCCCATCGATCCGCACCTGGTTGGCTCTCCATTCACACACGCATACGCACACGCACGGCTCTGTGTAATGCGAGTTTTTTCTGTTTTCACACATGAATCAAATCGTATCGCAGCAGAGCGAAGAGTTGGAAAGAGAGTGAGAGCGGGAGATCGGAGTATCGGTCAGATGGTCGGTTAAGAAATCCCAGTGATAAAATCCAGAGACGACGAGCAGAACGAATGCGGATCTTCCGCCGGAACTATAAGGAATACGGACACGTGTACACATACTACATATGAAAGGGTTACGGATCCGCCGTGCTGTAATGGTCACCATTTGATGAGTGCTGTGTGTCTGTTTCATTACAAATTCATGAGCCATTGCCAGAGAGTGCAGGTGTGTGTTGAGATTGGATTTTGAATCGGTTGTGTGAGGGCATGCATGCTTTGTGTGTGTATGTGTGTGTGTGATGGCCCCTTCTCTATTTACAACTTTCTTAGATGCTAGGTTCCCAATTCCGGGACCCGCAGCCCCACGTTTCCTACACCCTTTGCCACAAGGATCCAATCCTGGGCGGCAGGGCGAGCGATTCACTCGGCTGGAACGCAGGGAGACTACGGGAGTGTGGTGTTGGTTGTCTGGGTTTCGGTGACGTCGGTCGTCAGTAGAAGAGCACCGAGTGCAGAATGACCCGTTTGCGCCGCTCCTCGAACTCCTGGATCATTTCGTCGATGTCATTGTCCAGATCCGTTGACTTCGCCATCTATAAAGCGAAAAGATAATTAAAGACAGTAAAGAGCTGATCGTCTTATTTTGGTGGATCCTACCAAGTTTATCATGTCCGTAATAAGGAAGGCACCCATTAGCGCATCCTCTGCGTTGTCCACCACATCCACATTGATAACGTGCACGGGCCGGTTGTCCACCGAGTCCAAAGACTCCATGTGCAGCACCACCAGATCGTAGACGCGCTCCTCCACGGTCACGATGATGTCGAACTGCTCTTTGGTTTCTTGGAAGCGCTCCGGGCACTTTTTGATGCGCCGATTGCGGTCGAGCATATGTAGCAGACCATTCTGTGTGTAACTGTGTGTATTTGAGTGGAAAAAATGAAGATGATTAGAGTACAGAATGTGGACCTTTCATGGCAGAACTCACAACTCCTTGTCCTTGGACTCCAGGTCGCGGTAGATGTCCTCGTAGCTGGTGCCGAACTCGTAAACATTCGGCTTGTCGAACGCCATGCCGGGCAACTTCACCCGCTCGCCGGTTCCGTAGGAGCGCACGTTAAAGCCCTTCTTGGCCAGGAAGTTGTGCGCCTCCATCGATCGGTTCATGTTCGAGGAGCAGACAACGGCCACGGACAGCTTGCTGGGATCAGTCATTTCTCTTTGGCAGTGCGGTGATTATCCAGTCCTCAAAAAAATCTACGTTCACCCAAGGTTTTGGAAGCAGTATGACAGTCACTCGGTTCTGACAACTAATGAAAAGTTGGTGTGGCCAGCTGTTGCCGCGCGCAGTTGGTTATACTCAGTTCGCACCGGGACCCTTGGTAGTATGAATGTGGTGAGCTCTTCAATTGAATTTGAGTTTAGCACGTTTAATTCGGAACCGGAGAAATCGGACTCAGAAGTATAGGATTTTGGGCACTGTTCGGCAAACCCATTTTTCCAAAAATTTGGCCAGAAGACCCAAATTTATATAAACCACAAACTTATAGAGGTATGCCGCTTTAAAATCGGAGATGACATAAAAAAATGATGGGCTATGAAGTGAAAAGCCTTCACTGCAATTACTTTTTGCCCTTTTTGCAATTACTTGTTTTTAAAATTTATATAGTCCTATCGATAAAAGTGTTTCGATATCGATTTTTTGTGCGCGGTTTACCAATACTGTTAGACACAGTCTGGCAGCATTGATTGTCCACAATTCTAATTTTTAAATCCAACCGAAAGGAATTTCAATTTGACAAGGCGCCATAAAGAAGTTTAAATTAAATTAAGTCACGACTTGTGAAAGAGAGTCATTTAACGCTGTCGTTGTCCCTGGCATCCAAAAAAGTGCCTGAAGGAATGGACACCCAAAATTCACTGCCCCAACGAAAATAACAAACCGCATAACCAATAGCAATAACCGACAACAACCTTCCAGTTCGGAGCTCGTGGAATGCGGCTCGGCAAGTTGGAGCCGTTGCTGCCACCATTCCTTACCTGTGTGCGTGTGTGTGTGAAGCAGGAGCAGCAGCGTCGCGAGTGCTTGTGAGTTGAGCAGGTTTGCAGCACGGCACAGTGGGTCGGGTCCTGCAATGCACCTCAAAAAACCTTTTCTTGGTGCAAAGTTTAGAATTTTGACGGTATTTTTGGCTTGGAAAGTATAAAGGTGGCAAAAAAACGTAAGCAATGAGCATCTGCTTTTGCTAGGTAATTTACAGTTCAAATCGTTCTGCTTCCCATCAAAATTGTAGTCCAACTGGTTTTCCGGCGTTTTAATATATTTTCAAAATATTTACTGTCTTTGACTCTTTTAAATGTGTCTGAATGTTCCACTTTTTCGAATCGCAGTTGGCTACCACTGTGGCAAGCGGCATTCGGAATTGGCTCGTTCCACAGCAGAGGCTCACCTGTCCGTGTAAGCCGTGTCTGCATGAGTGGGTGAGAGCGAGAGAGAGTTGTTAACTGGTTGGGCGAATAGCTGCCGGCGGCCAGAACCGATCCGTTCCGATCCGATCCGATCCACTGTTCCGAAGCCCAAGATCCGATCCGATATTAGTCGTACTTTGTCACTCGATCGGTCACCGCGTCCCAGGTCCAGTCCACTTGTCGTTGTGGCTTTGGTGTTTGGGTTTCGGTTTCGGTTTTGGATCTGCTGTGGATGAGGAAGAGCAGCAAAGCAGCAGTAGCAGGAGCAGGAACAGAAGAGAATCCGGAGGACGAGGCTGAGGCTGAGTGAAGAGCTCGCGCCGCCTATGGCATACCCACATTTTAGCCCGCGCTTTATTCATCCGCCAATTAACTACTATCATCCGTCGCTTTCTTCGCTCGCCGATGGCCATGTAAAGGTCACAGGTCAAGAACGGAAATTAAAGTACCAAAAAAGAATCCGGAGGTAAACCCGTTTTACAACCCAGTTGCAATTTGTTGTTCGTTTCGTTCGGTTCCTTGTTGTTTTTTTTTTTAACTTTTTTTTGGTAAAATTCGCAAGAACGGCAGGTGCTTTAAGTTATTTTTATACCAGCTAGTCGGCGTTGTAAAACTATAAAGTGTATAAATTCTTGATCAGCATCCACACTCTTTAAAGATCTCTTGAACAGAAATATGTATTTCTAATAACCTTACGCGAACTTGAAATACTTTGAAATCAACGATTCAATCATATATGTGAATACAAAAATAATATTTATATATTGCTTTTATTTCCATTAAATTCAAGCACCACAATTTAATTAAGTACTGACGTTCTCAAGGTTGCTATTTATTTTGTTTTCCTTGTTGAATCGAACCAGGTCAAATGTGTCCATCCATTTTTGCCATCCCTTTACATTTACAAACCACTTTAAATGTCTTAGAAGAGATGACTCAAATTTGTTGACACGTTCGATTTTCTTTTCTTTGTGCTTTGGAAAACCGTTGGGTCAGCGGAAAAAGGTTTCAGAGCAACCTTCATATTTCCGTGGAATCTGCACCCTGGGAAGAAATCTTAGCCATGTATAAAAACCTGTCCATTCCTACTGATCCTACGAATTGTATGGTAAACGGTTCACTTTTTTTGGGCCAGAAAGACCTTTAATTAGGTTTATCCTGCTAATTTAAAGGTGTATTTATGTACACACAAAATGCATGGTTATAAATATGCAAATCGGAGGAAGTGATTCGGGCGGGTACCGGTTATCATTTTGTCGAGGCCCTCGACTCCTAAGTTCTTTCTCGTTTCGGGCAAACTGGTGATCCACATCACTCCTATACCTTCAATGCTCGTATATGCCGCAGGTTGCAAGTTGCTATTGCTTTTGCTTTTGCTTTTATCCCCGCATCCAAGGTGCTCCTGGTGAAAAGTTCTCCGCCATATTCTACACTAATTACACAATACATGCGATGCACTCTGCACACACATAATTTGTGGGAAAGTTTTGCACATGCGCAGCCACTGGCGAAATGAAAGTGCCCACGATGGTTTTTCTTTTTCCTTTTGCAGCCAATTACCGTTGCGAATAGCAGTTAGTTAGTACACACTAGTGATGAAGTGGAAAACTGTTTGAAATACGATTTTATTCAACCAGTTTTTCATACATATATGCTTAAATATATATAAACTCTGTGAGGTAAACCAATGGCTTTGACTTTTCTGTAAAACTTTAAGAGAGTAAAATGTGGTTTAATCAAAATAGAAGAAGAATTTTTGTATCATTTTGTGTTTCATAACTTTGTTTATACAAAATTAAAGTTTGAGAGATTTTTCAAAGTATCATTTTTCTTTTATTATATTCCTTTGAAGGTCGATTGTCCTGTTTGATCACTAAGTCCTCGTCATCCAGTGCAGAATGTGATCGGAGTGAGGGCGCCAAACCGCCGGAAATGCTGAAGCACGCCTCGACGACGAGCAGTGCCGCAGCGGGCGCCAATCCGCTGGCCACTTTGCTGGGCGGCCAGCTGCTGCGCACCGCTGCCAACAGCAGCAGCAACATCAATTGCAATGGCAACGGCAACGGCAATGGGAATAGCAATTGCAATAGCCACACGAACAGCAACAGCAGCAGCAGCAACAACCACACGGGAAGCAGTGGCCAGAACACACCGCCAGTGGTGGAAGCGGAAGCGGCAAATGCAGGATCAGCAGCCACTGGTACGTGCAACATATCCACCACCACCGCCACCACCAACAACAACATCAGCAACAACATCGGCAACATCGGCAACACCTGCAATGCGACGACAAACGGTGGTGGGTCGCCGACACCCGCAGCAGCTGCTGCTGCTGTGGCAACCACCGCGCGCAACATCCACCTGCGACCGCCGCAGCCGCAGCCGCTGAATATATCCGCGCTGAACGCCTCCGTTACGAGCACGCTGCTCAACAACGGCAACCCCGCCAATTCCACGCTGCTGAACATCGCCACGCCGAGTACGCCGCTCAAGCCGCTCACCCCGCTCACTCCGCTCACCCAGCTGACGCCCAACGGGCACTTCCTGGGCAACGGGAGCGTGCACCATCACACCTACACCAACCAGCACATACTGGCCAGCAGCAGCAACGGCCTTCAGCAGCAGCAGCAACAGCAGCAGCAGCAGCATCAGCACGCGCAGCAGCAGCATCAGCATGCGCAAACGCAGCTGCATCAGCAACATGCGCAGGCGCAAACGCAGACGCACAATCTCAGCCAGGCGGCGCACAACTACAGGAGCTACAGCCACCTGAACGCGAATCCCGTGCGCCACAAGGTGCCCAAGTCGGGTCCTTCGCCACGCGAGGCGCTCACCAGCTTGGGACTGCTCTGTTTGAGTAAGTGAGCAATGGAAATCGAAAAGCCAGCACTTATAATTCCTCATTCTTTCCTCATAGTTTCCCTGCTCCTGGCGCTGCTCTCGCTGATCTTCCTGCTGCGGATCTCGCCGAACGGACGCGAGGATGCAGTGGGTCGTGGCCCGAGTGGCGAGGACTTCATCGTGGTCTACGACGTGACCCTGGCCCTGGGCGCCCTGTCGCTCTCGCTGAACCTCTGCTGTTTGCTCGTGTGCGCCATTCAGTTCCTGTTCGCGGTGAAGCTGCGCGAACCGTCGTTCGAGGGACGGGAGAACCAGTACCTGGCCAAGTCGAGTGCCAGTCGGACGTGCGCCGTCAGCGGCTTCTTCATCTCGATACCGGTCTTCCTCACCGGCCTGATCCTCTACACCTTCAGTCACTTCCACTCGACGCCGGCGATCGTGACCAGCCTGCTGATCGGCGTGGGAATCGTCTTCTGCGGCGGCGCCATGGTGCACAATGTGTTCGTTTGGCAGCGCGAGAAGACCATCAGTTATCGCGGCGCTTCGCTGGCGCACCACAACCTCTCGGTGATTTCCACGGCCCCGCTGCCTGTGCCCTTGCCACTGCCACTGGCGCTGCCGCCGTCCAGTGGCTATCATCCGTATCCGGGCCACCAGAGTCATGCGGGCCACCATTTGGTGCCGCCTTCAGTGACGGCAGTCTCGCCCAATCACTCGCATGGAAGTTTCAATCCTTTGCTAAGCAACAATCTGCTCAATGGAGGCGGCGGCGGCGGAGGAGGGGGAGGAGGAGGAATGGGAGCCATTAACTCGTCCTTTCTGGTGCGTCCCGCCACGGCCACGCCGCCAACGCCCACGCCGAGGTTGACGGGCGCTCGCGAGGCCAGCGGCTCGGTCAGTCCGGGCATCCCGCCAACGCTGGACATGAGCAACATCACCGTCCTGCTGCACGAGCTCTCCACGCTCGTCTGAATCCCTGTTCGGGATAAGGATCAGGAAGCAGGAGGAATAGGATTAGCCACTAGACTTGTTAACAGACGACACAGCCACCGCCCCCGCCTTCAGCTTGCCGAAATCTAGACATAAGCCCACACACTCGCCACACTGTAAATATATTTGTACATATGCGCATCCGACACTCGAAACTCGAACAGAATAACATCGTTGTAAGCGAAAAAGCAAGAGAAGCAGCTGCCTGGCCATTTTAATTCAATTAAATCCACCGGTTAGCGGATCAATGTAAGCAATCAGATTTGTTAAAACAAACCCACATCAAGGGGGGAATTAAATGTTGAGTAAGTACTTAGATTTTCCCAAGTTTATCCTTTTTGCTCTTCGTTTTCCCTAAAAAGGCTTTCAACTTCAATTTTTTTTATTTAAAATATAGAACAGATGCCAATTCAAATTGGTATTTAACGTAAACAAATTTAAAATAAAATGTCAAGCGACAGCGGTTCGTTGAGAAGTGCCTCCGAGGACGTTTCCACCCACTTGGTTCATCGGAGATTGCAGATGCAAGTGACATGGGTCAGTTGAGATGGCTGTGACTTACACATCACACACATCCTTTGTTGTTTTTCGGACGCAGCAGCAGGAGGAGGCACTTCCTGACTAAAATAACTAGATGGCATCTCAGGCATCCGACTTGGATCGGCTCCGGATGCGAGGACGCCGCTCGCGGTGTGTGGTGGTGGTGGCGGTGGTGGTGGTGCTGCTGTTAGTTAAGTTCGACCGCGAGGCGGACTCCGAGGAGGTGGAGCCACTGGCCTGCTCCGAGGTGCGTATGCGCGCCGAGCGACGGAGTCGAGGCTGCTGCTGGTCCTCGGGGGAATCATCTGCAGCTGCTGCTGCTGCTGCTTTCTTTTTCGATGCCGGACTGGCTGGCGGTTCACTGATCCCGCGCAACGAATGCCGCAGACTGGGAATCGGCTTCACTGGCTCGCTGCTCTGCGGCGCCAGCGATACGGCTCGCTTGCCCCGCTCCCGCGGTCTGGTCGGAGTGGCCGGCCGCGAGGACGAGGCTCCCTCCGAGTCCACGCTGAGACGCGACCGCGAACGAGTGCGCGGCAGCCAGGCATCCTGCGATCCCTGCTCCTCGATCACGTCCAGCAAGTGCCGGTGCTGCATCGTGCGGCGCTTGGGCGTCGAAACGGGCGACGCGGTTTTACGCACTAAAATCCTGTGGCTAGGACCAGTGCCCGGGACCGGACTGTCGCTGTGCTCTAGGGAACCGCGACGCGGCCGCAACGCTCGCGGACTGTCCACGTTGGAGCTGCGGCGGGAGCGTGTCCTTGGGGCGGGTGCCTTGGCCGGCTCCTCATCGTCGGACAGCACTAGCACTAGACTCCCGGCTAAGTCCTCTTCCTGCTCCAAAAGCGGCGCTGCCCGGGAAGCCTCTGAGGAGTGCGGTTTTTTCCGCTCTTCGGTTCGTTCCTTTACGAGGGGTGTGGACTCCTCTGATGGCTCCTCCAATGGCTTCTCTGATGGCTCCTCCAATGGCTTGTCCGATGGTTCCTCTGCTTGCTCCTCAATAACCTCCTCATTAGCCACCTTAATTACCTCCTCCTCCTTGGCGACCACATTGATTCCCTCACTGATGTGCTCATTGGCCTCATTGATCACCTCATCAGTTGGCATCTCAATCACATCTTCCACCACCACCACTGCTGCAGCATCTTCATCCTCTTCAGCCTCTTCCTCGGGAATCCGCTCCAGCTGCATCACCTCCTGCGGGACTTCTCCATCCTGGACCACCTCCAACTCGATCTCGCTCTCGACAACCATCGGCTGCTTGGGTTCGCTAAAGGCCACCGTGTTCACGGAATCATTGCTACCGGCATCCTCTTCCATTGGCTGCTGATCCGGCTCCTTTTGCTGCTCCATCTGCGCATCCGGCTGCGGCTGCGGCTTCTCCTCCTCCTCCTCCTCATCCTCATCGCTGTCCACCACAATGGTCTCGGCCACCACCGAGTCGCTGTTGACGGTGGCGCCCAGCGAGAGCGAGGGACGCGGACCGCTGGCCGCCTCCTCCTGCTGCTGCTGCTGCTGGCAGTCGTCCTTGAAGGCGAACAACTCGGCGCTGCTGCAGGCCGCCGACTGCTGGGGACGGGCCACATAGCCGCGCACCTCGGTGCCATCCAGTGCGATCACACAGTCGTCCTCGTCGTAGCCGTCCTCCTCCTCCTCCAGCGAGCCCTTGGTGGTGTCCAGATCGTCCACCGTTTCCAAACTGTTCGCGCGATACAGCGAGATCGGCGAGCCATCGCCATCGTTGTCGCCATGCGCTGCTCCGCGTGGACTCGAGTTCTGCGAGACGTTCGTGTCGCTGGGCAGGAAGGATGTCGGCGTGTGCGTCACCGAACGCGATGTCGTTATCGAGCCCGTCGACTCCACGACGATGGAGTACATGGGATCGTCGTTCGGCAGCGACGGCAGCAGCGGATTGCGAATGCCCGCCGAGGACATGTCCGATTCCTCGCTGCTCAGGCTGCAAGTGGGCGAGGAGAGCGGCTCCGAAGTGGCGGGTGCCTCCGAGGAGTTGGCCAGGAACGCCAGCTGGTAACCGCTGGTCTCCGAACGTTCCTGCTCCTGATCTCGTACCTGTTCCCCCTCCTCCTCTTCATCCTGTTGATTGTGCTGCTCTGGCGACTGAGTCTCACCCAATTTCAGCTCCTCCTCCTCCTCCTCGGCATCACCATCGTCCTGGCTTTCTGGCTGCACATCGTACGTGGACATGCCCAGCGTGGTGTCCATCATCTGACCAATCTGTCCAAGTGGCCGCTCCGCGGGCAGCGACCACTGTGAACTCGGCGCAGCCATTAGCTCCGATCCGAGCTCAGTGGACTCCATTTCGCCGCAGATGGTGGTGCGCTCGGAGATCCTCACCAGACCACTCCCGGCGAAGAAGACCTGCGACTGGGTCTCGCCCATTTTGGATGAGCAAACGGTGGGCACGAACTGCGAATGCGAGGTCGTTTGGGCCGGTTGCACCGTGGCAAAGCTGCCGAATCCGCTGCTGCTCTCGCTGCCTGTTCCCAAGCCACCAGCCCGTTGGACTCCACTTCCGATCGAGGTTCTCTCCTGCAGCAACGAGCTGCGCGGCTGCGGGCCAGCTGGCGGGATCATGGGGCGCGGAGAGTCCCGCTGATCCAACAGGGAAACATTGGCGGAGGCCATCGGCGAACAGAACTCATCGGAGGCACTGCTGTCGGCGCTTCGCGGCTCGCTTCTCGACTCGATCTCCACGATGATCTCGTCCGTTTCGTCCTCGTCCTCCTCCTCCTGCTCCTGCTTATCCTCGTGGACCGCAGCCATGGAGCCATCCAATCGCAGTGGAATCGGCGGCATGAAACGGAATCGCTTCGGCTCCGCTAGCGTTGTGGATGTGGCTGCCGGCGGAGCGCCAGTGACGGTCGATTGCCGCTTCAGGATCGTGGGTATTGCCTGGTGGGCAATGCTGCTCGGCCGGCTGTCCGACTCGGTGCGCTGGCGTGCATGAAGGAAGTTCGGCAGCTGCAGCAAATCACTGGCCCCATTCTGCTCCGCGTCCTCCAGCTCCCTTTGCTCCGATTGATGATCCATCAGCGAATTGATGTGACCACGCACGTCCTCCAGCAGCTGCTCCGCGAGAAGGCGACGACGTTTGCGCGGCTGCAGCGAGTACTGTGACTGCGACTGCTGCTGCTTCCGCTGCTGCTCCTCCTGCTCCTCGCGCTGTCGCTTCTCCACCGACTGGTGCGGCACGGGCTTGACCAACGGCAGGCGCTGCAAGTGGTCCGGCGGTCCGAATTGCTCGTGCCGCAGGAACGGAATGTTCGAGTAACCAATGGCGGAGGGCATATGAACGGGTGCCGAGGCAGTCGCATCGCAGTGCGTCGCCCAATGGGCGCTCACAGCGGAGCTCTGGAAGATGCCGCCCACTTGGCCGCTGGCGTTCTGCTGCACCAGCTGGCAGCTGAAGGGCAGCAGGGGACCGGCGTCCGGGCAGCCCTCCTCCATGCCGTCCAGGTTGCCCCGTATGCGCATATAGGTGCCGGCAATGTTCTGGGCCACCGGTGCCATGGTGGATCGATAGGCGGAAATGATCGTGCTGGAGGACTCGTCCCTCTCCCTGTCGGCGGCCACTTGGTCCATCAGCGACACGGCCTCGACGAACTTGCTCTTCTGCAGCAGCAGGATCAGCTGGACGCACTCCGTCTGCCGCGAGCGGCACTGGCGCAGCAGGCGGTACAGGAGCGCCTCCTCCTGCTCGCGCAGGCACAGCTCGGCCAGCACCTTGAAGCGTCTGCGCTCGATGCAGTAGCGAAAGAAGAGCTCCAGCAGCGACTGGCCCGCCCCGCCGTCTCTGTCGTGGAGGCGGGCCTTCTCGAAGGCCTCCGGCATGCTCCCGTTCGCCAGCAGCACGCTCATGTGCAGGGCGGCGGGTATGGGACCAGGCGGTTGGCTGACCACGCGCATGGCCGCCTTCACAGCCCCGGCGGCCAGAAGGCCCTCCAGCAGCAGACGCGTCTGCCATTCCTCTAGGTTTACGCTCATCGCGAAATCCTTGTAGAGCTCATTGACGCACCCCTATAAGAAGACAAAAGAGAAAGTAAGTAAATCACTTCTATTCCGTATCAGTAAGTTCCAAGTCAAAGCCCACCGTGCAATCGCCGCGATCCAAGCTCCAAAAGGAGCGCACCGACTTCGCGAGATCCTCGTCCAGCTCAAAGTTGGCTTGAAAGCGCCGGCTCAATGGCGGATTGAGGTCCAACAGCAGATAGAGGACGAGTGCGTGCTTGCTGGCGAGCTCTGTGTACGGCTCGAGCATCACAAGCAGCAGGGCTTTCAGCGACTCCGGCGGATATGTGGAGGGCAGGCCGGTTTGGCCTGTCAGCGTGTCGATATATAGGTTCTTTCGCAGAGTCCGCCTTTCGGAGTAGTCGCGCCGCAGGCTGACGAGTGGCGGCTCCCGGTGCTGGCGATGATCCTCGTGCTGACCCTCCGGCAGAAGGGCCTGCTCGATAAACCAGTAGAGCACCCGATGGAACTCGTGAACCGTCTGCAGTGCCCGCCTGTTCGTCTGGCATTCGGAGAGCACGGTGGGCGACAGCCGGCGCGTTCCCAGCTCGACAATGTACGTCTGCAGTCGCAACAGCTCACGCAACTGGGTGGCGAGGATCTCGAACTCGCGACGCTCCCGCTCGTCCAGTGAATAGCCGCCGTAGTCAAAGATGCCCTGGCAGAGCTCCGCGCAGCGCTGCTTGATCTGCCCGGCGCGCTTCATGATCCAGTTGGTCAGCGTGGAGAGCGAGAGCTCCGTGGATTCGATCATGTTGCACAAGAAGCTTCCATCCAACCAGCTGCGAGCGCAGTCGTTCAACAGGGCCGAGCACTTGTGCTCCAGAGCCACAGACAAAATCACTTCGTACATCGCTGCCTGAATATTAAAAAAGTATAATAGTAAGCGAATATATTATAGTAATAAAAAAGTATGAAATGTAAGAGAAGAACATCAAGTGAAAGTGATGCATAAATGTAATAATAATAATAAATTCTGCCACACAAACGTAATCGCCCACCTTTGAGAACGTGGCATTCGGATTGAGCTCGCAAAACTGTGGCAGGAGTCGCAGGCGAACTATGTCCTCGTGGTAAGGTTGTGGACGCAAAAAGAGTGCGGCGCGCTCCCATCGCAGGGCGTTTAAAAAACGGTGCTGCACTCCATTCTGAGCGTAATAGCGGCTGCCAGTTGGGGTTAACAGCTTGCAATCTAAAGCGAAACGACTATCAGTTCAGTTCTAATTCCGAAATCACTTCTAACTCTTACCAAAAGTAAGGGAGTCGGGATAGAAGTGCTCATCGTAGCGCTGCAGCGAAACAAAGTGCATTATGGAGTTCGGGTGCAGCTGCAATCCCAATCCCATTGGGAGACCATTAAGGCCATTCTGGCTAAGAAAATAGCCGGCGATGTAATGGGGAACTTCGTAAGGTCGCACGCACGAGGGCATCTCGTCCTTGTACCACTGATTGATGTCGAACAAAACGAGCTTGTTCTTGCGTTCGGTGGTCGAGTACCAAGCCATGATGATCAGCAGTGTTCCACTGTCGCCAGCAAAGCTAAACGTAGATGCCGTGGTGCAGGCAATCACCGAACAGTTTTCGCCGTCGAAAACCTGGTGATTGCGAACGGAGCTCGAATGGAAGTGCTGCGAGAGCAAGTAGTTGTAGTGCTTGGAACGTTTTGAAGTTCAATTCGACTGCTTACCTCGAAGCGGAATCCATCGCCATCCTGCTCCACATAGGATCGCCGGTAGTTGACCGAGTGCAACAACATGTTCAACCGCTCGGCGCTGTGGTACATTACGCATATGTAGAAACACGGCTTGGGATCGTCGGGCGGCATTATAAGGCACATTCGCTCCACGGCCCCGTGAATCCTTCCCTCCTTCTTTGGCGGTTGCAGAGAGGCGGTCACGTTGAACCGCATCAAATCGTAGATCAGAACGCGGCCATCCTCTAATCCGGCGGCAAAACCAGGTGCAATGCTGATGCCCATCAAGCAGCGGATTCCAGTGCGAGCCACTGTCGAGGAAAAGGCAGTTAGCTGGGTGTCTTTGGGGCCCTCACTGACACGCTCTCACCGTCCACCTGCACGGCCAAGTGGCCTCCTTTGGACCGAGATAAGTCCAGCAAAACATCGATTTTGCGTATCACCTCCTCACAGAGAACAGGGTAAAGCTCTCCGTAGCGCGGCTCATTCTCGGCACTGGGCGACTGGCAGATGCTGTAGTCGCTGTTGCGCTTCTCCATTAAACTACTGCCATTGAGATCGACCAGCTGGACCATTCCCTCCTCGGTAGCCACTAGTAAGCAGCCATCGAAGCGAGCCAACCGTGTGCCGCCACATATTCGCTGGTCGAGGAAGGCCAACGCGCTGCAGTGCAGATCCTGCAAGTTGAAGCTGCGCAGCACCCTTCCGCTGGCAATCGCGAAGATGAGCACCTGTGTGCTGGCCAACGGGCAATTTTCAGGGCGCAGTTCCCCGTTCGGCCACGACTCCAGGCATATGGCCAGGAGGCCGGAACGCTCTGGTTCGCCCGGGAAGAGCTCCTCCACGCAACGGATGCTGCTGCGATGCTCCTGTTCCTGCTCATCGGCATCTTCCCTCCAGAAGCAATGGCAGGAGATGCACTCACCTGTGGCCATGCTGCAGACCATTAATGTGGCGTCTTTGGCATACCGGCAGGTGACCCAGCCCCACTGTCCATCGCCGATTATTCCTCCCATGTAATCGCCTGCGAATTGGTTATACAAATTGTAAAATCCCATGCCGCATTCCTGTGAACTACAAAACTTACCGGAATCCGCCGGATCAGTTTGTCCAAAACCGGGAATTGTGCGTTCGGGAAAGGCAACCGTGCGGCGGCTATCCAACTCGCCTTCGTGCCACTCCATTTCGATTATATTTAGTGCATCAACGTCCGCGATTTAAATAAACAAGTTACGCCAAATATCATATAAAAAATAAAAATACGCGCTTAACACTGATTATTCGTGGGGATGCCGGCGTTGCCGCTTTGTTTGACATTAAAAGCAACGGTTGTTTTGTTGTTGTGTCCCTGCGCACGCTTTGCCGGTTTAGTGTTGGCTAGTGACCAATAAAATTTGCAAGTTTGTACAATTTTTTGAACAAAGCAGCTTCTGTGATTTTTATCACTTGGCAAGTACATAATTCAATTCCTAGCTTCCCAATAATACTTGTTTAAGATTCATAATAATAAAGTTAGATATACACCATGAACCGGCAAACGGCAGCCTGACAAATTTATCGGCGTGGCAACGCTGCTGTATTGCGAAAATATCGCGCGAATTTCATAAGAAACATAGCTACACGCGGAACTTCATGACAAACTGAACAAAGAAATTCCACAAATACGATGCACTGAATAAAATAAGCAAAAGCAAATGAAAGATATTGCAGTCTGGTGAAAATCCTAAGCAGAGACAGTACGATCTGGCAACTTCCGTGAGCCGCCTGTCAACCCTGTCCCGTGCGATTTTGCTGCACATTGTTCTAAAACAACCCAGCCGGAAAAGCCGTTTCCAGTGGGCTATCCAAGAAATATTTATGCGATTCAGATGTGAGACAAGCTACGAATCGAGGCTGTGTTCCAGGCAATAGGCGTTACTAAAGCCGGATCAACTGAGTTAGGAGTTACCACAAAATCAGCACGAGAACCCACAATCACAGCCCAGAAACCCAACTCACGCATTCCGCACACACAAACACGCTCGAACACGCAAACACACACGGACACACGCACACACGGGCAGCTATTCTAATCTTTGGAAACGTTGTCGTCTGCTGAACTTCAAAAAGCAAAAGGAACCGCATTGGCCAAAGACGAGGCACCAGGGGATCGAGGCGATCGAGAGGCTAGGCGAGAATTGGGTTTCCAGCGGCGGGCAGGTATGTAAGTGGCTCATTGAAGGGGTAGGGAAAGGGGGAAAAAGCAGCGAAGCACATGTGTGGCATAAACCATAAACAACCGCACCCCAAAATCTCGCTCATATTTCAATCCTCCAGGGAGACGACAGGCAGACGACAGCAGCTAGCGATGGCAATGGCCCAGCACGGAGGCACCGAGGCACTGGCCGCCGAACTGGCCACGGCTGTCGACCTGATTATGCACCCGATGACCCAGCCGCAGGCGCGTTTGGAGGCCTACATGGCTTGCGAGCGATTCAAGGAGGAGTCGCCGCTGTGCGCCCAGGTTGGTCTGTTTCTGGCCAGCTCGCCGCAATCGAACCAGCAGGTGCGGCACTTCGGACTGCAGCTAATCGAATACACAATCAAGTTCCGCTGGAATTGCATCACGCACGAGGAGAAGGTGTACATCAAGGACAATGCCATCAAGATGCTGAACGTGGGCGTGGGCCCGGCGGAGGACCGCACGCTGCTGCCCACAAAGGACGCGCTATCGCGCATCATCGTCGAGATGATCAAGCGCGAGTGGCCCCAGCAGTGGTCCGATCTGCTGCCCGAGCTCAGTCAGGCCTGCACCAAAGGTGAGGCACAGACGGAGCTGGTGCTGCTCGTCTTCCTACGGCTGGTGGAGGATGTGGCACTGCTGCAGACGATCGAGTCGAATCAGCGGCGCAAGGATATGTACCAGGCGCTTAACAACAACATGAACGACATCTTCGAGTTCTTCCTGCGGCTGGTGGAGCAGCATGTGACGGCGTTTCGCGAGACGACGCGCCAATGCAACTTCACCAAGGCCAACGCACACAGCCGCGTCGTCGAGATGGTCCTGCTCACGCTAAGCGGCTTCGTCGAGTGGGTCAGCATCCAGCACATAATGTCCAGCAACGGCAAGCTGATGCACTTCCTCTGCATTCTGCTCAACGACAAAGCATTCCAGTGCAACGCGGCCGAGTGCCTGGCGCAGATCACGAATCGCAAGGGCCAGGCAAAGGAGCGCAAACCGCTACTGCAGTTGTTCAACGAGGAGCCGCTGCGCTACATCTACCAGGCCAGCCAGATACCACCCGATTCCAGTTCGGCGCTGGCCATCGAGCAGCACCACAACTTCCTCAAGAAACTGCTGCAGGTGCTCAACGGCATGGCCCAACAGCTGGTGGCGCTCTGGGGCAAGGACGATGCCACCCAGCGGCCGGTGCATTTGGAGGTGCTGCTAGAATGCCTGCTGCTGCTCGTCCAGCATCCATCGCTGACCGTCGCCCATGGGGCGGCGCTCATCTGGCAGCTGCTGCTCAAGCACGAGCCGTGCTCCAAGGACTTCGCCACGGTCAACTACATTCCCAAGCTCATCCACACGATTGCGCCGCGGATCGTGAAGCTGCCATATCCTGCCTCAACCTCAACCAGCTCGCCTGCCAGCCTCTCCACGGAGGCGTACATTCGACTAGAGTACGACAGCGAGGAGGAGTTCGCGCTCTACTTCTTCCGTTGCCGCACCGACTTCCTCGAGATCTTCCGCCTGGCCACGCTCGTCCAGCCGCTGGTCACGTACGGCTACTGCGAGCAGTGGCTGCAACAGCGTCTGCGCAACGCGGTGGCCGAAGCGGATGTCGAGGTCAAGAGCGGCAATATTTCGTGCAGCGTGCTAGATCCCGTCTACCTGGAATGGGACGCACTTGTCAGCGTGCTGGATGGCGTTCTCAGCCGCATCCTACTCGTGGCGGAGCGTCCGTCGGTGCCGGCGGGCCTGCGACTGCTGGAGGAGTGCCTCAAGCTGGAAACAATCAATCCGCTGACCTATTCGATCCTGCTCTCGTGCATCTCGGCCCTGTTCGTCTTTCTTAGCATGTCCGCGTGCCAAATCACGGCCACCAATTGTGTGGCGATGAGCGGTGTGAGCCTCTTGCCGCGTGTCCTCGACAAGATCTTCCGAGCGCTGGTGCTAAAGCCGCCCAACGAACTGGAAAAAGTGCAGGCCAAGTCGGCCGTGAATCTTCGACGCCACGCCGCCTCGCTGCTGGTGAAGCTGGCCCATAAGTACCCGCTGCTGCTGCTGCCCGTCTTCGAGCAGATCAACGGCCATGTGGAGCTGCTGCTCAAGGAGCCCGGCCAGCACCAGTTGTGCCGCCTGGAACGCACAACGCTGCAGGAGGCGCTGATCCTAATTTCGAACCACTTCTGCGACTTCGAGCGACAGACGCTCTTCATTGAGCACATCGTCCAGGACAAGCGAACCGAGTGGCTGGCCTTCGGCGATGCGCTCAAGTCGCCGCTGGACTTCATGAGCTTCGTGGGCCTGGACAAGCCGCCCAGCTACGCGGTAGAGGGTTCGCCCACGCTGCAGAATCGCTCGCGACTCCTGGACGCCCTGCACGTCGTTCTGGGCGTGGTGAAGCGGTGCACCTGGCCCGACGACCCGGATCGCGCCCAGCGCGGTGGCTTTGTGATCGGCTGCACGGAACTGGGCAATCCCATTTGCCGGAATCCGGCGACCAAGCACGTGGTGCCGCTGCTCTCGCATGTCCTGAGCCTGATGCGCGTACTCAACGAACTGTTTGCCCCCGAGGCGCTGCTCGCCCTCTCCGATGGCTATCGCGGCATCCACGGCATGCTGGAGCACGAGAAGAAGCAGCTGATGGGCATCTGCGCGCTGCCCACCGATCCGTTGGACACCACCATTCGCAGCGAACCGACGCCCTTCGAGAAGATGCAGACCTTCATGATGATGGTCACCGAGGGCTGCTACCATTTGATGGGCTCCGCGGGTCCCTCGCTGGGTCGTGATCTCTACCAGCTGCTGGGCCTTGCGGATGCCATTGTAACGAATGTGTTCAGCCGCATGGACGTGGTGCCCGACTACCGACTGCGCCCGATCATCCGGGTCTTCTTCAAGCCCTTCGTCTACTCGTGCCCGCCCAGTTTCTACGACAGTGTTCTCGTGCCGCTATTCGCCCACCTGGCCCCGTTGATGTGCGAACGGCTGACGCGTCGCTGGCTGTACATCGCCTCGCTGTACGAGAGCGGTCAGCTGAACGGGGAGGTCAACGACACGCAGGAGGTGCTGGAGGACCAGCTGAATCGCACGCTGACGCGTGAGTACCTGGATGTGCTGAAGATCGCATTGGTCGGCGGCCAGATTGGCGCCGATCATGTGGCGGCCGGCGCCAATGCCAACAGCAATTCGGTGGCCATGGAGAACGAGGAGCACTCGATGGACAGCGCGCCACAATCGCGGGCCAGCCAGTCGGCCTTGCTGTCGGACATCATCAGCGACTTGGGTGGCAAGCTGCTGCGCAACGGACACATCGGTAACTATGTGCTAATGACCTTGCTGAAGGCCATTGCCTGGAACGATGGCATGTGCAGCATGAAGGCTGTGAATATTGCTGCGCCCGTGATGCGTTTCCTCGCCGCCGAGAAGCTGATGGACGAGAACAAGGCGGTGACCGCCTTCACGGCCGTTCTGCAGGGCATGCAGGTGCACGGGCAGCACGAGGCGAACCAATCGGGCCTGGTTACGCTGGGCGTACAGTTCTACGAGCTGCTGCGACCACACTTCCCCATTCTCAGCGAAGTGCTGCAGCACATACCCAGCGTAAATGCGGCCGACATTCAGAAGTTCGACGAGAAGATCGCCGTGGCGCCCGTGAAGGGCAACAAGGTGGATCGGGCCAAGAAGGACATATTCAAGAAGCTCACCGCACAGCTGGTTGGACGGAGTGTGAACCAGTTGTTCCGGCACGAAGTGCAGATCGCGAATTTGCCGCCAATGCAGTCGCACAAGGCGAAGGGAGCCATGGGCACAACCGCGGACATAATGGATAGCAATCAGAACGCCAGTCTGGCGCGGCTCTTTGGGCCGGAAAAGTGACAGGGGGCGGATGAGAAGCAGGAGCAAAAACCGAAACAGAAGCTGAAGCTGAAACAGAAACAGAAAGCGGAAGAGAGGTGCAGGAGGAGGCGTCGCAGCGGAGGCGCCGTCACCAGCGAACCGACCTCGGTAATGGTCGAGGACCAGGACCAGGATCAGGATCACGATCAAGTACAGGATCACGTCGAGACCACGTCGGCCACCTCAGCTGCCAAACTAGCGACGACTGAACTTAAAGTAATTGTAAACTAGCCTAGACGAAGAAGGACCGCATCTCCCGTCCTCCAACGCGCCCATTGCCCATGACCCCGTTCCCCAGAGTCCCAGTACCCCAGAGTCCCAGTTTTCCCCCAATCGAACCTAAATTTATGTATTTATTTATTTTACAAATCTACATTTAACACCCGCATGTAACGCTCTTTTTTTAATTAGTCTCCCGCGGTTGTAATCGCTCCGTTTTAATCCAACCCGACTTGTTACTGCTTTGTTATTTATTATTCGGAATTTGTTAAACTAGTTTGCACAAAGGAAGTAGAATCAATAATTGCCAATACTCCCAATATCCCCTGTTCCCCCGCCGCTACGCTTGGAGCTCTTTTTATACTTGATAGCTAATTAATGAATTGTGCTTTGCCCGCCCCCCCGTTTTGTATAGTTACCTATGCGCAGGCATACTGTAATTTATATATATTTGTACACATTTATCCTTTGAAGAAACATTTATGAAATTACGCTTAGGCTTAGTTGATAGGCAACGAGTTATTATTATATAATACATCAATCTGTATATGAACACACATCCCGCATCGCATATGCATTACTCCTCCCCAAAAAAAAAAACACACACATCGGGATTCTAAGAATTATAGTTGCGTGAGTATGTAATATTCAAACTGAAATTATATACTACTATTTATATAACTAAATGAAATCGAAGGGAAAGACCCCGCAAAACACAAAATCGAAATAAGCTAAAAAATTTGAAATAAATTTACAAATTCAAAATGAATAAAATTTGTTTGTAATTTTTAAAGAGTAAATCAATTTTAAATTGAGACAGGGCGGGGTAATTATATAAATTATTTATTATATACCATATAATAATGGAACCCGTTATAAAAAATATGTAAGCAACCCTTTTTATTGGCTAAGTAGTAAAATAAAAAAATTGAAATTTTGTAAAAGGAGTTCGAATATCATACATATTCAAAATGTTACGCTATATTTAAAGTAAACGGTTACGGAACATTTGAATATGAAGTTAAAAATTTGAATAATGCCGATACAGAGTTAGTAGAGACGAACTGTTAGTCACATCGCGTTCATCGATTGCACTCTGTTATCGATAGTTGCATACCTGTAGCCCCAACATTTGTTGGCTTAATTGTTTTTTTTTATAAATAACTAGTCCTAGCGCTAACTAACAAATTCCCCAAAATGCCCATTTACGAGAGCGTTATGCAGGAGAAGCCGCCTATTGTCCTGGACATCGGCACCGCCTATACAAAGTAAGCAAATATGCGGTGCAATCGAAGGTGAAGTCATCACCGTGCCAATTTTATAGGCTGGGATTCGCAGCGGAGGCCTACCCGCGAAAGATTATGCCCACGGAAGTGGTGATGACCACGACAGGGATCAGGAAGCGTCTGTTCGACTACGGTTCACCGGAGGAGCTCTACGACCAGCTGGTGGACTTTCTGCAAACGATTTTCTTTAAGTATGTGGAGCACATCACAAGGTCTATATCTACATAGTTCTCCCTATGGTTTTTAGGCATCTGCTGGTCAGCCCAAAGGAGCGAAAGTTCGTAGTGGTGGAGAACGTATTTGGGCCCACCGTGCTGCGCGAGACCTTGGCTCGCGTCCTTTTCGTCCACTTTGATGTCTCCTCGGTGCTTTTTGTGCCCGTACACCTCATCGCCCTGTCCCCGCTGGCCGTTCCCACCGCCCTGGTGGTTGACATCGGCTACAGCGAGACCAGCGTAATGCCAGTTTTCAGCGGTGTGCAGATAATGTCCGCCTTCAAGGATCAAAGCTATGGAGGCAAGGCCATTCACGAGGAGATCAAGCGTCAGCTGGTGGAGACGGGCGTAAAGGAAAGCCTGCTGTCGGAGAGCGTGCTCGAGGACATCAAGGTGCGAACCTGCTTTGTGACCACCATAGAAAGAGCCCAGGCGCGCGCCAAAGGTGGCGAGGATCAGCCGAAACCAGCGCCAGATGTGGACTATATCGTCAGCGACAATGATGCGGTAATCCAAGTGCCCGGCATTTTGCGGGAAAGCGTCTACGAGATCATGTTCGAGGCCAGTCACGAGCGGGACAGCCTGCCGCATCTCATACTGCGCTCCATACTCGACTGCACGCTGGACGTGAGACGCGCGCTGGTCGAAAGTGTGTTTCTCGTAGGTGGTGGGTCAATGGTGCAGGGTTTGTTGGCCCGATTGCGCCAGGAACTGCAGCATCTGCTCACCGAGGATCCGTTCTACGCCGAGCGCTTTCACGGCGATCTGGAGTTCAAGTTCTTCAACGCCATTGGCAAGCAGAACTTCACCGCCTGGCTGGGCGGCGCCTTGTGTGGAGCGACTGACCTCATCCAGACACGATCCCTCGTCAAGGAGACGTATCTGAAGAGTGAGCACGTTCCCGACTGGAGCAATCTGTGCGACAATCGGCCAACAGGCTCTTAGGTTTTTGAGGAGAGCCTTCAGGAGACAACTAACGCGTACTAATTTAATCTTTATATTACTGTATTATATTTATAGGCCTAAAGTTAACTGCAAGTAAAAGGTATAAAAAATATATTTGTAAACAATTGTTTATGAAGTGCTTAGAAATTTACGAAGTCTTTTTGAAGTAAGCGGTAAAGCCATTAAGTAAAATATAATAATTAATTTATTTCAAATTGCAATAAGAATTTCGAGAACTAATTAAAAGAAGCATTTAAAGTTTTATCTTGGATTGGACTTCTTACCCCAATTTGTTTCTTCAATAATTAACTCAAACATTTAAATAACTATTTTAAATAACTTTTTCCATTAAATATGTTTATCTTCAAAGCATTTAACTAAATCGCTAGAATTTTTCAACTTCTAAATTTAAAAATGCTTTTGCAAAACAGAGTATTTTTTGGCCTATAAAGGACTAACTTCACTGATAGTCAAAACATTTTGATTCAAACTCCCACTCAAACCAGTCCAGATGTTCATCAAGAGTTTCCTGCTGCTTTTAGCATTTAACTATCTCTCTGCAGAGCCAGAGCCTTCGCAACGCATTGTCGGTGGAGGACCAATCGATATCGAAGAGGCTCCATGGCAGGTTTCCTTACAACTAAATGGAAAACATAGTTGCGGTGGCTCCATTTACAGCAAGGATATTATAATCACGGCCGCCCATTGCCGATTCGTTATTTCAACAGGACAACAAATTGAGGCCGAAGACTTTACAATTCGCGTAGGATCAACAATCACATTCTCTGAAGGAACCATTGTGAAAGTGGCAGCCATTAAATCACACGAATCTTTTAAATTGGGTCCGAATAGTAACGACATTGCTGTCATGCGACTAGCTGAACCCCTTGAGTTCTCCAAGGACGTGCAGCCGATTCCTTTGGCAAAATATAATCCTATGCCTGGATCATTTGCGTGGACTACTGGTTGGGGAGCAACTTTAATACATCCTCACGGCCCTGTATATCTTCAAGGCGTATGTGTCCGTATTCAAAGACCGGAAATGTGTAGATATGATATGGTACATGATATGACGGAGGATCTTATTTGCGCCGGAGAAGATGGAGGCGGGGCGTGCGGAGGTGACTCAGGTGGACCTTTGGTGGTTGACCGTAAACTTGTTGGTGTCGTCTCAGGAGGTCCTTCAGATTGCTTATCTTCTACTAGGTACATCAGTGTACCTTATATGCATAACTGGATTTTAAATGCCGTTAAATCTATTTGATTAAACTTTCCAACACATCCTTGGCATTTATCCGTTGAGTGTTGTTATTTTTGAAAAAGCAAACCAAAAAACAAAAACAAAATATTTATCAGCACTATTGTCAAAATTCAAATAAATTTAAAGAGTGAAATATGCAACTCATGTTATACATCTTTTTATGTGTGGAGCGACTGTAACAACTGATTTAAAAGTTCTTTAAAAAAAATTATTTTAAAAGAAGCCTTTAAAGTTTTATCTGGCATTGGAGTTCTGACCTCAAATTGTATCGTCAATAATTAACTGAAACATTTAAATCATTTAAAAAAAATTTATCTTCTTTAACAAAATCGCTTGAATTCTTAAACTTCTAACTTAAGAAATGCTTTAGTAAACAGAGCAATTTTTGGCCTATAAAGGGTAAACTTCGCTGGTAGTCAAAACATTTTTATTCAAAGTCCCACTCAAACAAGATCAGATGTTCATCAAGAGTTTCCTGCTGCTTTTAGCATTTAACTATTTCTCTGCAGAGCCAGAGCCATCACAACGTATTTTCGGTGGAGGACCCATCGATATCAAAGAGGCTCCCTGGCAGGTTTCCTTACAACTAAATGGAAAACATTGTTGCGGTGGGTCCATTTACAGCAAGGATATTATAATCACAGCCGCCCATTGCCGATTCCATCCTCGGACAAGACAAAAACTTGGGGCCGACCACTTTACAATTCGCGTAGGATCATCAAAGACATACTCTAAAGGAGCCATTGTGAAAGTGGCAGCCATTAAATCATACGAAACTTATGAATATGGTTCGAATGCCAACGACATTGCTGTCATGCGATTAGCTAAACCGATTAAATTTACCAAACAAGTGCAGCCAATTCTTTTGGCAAAAAATAATCCTGCGCCTGGAGAACTTGCGTGGATTACTGGTTGGGGAAGAACTTCAGTACATCCTTCTTATCCTGAAAATCTTCAAGGTGTTCGTGTTCGTATTCTAAGACCGGAAATGTGTGTTACTCATATTACGAAGGATAGTATTTGCGCCGGAGAATATGGACGCTGGGCGTGCCATGGTGACTCAGGTGGACCTTTGGTTGTTGACCGTAAACTTGTTGGTGTCATTTCGGGAGGTCCTTCAGATTGCTCTTCCTATGCAACGCACGTTAGTGTACCTTACATGCTAAACTGGATTTTAAAGGCAATTAAATCTATTTGATTAAATGTTCCAACAAGTCTTTGGCATTTATCCGTTGAGGGTTGTTAAAATATTTACCAGCACTTCTTTTCAAAATCCAATTAAAATGAATAAAATGTAATAAGCAACACATGTAATTTTTACTTGGAAAATCGGTTTAACATTTATTCATTGGGATAAACACCTCAAAACAAATGCTGTGAAATCGGTTCATTTCTTTTTACAATTGTTCCTTATTAACTAACTTGTTCATGCACTTCAACATAGAGGTATGAATGGAATTTTGAAAATTTACAGTACGCTTTCACATACATGAAAATTCTGTAAGAAAGACATTCGCTGAATGCACATAGTTTCTCTCTATTTATATAGATAATGCATGTTAACTAAACGAAAAAAAATTGCTCGGACATATGCTAAAATGGATGATTTGAATTTGATTATCTTCAGGTTTTTGAGGTTTCCCTAATCACTTAGGAGCCCACAATGATGTTGTTGATGGGGATGTGTATCAGCTTGACGAAGAAGCCGATGAAGCCCATGATGCAGAAGCCAATGGCGGTGGCGATAGCGATCTTCTGGAACTCCTTGCGGTCGGGTTTGGTGCAGCGCTTGACCAGACGGATCGAGTCCTTGGCGAAGGCACGTCCTGGCTCGGCAAACTTGACAACCTTGTCCATGTCGTTTGATGAAGCTTGGTTTCTGCAAGGAAAGAGGAGAAAGTGGGCATCAGTAATCGGTATTTGGTTTCCGAGCACTTTCACACCAATTTCAGCTGTGACGTGGCTAATGGTGAGAGACGTCACAGGTGAAATTTGGTGGCCCACTCCTGAAAATGTGTTTTCCATGCCTGGTTTTCACTACACTTTACAGATCTTTAAGAATTTAGCTACATAAAGTAATATCTTAAACTGAACCGAATGCATTATTTTATGTAAACACCTAGTGAATTGAAAAACTGCAAGGTGCGGAAAACCACGAAGATGGGAAAATAAACTTATTCGGAAGTTTGAATTGTTCTATGCTTTTGTTCACTGACTATTTTAATTGACAAATAATGTTAGAACAGTTAAGATTGAAAAAACAAGCACACGCACCTCCGGTTCAATCGAAAATTTCCAAATAAGTGAGCTGAGTTCGTTTACTGCCGCGTCGACCCTTCTGTTCGTGCCCGACTCCCGATGACAGTTCCACGTCAAAGTGTCAAACGCCAGGGCTGCAACACAGCCAAGCTGTCAATAAAAGTGTTGCCTATTTAGCTGTTTTCAAGCAAGATTGGAATATCACTTATTGGAAATTGGTTATAAATTTAGAAAAGTGTAAAACATTATCACCATTTTTAAATGGTTGGGTTTTACATATTAATTTATGCGTTTAAGAATATTTAAAAAAAAAAAACACTATAATCAGGGCACCGCCAAAAATCAAATGTGTTAAAAGTTCCTTACCTTCTTACTAAAAAAATTTGTCCTGACTTCCAACCTTTCCTACCGGTTTTAACATTTAAAGTGGTTTGTTTGTACTGAAATACTTTTCATTATCGCTATGTGACATAAAATAACTTCACAATATCCTACCCACTTCAAAAGCAACCCAGAAATAACGGATTTTTAAGGTTTTCCCGCTTCGTCCTGTGTTGTTTTGGTATATTTCCAGTTTCAGTATACTTTCCCAGTCTACTTTCCAGTTCCATTCCAGCGTATCAGCTAACGGTTGAGCTGTGGTCACACTGCTGCTGGCAGTCCATTCCACGCCAATGTCCTCGAAGGATTCCTCGGTGGCCGCAGCCGTGGCCAGCTGCAAACTGAAGAAGCAGCAGCGCCGTCGCCTGGCGGCCTTCGACTTTGACCACACGATCGTGTCGCAGAACACGGACACGGTGGTCCGCGACCTCTTGCCCACGGAGGTGACCAGTGCCCGGGCCAACGAATTGATGGAAAACGACTGCTGGACGGAATACATGGCTGAGGTGTTCCGCCTGCTGCACGAGCAACAGGTGCCGGAGTCGCGGATCAGAGACACCATCCGCGGCATTCCGGAAGTGCCCGGCTTCGTCCGGCTCATTAAGCACTTGGCCAAGCGGCTGCACTTCGATCTAATCATCATCAGTGATTCGAACAGCGTGTTCATCGAGGAGTGGCTGCGGGCGCACAACCTGGCCGATTGCTTTGTGGCCGTCTTCACCAATCCGGCGGAGTTCGATGCTTCTGGCCGCTTAATCGTCCGACCGCATCATCAGCAGTCGGACTGCAAGCTGAGCGCCAGCAATTTGTGCAAGGGCCGCGTCCTTGAGCACTTTGTCATTGAACAGGATCTACGACGGAGCATTCGCTACGACCATGTCTTCTATGTCGGCGATGGCAACAACGATATCTGTCCGGTGCTGCGACAGCGGGCCTGCGACTTCGCCTGCGCCCGCAAGGGATTCGCCATGGAGAAGCACCTCCTGCGCAACCGCAGCAAGTTGAAGCTGCGCGCCCAGCTGCTGGTGTGGAAGAGCGGCTTTGATCTGATGGACCAGATGCTCGCCCTACCCCAACTGCAAACTCCGCAGGTTTGCCCGGGTGATCCGGATCCGGATCGGAGCAACGAAACCGCGGCCCCGGAGGTGGCACGGCGAGCATCGGCCATCGCCGGGCCGGCCAAGTCTCCGAATTAAGATGACACCTTCTTCGCATTTGAGACCTCCATAAGTGTGTAGAAAAGGTAATCGAGAACGATCAGATTGGCATCGTAGAATCGTAGGCTTACTCGTTATTTGATCAACATCTATTGTGAATCCTTAGGAACCAGGGAAACCAACGTGGACAGTGCTGATATTATACTTTTTAGTTTTAATTAACCGATGGCCTAAATTAATTCATCCAAATCATGCAAATCAGCTGACTTTTAAGGGGTTATATCCAGTTGCGATTTTGAAAAAATCGAAATTTTTTTTTTTGCCTATTTTGAATGTATATATATCTAAGAAGATTGTCTGAAAATTTCAAAGTATTCCGGTAAATAGTATTGGAGTAATAAGTGTATTTGTAAAGACGCCTCCCATGTAGTTCAACTAGTAGCCAAAACTTTAAGTGCGTTTTTCTCGAAACTATGTCTTCAAAGTCGGTGAGCAAAATTTCTCAGAGACGGCTTGTCCGATTGACTTGAAACTTTCACATTCTCTTCTTAGATATTTTTTCAGGTAATGAAACTTGGAATTTTGGCTCCGACAAAAACTTCGATTTTTTTAGCCACTTCAAAGTTGAAATTTTTGTGCCAAAAACAAAGTTTTATGTTTGGGAAGCCGCCATTTTGTCAAAAATCAAAATTTTGAAAATCCCAAGTCTCATTACCAGCATTTGTCTATTCTTTACGTAATCCTTTTGGTTTTTTGCATTTCAAATAATTTGGACCGGAGATATTTTGCTCACCGCAAAACCTTTTTTTGAAGTGGACCCTCGGGAGATCCTCTACAGGACCGACGGAGTCCAAATTTTTTTTTTTTTTTAAATATATTCTAAAACTAGAAATAATGACCTATCTTTTCATATATATTACGTATTCATACAATAAATAGCCTCTCCAAAAATAATTTTCAAAAAAGCTCATTTTTTTGGCCTCGCAACTGGATATAACCCCTTAAGAGCAAGGGGCAAACGAAAACCTTAATGAACTTTGCAAGGAGGCTTGAAAATTTTTTGCTTTTATTATTCAAAAACCTCAATATTGAACAATACAAAATCTCGAATTCATTAGAGCAAAGGATTTTCGTTTATAAATTATAATTACTATAACCATTAAATAATTTTTTAACAGTATAAAAGCTCGAATTAAATTTGTTGCTGTTGTTGTTAGCTTTAGCCCCTCAAAGGCATTTATTAATTTGTTAAAAATCATTAAAACGCTCATTTTTCGTAGCAAGGGGCTTTAATACTTTTAAGTTTATTATCCTAACCCATTTTTTTTTAACAATGTGAAGTGCAAATCCTTTTAAGAAGACCCTTAGGCAGTTGTCTAGAATGTAATAAAACTGAATTCTTTAGACCTAGGCATTTCTTGATTTTTTATGAAGCACTTGAATTTGTTAGAGCAAAAAATTGTAAAAAGGATGTGATCGGATCATGTTGATCCACCTTTAAAATCAGGTTTCAAACACCTATTGTACGATTCTGCGATGCCGAGGACTACTCATGCAGGTCTCAAATCCGCATCCCAAAACCCTTCTTATCATCATGTGGTCTGGTCTGTTTTCTTTTTTGTTTAACGCCCCCTCTTTTTCATCGCACCGACTATTGCTAAGTATGCTAAGTGGACCTGTGTGCTAGGACTTCTAAAACAAGACAGTTTCAGAGCCTCTATAAGGCGGTTCCAGTTCAAGGAGTCAATTTTTGGCTGCGGATGTTAATGTTTATTCCATGTGTGTGTATATTGTAACTTGTTGTAATTGAAATTATTGCAAGCTGTATATGAGTGTCCATATTATATGCATTTGAATGTGTGTTTTGCCGTTACTGCAATATAACGCTTTTTATTGGGTATTGCGGTTTTCCTTTTTTTGTTTAAGGTGTGAAAGGTGTGCAACCCAAAATGGCTTAGAGCGAGATAGCTTTAGGTTGGCGTGCGTGCACAAGAGCGAGAGGGAACGAGGAGATGCAGGGCCTATTTTCAGCTTTTGGCGCATAGTCAACGACTTTGTTTACATGTTAATGTACATAATTCTTTGTTTATAGCGAAGATTAGTCAATATTTTTTCTTTACTGGGAAATACTCTGTTTAGAATTTTATTTATACACAAATAGGTTTGGTTCTTCACTTAAAATGTGAGAGGTTTTTAAAGTATTAAATATACAGTAGTAATCAAAACTAAATTAATTAACAAACCTGGTTCTATTTATGCAGTTATATATAAGATAATAAATATACATATAAAAAAAAACCAAATTATTATCCAATGCCATATGTGCTCAAAAATGTTTAGTCTCTGGGATTTATTGTTACCTTTAATGCAAACTTCACACAATGCCCTAGAACTGAAAATTTCTTATCGTCTGCTTGAGGTTCTTTATTTTCTATCAGTGACGAACTTAGTATTAACATAACTTTATCGGTAGTATATTAGAATTTTATATTACAGCTCTGCTTAGGTTAAACTCAGGCAATCTCGTGCTAGTTTATCATAATATTCGGTCGAGCAGATAACTAGCAAATGGGAATCACTTATAGATATGACTTGCAAAGTCTCAAGGATGACAGGGTCTTGCAGATGTCTAAGCAATACTTGAAATAGCGCGGATCGGGAGAGTCTGTGGCGTCCACTTTCTAGGAGCCCAGCGGCGACATGCCGATCTGTTGCGGTGTGGCGCCAAGTTCCAGATTCTTGAGTAGCATCTGCAGCCACTGTTTGGTTGACTTGTCGTCCTGCAGGCACAGCGCAAAGGTTCCATCTCGTAGTTGGTCGGGCAAACATTGGCCAAGTGCCTTGCGAGCGCTGTGGGAATAAAAAGCGGTTAGTTTACAAAGCGAATATGCATCGTACCTTGAAGGTTTACCAATACATACCGAGTGTTGTCCGAAAGTCGCAAATAGCAGCGCACCACATGCTTGAGCAGACGAGCGCAAGGATCTTTTGCCAATTGGATGACCATTTTGCCCTAAAATCGGTGAATATGCTTAGTAAATTTTGTACGAGACGGGAAAAGGAAAACCTACCAAAGTAATGGCCACATGGGAGAAGCGTTCGTAAGTCTGGCATATGTAAGACAACCCGGACTCATCAAGCAATATCTTCTGGATAATAAAGGTGGCCACAGTCTTGCTCAACTCCGATCCGCTGTCCATGATGCTGAGGCAAAGCGGCACAATCTCAGTGGTCAGTAGAAAAGTGATTACCTCTTGTTCATCGGTCTGCGGGAAGAAATGGTAAAATGAACACAATTTCCTCGTTTTCTAACGGCCTTAAGCCCACCTTGACTAGTGCTCCAATGACGCCCAGACTGGTCAGGCGCAGGTACTCAAAAGGTCTGGTCTTCGAGGTGGTGGACAAGAAAGGGTATAAGTAGAGTGGTATTTGGGCCTGCAGGAAGGCCGTACGCGTTTCCGGGTGCGAGGCGACGCACTGCAGCAAGGCCAGAGCGTTGCAAACGCGATTCGATTGGTGAGCCGTCAGCGTAGGCGGCGTTATCGAGGGATATATATTGACAATCTCCTGCAGCAGGGCGCAGGCTGTGCCAAAGCTGTTCCACAGCATGGGTGCCAGGTCGGTCTCCCGTTTTTTGCTCAGCTCGAGAAGTGCGGTTTCGCGCGTTTCCGGGTGGGCCAGCTCGTTGATCCATTGGTACACCTGGCCAGAATTAGAGTGAGTTAGAGCGTTTGCGTGCGGTTGGGTGTCCCGATTGTGATTTACCTTCTCCTGCTCACTCTGCTGCTGCTGTTGTTGTTGTTGTTGCTGCTGCTGCTGCTGTTGTTGTTGTTGTTGCTGCTGCTGTTGCTGTTGTTGTTGCTGCTGGGGATTCATAAGCGGACTTGGTTGTGCACTCATCGCGAAAAATTGGCTTCTTCTTTTAGTATCTTAAAGGCTTGCAAATATTTGGATTTCACCGTTTGCCTGGGTGCTTCAGAACTCAATTAGGGCATACGCTTGTTATGGCTTGCAAATTGACCTGCAAGGATACTTACTAATTCTAAACGTATTGGTTTTGTATTGTAAAAGAAAAGAAAACAAGCAAAGCAGATATAGGGATGGGGCTACCACTCGCGATTATATCGACACCTATTTGAGGAATTTGATATATCGAATTGGTCAACTATCGACTTGCAAGCTTGCGGTAGCCGCCAAAGTATCCAAACAACTATTAACACTAATCACATCATACAAAAATTTAAAAAAAAATCAGCAATTCCACTTTTCGGAAATTTGGAAAGGAGTTGCTTTAAAAAATTCGAAAAAATTGACTGAAAAATTTGAAAATAAACTAATAATGCAGTTTAGGTACGGCACTTTAAAATAGAGAGTATATCACAAAAGTGGTGGACTTAAAAGTGGTTTTGGTCAGTTTTCTGCAAGCTCATTTTTCATAAATTTGGAAAGCAGTTTTATAATAAATATTAAAAAAAGCGACCCAAAACTAACAAAAAAAAAACTAATAATATAGTTTATTAAAGCCTTTCACTTCAAACGTATATAGGTATGCCACATTAGAATCTGATTTTTCTAATAGTTAAATACCCAAGAGTGCAGCCTCATTGGACTTTATTGGTTTTAATGCAGATTCTTAGATAATATTATTCATTTAAAAAGAAACGAACTCATGTTCTAGACCAGGTGTAATGTTTGGTAATGTTGGTAAATTTTAGGAAATTAAAACCTGGTTAAAGTATTCCCTAGGCGTATACGACGCCGATCCTGGTTCGGAACTTCGCTAAGATGTCCCGGATAGTGGCGTTTTTTAGGATCTTTTCCACAGTACGTGGGATAAGCTCGCACCGTGGCGACGGTCACACTGATTTTCATTTGTCGTGACGAGTACCTCGGAATATCGAAAAGAAAAAAACATAAGCAGACAGGAGAAGCAGAGCATACCGTTTAATAATGAATTCATAAGAACGTTCGACGCGCGCCGAACATAGTCTGCGTGTATGAATCGTGCGTGCGGCCCATCGACTCGAGGACGATATTTTTTTGAGGTTTGCGAGCTTTAAATGCGTTGTGTCCCTTTTTTGCTGTACCGAATCGTTAAAAGTGCGTGGAAAAGTGTACGAAACGAAACCAATACACGGAAAGTGGGACAACGGCAACCGAGAGCGCTCGTTGCGCTTGTTACTGTGTTGGTGTATCTGCGTGTGTGTGGGTCCGCTTCTGCCTCTGTGTGTGTGCTCTGAACGTGTGTGTGCGTCTGTGTGTGGTTGTGGCGCTGGCAGTGTGTGCGTGCGTGCCTACTGCGGTCGAGAGTGGCTTCGAAAGAAAAAAATGTGTTTTATCTCTCGCCCAAGACACAACAGCAGTCAAAGTGCATCCTAAGCAACAGCATCGGGAATATAGAAATATGAGCATGCCAATGCCACCAGCAAACAACTCGAATCGCGAATTGTGCACGCAAATCAAAAGCCTAAGCAATATCAAAAGCAAAAGCAGGCGCTCTTTTACTCCATCTTCTTTTGTCTGACTCTGAGCGACGACTTTGCCGCATGGTGAGTTTGCCGTCCGTTTTGCTTGCCGCTGCCTCTTCGTTTGTTGTTTTTCTTGTTGTTGGGTAAGGGCTTCGGCGTCGTTTTCGGTTTTTAGCGCTGATTGTTGATGTTGCGCTAAATATCGTATATAATAAGCATTGCAATAGATGCTTGCATTTCGGCCAGTTAAATACATGTACATTTCTGAGGCCAACCCGCATATGCGTGTGATAGCTTGCACTTGTGTAAGTGTGTGTGTGTATTTTCTCCATGCAGCGGCGACTGCCTCTGTGGTGGAATCGCAAGATAGTGTGGTGAATTCGCGGTAGTGCGCGCGACAGTGTTGCCAACACACACACTAAAAGCAAAAAAAAACACAGGTCATATTCTTCGTGGCGGCGCGGCTTTCTCAGCATTTGCCCATTCCTCTGATTCGCCGCTCTTCAGCGCTCTCCGCCATTCCGCTTCATCCTCATCTTTCCCCCATTCTCGACAGCTGTGTGCGCATGTTTGTAGCGCTTATTATTTATTAAGTGTTGTTGTTGTTATTTAGCTTGGAGTTTTCGCGGCAATTTTGACCAATAGATTATCCCCGCATCTTGGAATCCAGAGAATCCCTATTAATATATCTGGGTGAATTGCTTTAATCTTGGATGTAAATGCGAAGTAATACATTTTAAACATGTGCTAAAATTAGATCTCTAACTTTGCCCGGCTTTGATTCAATTTTCGTTTTCTATCGGACTCCAAAGCATGGAAGTGTGAGTGTTGGTTTGTGTAGAAATGTGTGTGTGTCGGTCGTTCCCCTTTTGAATTTGTCTCTTCTCAATCTAAACAAAAATCCATCCCTTGGGGCGGTAATTATACACAACAATTGTGTAGATATAGATAGATATGACTAGGATTCAATTAGGGATGCCTTTTGTCCTATATGCCACATAACTGTTCTGTATACGAACCCTGCATTGCGCCTTTATTTATTCCCTATACGGCCATATATAATGTATAGATAATCTACACACCCAAATAATAATTTAAATATTCGGATTTGAACTTTGAATAACATGTACTACTCCGTCGATTACAGATATTTCCTTTAGTTTGTCCATATTATATGTGTTTTCCTGTTTGTCGTGTTTAAGAAGATTTGTATGAAAATTAAGAAGAGACATACCTTTAGCGTCTGGAAAGATCAGATATCCCAACCTTTTAAAACATCTCAAAGATATTCCATCTTGTGAATATAAGTTAACACTACTACTACTATTATTTCCAATTGTTAGGTTGAAAACAAATTCTCTATATCATGCAGAGAATTTCAATGATATTCAATTAATAGAACACCTGATATTATTCATGTTTTTTTACACCCTGTAATAAAACTTGTAAATTTCCTTTGCTTCACTTTTTCCAGGCTGGCGGCCACTGGACAATCGAAACTAGCAATGAATGATTTACGTCAGCAGCAGATGGTAGCAGCGACATCGTCATCAGGATCGGAAACGGGAATAGCGGTAGAAACGTCAGCCGCCACGTCCACAGCGGGATCATCGGGAGGAGCAGCAGCCGGTCGCCACCAGTCGAACTCCAATTCGAATTCCTCAAACTCAAAGTCAGTGGCAGCGAGCAGCACGAGCGAGGAGGAGCAGCGGGTTAGCTCCACATCGTCGCCAGCGCAGCGAGATCAGCAACAGTTGAATGCGGATCGGGATCGGGATAGGAATCGGGAGCGGGATCGGGATCAGGAGCGGGAGCCACAGCAGCAGCAGCAGCATCACCATCGCCATCATCGTGAGGAGGCACTGCAGCACCAGCACAATCAGCCCGGTCATATAACCAGCACCACAGCGTCGCCACCGCCGACGCAACCACAACCGCCGACGCCGTGCGACGATGCCCCAAGCACCACCGGAGCATCTGCATCGGCCAGCTCAGCATCCGGAGAAGCAGCAGAAGGAGCAGCAGCAGCAGCTTCAGGACCACCAGCACAGATGGCTGCCACGGCACTGGAGGTAGAGGGCGAGGAGCGGGACGGTCACAAGATCATTCTGAAGCTGTCCAAGCACACCATCGCCGCCAACACAAACTCAAACTCAAACCCAAATGAATCTCAGACGGCGGCGGTGGGCGACGAGAGGCGCGTGGAGCCGCTGCGCATTCAGCTGGCCGAAGGTGCCTTGGTGGCCAAGCCGCAGGACGCCTTCGATGCGGACGCCTCATCCTGCTCGTCGTCATGCGCTGAGGACGAGGTGGCCAGCACACTGGGTCAGCACCTGCGGAACACACCGCACATCGTGCCAAAGCTGACCATCCGGGCGGCCAACGAGCGGCGCGTGGGCAGTGTGGTGCCCAAGCTGACGATCAAGCTGCCCGAGAATCCAGCTGCCTCCGGCTCAAACTCAAGCTCCTCGTCGGCGGCCGTGGGTGTTGGGGGCGTTGCCCAGTCAGCGATGCCAGCCAAGAACGATGCCCACCTGTCCAGCCTTTCGCCCGCCTCCGCCTCATCGTCGTCCGCCTCGTCCTCCTCCTCGTCGTCGTCCTCCTCCTCGCTGGCGGAGATGCAGACGGTGCCCAAGCTGATGATCAAGACAACGCTGGCCGGCAGCAGCTGCATCAGCAGCAGCGAGGAGCACTCGCACTCGCACCAGCAGCAGCAAATACCAAAGTTAACCATCAAGACGGGCGGCGGTGGCGGTGGCCAGGAGCACATGCATACGGTGATCATGACGCACGACCTGAACAACGCGCAGAGCATACCCAAGCTGACGATCAAGACCAAGTCCATCGATTTGCTGGATGATGAAACAGCGGGGGAGGCAAGCTGGAGCAGCAGCAGCTGCAGCCGCTGCCCAAGCTGACCATTAAGAACCTATGCTCGCCGAAGCACAAGGTGCGCGCGGTGCTCGAGGAGAAGCTGCCGACGGCGGCCTCCAAGCTGGCAGTGGCGAAGCCAACAGTCGTCCTCCCACCAACCAATTCCACGCCCGCACCGATGACGAATGGCGGCGAGTCGAACAGCAGCAGTCAGGAGTTCTGCGGCTTCTCCGATCCGGATGCAGATGCGGCGGCCACTGCCTCCGACGAGGGGCGTCGCAACTCTGACGACATGGTCATCGATGATTCGCTGTCCAAGGAGCACGACCCGAAGATCTTTCACAATCTACCGCCACTGGCCGCCAGCAATGGCATCACGAGCGCTGCGACTAAGGCTAACAAGGCCGCGGCTCAAGCGCAGCACAACGTTGTTGACATGGTGGATCTGACCTCGTCCCCGTCGCCGGGCTCTTCGCCAGCGCATGGAGCCCTCGACTTTATGCAGCAGAACCCCCTGTTCCTCGAGTGCCTGCGGATGAGCGAGACCGGAGTGGGCAGCAGTGGACCAGCCTCGCCCAATTCGAACATCCTGCTCAGCCAACTGACCGCGCCGGCCAAGAGTTTTGCCACGGGCACAACGCCCAAGAGCAAGTCGAGCAAGTATCCCCAGCTAACGGAGCGCCTGATGGCGAATGGTGGTGGTGGTGGTGTTGGCATGAGCAGTGCCAGTGGTGGGTCAGTTGTGGCGCCGGAAGGCGAATCAATTGCTGGTCCCTTGGCCACCGCAAATAACACGCAGTCCATCATCGAATCCATCGAGATTCTGGACACGCCCGATGGCAGTCCAAGGGTCACCTACATGGACGAGGACCACCATCACGCCCCGTTGCTGAACAACCATCACGGGGCTAATCACAAGGAGGATCAGGAGCTGGACAACAACAACGAGAACCACTTGAAGCGCACCAGCAGCCAGGGCAACGAATCTCCCAGCAGTGGGGTAGGTGTTTTGTAATTAGTTAAGATTGAATGGCTGTTAATTGTTGCCATCTATTCCTCCACAGATACCTCCCAGCAAGCAGCGACGTCTGGACAACGATGAGAACGACCAGCAGACGCAGAATTGTCACGATCCCGCCAGAAAGTGCAACACCAGTCCCGGCAGCGAATCGTTGCAGTCGCTGCCACCTTCACATCGATCGCGAAAGCAGAAGCACGAGCGGATTCTCAACACGGAACTGGAGGATGCCCTGTTTCCGGGAAGCCAGCACCAAGCGATGATACCAACGCCCGACCAGAATGGAGCCCTGTCCGCGGCGGAGGCTGAAGTGGCGGCGGAGGCTAAGGCACAGCAGGATCCTCTGGAACAGCCGCCGCCCGCTCAACTGCCGTCCACTGCCACGTCAGCGGCGCCGAGCACGGGCAAGAAACGGGGCAGGCCCAAAAGGATCCAGCCGAACCAGAGCACAACCGATCCTGGAGCTGTAACCCCCAAGCCAGCCACGCCGCAGGAATCGCGACGCGTGCAGCTGCTGCGCAAGCGACTGGCCATCGATATGGTTAGCGTGGGACCGGAGCAGGCGGACATGACGCCGAAGAATGCTGCGGCTGTGGGTGAACCAAATGCCAGGGTCGAAGAAGAACTAACCGGCGCGGGGGTGGAAACGCCTAAGGGTCGCGATCACCGCCAGTTGAGGACAACGCGGCGCTCGACTATCCACAATCCCAGCGCGAATGCGAATGCCACCACGAACCTGCAGCCCACGCCGAAGACCACGCGGAAGCGTCAGAGCAAGGCGAATGCCATGCATAGCCAGCAGCAGCTGCCGATCGCTCCGTTCGGTATTCCCTTGGAGGCGGAGTCCAATAATAACAATAACAACAACAATAACAGCAGCTTGTCCTTTGCTCTGACCGCGCAAATCGACCTGACCATGTGCTCGTCCAGCTCATCGACTTCCTCGGGCGCTGCCGCCAACCAGCAGTTGGTCAGCGGGAGTGGCAGCAGTTCGATGTTGCCGCCCGCGACGATCCTTTCATCGTCGGATCCGCTGCCCGATGTCATCTTCCAGCCGAACGACTTCTCCTCGATCATGGCCACCCAGCAGCTGCGCTCGCCGCGACCCTCGAGCATTAGCGGTGGCAGTGCCGGCGGCAGTCAGCCGGATTCGCACGATGAGGACAACTATAATAGTGCGCTGGATAATTCAGGCGGTGAGTCAAGAGTGGTTTTGTTTTTGAACAACAGAATAACAGGGAAAATGTTTACTTTGTAGATGAATCTGCCGCTGCGTCACCCATGCTCTCGATGGTGACGCCCACGCGAGGACGCGGTCGTGGACGGGGATCCCGCGGAGGTCGCAGCAGAGGCTCTTCTTCGGCAGATCGGTCTGGAAGCGCCGGAGGCATTTCCTCCACCACGCCCAACGCACAGCCTCGGGCGCCTCGGATGAGCCGTGGAGCGAGTGCGGTGGCCAAGGCCATCGCCATGAGTCGACCGCGATGTGTGGGCGGCCTGAAGCACACGCCCGATCCCGAGAGACTTAAAGGCCTGTTTAGTCCGGTAAGTGAGACTCCGTTTAGAATTAAAAAAAAAAAAAAAAGATATTTTGTGTACGATTTAAAAAACCGATATAATAACCCGTTATTCGCATATAGCGAGTAGCGAGATCAAGAGGATTGGGCGGTCGCTAATCGCTAGTTTTCGTTGTCACAAATGTGGGGCGCCGTGTTGAAGATGGTCAGTACAGTTGATGATTTAACTGACGCTTGCAATATGAATAACACAGATTTCTTGTTTATGTTTCGTTACGTAAATTTTTGCCCACATACCCATACACACAACATGCACTCTTAGGGCTAACGTGTCGTAATTAAAAACAAAGGCGCGCGCCATGTCGTGAATTCAATGCCAACGGCCCAGTGTAAGTGCAAAAGCAGCAACAACACAACCGGATGAGCCCGCGGGGAGGTGTGAGGGGCGACCGGGCGGTACGATGCATAAGGGGATGGGGAGCAAAAAGAAGCAGCTGCGAAACTGAGCAGCGCAGTCGCTGTGATTGTTGTTGGCTTCACCTGCGATTTTAATCAGCTGAAGTTTTTGTTTGGCTCTCGCCAATCGCACACGAACGCATTTGAGTGCGCCTGTGTGTGTGGTAGTCCACCTTCACCACACCTGCTGCTGCTGTTGCAGTTGCTGTCGTTTCTCTTCCTCTCTCTCACGCTGGCTCTCGCTGTGATACAAGCTCTCTCAATCGAAGCTTTGTATGTGCATTTCGCTGAGAGCTGGCAACTCTTTGTCGGTTTTTGCTACTGCATGTTTAAACATGTGCAATAGGCAATGTTTTTTGCGAAGGGAGAAGATTTTTAGGGATATTTAAAAATTTTAGATTTTCCAAGAGGTAAACATTAGCAGGGGTTGTATGTATATTATATAAATTAAAGTTTGGATACTATCATTTTAAGCTGGGAGAATGTCCATACGAGGATGATCGAATTTAATTTAATGATCTATTGGAAAATCGTACATTATTTAGTTTTAGGAAGTTAGAAAGGATAATTTTAGTTTTTAATTCACAATTTGTATTATTTCTTTTATTTATCAAGTCGCCGCAAGTGTTTGAGGAGGACACCCGTATGAGTGCGGATCTGAGCAACAGCATTCAGTCAATGTCCAGCCTAATGGAACCCCCGCTAACGCCGCAAAAGTATGTTCCATCTAAACATCCCAATATCTGAAATAAAAAACCCTTGCTCTTTTGCAGGCAACCTGACTTCCTCAACAACGAGGAGTCCCAGTCGTCCATGGTGAGCAATGTGAGCATGCTCGACTCGAATCAGGGTCAGTCCGTTGACGCTATTTTGGGCTCTGCGCTAAAACGTCCAAAGAAAAAGAAAATGGAAATCTGCGTGGCCGAAGAGTAAGTGTATCCTGTTATTAACCATCAATTTGCCGTTGAGTTCTAACCCTATAATCGATTGCAGCACGGACTACACCGCCTCCAGCATTGCAGAATACGATTGGCCTCCGCCCAAAGGCTGTTGTCCCTCAAAGAACCGCGACACATTCATGATCCAGGAGCAGGTGGCCCTCTATCTGGGGATCACCAGCTTTAAGCGCAAATACCCCGATCTGCCACGCCGGGCTGTCGACATGGAGGAGCGCAATTGGCTGCAGGAGAAGGGTTTGGTCAGCGAAAGGATGTGCGACCTGGGCATCACGGCTGTCTGGGCCTCCGACATTCTGGACATCATGTACGCAGATTTCTACGACAAGTATGAGGAGTACAAGGAGTACATTCGTCAGAAGCACTTGCGAGAGATCGAGGCCAAGCAGAAGGCGCTGGGATTAACAGTCGGTGCCGGAAAAGGTCTACAAGCGCGAGATCGTGCCATGCTTTCGACTAGCAAATGGAATGTCTACTTCAACAAGACGTGAGTATAAATCAAGCATTGATTTCGCATTTTTAATTAATAAACTTTACTGTACAGCCGCAAGGACGAACGCCTGGTTTGCCTGGATCTGCAGACGTTCACCATGAACCAGCCGCAGCAAAGGACCGCGCCCAGCTGCACCCGTCTCCAGCGCTCCATTGCGAGTGTGGTGCGGGCAGCGGCCGAGGCGGAAAATATTCCAGTCCCGCCCACTCTTGTGCCGCCCCGCGTCTACGACGAGGCATTCCAGCACTCGGACTACGCCTATCCAGTCACAGTAGTGCCGGATCAGTTCTCGCTGCTCTACCGCCAGTTCGAGGCCGCCGAACTGAGGTAAGTTTCATTTTTAAGTTCTTATTTTGACCTGTTATAAATCAATTCCCTTCTGCAGAGCTTATCCAATCGATACTGCGCTGGACAAACCGCGGACTGAGCTGGAAACGCATATCCTTCAGCGTGACAACGGCATCGAGGCCACTGGCAGTGAGGAAACAGCAACTAAAGATTTGGAGCAAGATCAGCCTGCGCTAAAAGGCGAAACGGTTGCGGGGGCGGCGCCCGCGCGACGCAGCAGACGATCGACGCGCCAGCAGACGGACAAGGTGCGCACGGCCAGCAATTCGAGTGACTCCTCCACCCAGTCGGCCTCATCCGCGTCCAGCGGCAACGGCAGCAGCAGTGATACGGTGAGTCGGGCGGATCTAGTGAGGTTGGGCTTAGATAAAAACGATAGATCTTCATAAGTTAGTTGTTCAAAAAAAAGTTCATCCTATCACATTCAAAATCTCTTTCATTTTATATTGCAGGATAGCGGTGATGAAAGCGACTTTAGCAGCAGTTCGAGCTGCTGCAGTTCAACGGGTGCCTCGAGTGGAGCTGGCAGCGAGGACGAGGAAGGAAACGACTCTTCGCAGTCGGCCCTGCTGTCCAATTGTGGTGTCTGTCTGCGCAGCCAGCATCGCAATGCTAGAGACATGCCGGAGGCCTTTATCCGCTGCTATAGTTGCCGAAGACGCGGTAGGTTATTCCCCATTCCTCGCACCTAAGTGTATTTAAATATATTTTATATTTTCTTTCAGTCCATCCGAGCTGCATTGAGATGCCTCAGCGAATGGTGAGCCGCGTTCGGAACTACAACTGGCAGTGCGCAGGCTGCAAGTGCTGCATCAAGTGCCGGAGCAGTCAGCGGCCGGGAAAGATGCTGTATTGCGAGCAGTGCGACCGAGGCTATCACATCTACTGCCTGGGCCTCAGGACGGTGCCAGACGGTATGTTTTATAATTTATACTTGTGTTGACGTGAAGCAGTTAACCCTTATTTAACATATGCAGTTTGAGTGTCATTTATGATCATAGTTGTGAATGTGAAGAATGTGAAACCTTTTGTGTAACTAAAACACCAACTATTAAAATTTCAGGACGTTGGAGTTGTGAACGCTGTTGCGTGTGCATGCGATGCGGAGCCACTCGACCCGAGGGACTGCCCCAAATGGCCGCCCTGTCAGGAGGTCCCTCACCCAACGGAGAACGCTCGAAGACGTCGCCTCGGAGCAAACGGCTGAAATGGGTGCACGAGTACCGCCTCGACCATTTGACGAAGCTGCGCGAGCATGCCGCCATGTTCTGTGTGCCCTGTGCCCGTACGAAGCCTGCCAAGCGGCAACCTTCGGCGTCGGTCGCCGCGGCTGCCACCGTTGTTCCCCCCAGCCGCGGAGGCCCTCATGTCCACCAGCACAGATGACAGCCCGGTACCGAGCCCAAGCCTGACGACCAACGGAGGACTTGCGCTCTCGCCGGCGGCGTCGCCCAGTCCAAAGGCAACTATGGCATCCGTATCATCACTGCCAACCGCTCCGGAGGCAACGGTGGACACCACAACTAGCAGTAATGCTACAAGCACGACGACAGCGAATAGGCGGCAGGCGGGGAACAGTGCGGTCAATATCACGACGATGCACTGTAGCAGTAGCGGTAGCTACAGCGGGAACGGGGTCTCCGAAGAGGCGACGGCGGTAGCAGCTGGAACATCAACGGCGGCAGCGGCAGCAGCAGCATCAGCAGTGGCAACAGGCGGAGCACCGAGTGCCACTCAAATTGGCATAGCTCCGCCGCCGGTTGTTGCCTGAGTGGGGGTCATACGTTATTGTGCCAAGCGCACTCTAACGGACTTATAGTAAGCGCCGGACGCGCCGCTCTCCCCCAGAAGCAACAAATAACCAACCGAAACCAGCCGCCATCCCAAAAAGAAAACAAAACAATACCACACACAGATGCATAGTATTAACAAATGCGACAAGAAGGGAAAACCGAAATGGAGAAACTATTTAAGGAACTATTTTTTTTTTTTTATCTATAGTTATCCTTTATTGTCAGTACATCGTATTGCTATTGTTTTATATATATATATATGAATATTCCTATTATAGTTATGTTACTTAACTTTGCTAATGTTAACAACCACAAGAAGAAGGAGCCCAACCACATAAACAACAAAAACAAAAACACATGACAACCAGCACACCCAAAACTCCAAGTAGACAACCCACGTTATGCTTAAGTCCTCTTTAAATCCTAAGTTTAAAATGCCTAGCACTAAGTCACAGTTTCATAATGTTTCTAGAGAATTCATTTGACGCATTTTAGTTAAATTGTGCGCACGCGCCTACCTACGCCAACTGACTTCAGTTTTATTTTTTTTTTTCTTTATTCCCGAGGCGTGTTCTTGTCCATATCTGCAGGTTTAACTGTTCCGTGTTACTGGTTACTTTTGAATCGAAATAGTGTCTACTTCTCAGCCTCTAAGTCTAGACCACTGTACTATATTATATTATATGCGTGTGCATCTATATCTTTATATAAACGAACACGCAATTTTTAATTTTAAATGTCTCGTGCGCCGAATTTTTGATCGTGTATATGTGTATTTATAAGAACAACAGCCCCTGTAAGTAGTCAAGCACAACCTAAGTAGTGTCTTCATGTGCGGTAGCTGCTTGTTTTTTTTTTTCGTTTAGTTTTTGTAGATTCGTAAGCGAAAAATGAATGGCCTTCGTTTGATCAAGAATCGAAGAAAGCTAGGTTCTACACTCTCTGTAATTGTAGGACTAAAAATGTATTATACATGTAATTTATGCTAACACATACCCAACAATCTAACCCCCACACAACCATTATATATATATATATAAATATAATACCTGTAACTTTAAGTGAAAAGCACAAGAACAGATATATGATTTCGGCGAGAAAGCCATCATTGATTGAAAGAAAACAAATGGCAAAATAAACAACCGTGTGTGAAATAATATTAGGCAAACAGTTCTGATACCGCCGCAGCAGCAATAGCGATCGCATAAGAGAGAAAGAATGTAGTTAGCTTTAAGTTTTCGGTCTACTTAACACAAAGTGGATGAATATTATGTACACACGGGCCCAGCTGCAGACGCTGAAGAGACCTCGGTAATATCTACTTTTCCATGGAATTTAATGCTTAAGTCCATATTAAGTGAAATTATTCTTATGTATACATACTAAAAGATTTATTTTTAAGTCGAAATAAAACAGCAGCATTAATAACCTGGCCTTACCACAAACGCAACGCTAAGCCGCGCATCAGTGGGCTGCACTGGGCATCAGTAGAAGCGACTCCAGCTCGTGGCCATCGCTCCAGGTAAGCACCGAGCAGTCGAGGTCACGTTTATGGGCGGCTAGCTTGCCATACAGCTCGAATCCTCGCCTGATGCAGGCAACGTCCTTCGTGCGCAACTTCCTCATGGCACACAGATCGTTGCAGCTGTCGCCCACGTAGATCACTTGGTAGTACTTGCCGCTGCAGATGAGCTGCTTCAGCACGGCGCCCTTGCAGAGATTCGAGGGGCAAAGCTTGCAGTGACCCTGCTCCTCGTAGGGCAGCACCAGCACCTCGCCATTTGTTTGGATGCAGGCAGGATTGGTGAACACGCCGGCGGCGAAGAGGTGATCGATGGCGTACTCTTTCAACCACTCGCAGATAAAAAACGAGTTGGAATCGCTGACGATGCACAGGTCCACCTCGGGATTCCTGGCCAGTCGCCGGATGACGCGAAGGATCCCCGGAACTGCCGACAGGCTACGCACATGTTTCCCCACGGCACAAGAGTCCATTTTGTGTTCGCTGTGCAGCGAATTCAGGACTTTACCTATGAAGGTCAGCCAGCCAGTTTTGGGAATGAGATCCTGCAGCTCCTTTCGTTGTTTGGTCGGCAACAGTTCGCTGACAGCCAGACTGGAATCCTGCGTTACGATGGTCTTGTCGAAGTCAATGGCGGCCAGGATTCGAGGACACGGCTGGCAGCTCTGAGCAAAGCCACGACGCAAGCCCAAAAAACAGCGACTCAACTGGATGCTCCTCGAAATTGCAAACATTTTGGTTATGGAAAACAAACAATTTTGATTTTAATATCAATACACACTCATTTACGTACAATACATAGAGTTTAACAAAGCACATCAATATGGAGTAAAGGTAATGCCAAAATCCGAGTACTGTCGAAACTTGATGTCGTCTTCGATTTAAAATCCTTAGTTCCCAGACAAGACGCTATTTCTTTGGCTGGCAAACTACCTTGACCATAAACTTTTATCGCGTAAATTTAGATATTGTCATTGAAAATATTTTGTTTCTTTCGTTTTGCATAAAATGCTTTCCAAAAAGGTTTAAATATCTAAAATACATTCATAGTTTTGTGTGTTGGTAACATGCAAAAAGCTATGCAAATGCATATGGAACAGCAAAAATCGATATTTGGTTTCATGGCTTCCAACAAATATAGGTGCATATATGCACATACGTGTATAATTAATTACATGGGCGAATTCATTGGCTAACTATTTAAAATGAAACAAATATTCGAGCAAATATTAATGGAACTAGTTTCACAGAACTTCACTTAACTCGATTTGTCAATGTTATCTTGCCATTTGGAAACAAATACTTTTTGGTTATTTCTTATTACTAAGAATGGTGCAACCTCGCCGACTTGTTTGAATCCGAAGTTAGTTTCTGAGATATGTTGGTTCACATTTAAATATTATATCTTGTGGAGAAAACAAGGGTTTTTTACAATACGTTTTCTTTGCTTGTAAGATTTGATCCTGTGACATGGCAACAGTTTTTTACCGATCACAAGGTTTTCAAGAGTAAGCTAAAATAGTTATGTTTGTTATGATTGGTGTCGATATTCAGCACGATTTTAAATCAGAATACCTCTCATTTCATGCACCTGGTTTATAACATTGGACAACCAAATGAGACCTTATACAAATTACAGTTTTATGCATATGCACGTACAAAATATGTTGATACAGAAAGCATTAAAGCAAAACTGCACTTTAAAGTTTTATTTATAATTGCCTAATATTTAGCAAGTTACTTTAAAAGATATTTTGATTTAATCATATCTTAAGAAGAGCACCTTTTAAGCAAAAACCAAGACTGCAGTTTCCCTTTCATTGGTCTATATAAACATATTTTGTGTCCCATATGTCTGCACAAAGATCACTTTTGTCATGTGTATTATAATTATTTTTATAATTTAAAGGACTTAAAAGCGTCCTTGTGACAGTGACCATTGGTATTTGACTAGGTGGGCGACTGCCAATCGGTGTGTGTGTGTGTGTGTTGTTAAGGACGTCCAAATAATCCCGCCAATTTCGTATGATGATGCCATCTCATTCTGTTTCGTGGAAGATGCACCTAAACTGTGGTCTGCACGTTCTGCACGGCCTTGGAGAGCTCCACCTTGGAAGGTATAAGATAAAACGCAGGCGTCATCGTCTCTCCACATGGACACCTGCAGGCTGCAAGAAAAAAAGGACGGTATGAATACCAGAAATTTGATTTATTATCTCCTTCAAAAGCCAACCATTGATCCAGCTAAAATTTCCCAGCTTCTGCTCGCACTTGGGGCAGTAGAGACGGCCCTGGGTGTTCAGCATGATGCGGTGCATCCAGGCAATGGGCTCCACAAACAAAATGCTGCGACAATATTTTGGCGCGCCCTCGTGGCTGGGCGAACCAAGTGACGATTGCCGTATGCGCTCGGCCAGCTGCTCTAGCACGCGTGTTCCACTGGGATTATCAATCTGCTCTTGCGGCTGATCCACCTTGCTACTAGTCACTTCCTCCTGTGGCGGCCGATCGCGTGGTTTGTGCTCCAGCACATGGGACTTGGATGCCAGCACTCGACGACATTGCCGACAGCGGAAGACAATGGGTTCGGGATTTTCTCGCGTTATATCCGGATCGGGGCGAACCACGCTGTGGAAGCTCTGAGGCAGGATTTTGGCCTTACGCATCTGCTCGCCGGCCAGACGCAGCCGATGGATCTTGTAGCGCTGGCAGTTTGGATCAATCTTGCAACCCATGCGGCGGAAGAGCTTTAGCTGGCTAACGAAGCCGGCGTTTGGCTGGACAAAGCGGCGCTTGGCCTTGACCAGCTCGAATGCGGGCAGGAAGTCCAGGTTGTGGCGCTTCATCATGTAGGCAATCACCGTGGAAGAGCTGCGACTTACGCCAAAGTAGCTGAGATGTGCCAGACAAAAACAATAATGGGGAGTAGGTAAGCGAATCTTTGTCAGGTTCAAGTTCATTTACCAGTGCACCAGGACATTGCCCTGTTGAGCGAGGGCTGTGGTAATAAAGTCCACGCAGCCCTCCAAATGCTGCAGGATATCCTCGCGCGGCATGTCGGCGACTGAAAGAAGGGATGCACTACATTATTGGATTTGCTGATCCACAAGAATCTCCGATCGCACTGCTTACTCTGTATATACTTGGTGGTGAGGAAGCTGGCCTCCAGGATGTGCTGCGGCAGCGGCACCGAGTCCAGGGTCAGGATGTGGGTGATTTTAAAGGAACGCAATGTTTCCATGTGCGTGGCAGCCGTTAGATTACCTGTAAAGAACTGCGATAAGAATAATGTCCTTGGAAAAGCTGTTGCTAATGCTCACCCAAAAACAATCCTGTATCCACCTCGTCGATACTCACGGGTCCGCCATCAAAGTCCTCTCGGCTGAGCACGCCGGAGTCCTGCGGCTTGCCGCCCGATGAGGAGGAGGGCCTCGGCTGAGACTGCTCCATTACCAGATGCCCAGGATGATCAGGCAACAAAACCACAAGGACCAAAGCCAAACGTGGGCGTGCTAGTGGGACCCTATCACTAAAGAAGCTCCGATTACAATGCAGTCAGGGTCACACTGCTCGGCTGGTTTTTATAGTTACATCAAGCTTTTTTATTTTATAAAAAACTACCGAATGATTAGACTTTATTTATTGAATTGTCATTTATTTTAAAGTTTTACCAAGTTTTCTGTTCTTTTTTATAAAGCTTTTAGCTATTATTTTGGGCACCCACACCATATCGATTATCATGCTCCCCTGCTACCTATTGAGTGGAGGGCATCTCTATTGCAGACGTTACCGGTCAGTGTTGCCGATTTTGTCTATCGATAATTAGTTTCCCATAGAAATCAAGTTATAAGTTTAGATTAAAAGTGTTATTTAAAAACCTGTGGTCTATGTATGTTTTCCTTTATCATATGGAGTTGGCTTGTTTGTTAAACGTTTATTTTATTTTTTAGCTATTTTAGTCTGCTCTTATCCTGAATCTAGCTTATTCTGGAGCTCAACATCTGGCAACACTGGTGCCGGTGGACAAATATAGAGACTTTGGTTCGGTTTAAAGAAATTAGGAATTAGGTGACACGATGACCACGTTGCGACCCTTTACCTGCGACGACCTCTTTAAGTTCAACAATGTGTGAGTTAATTAAGTTTTTGAATATGGGCCCATGTTAACTTTGCTGATAATTCCAACAGAAACTTTGACCCACTCACGGAAACCTATGGGCTGCCCTTCTACACGCAGTATTTGGCCAAGTGGCCGGAGTACTTTCAGCTGGCGGAGTCTCCCAGTGGACAAATAATGGGCTACAGTAAGTTTGGAATAGATTACCCATTCAAGAATCATCGAATATGTACCAAATTTAAGTCCTAAAAAAAGGTTTGCTAGCGGTGTTTTCACTTGTAACTGGCAATCTGCATCTGCATTTTTAATCCAAAGAATACAAAACAATATCTTAAGGTTCCTGCTATTTATTATCTTTCAGTCATGGGCAAGGTTGAGGGTCACCTGGACAACTGGCACGGACATGTGACGGCGTTGACGGTTTCACCCGATTACCGGCGACTTGGACTCGCTGCGCTGCTCATGAGCTTCCTGGAGGACATTTCGGAGAAGTATGAAAGCAATTAGAGGTATCTAAGGCCCCTGAATCATCAACTCTATCTCTAACCACTCCCCAGAAAGCGGGCATACTTTGTAGACCTGTTTGTGCGAAAAAGCAACCAAGTGGCAATAAACATGTACACGAATCTCGGCTACATTATATACCGCACTATATTGGAGTACTATTCCGGTGACCAGGATGAGGATGCATACGGTAGGCGCCACACGAGATACTTTACTCAAGCCCTGGCTACCATTTCAATTTATTTGTTTCAGACATGAGAAAGGCGTTATCGAGGGACGTGAACAAGAAGTCGGTCATACCGTACACACAGCCTGTACGACTGGAAGATATAGATATGAATTGATACGATTCAACCCAGTAGCGCCCGCAATCGCATTTAATGTCTAACCGATCCCGATCCACCATACATATTTATAAAGGGCACCGCGAGCGCATCAATTCGCCGCCCAAATTGATTTATAATTAAAATTAGACTTGTAAATAATCCGCAATCCCGTGAATTTCTCGGTGATAACATGTCCTTGTATTTTAACCGATTTTAAACCGGTTTCCTGCTTGCAAACCGAAACAACCCTCTGAAAACTATGAATCTGCAATATTTACATCCCACCCACAAAGTTTAACCTGTAATAATTTTGTCTGCCCCTTACAAAGTTTACCTAGATTTTTTTCTATATTTCTATTGACTTTGAAATTATTTAAAGATTTCTTAAGCCGATGCGTAAATAACTGTATTTCAAAGATTGTTCCACAGTTTCGAAGGTAAATAACGTAAGCAACTTGTTGACTTCATCATTGTAAATGACAAAACAGTATCTAACGCCATCGATATACTCCTCGTTGTCATCGTATGCTCGATCCTCTAACGACGCTGAATGGTTTTTTACAGATTACGATGCGCGAGTTGCGCAGACAAATGCGACATGATCATTAAATGGAAGAATCAGCGGCAGAATCAGCGGCTAAAATAAGGTCTTTCGACTTTCAACTATTACTGTTTTGTTTCAAGTAGATACCCCTTTTAATAAAAATGATGCATATATGAAATCGAGTTGCATATAAATGTGTATCTATGTTTGATTAAAAGTTTCAGATTCTCTCTTTTTAAGGCATATGATCATTCGATTGTTGCCCCTAATAAAATCAAATATCAGTTTCGATATACCGCCGCCAGAAATTAAAACATGTTTAGTTGGTGTACATAAATCTATAGGACGATGTTTGCACATCCTGCGTGACCTTTTAGTCTTGGCAACCACCGTTTAATCAATACCTGGAGCTCCATTATTTTGAACGCCATGGATAGCGATACTGATTAATGGCTGACTCAGTGCGCAAAAATGGCGAAGAAGGGAGGAGTCCAGCAACTCCAGGCGGATCTCACCACGGACGAGGAGTTCGAGAAGTTTCTTCAGCGCTCCGGATTGCTGGGTATGTTTTCAATTGTCGAAGAATTGAAAATGGCAGCGATGACCCGGCTAACCCACAATATATCGTACTGGAACAGTCCTCGACATTTACTCCGAATGGTGTGGTCCTTGTCTGGGAATGGTGGGCAGCCTCCGGAAGATCAAACTCGAACTTGGCGGCGATAACCTGCAGTTGGCCATTGTAAGACTCCGATTTGCAAGGCATTTCAAGAGCACTGATTTACCCATTTTTCCAATTATCAGTGCAAGGCTGGTTCCATTTCCTATTTGAAGCGGTTCAATAAGAAAAGCGAACCCACCTGGATGTTTGTTACGGTAATCCAATGTATCCAATATATTCTATATATATTTCTGGAAAAATTCACATTGCATCAACCGTGATTCTCTTTTTAATTTGATTTGATCTTGTTCTAGAACGGCAAGGCAATCAACATAATGTTTGGCACGGATGTACCCAAACTGGTGGCCCTGATCACCAAGTTGCTTCAGTCGACGATGGCCAAGGAGTCGCACTTTGGCTACGAGATCACCGAGCTGCAGCCGATCGAGCTGCAGCAGCAGGAGGTTCGCAACAAGGCACTTCGCCTCGCGGAGGAGATCGAACTGGCGGAGAGTCGCCGGAAGCGATTGGAGTACCTGCACAGCGTCACCGATTGCATCATGGCCAACCTGCCGGACATTGGCATCACTGTTTTCGGACCGCAGGTCAACCGAGATATGTTCAAAAAGCTCTCGGAGCCGGCCGATCCCCTCAAGATTCAGTGCAAGGACCGAAAGGTGTTCCTCATTACACCGACGGACTTTGCCACGGTCAACTTTGCTGCCGAGAATCCCCTGTCCCAGGACGTCATTGAGCTGCTATACGACAAGGAGCTGCTCATGTGCTTCTGGAAAGTGGAGGAGGTGCTCGGCAGTCCACCAGCTGTGCTGCGTCAATATGCCCACGAGTTGACCAAGGAAACCATTAAGCCCCCCGATGAATTCAACGAGGAGGAGATCACCGTGCCGCCCATGATTGTGCCGCTCGAAGTGACCGTGGAGATCCCCCAAGAACCTGGTCAGAAAGCTGCTTTCTACTTTAAGTTTGGTAAATGACAAAGTTATTTTAGAGCCACTGGAGGAGGTTGAGGATCAGGATAATCAAGATGCCGAGGAACTGGCTGAAAGTAAACACGACGAGGAGGGCGATGCTGATGAGGGGGAGGCTGAGACGGAGGTCGAACAGGTCCCGATTCCAGTTCCAGAACCGCAACAGAAAAGAACCAAGACCATCCGGATACCGCCGATTTGGGTGCCCAGTGACCAGCGAACCCATGCAGCGCTAATCTACACGTACTTTCGGGCCCAAACCTCGACCTTTTTGCCACCGGATCCTGTGCCGGAGCCACCGCACATTGTGATGATCTTCGATGCGTACAAAAAGAAGGACCTGGCCATTCTGCTCGAGACTTGTCGCGAGGACATCCCACTCTACGGCTTCTTCAACGGCGAGAATCCACAAACGGCGCTCTTCATAGCCAATTCGGTGGAGAAGTACAATGCAAAGCCCTATGTGCCGTGAGTGAAGTGGGGAGTATTGCTGATCTCGGCCATCCTAAATTGATTTACCCCAAAAAGGACCGACAAAATCGTGCTGAAGGTGAACAAGGTCAGCAGCCCGACCATTCCCACTCTGATGGCCTACGGTCCCAGCTATGTGAGTGCCAACTCAGTGGTTGGCCACCAGGAGGCCACGCAGTTCTTCCCGCCCAACTACAAGTCCGCTCTCCAGGAGGAGGAGGAGCTGCACGCCGTCAAAGCCGAGAAGCCCAAGAAGCGCAAGAAGGTAATACCTGAATATTGCAGTATTTACCTCAACTTTAAGGGAATAAGATTATCGTTACGAATACAATCAAATTCCGAGCTAGAATCCAATTGAATTATTGAAGATTAGAGTTATGGCTTTCTTTCGATTGCAGAACAAAAAGGGAGGCGACACCGAGGAGAGTGGCAAGGCGGATGCCGGAGTGGCGGATGCGCAACAGGAGGCCGACGAGGCGGTGAAGACGTCGCCGGAGGAAGGAGCTTCTACGACAAGCAGCGGCGAGGATAGCTGCGAAAGTCGTCCTGCAACGGCAGATGGCAACAATCCCGATGGTCAGCAGGCTACATAGGTGGTTATTTCTATTTTCTTGAAAAATGTGCATGTTATTATTAACAATCAATCATCCATAGGTTTTTTAATTCGTTGTATAAGTGGCATTTAGTAATTTTTATTTAAATCAGTACAGGTTATTTGAGATAAAATCCGACAGAGAAACAAAATTACCTTAAGAGGCATGCCATGACTTAGAGTTAGTAAATTTTGGTTAATTTTCAGCCAGCCCATTGTTTTGAAAATTTGGAAAATTACACACAAAAATAAAAAAAAATCCCCAAAAAAATATAAAATTTACTAATGATGTAGTTTGTTAAATAATTAAACCACAAACTCAAAGAGGTATTGAAACGTTTTATGTACAATAAATTCACTAGTTATATCATAAGTTATTTTTTATTGGGTTGTGTTTTAAAAAATCGCATTTGATTAAGCGCGACAACGAGGAGAGGACCTTCTACTCCACTGCCAGTAACTCTATACCTTCAAGCTTACTTGATGATAGTTCCCATCTGTGCAACCCAATTATACGCAGTCCACATTTGAAATGCTTATCGTTGTAATGATTTTTGGCAAAATTGAATTTTCCATTTTTTGGGCATTTTCTTTTTAGTAAAAACTGCATAAAATGGTCAAATGGTCGTCCTTTTAAATCAACGTATTGTATAAAAATAAAATGTCATTCTCAATAATATTTTGTTGCTACGTGTAAGGTCAAAATCAAATACTGAGCACTTAAAATGTAATGTTTGAAAACTTTTCCTTCTAGGCCTACTTAACATAAGTTTCCTGTCCGTTCCATAACCTAGCCATCTACCCAACGATCAAAGAGAGCAACTGAAACCACGTTCGAGGATTCATCGAGGAGCAGCCGACAATTATTCACCTTGGACGAGCAGAGTGATTTATAAATTATGTTATTATGCATTTTCTTTGAAATGTAGGTAGTTAATAATAGATTTTAACTTATTATTACATAAATATTGAGTTGATTTGGAATTATTTGCTATAATTAAAGTTATATTAAATAAAATATTTATTTTTGGTTTGGAGCTTTAATAAAAATATTAAAAATTTAAATGTCTCACTTATAATGACGTGGCATGTGGCATTCAAATTTGCAGTTTCTGAGAACGAAGTACCAGGCGTACAGAAATTTCTAGGCATTTCATATTTCATTCCATATGTGGATCGTGTGTGGATCGTGTGTGGATCGTGCGTGGATCATATGAGGATATGTGTCCCTTTGTGTGTTTATGTGTTCGTTTTTAAAAACTGCCACTTTGGATGCCAAGGCCACGTCATCATAAATGAGAAATTTAAATTTTTAACGCCCACCCGCAATTGCAATTCCCAACTTCTTCTGGCCGATTCCTCATGGGATTGTATAAATAGCCGTTGATTTTGGTCCATTAATTGCAATGCATCTCCGCCATGGACCAACTCCAGGATGCAGGACGCACTGCGTCAAGCATCCATGTGAGGAGGTTCCATTTTTTGGGGTTGAATAAATTTGGGTATGGGAACTCCACTTCGAGTGGACGCCGGGATGCAATGCATCCTGGCATGGACCAACTCCAGGATGCAGTGCATCCATGTGAGGCGGTGCCATTTTTTGATAATCAATAAATTTTGGATGCCTATGCTTCCACCTGGAGTGGAATTCCGGATGCAGGGCAACGGCAACCCAAAAAAGGTAAGTGATTACGTGGCCTTCTGTAAATACAATTTAATAATTAAATTGCTTTCATTTATTTATTCCAGGTTTCCGGATTTTTGCTGTGCGGTTGTGTGTGGAGTTCTCCTGGTATCCCCTAATTGGCGATACCACCTTTGGACCAACTCCAGAATGTAGGACGCACTGCATCAAGCATCCATGTTAGGAGGTACCATGTTTTGAGATTCAATAAATTTGGATAAGAATGCTTCACTGCAGAAACCTCCACCTGAAGTGGACTCTGGGATCCAGTGCATCGGAAACCCCAAAAAAGGTGGGTTATTACGTGGCATTATGTAAATGCAATTTAATAATTAATTATTATTTGTATTTATTTATTTCAGGTTTCCGGGCTAGTGTGTGTTTAAAAAGCAGCTGCAGCAGAAGAGTGGCCCACTTAAACTTGGACAACAAGATGCAGTGCACCGCGGATGAGTCGCAGTGAGTACCTTGATCTTAATTAATTAAGTTATGTATTCAAGATTAAGAAGACTGCGTATTTGTTGAGAGAAATTAAAACATTTCCAAGATCAGTACTATATATTTCATATATTATACCTAATAAAAAATACAAATTTGTGTGGACATTTTTAATTTAAAGTCGAAAAAGATCTTTTCTTCTTGCTTTCACTCCTTAAAACTGCAAAGGTTTACTGTTCCATGTTTGTATACAGCTAAATGGACACGATTACTCTTCGAACTTGTTGTTGTCCATCAAATGATTGGGTTTCAGACACCACACACATTTAAACAATGAATAATTTAATTTTTACTATAATTGTTTATATTTTATTATCTTCAATAATTCGATTTCTAAAGAAATAATAAGTTAGTGTCTTATGTAAATAAATTTAAATTCGATAGCAGGTAGTGCATCTCCAATATCGAAACACATTGCTATCGATAGCTCAAAATAAAAGCAAAACAGCTGTTCTTCTTGTCACCGAACGTGACGGTTTTGTAAAATTAAATTGTGCAATTGCTGTATTAAAACACAACCAAGACGGAAGTTCTAGTAGACCGATGGATTCCAATTTGCGCAATGTAAGCCCAATCTTCGAAATTCCCCACCAGAGGATAATCTATTCTTCTTGCGTATCAGCTCAAGGATTTTCTCACATTATACAACAAAGTGACGGAGTTGTGCTTCAACCGATGTGTGGATAATCTCAGCCAACGAGATCTGGGTGGCCAGGAGGTGAGTAGCTGTGGCAGATAGGAAATCCAACAAATCATGCACTAAGTAAGCCCAAAAACCCTCAGGAAATCTGCGTAGACCGGTGTGTCACCAAGTTCGCGCGCTTCAATCAGAATATGATGAAGGTTTATGTAGATGTGCAGACCACGATTAACGCCAAGCGCATGGAGGAGCTTGAGGAGAACGCCCGCAAGGCCGAACAGCAACAGAAGGAGCAGGAGCGGCTAAAGGAAGTGTCCACCACGACGGTACTTACTCCCGTCCAGCCAGGCGTCACTGGCAACCTGTCCATGTAGCAGGAGAATCCGGAGTGGTACACCACGCCGCAGCTGCTGTTCTCGATCCTAGATAGCTAATCGCGGAATCCACCCAATCATCTACTCGCCACAAGAAACACCAAAACCCTATTTCACTCAACCAACCCCACAGAATGCCCTGCATTTGCCTTGTTGCACTGATCGGCCTGCCAGGAGCGGGCAAAACTTCGCTGTGTTCTTGGCTGCTGGATCAGCTATCTGTCCTCCACGTTGGCCATGTTATACACCTTTGCTACGACGACTTTTTCGATGTTAAATTCTCGGCAGAGCCTACCTACAAGGAGCAGCGTGAAAACATACTTAATTTAATTGAAGAGCTAATTTCCGTCATTCAAGCAAAAACGAACTGGCCTCCGCAAGTTAAACGCATTGCCTCCAGCAACGATTGCAGCAGCAACAGTGAAAACTACCTCATCATGTGCGACGACAACTTTTACTACCGCAGCATGCGCCACAAAGTGTATCAGCTTTGTCGTAAATATAGCTGTACCTTTGGCCAAATACACCTGACTACACCACTGAACATCTGCCTGCAGGCAAACGAAACAAGAAGCGATTTAAGTCAAGTGCCAGCAAACATAATAAGGCAGATGAAGGTAAAGATGGAGGTACCGGGGTCGGAATACTGGGAGCGCAATAGCTTCACAATCCATAATTTAGATGCCTCAAGACCTGAACTCCTTGCTTTCCTTAATTCCCTGCTTTTGAAACCCGCGGAGGAGGCTTTATTACTAGAATCAGCGAACAAAAAACCACATGATCAGTCCCTGACCCACAAATTGGATTTGTTGTTGCGGTTGCGCATCAAAAAACAGCTTGAAGCATTGCCGCAGGAGCAAAACAAACAATCGGCGGGGAGGACACTTAACAACAAGAGAAAGGATATTTTGACACTGTACCGGGAAAAGAGAGATGACGAGGGCGCGAACTTGAATTACTATGTAAATTTGTTAAACTAGGCTAAGATAAACTAAATTTGTTTTGCATTGCGACGTAAATACATGTAAAGTTAATAATTGTTAAAACTAGATTTATTTAGCACAAAAAATACAAGTTAACTCTAGAAAACCGATAGCTTAGACCACCTTCACCTGGCTGGTGTCTCGCTTCTCGATCATGCGCATTTGTTTCTTCTTCATGCGCTTCAGCTTGGCGGGATTCTTAATGACCTGGACGACCTCGGAGCGCCGTTCGTTGGCTAGTCGACGTTCTGCGTTCTCTACGCGGCGCTGATGCTTCTGTACGGCGTCCTCCTTACGCTTGTCTTTGATCTCCTTGGATCGCTCCTTAATGTAACGAAGTTCGTCGCGCAGAGCTGTCTTCTTCTCGAAGGAAAGCCTGTTTACTGTCTTCTTGATCTTGCTGAATCTTAAGAAGAAAATACGAGTGTTATTTGTGTGCAAGATATAAAATACTTGAGCAACAGACTCACTTTTGTTTAGGCGTCTTCCATGGACGATTGGACTTCGGTTGACCACGTGGAATGCTATTCTCCGGTTTTACGGGCTTCTTGACCTTTGTTGGTTTTTGCGAAGGAACGTTTTCGGGAGCAGATTCACTCATTTTGTCAATTAAATCTGGTCAAAATAAAATCCAAACACAAATACAAAACAGCGAATGCACGTGTTGCCTGACAGTCTATCGATAACAAGCAACATATGTTTGCCATCATAAATTGAGGGTTGCTTTCGATTATAAAACTTAGAGGCGCTAATTCCCAATAATTTGAAACGGAAATGTAATGTTTTGTGGTTTTGACAAAATAAAGGAAAAATAATTTTTTTTTACTTAATCCTACTGCGAGAAACAAAACAAACGGCGTATAAGTATTATGTATTTTATTCAACAAGGTCAACAGAAAATTCATATGTTAATGTGCGCTGTAATGTCCGTATAAATACATAGTTGTTGGGGCACAAATACACCCTTTTTTTTTTTTTTAATAAAAAACAATAGTTTTTGCTAGCCCCCATTTGTTTAGCTTCTTAGCTCAAACATAAGACTAGCTCAAGTGGTGGGAATGACCAGCTGCCAGTTTTTTGTTGTTGTTTTCATAACCAGGAAATACAAGAATTTTATTTCACTACAATTTAAACAAGTTCGACGGGGCTCGCCAAACCCAGCAGACGACGACGATGCCTGCTTGCCAATTTCCTGGCACCGTTGGGCATTAATTTACAATATTTACATGGATATTCAAGGTCGACATTAGAATCAAGTGAAAACGATTCGGACGCCTATGTCGTCTATGAATTGCTGCGTTTGTGCTGGTCGATGTTGTAGTGGTAAAAGAAAGACTTGCCGTACTCAAAGGACGAAATCATAATAGCACACGCTGGCGCCACCTTAAAGAGCCTCGGTCCCAGTCCAGAAAAGATGGCAGGCAGTCCGCCCAAACGATAAATGCTGGTCAGACGGTGAGCCACCGACTTGGTGGGCACTTGCTTTGGAGGATTATCTGCCGTAATGCAAACCGAACCATTGTCAATGCCGTTGGCTCGGGTAAGCTGAACCACATTCTGCCTACCTGAGAATATAAACTTCTCGCCGAACTCGATCTGCTCGTGGGTTTTTATCACATCGAATGGCGTGGTGATCGTGGCAGCCACCTGACAACAAGAAAATCAAACGATTACCTTTAAATCAAAAGCTTTATCGAATGCATTTCTTTATACCGATCCTGAAATCGCTCCAGCCGCAAAACTAAAGCTGAATGTGGGCTCCACCACGCCGAAGGAGCTCTTGAGGTACTCGTAGCAGGTCCAATAGATGCCCGAAAAGGGCACATCGCGTAGTATGGTTGGCGGCAGGCCGCGCCACAAGCCCAAAACGCCCTGCGTCTGGACCACCTGGCGAATGGTGCCGAACATCTCGGCGTGCGTCATGCGCTGCGATTGCATTTTGGTGCGGATTAGCTCCACGGGACTGACACAGGTGACGGCCAGGATCCGGGCCGAAATGCCAGCCAGGAGGGGCACCAAAATTGGAATCGATTGTGGAATGTCGCGACCGCTGGCGTCAAAGTTTTGCATGTATTTGTAATGGACGTCAGTGAAACGGGCCTTGAACTGCTCGTATGCAACGAAATAAATGATGGTCGAGGGCAGGGCAGAAATAAGCGTTGGACTGAGGCCCGACCACAGAGAGCCAATGCCCTCGGTGCGGCTGATCTTGATGAATGCGTCCTGAAAACAGAAAAAACCCAATTAGGCCGATTAATTATACTTTAACCAGTTAATTCAACCCACAATGGTGCCAGAAAAGCGGGGAGCGGGCTTGGCGGTTGCTGGATTTGGCGTGTCCGGTCCGCAAGGGCAAATGTGATCCATTAATCCGTTGCAGTAGAGGAAGCACTTATTCGAGAGCAGCGCCTGCTGTTGCGCCTGCAGCCGGGTCTTGATCACATCCAGAGGGGTCACTTTAAAATAATAAAAATCAATACCATTTGTAACATAATTTAAAGTAAACATACTGAAGCAGGCGGTCACCATGGCGCCGGTGCAGGCAGATGCCACTTGCTGCAGCGGCCGAATCCGGAATCGCGGGTCCGTCATCGTGGCCTTTGACTGACTCTGGCTGGGAGTGGCTGCTATTGCCGCCGCGGCAGCCGCAAAGTGGGCGCAGGCCTCCTTTTTGGCCATTTCGCGGATGCACTGGCTCTGCTTTTTCACTGGGAGCCCCGGTAAGCTGGCGGGAAAATGTAGCAAATGTGGCGAAAGGATGGTAAGGTGAATCGCGTGTAGTGTTTTATAGTTTTAGTAGCCGCAAGCCCGACAATTAGGCCAGCACTACGATCATTGTGAAATAGTCTCCAGGTCCAAAATAGTACACCGTGCTCCTCGTTCGTTTTGTACCATTACCATTCCGTTCCGCTACCGCTGGCTAGCCGATCAGCTGTTGACGCATGGTGCTATCGATAAGTGGCATCGGAACGGAACTACCATCGCATACTAATCGAAAGCGAATTTAAAAGGAGAATTTCCAGAGGTTTTCTATTCTAATATCTTTCGTTGAATTTGTTTGAAATAAGTCTATTTGATCCTGAAGACTGGGAAATACCTAAACATCCTTTGTTCACGTATTACTTACCTGCTTCCTTGAGATCCATATTGTAGTGGAAGAAAAACGCCTTGCTGTACTCAAAGGTGGAGATCATGATGGCGCAGGCGGGGACCACACGAAGCATGCGCGGCACAACGCCCACGTAGAGTCCTCTAAGACCTTGCTGCCGATAAATGTTTTTCAGCCGGGTGACCATGGAGGGCTTCGTCATGGTGCCAGTGCTTGATCCAGATCGTGTTCCAGCCCCAGCTGCCGCTCCCGTTCCCGCTCCCGCTCCTACCTCCTCGTAGAGCACATCCTGACCCAACTCAATTTGTGTGTGGGTGGTGATCAGGTCGAAGGGCATGGTCACCAAGGTAGCCACCTGCAAAAGAAGGTTAACGATACAATAATCGGTAACTTCCCCCAAAGTAGCTTTTGTGATCTGTGCGCCGCACAGCGTGCACTGCTCACCCACCGCTCCGGAAACGGCGCCTGCGAGGAAGCTGAAGAGGAAGGTGGGCTCCATGACGCCGAAAGCCCGCTTCATCGCCTCGTATGCCGCCCAGTAGGTGCCGGAAAAGGGGGCGTCCCGCATCACGGTGGGCGGCCATCCTCGCCAGAGGCCCAGGACTCCATGTTGGCGAATCAGCGAGCGCAAGACGCGCCACAGCTCCGAGTAGGTCATGTACTCTGACTGCATCTTTATGCGAACCATCTCAATGGGCGTGATGGCTGTAACCACGATGGTGCGCGAACAGATTCCCGATGCCATTGGCACATAATACGGCACCGGTACCGAGGACACTGGCGTACTGACGCTCATATTGTGACTCTGGGTGGCCAAGTCCAGGGGATCCCCGCCCTCCGCTCCGGGCACTTGGTCCTCAGAGCCAAATTCCTCGAATTTTCGCGATACCAGATATATATGCGTCAGGGAGTTTTTAAGGTAGTCGTATGTGAGAAAGTAAATAATCGTGGAGGGCAGTGCCGAAACTAAAGTGGGACTAAGGCCCGCCCACAGACCGCTAAGGCCGCTGCTGCAGAAAATCTTTACAAAAGCGTCCTGTATTCGAAATGGAGATAGCACTACAGTGAAACACCTGGCAGTTGCACCCCTCTACTCACCATGGAGCCACGGAGGGGCCGAAAGGTTGAGGGATCCCGACCCGGCTTAGGAATGCAAACATCACTAGAGCGACACACATGGGTCATTAAACCATTGTGAAAGACATAGCACAGCTTGGAGACAGTGGTTTGCTGACGGACCGCATGTTGCGTTTGCACCCGCGTTTTCACCACCTCCAAGGGTGTTACTTAGGGGTTATAGGTTTAAAACCTCAAACTGCTTCCATCATCCGATCCCTACTCACCCACAAAGGTCGTTATAAGGCCGCCAATAAGTGCTGACACCACCTGCTGCATCGGCCTAATCCGATATCGAGGATCTGCGTTGAGGATTAATGTCGACAGTCGAAACGGATCCACCTCCTTCAACTCCAATTGATGCTTATCCTCTTCACTTTCTTTTTCCTTCTCGGCCACCGACTGCGTCGGCATTTTCATTAGTTTCCTTTACTTTCTTAATTCTTTAATTGATTTGCGTGGGTTTTTTTGTTTTTTGTTGCCAATTACTGGCGAAATGTCGGCCACTTATTTGTGTTTCCTCACAAGTGGATGGATTGCAAAACGACAGGACCTCCGGACTTTGGGGAAGACATCCCTGGGCAGCCGCCAATAATTTGGTAAGTGTGTGTTGCACACAATATCTCTGAGCCGAAGTTTTTTATCGGAACGAACACTAAGCTGAGTAAAATTTCTAAATTGAAAAGACAAACAAAGTTAACATGTTCATAAGGACAGATGAACCAAAAAAAAGGTGGTTTTTATTTCTGATTCGATTTGTATTTTTATTATTATTGTTTTCATACTTAACTTGAATTAGTTTATTACCAGGACACAAAATGTACTAACATCAAAATGTTTATGATTGACTGCCATTCGTTTCGGAATTGGATTACGAGTTTTATGAAGTTGCGTATTTCAAACATTGTTTCTTTCACGTCCTACAATTTTTTTTTCTTTGAATGGGAAATTTAGAAACCTTATTTTTTGGCCGAAACTTCTATCAAATTGATATCCATTTGACTTGGCCAAAACTATACCTACAGTCGAAAGGTACATTGTTATGGAACTGGAAACCAAAACAAACAAACCTTGCTGCCACTTTCGAATATTTATTTTTTGCACTTTTTTTTTTTATTATTCGCATTATAGGCGAACAAAACCAAGGTCTTTAAATGATTGTTGTGTTATGCAATAGCCCACTTAACTGATCACAATCCACTCAGTTGGATAAATCTTGATTTATTTTTTGATGACGGGAGGAGAGGAAAACTAATGCGGGGGCAACTACGACAAAATTGATTACGTTTAATGCAAAAATTATAAATATGAATTAAATTAATCAAATTTAATAATAATTTGAATTATATTTAAGTTAATGAGTAGTAAGTCAGTAACATAGTTTAGCTTTAAGTCAGAACCAAAAAAAATTAATCATTTAGATAGGATTGGATTAAAGTCAATGTGTGGTATGATTTAATCTGATTTGCGGTAGCCTCCTCCTTCCTTCCTCTTCAATGGTGATCGGTTGATGGATGATGACGGAGGACTTCACTTATGCGCAATGGGAATCAGTGTTTCGCCGGCGGTGAGTGCTGGCAGGGGGGCGTCCACGGTCAGGACTCCATCCTTGCTGAGGGACGAGCGGATCGACTCAGGGTTGACGCCCTTGGGCAGCAGGAACTCCCGGTTGTACTCCCTGTAGACGCTCTTTGTGTCCGATTTCTCCTCGTGCTTGGCGTGCACCTAAAACGGGCAAAAGCAAATCTGTTAGTTTTTTACTTTTTTATTGTTTGGTTTTTGGGTCTCACCAAAAGCTTCTGGTCCACAGTTTTCACCACAATTTCCTCGGGAGCATACTGGCTGACATCGAAACGCAGCTTCAGCACTTTGTTGTCGCCCTCATCCTGCAAAAAATGCAAGACATTGTAAGTTTTCAATGGGTTCATTTGCAAAGATTAATGCATACCTGAATCAGAGGTGAGCTGATATCGGAAACGTAGTTCTGTTGCTTTGGGATTCGGGATGGCAGAGCCGAGTTTGTCGTTGAGCTGCAATAAAGATGTTAAGAAAGTGTTAAAACCGAAAAAAAAAACTAAAACCGTATTAATACATAAAAATTAGAGTTTAAATTAAAAGTGTTAGGAATCAGTGTAGAGGAACCTGGTGGAGGATTTTGTGGTGGTAGTTGTAGTCGTGGTTCTTGTGCTGCGAAAGGTATTTTGCAGTGTGCGCGTGAAAGCCTCCATTCTGTTGAATTTCTTGGATCTAACTGATCTTGTTGGCGAGCCCAACTCAAAATGAAGCCTACTTGCTTGAGGAACAACTAATTATAGATCTGGCTTCCGTTTTGGAGCCCTATGTACGGATCTTAAGAGAGCAGCTGGCACTTTGAAAGTACATAGGCATACGTAGACATGTGTCTGCATTGTGTTGTTATATTTTCTGCATCTGCTAAGAATAGATTTCTATGGGGATCTTCAAGTCATCTCTTTTGTGTATTAAGTTAAATTACGTGGTTCAAGACACGGTCTGCTTGGACACACTAAAAATATACATAAAACCTCCTGTTTGCACATGTCTCTCGTTATACCTTAAATTACATCCCCTCTATTTTGATCAGCTATGACTCATATGGTAAAATATATCGAATAAAGTTGTTATTATAAGCCCAGAATATTCGATTATAAAACTTAAACCTTTTACTCCATATATTCAAAAAAGAAAAATATTAAATAATACGCTAAACATGCATAAGGCTGGTGAATTGTGTAAGGAGTAGTGTTCATTTCTGTTTAAGTAGTGAATATGTGCAAAGGTTGCAATTACATTAATCAAATTAAAGACATAATAAAGTTGGTTACCAAAAATTATTAACAGAAACAAACATTTTAGTTGGTATACTTTCTACTTTTTTTTGTACCTGGTAGTTGTTGTTTTTTTAGTAGAGCTTTTGTTTAAAGATAGGAGAGGACATTATTATAATATGGAAATTATTGCGGTTGTTTAAGGTTTTCCAAGCGGCAAGAAAGAGAAAAGAGAAAAATAGAGGAAAAGATTTATATTTAGTTAGGTAAGTGATAAAAATACATTATTATTTAAGGGTCTACGATTTGGAACCGGTTTTTATTACTGACTTCAATATTGTCAAAGTAGTTAATCGTAAAACAAATTGCAATTAATTTACAAATAATTTACACTTTCATGAACATTTATGTATATAGAAATGCCATTACATATCTTTCGATTGTAAATCTTGTTTGCACTTCACTGTTACTTTTATAACAGGCAAATATGGTTTATGCCAGCTTGAGCTATGGCTTAAATGTGCTATTAAGTAAATTAATTTCCCACAAAAAGGGAAGGTCATCTCACTTTACCTCGTAAAAGGTTCACCTTATGCCATTCGTATGCAGAGGGAGAGTTTTGAAAGTAAGTGGATTTGATTGACCGTTAAACCTGTTAACGTAGCTTGTATGTGTGCGTGCGAGTGTTTTTGATAAGCGGCCATCAACTGGCACTCCGTGAAAGTAGTGGGAGCTTATCACTCGTAGGCGAAACGTGAGCATGCGTGTTTTTCTGGCGACCTTGGAGAGGGCAGTTGGGGAGCGGGAACGTTGATCGCCCGCTGAAGAGAAATCAATAGCACGCTAATGATAAATACCAATAACCGTTAGCCGGGGCAAAGTTTCTTTTTGAGAAGGCAAGAAGAAGATATGTGGGTCCCGGTACCTCTCCCACACCCCCACTCACGGTAAATTAGCCGCTCTCCCTCCCTCTTTCTGCCTCTCTTTTTTTCACTTGCACACGTACGTTTATGTGTGTGCGACTATATCTCTCTGGCATCTGATGACAATGATGTCATGCATATTTTTTCGTTATTGAAAAGCCGAACGAAAGGAAACCAAAGAAGAAACAAAAATAAACACAGACACAAGGAACTGTGAAAGAAACGAGAACGAGCGCAAACAATGTTGTTCTCTTTTGTTGTTTGCCAGCGAACATGTATGTACATATACATATATGTGTGTCTAAACAAATGTCGAATTAAAATATCGATTACCGGCTGCGATCGCAGCTTTGTCATCGAGTCGAGATCCGATTGTGCCGGTAAATCGAGTCGAAGCGCAATAGCTAAAAATTGACATGATATCATCGTCCGTTGCTCATTTAAATTATCAGCATCCAGCAACCAATATTGGCAACTAAACGTATTCATCCCATCTGTTCGTGTGTGAAAGCTTTTCGCACAGCACTGTTTGCACGTTAAATATACAATATTTTATGTATGTATGATCCTAGCGCACTTATTTGTTTAAACTACACACACATTCAAAACGCAAGGCCGATTAATGAGTCTATAAATTCACCAGATCGATGGTATTTGCCTACGTTTGGCCATTACCAGAAGCGTATATTGTGTTCTCACATCGAATCAGGCCAATAGATTTTGCACATTTGTATGTTTGTATGTATATCTGGCGATCAACCAGATAATCGTATCATTTGAATTTCAATTGGAACCGATTCGCCAGCAACGCCGCCGGAAATTCAATGAGGAGGCGCCACCACTAAAGTGCGGTTTATGGGTTCAGAAAAGCGCAGTTGGCCAAGTCTCAATGAAAGCCCTTTCCCCGAAACCACATCAGTCCTCAATTTATTTTAAGTCAGCAAATTGCCCGAACAACTTTTGGCGGCAATATAGCATGTTTGTAACCTTATTGTTGTTATGCCATTATTACCTACAATTAAAACTGGGCATTCATAACATTAATTAAAATTACAATATTATTGTCTTAATTCATCCATAAAATACCACTATTGAGTTTTTCCAATATCTTAAATATCATCTTTGCCTAATTGGTTCTGTATACACGCTAAACCTGTATGGATGACCCTATGGGTGTGCTTTTACTATAGGCTGAGTCATTCAGATATCACGCAGCGCATTAATCAGCGACACGCTATAGCCCCAGATGTCAAAGGTTGCGACTGTGGGTGGTGGGTTATAGAGTTTAATCTGGAGCCACTGCTAAACCTAAGTCTTGCAGTATTATCTTAGGTACCATTCACTTGTATTTAACTGATCTTTAGTGTTTTATTGATTAAATCAGTTTTTCAGCTTTTCAATTTTCATTAAATGTTTCCTAAAGACAGTTCATCAAAACACCAAATAGTCAATAAAGCACCTGCAGCTAACATACAGGTGTGTCTATGCGAACCAATTTAGGTTAATTTCCTTCTATTGCTAATGGCCAAAGTTAAAATGTGGGTGGGAGTGCAAGGTGGTATCCCAACTTTAATTGAGCCTTCGCCTGAAGTTCCGATGAGTTGGCGGTTTTCCCCCATGAAAGGAGCGAAATGTTCTGTTGTGGCCATGCAAATGCATTGGCGACCATGGCGAAGGCAAAAACAAAACCATTAGTTCGATTACGTCATAGGCCGGGAAGGTCGTTACAAAAGCAACCAAAAAAAAAAACAAAAACTGGAGCCCACGCAATATTTGTTCAACTTGATTGAGAGGCCAAACGAGGCGCGCAACCGCGACGGCGTCAAAAGCGACGAAATATTCGCATCAAGCTTTGTTTGTTTATTAATCACTAATTCGGATCCCACATATGTACGTATGTATATAAGGGAAAAGCGACAAGCAGTATTGTTTAGTAGAACCTTCTAGTCTTTCACAAAATTCTTTGAATATAAATAAGGCTTTCTGCTTTCCATATGCAAATAATTTTTGTAACAACAATCAATAAGTTATTCATTTTGTAAAAAGGTGCTCATTGCGGTGCTTCACCGTTTACGTTAAAAAATATGTACATAGTTTGGAATTTCTAAAAAAAAAACATATACATATGTACATAGTATAACTAAAACATGGTCCATATGCTAAAGATCGATTTCATACTCTAGGTAAGGTAAGTATTCGAAAAAATACTTGCTATTAAATATCTCCAAGAAAAGCCAGATTCGAATATCTTATCTTAACATCAACAATATAATGTTTTTATCTGCTGTTGTAGGCAGGTAGGTACACACACACATATTCAACGAAATGTCTTGGCACAGGTGATTCTGAAAATTGAAAAATTCCGTTATGCCCCACATATCGGTTGCATAAACGAATGGCACTCGAGATCGGAAACAAAAATGTTGGGGGAGATTACTTGCGGGTGTTGGGCGGGGATACACATGTGTTTTTTTCTTTGGCCGGAGACAGCGGCGGAGAATTTAGAACTTGTGACTCATCCTCCCCCAGAGCGACGAAAAAAAGAAAGAAATATATTGTATCTGGGGCGCAAATCGGAACGCTTTCTTATGGCCCACTGTTTTTTGTGTGTATGTGTATTGTATATGTGAGCAAGTGCTCCAGACCCACAGGCGATGTGGAAAGAAGTGCTCGTCTATATTTAGAGCCAAGAATTATGAGAATCAACTGCGACCGAACGAGAGTTATAACTTAGCATAAATACCTAATTCCTTGCCTGAACACTAATCTTTGGTAATCTGTTCTAATCCTCACCTGGTGGACTCGAAGAAGTTGGCCTCACGGTTCATCAGCTCGTGTCGGAACTTGGCCATCTCCTCCTCCATTTTACGCATCTCGGAATCGAAACGCTCGCGAATGTTGCTGAACTCCGTGTCGATGACGCTGAAGTCGCCCAGTTTGATGGGGATATTCCTCTTGTTAGCCTCGGCCATTTTTGTGCGGTTGGTTGGTGGTTATTTGGTGGTTGCTTCGCTAGATGGAGTCTTGAATCTTTTAGCTGTCTTAAATACAGCCGTTGACGTATACCGTTCTGTTCTTTTTTCTGTTCTGCTCAACGCGCTTTAGAGCTTGTTCACTTGCTAATCGACGACGGAGCAACCAAAAAAAAAGGGGGGAATACGATGTGTTTTCTATATGTATTTAGACCTCGAGACGTTTTGGGTTTCGGTGTGTGTTTGTGTTGGGAATTTGTTGATTGGACGTATCGCACAGATAGCCGCGTTTCAATTTCTCGACTGTTTTGCATTCTCCGGGAGTCTTTGCTTTTATAGCGCCGCTCGTGGTAGCATAAGTATAAGGCAGTCTCATCGGGTCCGACAGACCCTTACCAGTCACTACAGTGAGTGCGAATGAAATAGTGTTTTCCAATAAGTGCGAAAAAACAGCAATAGAGCAACCCTCATGAGGTGCATGGGGCTCATAACAACCATATGATACAAAATGAAAATTGTTGAATAATTTTTTTAAATATCGGCAAGGTTGCAGAGCAGAACTAGCTCCCATATTGATTGTCTTGCTAAACATTTTAGTGCATTAATAGGATTTATGCCTTGCTCAGGCTTGAAGCAATAATTGCAAGAAGTCATTTTTACCTTTGTACATAAAGGTTAATGTAAGCGGACTGGACCCGAACGACTTTGCGCACGACGAGACTACCTTGTACTTATACCATGGCGCCGCCACACCGCAACCACAGGCAAAGAGCGTAAAATAGTGGGGATGAGCGCCACAGAGAGCAGTTGGCCACGAAACGCACTCTCGGCGCAACAACAATGACAATGGCCCAAAGGTCTGAATGGCCAATGTGGTTCTGAGTGGGAGAAGAGATGGAGGGAAGGTGAGAGGAAAAGGAGAGGAGAGAAGAACAGGAGTTGCAGATACCCTACCTATCGATAACGAACACCCTTTCCTCATGAATCGAAAGGACATTAGCTTTGGCAGTGTCATGGAATTAAACAAATTTGGCAAAACATTTAGAGCTAAGGAAAGGCACCATAAAAATCAGAAATAATTGTAGTCACCATTAGCCGTGGCTTTTAACCTTTTTTACTTTAAATATGTCAAAATATTTAAATGTGACTAATCCCAGTAGAACAAAATATTGACAACCTTGCAAAGTAGTTTATTGATGATAAATCTCTCCTGTTTTAAGGCAATTAATGCTTGGCATATACATATGAACGTTTTGCGTGGGAGACGTTTAGTAATGACTTGAAAGTAAGTTCCTCGAACTGCGGCTTGCATCGCAGAACCAAGTGCAAACTATTCCCAGCTTATTTGGCCAACTGGGAGCAAAAACAGTTATCTGACGTGTACACTGAACGAGTGGTGTGAATGTGAGTGTGAGTGGTGGGTGGCAGCCGAAGTGGCAGTGGAAGTAGGTGTTCAAACGGCCCTCTAAGCGGTCGTGTTAACCGGTTCGAGATCAACGCTTCCTACCGTTTTAGGAAACGAACCGAGAGAAAGAGAGAGCTGCACACTGGACCTAATTGTTACTTTTCTGACTTTTTGATGGTAGTTTCGTACATTTTACATCGTTGTTTATACCCAAAAATATATAGTGTTTAGTGAGGGTTGTCTTTCTTTATAAATCAAAAAACTATTGCATTTTAGGCACATTAATGGAAAGACTTTTGTTAAAACGGCCGGAAAGTATTTTCTTGCCAAAAATTCAGATTGTATAAGCCGTGGATCATGATTTTAAGACTTTATGCCAAAACGAACACAATTACTACCAATGTGCAGAGTTGATAAATCCAAATATTTGCTAGAGTGGGCGGCAACGTTGGCGTCGTAGATACAAACACAGAAAAAAACTAATATCTTTTGCATATGTGAAAACCCATAGTCATTAAACAGTAATAATATGTATTTTAATAAACAAATTGAGTTTAGCTAATAGTTGTAAGCTATTTTAGCCATTATTTAACATTACGGTCTCTTATTTTTTATTTATTTTCTACTTTTATCTTAAAACCATGCGCTTAACATTTTTGTACATGTTTTTTTAACCTCATTATACGTTCTATATCGAGATGTAAATGAATCTATTTTAGTTTGCCTTTTTTCTTGGGGTGTGGACATCAACTGCCCACTCCGTATCGAATCGGTTTGTTTGTAAACAAATGCAAAACCAAATGACTCAGGCGCGTGACATTGGCAGTCGGATTTGAGATTCGGAACCGGAATCGGAATTCAGAGTTGAGCCGAGTGTAAAGATGTCCTTTTACGGAGCGTCTGCCACGGGAATGCAAATTTAATAAATGGGACCTGGTTACAATGACATTTGTGGCACTAATTCGAGCGGTATAGTGGAGGTACAGAGAAACCTGCGAAATATGGAAATATATTCAAATTAAAATCACAAAAATTTATTTTGAATTTCACGAGAAAATTTTTAGTGTATGCAGTATTTGCAAGCTTAAAAGCAACACAATATTTGTAGGCTTTTATCTGCAAGCAAAATAACAAATTGTTTATAAATATGTGGTTCGGGTTAGCAAAAATTAAAACATTTTCCGACATATGTATGTAGGTTTATAGTACATTATACTATTGAGGTTTCCTCTCGAGAGAGCTTGAATTGTATTTTAAATTTGTGCCCGCTATTATCCCAAATTCCATTGGGGGCATCGGCAGGAAAGCCATTCACATAATTATAGATTTAATCATGAATTACAAAAATAAAATGACAATCATCGGTGATCAACGCTGCGGCTGAGGTGTTTTCGTTTTTATTTTTCACAGCGCCCACATTGGACGCATTGCGATGGCTGCTAATGCCCCCTGTCCAAACAATAAACTCATTTTCATCAAAAACATCGACCTTGAAGCCCCCAGAATCCCACCTAAGCCGCAAGTCCACGAAAATAATGAGGGGACAACGCATATCATCTCATCTCGCGGTGCAATTTTAATTTTACATACATAGTTGCAACCAAACTTCTGAATATAATGGGTAAATGAATCTAGCTGTCATAGAAATTGTGTTAAAATCTACAAATCAAAATTGAAAACTAAACAACATTTAAAGACTATCAAATAAGAAGTATTAGTAATAATTAAATATACATTTTAACAGAAAGTAAATACGTTTGGTTTGGTGGCAACATGTAAACTGCAAGCGCTATTAAATAGAATAAATATAAAAATAACAGATTTACCAAAAACCATAAATAAATACATTATTTTCTTTACCCCCCAGCCGACAATAATAATACAATAAATCTGAAGCATCTCGAAAAAGATGCTGCTGTATTATTGTTCTGCTTGTGTGCAAAGAATGTACCTCTCGAGGATCACCGAAGAAAATTGGGAAAACAAATTTTCCCCACGTCACCAGAACGTTCGAAAGTGCTGCTCGCTCGGCAAAACGAAACAGAACGAAATATATAAGAGATATAAGTGATCTAGTCATTTGCCGGTATGTCATCCCACTTCAGCTCGTAGTACGACGTCCATTCCCAAAACCGAAAGCAAAGCCTCCCCCTCGCAGTCAGAAATCAATCAAAATTTGCCCGCGATGATTTAGCATGGAATTTTTGGCTGATGATGAGAGTTCACTAATTTTTCAGCTTGGGCAAATAGCGCAAAGCAAAAAGCGAGCTGCAAATAGCGTGGGCAGCATCCATCCATTGGCATTGGCTTCTATTTGCTGTTTTCTGTCTGCTGTTCGCTGCTTGACGACAGCATTAAAATATGTGTCAGCCAGAAAAATCAAGTGCTGTTAATATTCAAACAAAAGTAAGCCTTCGCATATGTACACGAAAATACGTAATACGTATACGTAATATGCGTTTTACGAGTGCAGTGCTCGGATGCACATTTAATTATAGGCGAAGAGGTACACAAATTAAAAAACTTTTCTAATGCTCTCTGCAAATTGATTGCTAAAAAGACAGATCCGCAATTTATAGTTCAACGTACATTTTTTTCGAATTTTAAGCCCACTTAAATCATTCGTTTTCTCACCTAAGTATCTAAAAGTGGATGAGCAAACAAAATGTGCAATTCTGCTGGCACTTTAAGTGTTAGGGGAAAAATAAATGTACTTTCGGGGAGTCGTGAGTTAGTTAATTAAAGCACTCCCACTTGACTGTAATCCATTGCCATTTTTGCATTGCGGCATATTTTTGTCATTTATGGATAATGAAATATATCCGATGATATCATAGGGCATCGTTGAATCTTCAAAACATGAGTCATCCAGATTTGTTTTTAACAATAATAACACTAACCATATTTTCGAAGTGGCTGAAAAATCAAATCAACTTGGCAATAAGGTATTTTCAAAACATTTAAAATTGAAATAAAACATTGGAATATAATAATACAACATACACCATACAACTTGCTACCTACATAAAACATTTATAAAGCAACAATCGACATGTAACAATATAAAATCCAAGATACGAACATAAATCTGATGAATTAATAAAATCCATTTTTGTCTCCTGTAAATGGCTTTCCGTTTCCGTTAGTGAGGGTAGTTTTAAAATTGAAATAATAATAAGATACTATTCGAGTAACTATCGATATCCGCGTACGAATCATGCCAAACGATATTTGTCGACATATTGCAAGCGCCGGCAACCCTACCCAAAACGGTCATACTAGCCAATAAAAAATTTGTGTGCGTGTGTATTCATCTGGCATCGAAGCGAGGAAAATAAACAATTGGCATACAATAACTGATAGCTGCGAGTCGTCCAACAACCGAAGACCATGTCCGCCTACTACAGCCACTACACGGGCGACAACTACGATGACGAATCGATCGGCGACGAGCGCAGCGAGGAAGGTGAGTACGATGCACCCGGCTGTCCTGCCGCAGGCTCCACTCACGGCATCCTGCATCCTGCGTGCTCCTCCCCCTCCTCACTTGCAGACACGGACGACGCCAGCGAGACGGAGTTCCGCAGCCCGAGTCGCTATGGCGGCACCAACGGCACCTCCAACAGCAATAGCAACAGCCTCGGCACCAACAGCGAACTCAAAGAGCAGTGAGTAGTCCACACGATTCGCAGCCCCGCCCGCTCAATCCCTAATCCTATTCTCCACCCCTTCACGCAGGATGTACCAGCACAAGCTGCTCAATCTGCAGAAGCAAATGGAGGAGCTGGGCCAACTGATCCACCCCGAGTACATAAAGCGCGTCAAGAAGCTGGAGAACCAGTTAAAAGAGCGAAGACGCCTGAACGAAATCTACAAGGACTACATGCGCGATTGCGTCGAGCGGGACTACGTGCTGGAGAAAAAGGCCGCCCAGAAGGAGTACGATGAGAAGATGATGGACCTCAAGGATAATCTCATTTCGGACTTCGAGGACCGCAAGCGTCAGATCGAAAACGAGCGCTTCAGCCTCGAGTTGACCAACGATTCGATGGAGATCAAGACCACAGTGACGCGCAAGCTGCGTCGTCGCCCCAACGAACCACTGCCGGTTATCGAGAAGCGTCGCAAACCGGCCACGGGACAACTGCTGGTCTACCAACTGGACGACAAGGAGATTGAATCGGACCTTAAGCTCATACAGCGCGGCAAGCCTCTGACGCCCAATGTCCTGCAACAGAATGGCATAGGCTCTTATGGCGGCGGCAATCAGCAGCAGCAACCTGTGCACGGACTTTTGGCCGAGCCGCCTGCAAACACTGGCTATGTGGAAACCCGCATCGAGGACAACAAGCTGCTGTACGAGCGACGATGGTTCTGCCGCGGCCAACAGGTTTACGTGGAGGGCAAGGAGATGAGCAAGTTTGCGGCCACCATCACCGCCATCGGCAACGAAGTGGTGCGTTTTGATTACTTCCTATATTCAGTTCATCATTTTTTAACTAAGAAAACCACTTGCAGGTTTGGGTAAAGCGCACGAACGAGACCAAGGTCAAGATCAACATGTCGCACCTCGCCAAGGGTAAGATCTCGATAAAGCGGCGATAGCTCCGCCTTCGGTCCGGGCGACTCCACATCTCGCCTGGCCCCTTGCCTCCGTTGAGAGGTCCGTCGTCATAAATTCGTTGGACTTTGGGGAGGGAAAGGGTTTTCACTTTCGAGCAATCAAATTTTTTTTTCGTTTACCCAAAATTGAACTACAAATCACACATCATTGTGAAAATTTGGCCCAATAGTGTACAAAAACTTCACAAAAAATTGCCTCATTCATATTCGAGTATGTGAAGCTCTTAACCCTTCCTAAGTGAAGCAATAGACTAGATGTACATTTAAATAATAACAATAACATATTGTAAATAAAACAACATTTATTTTGCATTAAAAGATATATTTGTAGATTGCAATTCAATGCAATGTGTTTCTGAAAATATAAGGATACTTACTTTGTCCAACATATACATAAGTAATATGTTAGTTTTGAATACACATTATTGTTCACAGCTTCACATACCCAAGACCAGAAATGTTAGAAATTAGAATATATCCTTCAATGCCCATTAGATTGATTACTTTAGTTATAAACTGAAGCACAACAAAAAGATTTTACGCCCTGATAGAAGTTTTCAACAGATAAAAAGTATTTATGTAAATTAAATGACTACAACAAAAACATTAAACATTAATTTTAGTTTTATTAAACAAAAATTATTTTTCTAATTAAGGTTTTACCTAAATAAACTACTAAAATAAGATGTTTTTACACGCTTTTTAGACAATGTAAGAAATCTAAACCTCTTTCCAGTTTTTAACCCAAAAAAAGTTCCAAGATTATTAAGATGCTGTTGTACTTTGGCAAGTAATTGCGGAAAATGTAGGATTTTTGCAAAACAACTTTCATAACACAACCGACTTAGCTTGTTTACCACGTGCCAATGTTTTGGTTGGACAATTATTTCAAAAATACGAGTATATCGGTTGAGTTTCATTGGTTAAAAATAATGTTATTCGAAAGCATTTAAATTTCTTCACGTTTTCATAATTATTAATGAAACAACATAAACAAATAAATATTTGCTAAATTGATATGCATGCTGTTACTCTTTCAAATCGTTTTTTGGGGGCTTTTTGAGTTGAAGTTAAACAATCTTCGTGGAATCTTTTGCTAATGGAGTTAAACCACCAAATTTTCATTAAAAGGCAAATATTTGCACATTGTTGGAAATGCTTTAGACTGAACTCGTGTGGCTGGTCAAGCATATATATTACATGTAGGAAATTTCTGATTCTAACTAAAATACAGATGCTCTAAGCGGTTTTTCACACAGAAAAACTACAGAAACAGGTAGTTATAACTTCCCTAAACCTTCCATAAAGAATGAATGGATCACCACAGTTGGATTCGGGGAATTCATCGCCGATTTGCACACCACAACAAAAAAAAAGGGCACAGGTTTTTTTCACTTGCGTTTGCTTTATAATCTCGTCATATCATAAAACACACACACATTTTTTGTTTTCTGATGTTGAGGGATCTGGATCTTCTTCAGTTCAACATTTTTTTTTACTTGAGTTTTGAATTATACATTAAAAAAAAAACTGAAGCGCATGGTTTAGTTGCGCGATCCGCGTCCGAATCCGCCGCGGAATTCGACCTCGCCGGCGCCGGGACCAACGTCGCCCTTCTTGTCCACACCGCTGCCTCCGGGAGCACGACGGTAGGCGGAGCGATCCTCGCCGGTCTTGGAGGCGTCACCAGGTCCGCGTGGACCGCCAGCGGCGGGACGTGGACGCACGGTCTCGGAGCGTGCGGGACGCTTCAGCGTCGATGGAACGATCTCGGGCGGCAGGTGCAGGTAGCTGCGCAGCTCCTCGATTCCCTCGTTGGTCAGATACCAGTAGTAGTGGCGCCAGGCGAACTGCTCACGGACCAGGCCGCGCGAATGGAGCGACTTCAGAGCCTTGATCACATGCAGATTGGGGATCGACTCCAGCTCGGGGTGCTTCTGGGCATGGAAATCCTTCTTGGCCACGATCACGCCCTCCTTGAAGAGGTACTCGTAGATCGCGACGCGATGGGCCTTTGGCATAAACATTCTGCACATGCAAAAAAAAAAACAGGGAAAACAAATAAGTTAGCAATTGGCCTTTCTTTCAGGACTGTTCCTTATTGTCTTAATTCGAGCTGTATCCATTGCACACATTGTTTATCGAGTGTTCAGCCACTCAGGCACAGAAAAAAAATATTCACGTCGCAGGAACAACATTGTGCACATATTTTTCCGGCTGCGTCCATTTGAAAAAGAGTTTTCTGGCTGCGACAATTACCTGGATTGATTTGCAAACACAAAGTTACACGAACGCGAACGTATCGTAACACTCCCGCTGTAAGTAAAAGAGATATAAACGTTTTAAATAACAAATTTCAGTCAAAATTCGCGGAGCACACGCACTCACCGGAAACGTGAAGACGAAAAGAAAGGGAAACGGAAGGGATGACAAGAAGAAGACGACGGGCAGTGTGGTCGCATTGGCGACTATTTGCAAGCAATCGGATTCGCTATCGATACATCGATATTTTTATAGGTACGGTCCACAATTAAATGTCATCAAAAATATATATTCTGCCTTTGGACACAGATTTTGTTCACTTGCCCTGCTTTGAGCGTGTGTTCCCAATTGTCTATTTACCTGCAAATCATTTTCAAAGGCTTAAAGAGGTTTTAAGAGCTAAAGTGTTGCTAAACGACAAAATATCGATAGCTAAAAAAAGCCAAGTCAAAATGATAACATCTAGATACTTAGTTGACGCACAAACCATTTATTATTTTTTGCAAATATAATATTAATCGATAGTACATTGGTTCTTCAATAATCGCATTATTATGGTTTTTGCAAATTTGTAATGACACAAACACACCAAACAATTCGCTTCAGCGAAAAATGTACTACATTTTATAATGTATATATATTCAAGAATTAAGTTTTTATCCGCAACAAATACTCTATTGTTTTAATTTATTTTTAGAACTCGCTTGTTCTGCAAAACATTTAATATGCAGAGCTTAAGTTTAATATTTCTTGTTTAAGGGGTTACATGGGTTTCAGGGTTTCAAAAAATCGATTTTTTTTTTTTTGTCTTATTAAATTCTAAAACATGTCTAGAATATTGTCCTAAATTTTCAAGTTGATCCGAGTAATAGTCTCGGAGATACAGCCTTGAGAAGGTGGACGCTTGAGAGCACTTTTATTGTCTCTTAAAACTTTAAACGCGTTTTTCTCAAAACTATGTTTTCAAAGTCGGTTGTCAAAATTTCTCGCGAACTACTCAACCGATCTTAATGAAATTTTACACAAGTATTCGAGATATCATTTACAAGGTATTGAACGAAGGATTTTTTTTTTTCAATTACAACTATTTAAAAAAAAAAAAATGTCGAGAAATTTTCATCGAAATTTGCATTTTTTTGTAAAAACGTCTGCCAAAAATCCAATTTTCATTTTTTTGTTTTTTCCTTCGTCCAATACCTAGTTTATTGTCTATTCTGAAACACGTTTTTTTTATTTTTACTTTGGACGATCCTGAAAGAAGTTCTGCTGACAACGCGGAGGCACCTTTTTTCCGAGGGACTGCCGGAAATGGCGTCGTAATGGCCGACGTTTTGATATTTTTTTTGAAAATTTCACAAAATCTTTATTAAACATGTATCTTTTAAATAATAAAAAGTTTCATTGAAATATTTCATTTTTTATATGCAAAAAAAATGTTTGAAAAAAGGCCGTTTTTTACCCCAGGAAACCCATGTAACCCCTTAAAAGAAACCAGACATCCTTAAAACCTATTAAATACTCATTTTTTGGTCATATTTTTTAAAGAAATAAAAAACTTAAGCTACATCAGGCAAAAAATCGACTTTATTATCTTGTGTCGGCGTCGTAGTCTTTGCTCTCTGTCGCTTTTTTGTTTTTTTTTTTTTATGTGGCTTTATATACCCTATTTTTTTTGTTTCGCAAAGGCTGTTCGGACTTCCTTCACATAATCCCCAAAAGTGTATCCATTTCTTTTTGTGACTCTGAAAAATATGAAATTGTTAACAGGAATAAACTCAAAAAGTTTAACTTTTATCTTACCATAAATAGCCATGTTTAAATTTGCGTAGGAATTAAGTCCTGTTTTGGAAAACGGTCCGGAATAGTTCATATTCATAAGAATCGATGTTGTTAAAATTCGATTTAAATGTTTTCTAACGCCCTCAGGAGCGAGTATTCTTCGAAACAGTTCCACCTATTTAGATAAAAAAAAAGTAACAAATGTTTTCTAAACTAAATTTTTTTCTTTTACATATTTTTCCTGGTTTTCCGTTACTTTGGCTTCTATTTCATCAAGTTCTTCAATGGAAGTTATAGGAAAATCCGTTTTCGGCAGAGATGTTGGAAATTTTTCCGCAATTTTTTTTACTTTTGCTAGAATTTTGGTATTTTTGTTGACCAGCATTGAAAGCTGAGATTCAATTTTTTCAATTCTCCGCTCCATTCGAAATACATTAATGTTTTCCAAATTAAGAGTTTGTACAAGTTGATTGAATTGTTCCGGAGTGAGACAGTTATTAGTGTTATTTTGGCCAAAACTCTGCTTTGATTCACCAGTTGCTTCTTGAGCAGAACGGTTCGATTTTAATGTAATATTGGGTTCATTGGATTCCATTTCTATATCTTCTGAACAGGGGCGGATTAAGACAATTTGCCGCCCTATGCAGTTTTGATTTTGCCGCCCTAGACTGCAGCCTAATTTTCACCTTTAACAGTCGTAGTAGTGTTAACAGTCGAAATTTGCCGCCCCTAAAAATTTGCCGCCCTAGGCAGCTGCCTATGTTGGCTACACGGTAAATCCGCCACTGCTTCTGAACCTTGCGATTGATTTGCCTCTCTCTCGTTTTCCCTTTTGGCCAATCGCCAAAGATTTGTTCTCGACAAAACATTCATTACAATTTCTTATTTGATTTACGACTTTTGAATTTTTATGTTTGCGGTTTCCCGGTATAAGAGGCTATTATTGTATGCTATTGTTACTAATTTTGCATGTCCAAACACATGAAAATAAACGTAACAGAAATAATACATAAAATACTTTACTTTGCTTAAAACCATATAATACTTACAATTTAAATGCTCTTGGTGTTTCGGGGCATCTTTCTTGTGAGCATTTTATGATAAATCACTGTAGAGAAACACCAACCAACAAATGCCAATTCAAAAACACAAATGAAATAAAGTAGAAAAAAAAGGGTATTTTATCATGTGTGTCTTTTTTCTCTCTCTGTTTGCTCTCTTTGAGCACTGCTGCATTCCACTTAAGTCCTTCCAGGTGCGAGTTTTGCATGTGTGCTGTTATAATCCTTCCTAAATGAGAGAAAAAACCACCAAGAGTAAGGCGTATATGGTCTCAAATTTATTTAAAACTTAACTGTAAAAACAAAAAAAAAAATACAAATTCCACTAAAATTATTGATTTATTAAAAAAAATAACCTTATCTATTATAAATATTAAAAAAAATAATTTTCTAAATCTATATTTAGAGAAGCTTGGAGATCCTTATTTCGGCAGGGGCATTTTGCTTTCCAGCGATAATTCGGCCTTTGGAGCTGGAGGACTGGGTTTCTTGGCGGGCAACAAGAGGCTCTCCAAGTTTCCAAGGGGAGCCTCCATCAGGATGTAGGCCACAAAGGCCAGGAGCAAGGTGAATCCAAAGTCACCCCAGAAACGGAGCATCTATAAAGTATATAATAACGGCATTATTATGTTCCAAAATCAGTGAGAAGTATTTCCAAACTGACCACTTGATAGTTGCCAAAATAAGTGTTGGTGCGAGTTAATCCCGCGTTGAGAGTCTCCATGAACATGTGGAATATGTAGGCCGAGTAGGACAACTTGGACATGGGCTGCCACAGTGGAGAGGAGAGGAAGCTGTTGGCCATTCCCCCGTATCCCTGCATGCAGGCAAAAACCACCCAGCAGAGGCCCAACGGCCAGGCGATCCGGCCGAGGGTCAGGTAGAAGGCCTCCTCCAGAATTGGCGGTGGTTCCGTTGTTGCCGAGTAATCAAACATGGAAAACAAGCAGCAGAAGAGCAGGGCCAACGCAACCAGCCATCCCAGAATAACGGTAATAGGGCTCAATTTAAACTGCTTGCCACTATTCTCGTGCAAGAAGTATCCGAAGAGGATTCCAACCAGATAAGGCGATGCGCGGGTTTGGGTGGAAAAGTAAATCTTATACATCGCATCGTTGGTGTGCGCAATTCTGTAAAATGGTAAATAATATTTAAAACTAAGTAAAGAGGGTACTACATTATCAACGAGGAATAATTTTCCCTGAGTTCTGAAGTCCTATAAGCTGTATTACGTATGTATTATTTACACCCACACTTACAGGGAAATATCCTTGATCACCATCATGCTGAAGAGACAGGAGGCGAGGAGCAGCAGAAGGACGAAGATCCCTGCGGCCGCCTTCCTTTGCCACTTGAAAAGGGCGATGAGCAGCAGAGGAGCAATCACGTAGAGCTGCATATCAACAGCCAGGTACCAGGAATGCCCCAAGCACTAAAGAAGGTTCAAAGGTTAACTAGTCGCTTAGGAGATAGATTATAAAACGCCAGATGAACCTACGATATCGTGGGTGGCATAGTTTTGGACGTAGAGGAGGGTCCAGTACCAGGTTTTCTCGCAGACTGCGTAATCATCGAAGGTGACCTTTCCGCTAAGTGGACCATCGCCCATCAAAGGAAGGATTTTCATGTAGACAAGAATGGCCAAGGCCAACAGCGGAGTGAGTCGCAGATAACGATGCAGATACATCAGGGGTATATTGAGCTTTCCCTTCGTTCTGTAAATATAGCCAAGTATCATATACTACCTGTATTATCTTACTTGACTTCAATCAGACATACCTCTCCATTGCTCGCAGTGCAATCACCACCAGCAAAAGTCCACTCAAAAAGAAGAAAGTATCCACCGAAAACTCGGCATGCTGTATTATCATGCTGTATACCGATCTGGTCCACTATAAAACATATATATTATTTATACAAGTTCATCAAGGGCAACGTGTTTATAGTTAACCTGATTCAGTTTAGGAAAGTTCATATTGGGACTGAATGCCATGACAAGATATACGTGTCCAAAAACCACCCAAATGAACGAAAGGCATCGAATGCCATGCAGGCAATCTATAACATTCGGATTGCTCTTGGGTTCCACCAATCGGAAGAGGACTCGACAATTGGCCCTGGCCGAGAAAGCCTTGATCCACACATTGATGTTTGCTGCAACAAAAGATGTTATATTAAGTAATAAGTTCAAAAAATGATTGCTATTCTTAAGTGAATACCTTTATCCTGGCATGCGAAATAGTCATAAAGAGTGGCTAGGACCACAAGACCAAGCAATATCGAAAGCACCACTCTAAAATGATCAACAAAATACTCCAATAAATATCATGGTTTTCTATAAACACGATTCACTTACATGGTAAATATGGTTAGACCATCGAAGGCTTCTCGTTCGGCAGTCTTGCAGGTTTTTTCCCGGACCAATGGAACATCCGGATCCAGTGTTATGTTCAGGAGGTTCTGAAACAGTTTCCGGAGCAGGGTGTCCATGTGGCTGGTGGAACAGGAGCTGGGGAAGCAGACCGCTGGCAGGAGGGACAAGTAGGGCGAGATGCTCGGTGCAAGTCGAAATCTGGCGAGGCAGTACTTTCCCCGGATGCTGTGACTGGTGGTCACCGCGTGGTCTACTCCCATGCACTCGTCGTAGTTGCCCAGGTCGATCAGGTTGCCAGTTAGGATTCCGGAGGGCAGACTACCCCACGAATCGATCACTGCAATAACACAAAATTATGGTGAGTTCTTGAGATCTGAATAACATTAAAATGTGAATAGCTCCTTGAACTCTTGATTATCTGTCAAATTTGAGATATAACCATCTGTGTTCTGATTGAATGCACTCATATTACTTAATTTACGATCTGATTTAACACTTTCTTGTTTGGAAATATCATTCAAAAATAAGAACTAAATACTCACTTTTCAGAGCCCAAACTTTGGTGGTCGCCACATCTTTCATCAGTATTTGAAGATCGGCCAAGCACTGCAGATCCTGAGCGGAAGCCCGATTCTCGGGCTCGATCAGATCGAAAATCGTTATGTTCTGGTAGCGATCGAAGAACTCCACGGCCAAGCGACGGATCCTGGTGGCACTTTGATAGGACTCCAGACCGTGCAGATCCAAGGACGTCTCCTGCGGAGGCTCCCAACTCACACTGGCACTGGCCAATGCCAAGGATAGGAGAAGGAGCAAGTTCACTAGTCTCGGGTTGACCATGTTGGCGGGTCGGCGGTTAGGAGTTGATTGATTGGGGTGGCCATCGGTCGGGCTTTTATACCGAAGGCCGAGACCTCGATAAGAATAGATTGCCCTTAGAAGTGGTATCACGGCAATCAAGCCCATTTCAGCATGGGAATCCTGGTTATCGATCCATAATCTCTTAACCGAAAATGTTTACCGTTTGTGCAATCGCCGCAATGAATGTCACGGTCGCAACTGACCTCAAAATAATGAAACTGTTACCCACTACGTGCAAAGTCTGAAGCAGGAAATTATCTTCAAATAGTATTTGCCCGAGAATTCGAATTAGCCGGCGATAATGCCAAATCTATAAATTTAGTCTAGACGACACGAGACTTTTCTGTGGAAACATTTGGGCGAAGAAAAGGTGTTCAAGTGTTCTTGTGGAAATAAGAAAGGGACTCTCGTAAGTCACAATCGTGGAATAATCATTAAATTTTTTTAGATAATCAACTATAAATCTCAATGACTTTGAATTTTAATTCTGGGCAAGGAGATGCCTCATAAATCCCTGAGAGCTTTTCCAAATGTGTCTAAAAGTATGCTCTAAAAATATTACATTACATTGTTGACTTTTATCCTTTTTTCAGGGAATTCAGATTGCTTACTTAGTCAGGTGCTCAGAGGTGTGCCACTGCCCATTTAGGTCCCTTGTGCGCTTTTCAATTTAAAGCTAATCAGTTAACTATTTACAAATATTAATGGATACATTTCTGTGAGCTCACCCACCTGAACTAAGTATACTTAATATATTTTTGGTGTCAGTGAATGTGTTTGTTCGTTTGTTGAACTTAGTTCCTTCAAGAGAAACCCTATCTTAACGCCAAGTTGTGCAGAAATTCGATTATCTGGCGATTCTTTGTTTTAAAATAGGCTTTTCTGCATATCACTTAATAGAAATCCAATCGTTCCCCCAAATAATCAGCCTAGGAAACGCTAAGACGGAATTGTTTTTGTGGCGATAAAGCTACAACTGAGTACTTACAGACTATTGGAATTCCTCAAAAGCGATGCCAATCAGGTTGGCCCGGCCTTCCTCGGAATTAGTCACTGATAGTGACAGACAGCTCGCCACAATAATTCTCAAGTGCTTGTTCGAGTCACCACCTAGTGGAGCGATAATATTTAGATTCACTGGGGTGACAGCTGTTAGTCGGAACATTATCACCCGCTATCACTAAGTGTGTCGATAGGGTTGTTTTAAATCGTTTACCCCCCTTGTTTTTAGATGATCAAAAAGAAGGACTGACAATTTTGGAAAATCATCCTGTACTGAATTTTAAAATGAGATTTAAATGTTCCAATTAAAGTACACAAATTTCGAACTCATTTATGCTTTTGAAACACAAATTTCGAACTCATTTATGCTTTTGAAACAAATTGATTAGAAAACCTACTGGTAAATAATTGTTCAAGTAGCAATATTAATGAAAACCCTTTAATCCTCGATCGTAAATCTAAAATAGAACTGTATAATAAATTAGAGGAAAAGGACAAAGTGGGGAGCTCTGTCAGCAAACATCATAATAATGACTCACACTTTCGAATTTCTGCCTTGGATTTAGCGATTACTCCAATCAGTGGAGATTGGCAACAAAACTAGAGTATGTATTCCCGATTTGGTTTAACTTGAATCTGGGGGTCTGTAAAGATAGCACCGAGGTGGCATTATCGCAAGGAGGGCTACCTGGAATAAAAACCTGTTCGGCGGCAGCGAATCAATCACTCAAAGTTGGCCAATTGACTGGGCAGCATGGCCAGACCATCAGTGATTATTTGGCTAAGCATTGTGGCTTTGGGCAGCGTTAATGGCAACATTGACAACATGTTCGCTGTGCCCGACAAGCCAGTTCCCATCGACGACTTGGCTGGGAACTACTTCTTAACCGTCTCCAAGCTGAGATCCTTGGCAGTGGAGTTCTTCGATCACTACTCCAACTTCACCCTGGCGGATCTCTATCCGAATGATCACGAGACGCGATTGCCTTCGGCTGAGGATGTCAGGTGCCTGGTGGACCTGGCGCTCCTTTCCAAGGACCTCGCATCCTTCAAGCTCTGGGCACTGAAGAGTAAGTTGTGGACGGAGGTTCTCGAACAGAAATATAACCATGCATCCTTGATCCTTTCAGTGATTGATTCGTGGGGTCTCTTGCCCTCGGGACTGCTGGTGGGAAACTTCTGGGACCTGGGAAACTTTGAAGAGTGCCTCGGAATAGATCACGCAGTGACCACGGGTTACAGTGTCCGGGGAAAGTACTGCTTCTCCAAGTTCGCCCCAGTTTCGAGCTTGTCCTCGCTGGCGACCATCAAGACCGCCGTCTGCTTTCCCGCCTCCTGCTCCGCCACCCACATGGACTCCATGCTGAGGACCCTCTTCCAGAGGATCCTCGGCCTGGAGATCAGTGCCGATGTGCAGATAGTGGATGAAGCCACTTGCCAGACAGCGGAGAAGACTCCGTACGACGGACTCACCATTTTCACCATGTGAGTAAACACTTTGAACATGTTTATCAATTCATTTAAGTTAGCTATTTAGTTTATATTGCAACTCAGTTATTCGTTATTATTCTTCAATTAGTTGTGATATTCATCCATCATCACATCCATCATCCTTATCTATTATTATTACTATTTATTATCGGTATTATTTAATAATTTTTTTTTCTTATATTTCAATCACCTATTTATTTGTAGAGTTAGCCTGTCCACTTTGGCTGCTCTAGTGGGTCTTTGCACGTTAATTGACTACCTAACTTGCCAGGATGAGAGTGAGTGTTTCCTCGGGAATCCCCTTAACAGATGAAAACACCTTGTATATAAATCGTCCCTATAGAACCCCTGAATCCAGTGGCAAAAGCTTTTTCGGCCCGTGCAAACTCGAGGGTTCTGTTCCGCCTTGCGAGTCCCAAATCGAATCCCAATGTGATCGACTGCCTCCATGGGATCCGCTGTCTCTCCTTCATCTACGTGGTCTTCTGCCACGATTACCTCGTCTTCGCCAAATCACCCATCATAAATATGGCCTACGTTTTGACGGTAAGCGGAGGTAACTAAGTATAAATATTCTACTAATTTTAGTCTATGTTTTAGTGGTTTGATGGCATCTTCAATCAGTTTGTGAGACACGGAATCTATGCCGTGGATACGTTTTTCTTTCTCAGTGGCTTGCTGCTGGTGGTAATTGCCTTGCGGTCAATGGAGAAGTGAGTTCCTATTTTATTTTAGCTAATTTTCTTAACTAACTAAACCTTTTTCTTAGGACCAAGGGAAAACTGAACATTCCCTTGATGTACTTGCATCGTTATTTGCGACTCACTCCGGTCTTGGCCTTTGCCATTCTGATCTACCTGAAGATCCTGCCACTCGTGGGAAAGGGTCCTCTCATGGACTCGGCGTCCTTTGACGACTACTCGTCCTGTGCGGACACCTGGTACTGGACACTCTTGTATGTCCAGAACTACGCCACCAGTCGCATGGTGGGTTTACCTCCTTCGGAACTATTTGGGTTGAATTCTATTAATTATATTCTATTCTTATAGTGCCTAAGTCACTCGTGGTACTTGGCCGTCGACATGCAGCTGTATATATTTGCGCCCTTCCTCCTGATTTGCCTGTATAAATGGGGAAAGAAGGCGGCAGCCGGGATATTCATCCTGATGCTGCTCTTGGCCAGCTGTCTATTCAGCACGATGGTTATTAAGAACGTTTCATTGTAAGTAAACTACCACAGCCGGAAGTAGTTTTGTCCAATTTATTGTAGTGATACAATCAGGGTCTTTTCTCTTCCGTGGTCGCAGCAAAAGTGATCTTTATTTCATCATCTCTGTTAATGCTTAGCCTATTTCACAACCTCGTATGTGCAAGAGAGAGACGTACATGCATAGAGATGGGTTCACATGGTGTTTCGTAAAGGAGTAAGGGAGACATAAAGGATGACACTGTTATGGGACTTAACTTAAGGAATAAACAATAACGTTAGCTGCTTATCAAGCAGTGCTTAATAATAGGTATATGTACATAGGGCTGCTTGCTTCATTATGTTTCTGAGAAACCAATATGATAATGTTTCCTTTAAATATTTCATTTAACTTCTCCTGACTGATTAGCTAATCCCCTTTAATTTTATTTAGCTCGCAAGGTGAGAAATCGCAGAGAATACTCTACTATGCAACAAATAACAGGGCGTCGCCCTACTTGGTTGGCATCCTGTTCGGATACTTCCTGCACATAAATCGCGGCAGGGAGTTCAAGCTGAACTGGTTCTCCGTTCTCCTGGGCTGGCTGACCAGCTTGGCCCTGATCTTCACCTGCGTGTTCGCCGTCTTTGGGCAGAACTCGCTGCCCATTGTGGAGGAGGCCTTCTACGTGACCCTCACCCGAATCGCGTGGCCCCTGGCTCTCTGTTGGGTGGTGTTCGCCTGCATGCAGGGCTACGGAGGTCCTGCCGCAGGACTCCTCTCCTCTCCCCTGTGGCAGCCCCTGTCCAAGCTGTCCTACTCCGCCTACGTACTCCACATGTTCATCGAGACCCTCAACGCAGGAATCGCCCAGACAAGCATCTACTTCAGCGACTACCAAGTGGTAAGTGCCCATAGTAAACTTTATTTTCAATTGTGTATAACACGCATATATGTTCCTCTTAGATGCTGAGATTCTGGGCTGATTTCGGCTTCACTATGCTGTTGTCCTTCTTGATGCACATCCTGGTCGAAGCTCCTTTTGCCGGCTTGGAAAGTCTTTTGCTGCCAACAAAGCGGCCAACCCCCAAAATTGTGGAGGCTAAAATGGTTGATGACAAAGTTGAAGAACTGAAACCAACAGCACCTGAGGAAACTCACGTTGAAGAATCTCCAGTTGGAAAGTCTCAAGTTGGTGAATCTCCAGTTGGAGAACCTTCCGTTGGGGAATCTCTTGTTGGGGAATCTCCAGTCGGGAAATCTCTAGTTGGAGAATCTCCAGTTGGGGAATCTCCAGTTGGGGAATCTCCAGTTGGGGCATCTCTTGTTGGGGAATCTCTTGTTGGGGAATCTCCAGTCGGGAAATCTTCAGTTGGAGAATCTCCAGTTGGGTAATCTCCAGTTGGGGAATCTCCAGTCGGGAAATCTCTAGTTGGAGAATCTCCAGTTGGGGAATATCCAGTTGGGTAATCTCCAGTTGGGGAATCTTCAGTTGAGAAATCTCCAATTGAAGAGCTTGAAAAACACACATCCTCTGAAAAAGTGGTGGAAATTCACACTCAAAATAATAATGTTTAAATGCATGTCCACATGCCACTACTAAAAAAAAACTTTTTTTTTGTATGTATAGTAAACTGAATAATAAAATATGACTGTTAAACTAAATTAGTTGCTACACAAACATTGAAAAAATGTAGTTCAATTTATATTATTAGATATATTTCTAATTATTTTCCTAATGCTATAATGCTACTTATATTCGATTAACTTTTTGATAGTTGAACGTCACTTTTATAAATGTATTTCTTAATAAGATAATAAAGACATATCATACAGTTTGTACATAAATTAATTATTTTGACTGGTTTAGTTGGCGGTTCTCATCACTTTCTCTAATAAGAGTTTTTACTTTTCATTTGTTTAAACCTCTTAAGTGGAGCAAAATCAAAATAACCGATCATAAATTGCTGAACTGCACACCTGGTCGCTTTTTAAGTGCAATTAGTTGATAAGCGAAAGTGTTTGATTGGACTTAACTCAAGTACATTTGTGCGAATAGATTTATTTACCATGTAGGAACTTAATGTGTTACTTATTTGATAACCCATTTGAAGTTTAAGCCTCCTGTTTTGTGACTGTATCCTTGGTAGTAACAATATCCTGGTTATCCTGTTTCAACTCGGGTTGAGGAGCACTTTGCTCCAGAGATTGTACATCTGTTTCTTCGTCGATTTCTACTTTCCTTTCAACCTTTCTCCGACTGGGAAAGGCCAATCTTTCGAGTGCCTCCAGCGGTGCCTCAAGGATTACATAGAACACGTAGGACATCAGCAGAGTGAACCCAAAACAGGACCAGAAACTCAGCATCTAATAAAGAAAATCAGATAATGTATCTCATTTAAGGGTTAATTTAGACCACTAACTTACCGCATCATAATTCGAGAAGTAGGAAACCGACCGAACCCTTCGGTGATTCACCTCCAGGATGAAAACGTGCCAAATGTAGGCGGAGTAGGACAGCTTGGAGATCGGTTGCCACAATGGCGAGGACAGAAAGCTATTGGCCAGACTGCCATAACCCTTAAGACAGGCAAATACCACCCAACAAAGGGCCAAGGGCCACCCGATTCGGGTCAGTGTATAGTAGAGGGCTCCCTCCAAAATCGTGGGCGAAGGACCCAGGAATCTGGCATAGGGATACAGGGCAAACATCGAGGTGAACATCACGGCCAACGAGAGCAGCCATCCCATCCAAACCAAGACGACATGCAGCCGGATTTCCCTTCCCCGAATGGAGTGCAGGAAGTAACCAAAGAGTGCTCCAATCAACCAAGGAGCTGCGTGGTTATGGGTGGCATTGTAGATCTTCTTCTGGACCCCTGGCATCATCAGTCCATCTCTGCCAAGGGTAAGCCATTGTAAATTAGAAGATAACTAAGTAATTTAACTTAAAAAGGGGAAAAACTCACTTGAACATGACGTGATAATCGTTTATCATAATTGTGACGAAGAGAGAAGCGGAGGACAGCAGGATCAGCAGGACAATCCCTGCAGCTCCCCGTTTGCCCCACTTGTAGAGGGCAACCAGCAGGATGGGCGACAAAATGTAGAGCTGCATGTCCACAGCCAAATACCAAGTGTGTGGAAGGCACTAAAAACGAGAATTAATTACTCAAAATACATAATTATAGTACAAGTAACTGGGTTAACCACTCACTATATCATCGGTGGCATAGTTCTGCACGTAGAGCAAGTCCCAGTACCAATTGCTCTTGCAAACCGAATAATCGGAGAACACGGAAATATTGTACATGGGTCCATCGGCCACAAGGGAAAGTAGTTTCGTATAAACCAATAGAGCCACGATTACAATTGGAGTTAGTCGAAGATATCGGTGCAAGTACATCAGCGGCACATTCAAACTTCCCTTGGTTCTGATAAATACGACAAAAAGTACGTTTGAATATCGAATGTTACGGCATGGAAAACGAGTTTTCAAACTCACTTATCCAAGGAGCGCAAGCCAATGGCCACCAAAAGCAAACCGCTGATGAAGAAGAATGTGTCCACCGAGAAAGGAGCGTAGAGTATGAAGCTGGAAAACGCCTGCGACATCCACGTGATCTTGTACGCCTCGTTGGTGGAGGCAGCAGCCAGGTTGCTGGTGAAGTCATGTCCAAAGACCACCCAAATCAGGGACATGCAGCGCATGCCATTCAGGCAGTGGATCACATTCGGAGTATCCTTGTTCTCGGCAAGGGTAAATAAGTCTCGGGAGATTGCACGAGCTGAGAAAATCCTCACAAGTTTGGGCAGCTTCTCTGCAGGAGGTAGACTTGAGTTAAAGCCTTTTAAAGGAAGTAGCCTCCATACTTACCCTGATTTGAGCACAAAAAGTAATCATAGAGTGTGCAGAGAACAGCCGTAGCTAGAAATACGCCAATCAGGACACTAAAGTTATCAATCAGCAAGTTATTTTGAATTATAAGTAAATAAATAAAGACTTACAGAGTGAAAATGGTTAGGCCATCGAGGGGTTCGCTCTCATTGGTTCGGCAAGTCTCCTCGCTGATGGAAAACAGAGCACTGGGGTCGCTCAAGCCCAGGACTCTCTGCAGGACTCTCTTCAGAAAGCCCTCGAAGTTACTTGCCGAACAGGATGAGGGAAAGCAGACCGCAGTTTTTATATAGGTGGACTTCAAGAGCTCCGAATTGAAGCCAAGCCACTTGGCAACTGGCAGGGAAAGAAAGCAGAACTTTCCCCTGATGCTGTGGGAATCTGTGATGGCTCTGTCCAATTCCACGCACTCATCGTAGTTTCCCATGTCCGTGTTCGAACCCTTCAAATACCCAGACGGAATGGAGCCCCACGAATCAATCACTGCGGTGCGAGTAGCAGAAATATGAAATATCAAATGAAAGTGAGCTAAACTCGTACTCACTTTGAAGGGCCCACAATTTGGGTGCAGTTAGGTCCTTCATAAACTGGGCCAGATCAGCCAGGCAAACTAGATCCTGTTCAGTGGTTCTTCCCTCGAGGAGGTGCAGGTCCTGTGAGGAAATGTTCTGGAACTCCCGGACGAACTCCTTTCCCAAGGAACGCAGATCCATGAGGCGTTCATAATCCCCAAGTGAGGATACTTCCCTCTCCTCCGAGGGAACATATTCAGTTGAGTGAACTCCTTTCGCTGCAAAAAGTGAAACAATTAGCAGAGCTCTTGTCACACTCATCATCTCTCCAATTTAGCCGTCAATTTGTGACTGCTCACCAATCGCCCTTCAATCTGCTATTTATATGTGAGCACCTTGATTGTTATTATCCCCCAAATCGGGAACTTTATCTGCAGGTTTGACACGTTACTACGAAAAGATAAAACGCTCATTCAAGCGATTTTGGCTTTCGGTTAGCAGTAATAATAATCAATAATCAGTTTACTCAGTCGGTTAATCGTGCAATTACCCATTTGCCATTTGCCTTGGCGACTCTTTTCAGTTTGGGGAAACACTTGGCCAGATAACCAGTCTTTGGCCTTTGGAGCATTTCAAAGGCATCGGTATCGTTCCCCATTCAAACTATCTGCGAATTGTTTAAACAAATCGAGTTATATTTGAACCTTAGTTCCCGTTTGATAACACAATTATGGGTTAATCTATTTTCATGCTATCACAAGCACCCAATAATTATCTCTCATCGCAATGTTCCAAGTAAAATGTTTTGTGAGTGTTTATTTGTGATTAAAATTCAACCAAGTTTTGTTGCGAAATCTCCATATAGGTAACCCACTGAAAAGCACTTGATTCTCCTGCAAACTCGATTTATTTTTGTTTACTTTAAACTACGAATATGGTTTTTATTGATTGGCCTCCAGCTCTTGCAGACTTTTCGCTTGTTTTTTGGCTCATAATCGATTACGTTTTCCATGCAACATGCAACATACATGTCGCTCAGCAAATTGTTATTAAACTTTTCGCTCAGCAAATTGTTATTAAACTTTTCGCTCTGCAAATTGCCGTTTCCGACAATTGAAGACCGACTGTCTGCCGATGAAAAGCTCGCCAATTCAGATACATTTTATTTGGATATCCTGGACACTCGGACACCTATTCGCAGCTCCAATTATGTACGCTTTGTGGGAAATGGAGATCAAAACGAGTTTTCACTTTCGTCTAGTCAAATTTCGAGGGGGGAGTGCACCGATCCCAGACAGGTTTCTCAGACGCATTATTGACCAGATTCGCATATCTGGGTTACGCAACTACCTCCAAAGCACCAAGCTTCTCAAGGTTAAAACAAGGAGTAAGATCTCAGCTGGAGTTAACCGACCAAAGGGATACCCATAATGCTGCAGAAAAGCAAATACTATTAGTTTATATAGAATATAGAATAATATAAGCAATCATGGACATCTCCTTCCAAACTCTGCTCACTCCATTATGAATCTATAGTATTTTAAGAAATTAGAGGAACAAAAATATCCAAATGGTCCGAATATTATGAATTAGGAACATTAAAACTGCACATTTAAAATGCTTTCAGGGATTTTGTACAATCAGTCCTATCCCTTTACTATCTACTTTTGAATATTTAGCAACAAATAGCGCATTCAATGAGTGCAATTTCAAGACACTTTTGGGACCGAATCGAATCAAGTTGGCCAACTAATGGCCAATCTGCATTCAGAACCGCCAACACAAAACCCAAAGTCGTCAAAATTTTCGTCAAATCTTTTTGAAATTCATGCTGGAAAAAAACTGGTTTCCCACCGAACAAATGCGACTGCGAATTGAAAGCGAGAGGTAACAATTGTCCAGTCAAACTGAGCAGAGAAAACTCAGTTGCGCCAATGCTCCGAAATAAAAAAAACAAAAACTAAAGCTGTTAATTACTGTGGAAATGATTAAACATATCTGGAAAATCAAATTCAACAGGCGCAGCCAGACTGAAATCGAAATTCATATTATTATGAGAGCAACTCGTGACAGCCCCTTATTGGCATAGTGGTATGAATCCAATTGGAAAACCAAGCTCTGTCTCTGAAAATGTGTTAGATTGTAATGTTTGCTTGTTACCAATAAGAATTAGTCATAGAAATAATCAAAGAAGCACGTGCAATTCGCAATGAATCAATTAGGTTGGTTAAATTGACCAGATAGTTAATCGTTATCAATGCAAGGATATTCCTTTCAGATTTTGCAAACCACTTTAAATGAATGGTTCGAATTTTGTTCTATAACTGAAAAAAGTGATTTAAATTTAACAATATTAGACAGGTGCTTTTGAACTTTAATAAATTAAAAACAATAAACTCCAGATCCCCTTAGTATTCAGTAACTACTTGAATTTAACATTTGAATTTGCTCTTTTTCAAATACTTGAATTGGCTTTCCAAACCACTTTAAATGAATGTTTCGAATTCTGTAATATAATTGAAAAAAGTGATTTAAATTTAATAATATTAGTACTGCTTTTGAACTATAGTAAATTTAAAACAATAAACTCCAGATCCCCTTAGTATTCAGTAACTACTTGAATTTAACATTTGAATTTGCTCTTTTTCAAATACTTGAATTGGCTTTCCAAACCACATTAAATGAATGTTTCGAATTCTGTAATATAATTAAAAAAAAAGGCATTTAAATTTAATAATATTAGATATGTGCTTTTGAACTACATATATTAAATTAAAAACAATAAACTCCAGATCCCCTTAGTATTCAGTAACTACTTGAATTTAACATTTAAATTTCCTCTTTTCAACTACTTGAATTGGCTTTCCAAAGTAGTTCAAGTGGTGCCACAGTGGCAGCTCTTGAAATGCACTGGCCGACCAGCATTATGCATAGTTTGTGCTGCACTTACGATCTATAAACTGTTGCAAAAAGTAGTGCAAAAGTAATTGTTGTTGCCACGCACTGAACTCGTTGATAACCGCTCGCAGTTTAAGTTTTTAGTTTTCAGTTTTCTGTTTTCAGTTATAAGTTGGAAGTCGGGGTCTGCGATTACGAGATCCGATCCGAATAGTGCGGCCGTTGGGGCAACCCGTCTAACTAGTTGATTTTGGGGCACATAATCCGCGACGCCCAGGCTGATTGGACTTGGGGAAAAAGTCATGGCAGTTCTGATTGGAACGGCCTTTCGAGCGGTACGATTAGCGGCTATACTCCCGACTCCCGAAAGGATGTGGCTGCGATCTCGTTGGCTTCTGCTGGCCTTGCTGGTGGCTCTGGACTTTGGCCCCCTGTCCGCAGATCCTGTTTCCCAGGACGTTTCACTGGCAGAGAACACTTCATTGCGGCAAAAACGCGGCACCATCACCTTGGATTTCGGTTTGCTCCTGCGCAATTTGCTGCTCAAAAGCGCCCAATTGTCCTCGGCCAAGGCTAATCTTACGAGGACAACGCGTCGTCCTCCGGTGACCACAACAACCACTCCGGCCCCTCCGCCTCCTCCGCCGCCCCCCGCCAAGGATAAGGCGTCCCCTTTGGCATCCGTTCTTCAGTTCCGGCTACCTGCCCTTCGATTACGATGCGGATTACGCGGATCTGCGACCTCCAGCCAATCGGCCGCCAGCTCCTCCTCCTCCACCACCACCAGCACCCACTGCACAGCCGCCCAGGAAAGTCCGTCCACAGTTGCGCCCCTTGAGTGCATTCTACGCCCAAAGGACACCGGCTCCTCCGCCTCCCCCTCCTGCTGCTCCTGCTCGTGCTCCTCCACCACCGCCGCCTCCTCCCTCTCCACCAAACTACGATTATGACTACGATTATGAAGCTCCTCCGCCGACGGAGGCACCACCGCCGCCGCCTCCTCCGCCACGCCCCAGGAATCGGCCACGTCCCCGCCCACCACAACAACAACAACAACAACAGCAACTGCAGCAGCAACAACAACAACAACAACAACAACGACGTCCTGGGCAACTGGGCGATCGTCTTATCTATCAGTACGCACAACCTACTGGTAAAATCCGTAAACTTTTAACTAACTGCCGTACAATTGGATTCTCTCCGACCCTTTGCAGATACCTTCTCTAGGTCGCAATCCGTGGCGGAGGCGGTGGTCAACGGGGATGAAGGTGTTGACGTCGCCGCCGGAGAATCAGAACCGGATGCGGATCAGGATGCGGGTGCCAATGCTGCTGATGCTCCTCCTCCTCCTCCTTCTCCTCCCTCCTCCGCTCCACCGCGATTCTTGGTCAACTATGCGAGCGACAGTGATTTTGGGTCACCAACTGCGGCCAGCCAGGATGCACTTCCTCCCAATTCAGTTGGGTTTTCCGGACCTTCCGGCGGCTTCTTTGGCTATCCGCTCTCCAATCAGTCGCCGAATCAGCAGCAGTACTTTTTTAACTAAGCGGTATAGTTTCTTTTTTTTAACGCTTATTGTACAAACTTGGCAACCATTAGTTTCTAAATATTATTGCTTGTGTGATGCAGAGTGTGTGTGCTTAAAATTGGCCATAAGCTATTTGTAAAATTAACTGTATTTTTTTATACCCAGGTTGAGAAGTGGTTAATAAAAATCGAAATAAATAAACGTTAATCGTGTGAATAATGAGTTTTCAATGGTTTTAGGCATTGTGACCCAAAACTAGACTTCCAACACCCATAGCTTTGTCAATTTTAAAACGAATTCAAAGTTACATACCTTTAAACTTTTATACTTTATACATTTATTCCCCAAAAATTTAAGAGTTTAAAAGTTTGTTCCAGTGGAGCCTGACTAAAAGACTGAGTATTCAAAGAATGCGGTAACACTGTCCCAAAAGAACAAAATATCGGTTGGTTTGAAAGCGAATAATATAAAATCTAGTGATATATAGGATTGAAGATAAGTGAATATTCTGTTATGGGGTTATGAAATGACTTTTATTTAAATATATCTTAAGAAAAGTACGCTATCTATCGCCTGCCCCGAAAACTATCGATAAATAACCTATAGAAAATCATCGATGGATCGAAAGTGACCAATCGATGTTTCTCCACCTCTACCGCTTGCTGTGTGTGTGAACTTTACAGAATTTAATTAAGAAAACGAGTGAAGAAAAGTGTGGAACTAAATAGCGCAAATGGTATCGGGATCGGGATCGACGTTCCACTAAATTTTCGGCACCTCGAGATGCGTAGCAAGTGCGAAAGTGTGAACGCAACGCGTGTGCAGTGCAGGGCAAATCGAAATCGCAGCAAGGCAAATAACAGCAGCAGCAGGCGTGAAGAAAGCGACGCATGAGGGAAAAATGCATACAGCTGCGAAAACCAAAAGCCAGCCGCGCTGATAAACAAGCAAGCACTAATTAAATTCCAAATGTAAGCCATCGAAAATACAGCAAGTCCATTTTTTCGCCAGATTTATGCATTTTCCACTGTCTCTCCATCCCTGTGTGCGTGTATGTTGAAGGTAGTGTGTGTCTGTGTGCATACTGTTCTTTTTCGCGTTTGCGTTTCGGCCGATAAATGCGAATTAGTGTGTGCCCGCTGAATTGATTATTTTCCGAAATGAACAAATCTTGATGTGTTTTAACAAAAACATAATAATAACAACAAACAAAATGCAAATTTGCTGATTTAAGTGCGACTCCCCTTAATGTGCGAGAAAGAGCCAGCACTAGACGACGAATACGTATGCGTTGCAGTTGTGTGTGTATTTGTCTGCTCCCCCGACAAGCGTGTGTGTGTGTGGGTGTGCGGTGTGCAAGCAAAACAAAATTAGGCGATTCAAAACAGTTGTTAAGTGCGAATTACGGCAATTCCAATAGTTCCACAAGAGTTGGCCACAAAAATCAGTCGCTAAACTAATCGGCCGGCAAAAACAAGCAGCGCCGCAACCATTGTCGTTTTTTTTCTGGTACGCCTTTTTTCCCCTTTCTGTGTGAGCTGCTGCGTCCGCACCCAAAAAACAAGAGAAAAAAGGCTGCAAAAAATCAAAACCAAATTGAAGAATTCTCAATTTTCCGCCGCAATCGACATGAAAAGGCGCAAAACAAAAGCCCAAGCCCCAGAAAAGCACGAATTCAATTGAATTTGTGTCGCCTGTAAAAATGCAAAACAACAAGCAACCAAACCGCACATATACACAAGTGCATGTGTGCGTGAGCGACATGGCTGCTCTTTGTGCAGTAGTGTGTAGCTATGAAAAATAGGCGTGTTTCTGTTTCGCGTCGCAAGTAAATAATTGCAGTCGCGAAACGGCGGCGCGGGCTAATTATCGAGTATTATTGCCCAGATGCGAGAGTTGAAAGCCGGAGCTTCGTAGATCTAAAATCCGCGTCTTTAGCCGGCGTATATCCGCAGACGCCCGCAAAACGCCTCCGCATGCATATGCAAGTGCGCGTGTGTGTGGCGAGTGTGTGTGGATTCGCAACGGCGACAAATGCACCCCTTCAGTGCCGTTACTCCTTGCCAGCCTATAAGAGCGTTTGTGTGCCTAGGAGTTCGGTCAGAATAACTGAAAAATAACCCTATCTTATGTTTAAATACTCTACAAAATATTAATAAGCCACAATCTTTTGTCACCTCAGTCAACTGTCGGAAGGTGGGCAAATGACCTTTGCGTTAAGTATTCCTGGCCCTAAAAGAAAACCTTATCTAATGCTATGAAAATACCCAAGTGCTATGTATACATAGCAAACCTCAGTTTTTCGGGAAGTGACCAACAAAACTTGCGATATGTAAGACCAATCAGAATACCCTACAGCACGTGTGCATCCCCTGCTTATCTACATATCCCCATAACAGCCAATAATACCCTACAGAAAACAACTCGGATACTAACCAACTGAACTTGGTGTCCACAAGCACGGCAGTGGCAACCATCCCTAAAAATCTTTTAAATAGCCAAGGATCCCCAGCAAATTTCTGTTTTATTCAGGAACTGGCCAAAAAGCAGCTGGCAAGGTGGTAACAAGCTAAGGAAAATAGCCATAAAAGAGGCCAGCAAGCCGTAAAAAACTTTGCGATAAGGTCCAAGTGCTGCGTGTGGAATGCTGAATTCTGAATGATTCGTGTATTAAAGTGTGTGTGAGCGTGAATCACTTGATCGATTTGATGACAGTCGGCTTTTGGCTTTTCCCGTCCAGTCGCTGTCCAAAAAATAAAAACCACAGCTAACCTTGCACCCCGCCCACTTACGATTCCGGGTTTCGAAACCCCTACTCCCAAGAAAAAGAAAAATAAAATAAATCTTGACCCCAAAAAACAATACCCTTTTCACAATGACTAAGACTGTGTGGACTGACTAACCGGAATTCCCCTCTTCTCTTTGCCACTTCGATCCTCGATAGACCTTAAACCCAGCAGAGTTGGCTACTTGGAGCTGCTGCAGACGAGGAGGACGCAGAGCGCAGGACCACTGAGTTGTGAGCTGGGCTAGAGCATGAGAGACAGCCATGCCTTCGGCACGACCTGGTAGTCTCAAGGATCCGGAAATAGCCGATCTGTTTAACAAGCATGACCCGGAGAAGATCTTCGAGGATCTGCGCGAAATCGGCCATGGGTCGTTCGGTGCGGTCTACTATGCCCGCTGCAATCTCACCAAGGAGATTGTGGCCATCAAAAAGATGTCCTACACCGGCAAGCAGAGCCAGGAGAAGTGGCAGGACATTCTCAAAGAGATACGGTGTGTAGAGAGTTCTTATTTTCTCATGAATTCAAGTAACCAACTGGGTGTTGACCAACAGCTTCCTTCGCCAATTGAACCACCCGAACACCATCGAATACAAGGGTTGCTATCTGCGCGAATCGACCGCCTGGCTGGTGATGGAGTACTGCGTGGGCTCCGCCTCGGACATCATCGAGGTGCACAAGAAGCCGCTGCACGAGGACGAGATTGCCGCCATCTGTTTGGGCGTGCTCAGCGGTTTGAGCTATCTGCATTCGCTGGGGCGCATCCATCGCGACATCAAAGCGGGCAACATTTTGCTCACGGACAATGGCGTCGTCAAGTTGGCCGACTTCGGTAGCGCCGCCATCAAGTGCCCGGCCAACAGCTTTGTCGGCACGCCCTACTGGATGGCCCCCGAGGTGATCCTGGCCATGGACGAGGGCCAGTACGACGGCAAGGTGGATGTGTGGTCGCTGGGCATCACCTGCATCGAGCTGGCGGAGCGCAAGCCGCCCTACTTCAACATGAACGCCATGTCGGCGCTCTATCACATTGCGCAGAACGAGTCGCCGATTCTTCCGGTGAGTTGCTATTGCAGTTTAAAACCTTTTAAAATGAGCACTTTTCAGCCATAAAAGTTTAAAATTTAATATGCTCAAACATAAACTTCAAAAAGTAAACTTTTTGTAAAGCAAAGCCCTTTTTTTTATATTTTCCCTGCAGAAGAACGACTGGTCGGACGCGTTCTGCAGCTTTGTCGAACTGTGCCTCAAAAAGATGCCAGCGGAACGACCTTCGTCGGCCAAGCTGCTGACCCACGCGTACGTGACCCGACCACGTTCCGACACCGTGCTCCTCGAGCTGATCGCGCGCACCAAGTCGGCGGTGCGCGAGCTGGACAACCTTAACTACCGCAAGATGAAGAAGATACTCATGGTGGACACCTGCGAGACGGAGAGCGCCGTGGGCGATGCCGACGATCAGCAGGACGACCATGCCGGCGGCGATAGCAGCAAGAGCAATAGTATTACTTCGGAACACTCCATACACTCGGTGGGTGTATCAGCGGCCAGTAGTCAGGTGGGGATTTAATGCGAATATGCAAATGTTTCCTGTTCTAAGCCAGGCGTTCTTTGTTCTTGCAGAGCTCGTCATCCAATTCCATACCGGCTGCGGCCCAGAATCATCACCATATCGCTGCGCACCACCACCAGCAGGCGGCTAGCGCCGCTGTGGCGGCGGCAATGCACCACCACCATCATCCGCACCAGCAGCAGCCGCCGCCCAGCTGGCCGAGCGGTAATCCGCAACAGGTTGGACAGGGAGCGATTCCACCCGGGGCCGTGTCGCGCAACTCGTCGCGGCATCGCAACCGGCCGCCGCTGCCGAACATAATGCACAGCATGAACAACAATGTGACGCCCACAAACTCGGCCTCGGTGGTGCCTGCTCCGGCGCCCGCTCCGGTTCCACCGCCGCCGCTTTCCGTTCTACCGCACCTGGGTGCAATGGGCCACGGTGGCGGAGGAACCGGAACCGGCGGCAGCGGCGGTGGAGGCTCCCCAGCCTCCGGTGGACCACTGGCGGATCGAATGCAGCCCATCCAGCCGCGATATCTGACAACGCCCGCCGCCCAAGCGGCCGTCTATGCCGCCAGCTCGGCGTCCTCGCAACAGGCCATCTCCAATGCGGTCAACGACCACGGGCCGAACAACTTTGCCACCATACGCACCACCAGTATCGTGACCAAGCAGCAGAAGGAGCACATGCAGGTGCGTTGTCGCGTTATGTTTGTTTTGATACTCTCCTGCCTTGGCCGTAGATTTCTGTGTGCGCTCTCTCTATCTCGATCGCTGGGTTGAGTTCAGGGCATAGTTAATCCAACGCAGGGTCATGCCTCCATGTTGTGTATCCCGGGCTGAGCATCGATTGCATTTCCCCCTCGTCCTGCGCTGCATTTTTGTGTGTGTGTTCCATGTCCTGTGTCCACTTGTCAGCATTTCGAATCGGGGAACCATCATTTCGTGTACATCTCGGCTAGAAAGCATCCATTTCCTACCTCTCCTCGCTCGCCGCAACGCTTACGCTTTTCTGCTGATCTGATCCCCTTCTAACTTTTTTGTTGTGCCCTCTACTACAAGCTCTTTGTTGTGTTTATTGTTCTCCTCCCGCATCCTCAAACAGGCGCGCTATAACTTCTGCTCGCAGCTGTGTGGTGGCGACCACATCAACAGCGATTGCCGCGACGGCAGCCGGCGGATCGAGAGCAGGCAAAAGATCAGCAAGATCGGCGGCGAAAAGAAAGACAAAGACCCCAAACGCCACTGTCCCTGTGTAATTTCCTAGCCAGAGCGGAGGCGTCCAATCGATTGAGAAATAAATGTTTTTAAAATCAAAAGTCGCTGCCGGTACCATGTACTTACTGTAGTTAGCCGTTGCTGCTGTTGCAGTTGCATCCGCCATTCACATTTCCACCTGTATTCGTTACCCAAAGTTCTCTTCCAAAAAATCAAAACCAGAAATCTCCAAAATCCCTGGCCATTGGCACGCCTTCATGGCTTCAAAAACGCATCTGTTTTTCATGTCTCTCAAGTGTAAGCATTTACTAATTGTTAATGGTTTCGTTTAAAGCTTGGTAGCTGGGGCCAATGCATCTTTCACAACAACTACACCGTAGAAAACCAGAAGCATTTAGAGGTTAGATTATTGCCAGCTTGTTGTTGCCTGTCGGATTTAAGAATAAATTTACTGGTTTGTTTTCATTGGACAAAGTCATATAGAATTTCATTTAGCAACTGTTTTTCATATATTCGTATGTCTTTAAATTGCCATTTCAGTTGAGTTTTGAAAAAATAGGTATTTGGTGTTGAATAATTAATTTGCTTTTAAAACCAGCTGCTTTTTTTCATACGTAGACAAACTTCAAAGAACAAACTATTGTTTTCCGTTTAAAATTTGATTTGTTTTGTTTAATAACATGACATCTTCGCACTGCAGACTTGTCATGCAAAATAACGGTTTGGATAAAAGCATCTCTCCATTATTTGTTAAGAGGTCACACTGTCTATAGGCCGATCCACCTCCTTTCTACCTCCAAAATTGGGTCACACTAGACAAAACCGAGCTTTCAATCACATTCGACATTGCAAGCGGGAATTGCTTGAGCTTGAGTTGCCTGTTGAAAAGCTAGTAGAACTATTTACCTTCCCGCTTCTCCAAGTCAATTGCGAGTTAACCTAATAATACCTAGTAGTCTAGTGCCTAGAATCCGTAGACGGAGGCCTAGAACCGCGTAAGGAGCCAATGATTTGGCCGCGCTTTGCGCCCGTTGAGGTTATGGTTGAGCTGGAATTCGCCGGCAGTCGTGTAAGTTACAGTTAGTCGCCGAAAGAGTAGTTTGTGTGTGTGTGTGTGTCTGTGTTCAGTTATGCCGTAGCTGCCCGCTGCTTCTCGCATTTACCATCGCCTCTAACCATGTGTGCATTCTCTGCCCCATTGCACTGAACCAAAAACACAACAACAACACAACGGCAATCCGATCCGATTCGATCCGATACTTCAGGAGGAGATGCACGAGCAAATGTCCGGTTACAAGCGGATGCGACGCGAGCACCAGGCGCACCTGTTCAAGCTGGAGGAGAAGTGCAAGGTGGACATGGAGGCGCACAAGGCGGCCCTGGACAAGGAGTATGAAACGCTGCTGCACAACTTCACCAGGGACCTCGAACGGCTGCAGGTGGGTTTTGAGATAAAGGGTAGCAAATTAAAACAGAGTACCTAATCATTAATCTCGGACAGACGAAGCACCAGCAGGACGTGGAGAGACGGTCGAAGCAGACGAGCGCCGCCGAGAAGAAACTACACAAAGAGATTACGCTGAAACAGGAGGCCGACCGCAAGGTGTACGACTTGAATCGCAAGAAGGAGTACAAGGCGAACAAGGAGCGCTGGAAGCGAGAGCTCTCAATGGACGAGACGACGCCCAAGCGGCAGCGCGACCTAACGCTCCAGTCGCAAAAGGACAACCTTAAGCAGCACGAGGCGCAGGAGGAGCAGCGCATGATCCAGGCGCAGAAGCAGTACATCGATCTGGAGATGCGCAAGTTCAAGCGCAAGCGCATGATCATGCAGCACGAGCACGAAGATCAGCAGATGCGTGATGTAAGTTATTTGTTGTAATCTGTTTTGGCAAGTTCGTCTTACTCTTAAACTCTTTGTGCCTTGCAGGAGTTGGCAAAGAAGGAGCAACAACTGCAGCAGGCGCACACCATGCTCCTTAAGCACCACGAAAAGACACAGGAGCTGGAGTACCGCCAGCAGAAGAGCGTTCACCAGTTGCGCGAAGAGCAGGTGAGTTGCTTAAAGGTTTCACAGTGCTGAATAGAATTAAGAACCTATCTATTGCTACTTCCATTCACAGATTAACAAGCAACACGATACGGAGTTGCACAATCAAAAAGACTACATGGACCGCATCAAGAAGGAGCTGGTGCGCAAGCATGCGGTCGAACTAAGGCAACAGCCCAAGAGCTTGAAGGTAGGTCATTCAACGGGATTTTTATATCTCAGATCGTGGCAATAGACTTTTCAAAATCAACTTCTTAAAACAGCAAAAGGAGCTCCAGATACGCAAACAGTTCCGGGAAACATGCAAGACGCAGACGAAGCAATACAAGCGCTACAAGGCGCAAGTGCTGCAGACGACACCAAAGGAGCAACAGAAGGAGGTCATCAAGCAGCTGAAAGAGGAGAAGCATCGCAAGCTGACGCTGCTGGGTGAACAGGTGCGTTGTTTTACTCCATTCCATTGTTTATTGACAATTGATTGAATGCTTAACTTGAATGAATTGATACATAATTGCAGTACGAGCAAAGCATTGCGGATATGTTCCAAAGTCAGAGCTACAAACTAGACGAAAGCCAAGTGATCGAGTGCCAACGTACCCACGAGCAGCTGGAGTACGAGCTGGAGATGCTCACTGCCTACCAGAACAAGAACAAGAAGCAGGCGCAGGAGCAGCGGGATCGCGAGCGGCGGGAGCTCGAGAACCGGGTCAGCGTGCGACGAGGACTGCTCGAGAATAAGGTGAGCACATACAATGCAATATACTTGCATGCCGGAACACATTGAATGACTATTTCACATCTTCCCCCAGATGGATGCCGAGTTGCACCAGTTTAACCAGGGACGAGAGGAGCGCTTGCGCTTGAAACACGAGAAGCATACTAAAGAATTGGACGCATTTGATAATGAATCAATTGCCCTAGGTTTCAGGTAATTAATGCCAAACGATTGCAATATATAGAATACTCTTAAAATAATTGTAAATCCCATTGCAGCACTTTATCACTAACTGAGGTCTCTCGTGAAGTCTATGATGTTGAGGAGGGAAGTCTGTCTGGTTCAATAATTAGTTTAGCCCATAGCAATAGTTCAACAAGTTTTCCGGCTGGTTCGCTATAGCATAGACAACAACAACAACAACAACAAGGCCAACCACAACAACAAGTGTTTAGTAATATGAACTACTTCAATTTTAATGGAAACTATAAAGCCAACAGTACGACAGCAACAGCAACTAAAACTCGACAAAAGCAGCAGCTGAAACATCAACAATAGCAGAAAAAGTCCTGTCTAGCAATGTTTTTGTAGGAACTTAAACAGCAATTAACACGATTGGTTGCATCAAGCGAAAAATAATTCATGAAAACCCAAGTATTTTCTAAAAGTTACAACAAGCATAAGCTGCAATAGTTTTGTATTAAAGAAATTCGACCGGAGAAGGCAACAAGATACTAACATTTGAAACCAATTTAATACAAGATCAATCAAAAACAAAGAAAAAACAAACATAAATAAATAATTATATATGTAAGCGTAAATGTCATACACAAACAATAACACAACAAAAACAAACATACAAACAAACAAACAAACAAACAAGCAAACAAAGATCAACATCAATTATTGATATGCAAAGTGTTTAAATTTTACTTTTAAATTCTAATTTGATATTATTACCGAGTAACTGAATCAATCGCAATTTTGATTTGTTAACCATTTATATACTTGTGCTCTCGCGTTGCAAAAATGTCACTAAAACAATTAGGTGTGTATTATTTGTTAAAACTCGCGAAAAATAGAACTTGCAGTTTGCCTTCGCATTCGAGTTTGCGAGATTTTTAAATATTAATTTAAATTGATAGTCGAAAAAGAGAAGGGCTGCGCGATCGCAGTTGCAGTTCCAGGCACACATCGATTGCCATCTTTGCATGTTGTTAGGTTCAACATTTTCGATTTACGTTATGTTTTTTTATTTTGACTCGTTTCAAATAAAAGTATTTTTGAAAAGAAAAAATAATACATTTATTTTTTATTTGCTGTACAATAAGTTTTATCGCCAAAATTATTATAAACCCAGCAAATATTAAAATGCAAAAAGGATTCATTTTGTTTACAATTAATTTAGTTTTGTTTGTTATAACAAAAAGGATATAATATATATATATATAAATTTAAAATAAGCCTATTTTAGAGTTAATTAATGCAAATTGCAAAATGCTTAGTCAAAACAATAAAAATTGTATAGAAAATTAAAGCATATAAACGTTTAATTATTTAATGATTTATGTTTACGTGAAAATATTATACTTTTTCCTGCAGTCGTAAAGTTGATTCAAAGTAACGGAAACACCATACACACACACAGACAAAAACACACACCCACATCCATGAGGGAAATCCAAAAAAAAAAAAAAAAAATAAATAAATAAAATGCTCGGCAAATGCAATTGCGAAAATATGTAGCAAATAATATTTTACTAAACAACATAGAACGAAGAAAAAAAATAACAAACAAACCAACCATATATTTCCGTTAGTCATTAATTAAATTAAATTTAATACAAATTTCTATGATTACAGAAAAGGAAAAGATTAAAATGTGGAAGGATTGGAAGCAATTTTCGGTACTTTGGTTGGTATTGAGTTGGGGCGGTTCCAAGATGATAATTATTACTATTAAGGAGGCGTATTATTTTGGTATATATCAACCTAAAGAAAACATGACCGAAATGAAGGTAAACAAGATCACGAGAGAGATAGAGATAGCTAAAAAGAAGCACGGGGAACACAATACATGTAATATTTTTTATGTTTATAAAATTGTTTTTTTATTATTATGATAATTATTATATGAATATAAATTGTATTTTTGCAATTATGGTAAATGAAGAAGAAAAACGAATAACAATTAAATTGATGCACGTCAATGTCAATAAAATAAAACTTATTTAAAAATACATAATCACGAATCTGATTAATGGGACACAGACTTACCTCCGCAGGTTTTCGGGTACGCTTTATAATCGTCACAAAAATCCATACATCCTTTTCATTTATTTCAAATCTGAATATTTAATTACATTTTACATCGAGCTAAATAAATTCTGACAAAAATATTTCATGCCCTCATATTTTCATTACCAAATATAGTCGCACCTTAACAATATATGCTCATTCCTTATTGATTACATATTTAAGACGACAATATAAATTACGTTCAATGAACAATAATAATAATTCACTGCATTCAAAGTTTGGTTTGTCTGTAGAGAGCAAAAAAGAGTGCTTACATAAAACGGAAAATATAACACACTTTCTCGATAACAGCCCAATCCTAAAATCCCTGGGGTTTTTGTAGTTCTTTCTTAATACCCCTGAATATTCACATTGCACAGTCTTATTTCAGTTCAACAATAATATTTGGTGAATACGTATTGTGTGAGAACCAGCCAATTCAATCGATCCATTGGAAAGGTGAGTGATATTATAGTTGGAGAAGAATATTGAATCGTTTTCATTACAATTAAAGCGAGCCGCTTGGCAAGGAATTTGAGGGATTCGGTCTTTACCGGCTTACATTTCTATCGGTTATGCGATTAAATAACTTTTTAGCTGGTCTAGCGTCCATTATAATATAACATTGGCTAAATACTTTATTTTGACAATAAGTTTCTTGCACAGAACTTTAATGAATTTAAATTTGGAATCATTTTCACTTACAACTAGAATCATTCATGTACATAATTGAGTAAACATATATAAATAAATATATGCATATATGTATGCAATCTATATAAATATTTCCATATACGGTACACAGAATACGAGAATAAATGCCGTAATAGAAAAATATATATATGTATGTGTATATATATATATGTTTTTGCTTTATGCTTTCCCACTTCCGTTCACTGGACGCTAATCCGAAATCCTGACCGCCGTGGTGCGCCGCTTGCCCTTCCTTTTCGGTCTCGGAATCAGCGGCTCCGACGCGTTTCATCCACGTGCCAGGCCGTGGTCGTTGGACAGGCGATGGGCCTCCAATCGGCTTAGCCGCCGACCTCACGAGCTCATCAGGCTCTCCAGGAAGGAGTGTTTGTTGACCACCTTCGTGGTGGCAATCAGGAACTCCACATTGTTGTCCTCCTGCGCGGCAAGGAATCGCAGAGCGGCGATCTCGGCGAAAGTGCAACCGCCCACGAAGCAAACCAGTACGACGCGCGGCACATTCAACAGCGATCCCTCGCTGACCGTAGTGCCCACCGTGTGCCGTCCCCCGATCCCCACCAGCTGCGCCTGAAAGTCCTCGAATGTGGGGCCGGACAGGTTGTTGATCTGGCTCTTCAGCGACTGCCAGCCGAGCGGCTTCAGCGAGTGCTCCACAATGCGAGCGGTGAGCGGAGCGTAGAAGCTGTGCACGTAGCTAATGTCCTTCGGCTCCACCTCCACATTGTCGTCCACGGTGAGGTGCAGTGTCTGTAAGATGATTGGCGTTTTTAAAGTAAGTCATAATTTTTCTACATTTAAAATAGGATGGGAAACTATCAGCGACATTCTGTCAAATATGAAAACAATTGTTTCGACTCTGATGACTAAACTACTGTACAGTTTAGGTTCTTCAAATTAAGAGATTATAACCAGGATTAGACCAACACTGACCTTTCGCAGCACACTGTAGGCCCGCGACTCGGTCTGCTGGTGGAGCAGGCCCGATTTTTCCAGGTTGCTGACGGTGAGCAGGACTTCGAGCCCGTAGACGTGGACCAGTTCGCGCTTGTAGTGGTTGAGCAGCTTCTCCTTGAGCCCGGAGGCGGCGATGCACTGCAGGCAGATGAGCCGCAGGACACGACGCAGCTCCGCCTTGCAGGCGATGAGGTCCTCGATGTAGGCGCTCGGCTTGTCGATGTCCGCGCAAACCATAAACTCCTGCTCGGCGGCCAGGTCGTCGGCGAAGCTCACCGCGTTGACCTGCTCATGCAGCAGGCCGGCGATGGCCGTGTGCTCCGAGGTGGCCTTCTTCTGGGCCATCAGCTGCGGCAGCAGGTTCTCCACGAAGCTCTTTATCTCCTGCACACTCTTGTCCTGCGAGGTGGCGTGCATTTGGACGTGAATCTCGCGCGCCTTGCGGGCCAGAAGCTTGGTCACCTCATTGAAGTGTTTGTTTCGCAGTTCCGCATACAGCTGCTCCCCGGAATGCAGGAGGATGGTCTTCTTCTCGTTGTCGCTCAGCAGGGACTGAGATTCCTCCGTTCGTGGACCAGAGCTATTGATCGATCCATCGGAGGGAAAGTTCTCGGCGGGCAGTGTTAGCTTGTTCTGCCGAATGCCATAGAACTCGTCGATGAGTCCCTCGTAGGTGAGTTGCGTGGCCAGCGGGCTGATCAAGTCGATGCCCCTGTCCAGCAGGATTAACTGATCGATAACGCCCTTGTCGCCATTGTAGAGGGAACGCTCGTCCCGGCCCAGCTGCTTGGCATGTTCCCACACCCGGTGGGCAAACTCGCCCTTGCCGTAGATCTTGGGAATGCGTCCGTAGAGCCGCTGCAGCTGCACCAGACCCACAGCTGCCTGGTAGAGCGAACTGGTATCGCCATCTACGCTAACATCGCGAAAACCATTGGGCAGCTCCATCGAGACCAAGTCGGCGTCCAGCGGCAGGTAGTTCCATGCCAGTTCCTCAATGCGCCCGAAGCTGCCCAGTACGCCGCTGACCTCCAGTTGACAGACGCACAAGCGGGAACGGCGCGGTGCAAACAAGATGTGGTATTGCCTTCCGGCTGCCGCGCGTCCACCGTTCTTCACATGAGCTGCTAGGTGCTCCATTAGCGCTACCCGCGGGCGCACTACGTACACCACATTGGCCACTTCGCGCGGCAAATGGAGCTCCGGCTTGAGCGCCAACAAACGAATGCCCCGGTCGGCGAACAACTTTGGTCGCGTTACCAGATCGAGGGGACCGATCATCGCCTCGTCCAGGACAATCACCTTGGAGCCCTCGATGTGCTCCAGCTGCTGCACCAATTCGCGGCAGGCGGCCTCCTGTAGGAGCTGCAGGTTGACCCGTTGGCCGTGACCCTTGAGGTTGGGAAACATGATCCGGCCGCGAAAAAACAAGTGCAAATGCTTTTTCGTGCGAGTGCTCTGTGCCTTCCTGTTGGTTGTTGGGATCGCGTACCTGTGTCCGTGTATCCTGGGTGGCTCGACTCGGTGCGTTGATGGGGCTGCTGCTGCAACGCCCACGGATTTCGGCTGCAGAAGATCAGGGCCGCGAGTGTAAACGTTCAATAACAGCTGATTTAGGCCCGCGCCTGCGCACTGCAGTGTGACCAATAATCTTCCCGTTCCCACTACGCTACTCCGTTACGTGGCGTTCACACTCGCGCTGGTTTCATTGATTTCAGGCTACGATGTTTTATATATTTAATGGTGCAATGTTTTATATATTTAATCAGTAAAGTTTATACAATAAAGCAATTTAAATCTTCTTTTTATATCGTCCTCCTATAATTGTAATTACTTCTCAATAACACAATTGCACACAACCTGCGAACGCTGCTAAACTTGCCCATTTACCCCATCCGCGACCAGTGTCACCACATCCGAAAGTATTTAAATACTAACTGCATTGTTGTTGTGATGCCAATTTCAATTTAGTTGCTTACAGCCCTTGTGTACTAATTTAATTCGCTTACTGACGAAATGGCGACCAAATAAAATGAGCCACATAAGAGCAGCAAGAATCGAAACAACTATAAGTTAGTAATAGGCAGTTGACAACCCTGCAAGCGCTGCACTCAACTGAGAAAAAAAGGAGAGGCGCCGCGCGACTCAACTCCAAATTGAGTTCAATTGCTAGTGCATTTAACTGTAAATAGCGAAGTGCTGGGAACCGTTAATCGCTATGAGTAAAATCGATCCAGTACGTCAAGTGCTTTGGAATCTGATCGGGGAGTCTCAGTAAGTTAAATCAGTGCACAGGTGGTCCGACATTCGATCGAACGCTCGAACGAACGGTCGAGCCTACTTCTCCTCTTCTTCTTGCTACATTTCGCATTTACGCCATTTTTGCAGGTCAAGTTTAACACCGGATATTATTCTACGGGAATTCCTTGCCACAAGCGATAAACGTTTGCCCCTCGACGAGCTGCTCCATCTGCTGGCAACCATCAGCCGGAAGCGCAAGGACCAAGAAAAGGTGATCACCGAGGTGGCCCATGTTCTTGAGAGGTAAGCACATCCCACTGATAACAAACAATACATGATTAACATCCATTTATTCGTTTCCCATTTTCAGGAGGGATCCTATGTTTGCATTGCTCGTCTTCGCGGAACGTTACGCTGACGGTATATCCCTAAGATCCCACCACTCGCCACCCGAAATGGCCTCATCTGTTGCCACCTCACCGCTGCCCGGCAAAGCCTCAATGACCACCCTATCGGACACCCAGGCCTCCACTGCTGCGTCCGCATCCACAACCTCATCGCCCTACTGCAATTCCCGGGCAAGTCTGACGGATGAAACCCGCGAAAAAGCCGGTATTCCCACATCGACGCCGTTGAACAGCAAATCGGAGATCAGCGCCAACAGCGGTGTAGTCTTCGCCAGGCGTCGCACTCTGCCGCCTCCGCAGGGATCCAATAAGGAGGATCGGGATCGCGGCGACTTGAGTGTGGTGAGATTGGGGGACTATTGTGCCTCTGTACGGAATCAACCTGTAAAACCCACGTTTTCCCATCGCAGATTAAAGAGCGTGTGCTGAACGCCGTTTCCAGCCGTTCGGTGAGCTCCTATCGCTCGGCGGCCAGTGAAGTATCCACCGGCAAATCGAGCAGCAGTGCCACATCGGGATCATCCAATACGCCGGTGACGGAGACCGGAGTGCCCGACGAGTATCGCACCCATTCGCTGTGGGACTACTACAAAGTAGAGGGCAACAAGCTGCCAAAGCCAGAGATATCGGGCATACCGCTGGCCAGCCAACAGGGCGTGCTGCTTGACGAGCTGCTCCATTGCCTTGTGGGCATTCGTGAGAACTTCGTGGTTCCGCAGCCCTTCGATACGTGCACCGTGGGACTCGCCAGATTCGAGACGACCTTCACATTGAGCAAACAGTTGGATCGCTCCCTGTCGGAGCTGTTGAACGAAATCCTGCCGATGGCATCGTACTTTATGGGCATCCAGCGGATGATCTCGGCCACCGAAGGCCAGGGTCAGGTGATGAACTCGCTGAACGAGGCGCTGCAGGAGCTTAGCCATGATTTCTATGTAAGAACTTGCAATTTCTCTTAAGCTTAAAAGCAGAACAAACTGCTCAAACTTTCTGTTCTATTCTGTTCTGGTCTGTAGTTGCTGATAGAGAAAGCCGAAGACGAGCTGCAGCACGGTCGGTTAACATTGCAAAAGCTGTTGTACTACCTGCAACCCACTCTCTGGGTGATGGAGGAAATCTGGACCACTTTGGGAGCCATTCAGCTAGGCGGTATGCATGATGCCGCCGTGCTGACGTATCTGCACAAGCGAATCAAGCGGCTGGAGGGCGACCGCGAGGCCCAGAAAATAATAATCGGACTGACGCGCAAGGCGGCTGAGCCGTACATGCGTATGCTGAAGCTTTGGATACAGAAGGGCGTTATTGTGGACCGCAATCGGGAGTTCATGGTCGAGGACAACGAGGTGATTCATCGCGGCGAACTGCCGGAGCACTATTCGGATGATTACTGGGAGAAGCGGTACACCGTTCGGCGGGACTGCATACCCACGTTCCTCGAGAAATACTCGGACAAGATACTGCGCACCGGGAAGTACCTGAACGTGATTAGGCAGTGCGGCAAGCGGGTGATGCTCACGCAGCAGATGCACCTCGAGTTCGATCCGACCAGCGAGCGGCATGAGTCGGTGATCAACGATGCCTACTACTTCGCCGCACGCATGCTGCTCGATGTCCTGCTGACGGAGAACGATCTGATGGGTCATCTGCAGTCGGTGAAGCGCTATCTGCTGCTCAACCAGGGCGACTTCACCATGCAGTTCATGGACGCCTGCGAGGATGAGCTCTCCAAGAATGTGGACCAGGTGCTGCCGATGACTCTGGAGAATCTGTTGGGTCTCACATTGCGCCTCTCCTCCGCTCGCAACGATCCGTACAAGGACGACCTGCACTGCGAACTGCTGCCCTACGACCTCGTCACGCAGATGTCGAAGATCATGAACCAGAAGGAGGAGTACTGGCAGGCCCAGCACCGCCTCGACCTCAGCGGCCTCGAGTGCTTCGCCTTCACGTACGAGGTGAAGTGGCCCGTCTCGCTGGTGCTGAACCACATTGCCATCTCCAAGTACCAGATGCTCTTCCGCCAGCTCTTCTACTGCAAGCACGTGGAGCGACAGCTCTGCAAGTGAGTGACGCACTCCAGCGTTTATTTATATTTGCAAGATTACTGTTCGCTTCTTTTGCCTCTAGGATCTGGAAGGAGAACTCCATTGCCAAGAAGTTCTCCCCACATGCAGCTGAACTGTATCGATCGGCGTTTACGCTGCGCCAGCGCATGATGAACGCCATCCAGAATCTGGAGTACTACATGATGATCGAGATCATCGAGCCCAATTGGCACATCTTCATCGAGAAGATGAAGAAGGTGGAGAACGTGGACAATGTGCTGCGACTGCACCAGGACTTCCTCGATTCGTGCCTGAAGAACTGCATGCTCACGGAGTCATCGCACCTCAATCGTGCCATCTTCAAGCTGTGCAAGATCTGCCTGCGGTTCTGCGAGTTCATCCAGGTGAGTGAGGCGATCGGGCATTTCAATTGACCGACCTGCTGTTCGCGTGGCATTCGCTTCTCCAGTACAAATTCTCCTGTCCCTTGTTCTCTGCTCCGCTTTCCTCACTCCTCACGCCTTCTGTTTCACACGCCTGCTGTTTTAAAAAACGAAAATCAAAAACCAAACCCTATCATCCGTTCCCATGCCCAAATTCTCAGCGCTCGCAGCGTTTCTTCCTGGACGCCGAGCTCAAGTCGATGGTATGCGACACCTACGACAGCGCGGAGAGCTCCGAATCCGAAACGGAGAGCTCGCACCGGCCGCAGGTATTGTGTTGTGTAGGCTTCTTTCTGCTTACCCCTTTTCAGTTCCTCGGCTCTTCTTTTTGTACTTTCGTTGGGGAGATTGGCCCCCTTGTTTTTCGGTCCCGGGGAACCTGGCTGGGTTGCATGTCAGCTTGACCCCAATCCCTAATATCATTATTATTTTCATCCCGGAAACGGGTTGCATGTTGTTACCTTCCTTCTTCCGACTTTCAAGTTGTTGTTGGTGTGTTTACATTCTTATTTTGTTTTTATTTGTTTGATCTTTTCTTTTTGTTTTTCCTACAAAGTTTATCCACTTAAAGTACAGTATATTCGCTTTGCTTAAAATAATATAGTTTAAGTTACTACATAAATATGTAAAAAGAAGTTGATACTTTCCACGAATTTACTATTCATTTATTATCATTCTTAATGCAATCTTTACTGAATTTTATTGTTTGACTAAGAACCATATTTTTTTAGGAGGATACAAAATTCGTTGTACTCGAATTAATTTATAAATTGCGTTTATTGTATTTGATTTATTTATAACATATTAAAATACTTTTCAATGTTTACAATAGTTTTTACAATGCATTACGCATTTCATTAAAATTTCTTCAATGGTTAACCGATTGTTTCTATATCCTCTATGCCCAGTTGGAGAGCTCGTTGGATCCGGCGGATACTTTCTCGGAGCGAGTTAAGCGCTTCGATCTGGAGTTCACCGGGCTGCTTATCTCGTTCCTTAAGCAAATCACCAGCATGGCCAAGAAGAACACCGCCGATCGCTTCATGAATCTCGTGCACCGCATCAACTTCAATTCGTTCTACTCGGACCAGATGGACAAGTTGTGTGTCAAGGATGCCATGGGCTAAAAGCCCATTACTTTCGAATAAAGTAAAAACGGATTTGCTAAGCGGAAAAGACAAGAAGAAAGTATTAGATAAATAAATGAATTAATCATGAATTTGTTCTCCCACCATTCCCGCATGTCTTCTAGTTTGCCATCCAACTAAGCACACAAATTGTTTTTCGTTTAGTTGTAAAAGAAATCGAATACTAATATTTATGTTTTAATAAACTAAATTTAAAAGAAGATCACTCTGCCGTCTTGCGTCCACACAATTGCAATCAACGTCACTGGACACGATTTTCAGATCAACGTTAGCCAAAGGCGTCGATTGCTGCTCGTGCTGACGACCACTATTCCGCCGCAGTTCGTCCTTTCTTTTTTGACACGGAAGCGATTGCCCGGGAGGATTGCACTTGTTCTAGAACCCACCCCCACTGCGATACTATTGAATGCATATGACAGCTGAGATTTGAGTTCCAGTTTAGCTGCAACAATCGCCAATCGAAGATTTGGAAACAATGTAGTTGGTATAACATAAAGATGATAAAATATATAGATGATATACTTTACAGATGATATACAGATGATATAAAATGATATAAAATAATATAAAATATACAGATAATTGCAGATAATATATAGATGATATAATTGTCTTACAACTTTTTTAATAAGCAAGCAATAATTCGAATTAGTTTACTAAAGTTTTGTTCATTTTGTTTTTTTGAGTGAGTATTTTTTGACGACTCCTTAACTTTAGTTATAGAACTTGTACTTCCAAAACTGATTTAAAAGTATGTGAAATATGTCAAGGATTTTCATGGGTAGGTATTTAACGTTTTCTCCTTTATCGAGGCAAAGACTTTCCAATTGAACGAGGTTTAAAAACACACATGGCAAATACGCGCCGGTACACACCCACAAAAGCCAATTTCCAGTCATTTTGTATGTAGTGCGGGGAGTCTGCCCTGTGTTCACATATAACTATATATATATTTATATATGCATATATGTTCGGATACATACATATGTGCTGCAAATATTGTAGTATATAAATATGCAGTCGCATGTCCACATGGGTGCGTCTGTATGTTCGCCATTAGCCGTCATCAATGTCCAACCGTCATCTCTATAACATCTCCCGCAACTCCTGCTGCTCCTCCTCCTCCTCCTCCTGCTGCTGCTGCAACTCCCTACATCCCGACAGCCAGGCATCCTGCCATCCAGCTATCCTTGTATCCTGTCCGACTGCCCAGCTGCCCAGCTGCCCGGCTGCCATCCTGCCCCCCGGAATTCAACCCTCCGCTCCACAAGCAATTGGCAATTTAAGCTCGCATGAATTATCGACAATCAATTATGGTTTTTGGCCATGTCGCTCTCCAAGCTCCACGCTCCACTCTCCATTCGCCATCCTTCGACAAACGAGGAAAGCCGGAGCAGGATAGTCGGACAGCCATAGCCATAGCCATAGCCACATATCCTTCATATATGGGATGTGGCCAGCCGTTTATGGCAGTGTGTGCGATTGTGCGCGCTCGTATATGTTAATTAATCAAAAGCCCATCTATCTATCGATTCGGCATTTACAGACATATGCAAATTAAAAGCGTACAAGCAGCTCATTAATGCGCGCAGAAAAGCCGATAAACAGCAACTATACCAGCCGCATTTTCATTTTCCCCCTCGAATGAGAATGGAAATTAATATCGCTTTAAAGCGCGGCGGTTCCATGTTGATGTCCATTGCGATTCCCCATTAGTTTTCCAATTTGAAGTCTCTGTGTCCGCTACACCATTCACCAGGTTATCATTTGAGTAATTCGCAACCAAGTTGCTTACATACGTTAATAACTAAGTTCTTTTCCAGATTAGTAAGTTGGCTTTTCATTTTCTGTAAGAGGTTTTAAGTATAAGCTTAAAAAAGTGAATGAAAATAAAATAAATATATAACATATTATATTTTATAGCTCTTCCTTTTTTCTTTATCATAATTGGATGTGCTATATATTTAATATTTCGTCTATAATGTACTTAAAAGATATCAGTCAAAATTAAGTATAAAGAAATAATATATATAATAATTTTACCCTGCTGATATATTTACCCATTAAATTGTTATAATTCCTTTGTTTGGTGATTCATCAATCGTAAGTAAAGTATATTATTATATAACATAAACTCCTTTCCAAGACACGGATTCAACGACGTGAATATCTCACCCGATATCAAATGAGCGGAAAGGTGAGTGATACCCACGTGGTCGAAATCGGATGTTGGATTGGACTTGCGGGAATTAGGCACTTAGAAAAAAATGTGGTGGTCGGTGCGGCACTCCACCATTAATGAGAACTAATCCAATGATTCGACGGTCTGCCATTGGAGAGGTCCTTATTAATGGCGGGGCGCCGCTGTCTGCGGTGATTCATTCCTTCGATGTCCTTCGCCGGCTGAAGACTCCGGAATCTCTGAGTGCAAACGACCCCCACATCCGTATTGCAATCGAAAAACATACTGGATGTAGGCAGTGTTTAGATTCAAGAATTCACCTGTAGATCTGGAAGTTTATTTTGGAATTAACTTAACTTTTTTATTCCGAAATGAAATCAATAGTTAAAGGTGGTTCATTGCAATAAATTTCTGAGGTTTCGTATTGTATATAGAATTCTTCATACAGTACGAAGTCCCGGAAACTTGCTGCGATAATACCGAGATTGCAGCTTCGGGACTTCGCTGGTTTCTTTTCTTTCTTTTTAAGATTCTTGAATACGAGTGAATATAATATAGTAGATTTGAAAAAATAAAGAATATATATTCGTTTGGGCAAACAATAGCTACGCAATGGGCTAAACATAAAAAAAGCGAAGGGAGTGGGCGACAGCTCGAATTTATTCAATTAGGAGGCCATACAGGATGTTGCCGGCTCGACATTCGCTCGCTTTCACACAGGACGAAGGACACAGGACACAGGACATCGCCATCGGTGGCCACCACCCATTTTCCCCTCCTCCAATTCTCCAATTTTCCCCTCCTCCAATTCTTCGATTCTCCCATCCGCCATTTGCCATTTTGAACAGCCTTCAGTTTCCCACATGACACGTGTCCTTGGACAATGGGCCGCACTACAAGCGGCCCACTTAGAAGGATACCGCCTTCTTTACTCCGCCCCCCCCTCCTCCTATCCCCTTCCTCCTCCCCCTTCACCCCTCTCCCCGTAATTCGCCACACTTCCAGGTAACAGTTAATTGGGCAATACAATCACATCAGAAGGAATTGAAAGCGACAGAGTCAATGGTCTGCACTAATTTTCAATAGCCATTTTAAAGGAACCCTATTGAAAACTGTGAGCCTCAAAGTAAATATAGAAATATAGTATATCAATTAAAATTATAAATTAAAATTTGTCCTTGTTTTCGAAAAAGGCAGTGAAACAGATTATTTTCAACCTTCTGAATGCGGAATAGATAATTAAAGGGTATTCGAATGTTAAAAAAAACGGATCAAATGGATGTCAGGACATCTTTTTTTAAGCTCTTTTAATAATTCAACAACACCAAAAATTTGAGCATCAATCCAAATGCAAAAGGCAAAAAAAAAAAATATTTTAAATGTGAAATGTTAATTTAAATCCATATAATGTTAATTACATGTTAACCTAATGTTAATTTAATATAATGTAAATTTAATGTTAATTTAATGTTAATTTAATGTTAATTTAATGTTAACTTAATTATTATGGCCACGTCAGCGACCATGATAATTAAACATTTTTTTCGTTTTGGTGCCAATTCCCAAGTTGTTCTAGCTGTTTTGTGGTGGGATATCAGTGGATTTTGCTCAATTTGGTCAGTTCTCCGGGATGACCGGCAGTTTCTCTGAGAAACTCTTTCCGGTCTATGGAAGTGTGTGTGTGTGCGTAGTGGTTCCAGAGTGCGTGTGTGGCTCCAGAGTGCGACAGAGAGTACCTGATGGTACCCTCCCACTGGAGTCCACTCCCGGATGCAGTGCATCATAGCCTGGACTTGGCATGTGCTTTTGTGTGCTAGGTGCCTTCCTGGTGTGGTTCAGGAAGCAGTGCATCATCACTTGACTTGGGTGTGGATCAGGATGCAGTGCATCATCACTTGACTTGGCATGGAGTTGTGATGATGCACTGCATCCTGATCCACACCAAGCAGGCGGAGGATGCACTGCATCATAACCCGACTCGGGTGGGGATCAGGATGCAGTGCACCATCACTTGACCTGGCATGGAGTTGTGATGATGCACTGCATCCTGGTCCACACCAAGCTGGAAGAGGCACCTGCTTGAAGCGGAGGATGCACTGCATCATCTCCCGACTTGGCATAAACTTAAAAGTGCCCGACACCTGCCTGCATGGGAGGACTCCAGGATGCAGTGCATCAAACCCCAAAGCGGTGAGTACAGTGTTTTGTTATTAAATTACGTGATGACGTGGCTTTTTGCAAATAATATATAATATAATAATATTTTAATTAAATATAATTTAATATAATATATTAATAATATAATATATAATTTTATGAAATATTTTTTTTTTTTTTCAGGTTTTTGCATGTGTATTTAACAAGTTCCAGAAAACAATTGGTGACACCACCTAACTTGTAGCTTGGAGTTGGACATCCGGATGCAGTGCACCAAAGATTTTACGCAGTGAGTACATCAATTAGAAAGTAAATAATTAAGATATTTGTTTTGAAAAGAAATTTCTGACAAGAAATCAAGAGCAACAGTTTAAGATCCGAAAGTATTCAACAAGAGCAAAGATATTTAAAAGTTGATTTTGATCAAATAATGAACTTGATAATGTAATGTACATGAATTCAAACACAATAATTTAAACTAAGTAGGTAGATTTTAAGCCTATAGTTACAATAGTTTTAAGAATGCGGCTACCGGAGAAATGCTGAGTATGCTGATACCACCTAAATGGACTGGACAACAGGCTCCAAGATCAGGGATTAATGGCGAGATCTTCTATTGAACTCCACTCCAGGATGCAGAGCATCAACCCACTGGGGTAAGTAATATATTTTATGGAACATTGAATTTGAATTCAATAATCTAACGAATATTTTTCAATTCTTTGTTTCATTACAGGTGACGACTAAACCTTCCTGCTTGGAGTAAACTTCAAGATGCACTGTATCAATAACCCAAAGAGGTAAAATTAAAACGATCTTTTACTTTTTGTAACCAATTCCTAATTTTATTTTTTTTTTTTTTTCTTATTTGCAGGGTAAAGTGGTTAATGGCGAGATCTTCTATTGAACTCCACTCCAGGATGCAGAGCATCAACCCACTGGGGTAAGTAATATATTTTATGGAACATTGAATTTGAATTCAATAATCTAACGAATATTTTTCAATTCTTTGTTTCATTACAGGTGACGACTAAACCTTCCTGCTTGGAGTAAACTTCAAGATGCACTGTATCAATAACCCAAAGAGGTAAAATTAAAACGATCTTTTACTTTTTGTAACCAATTCCTAATTTTATTTTTTTTTTTTTTCTTATTTGCAGGGTAAAGTGGTTAATGGCGAGATCTTCTATTGAACTCCACTCCAGGATGCAGAGCATCAACCTATTGGGGTAAGTAATATATTTTATGGAACATTGAATTTGAATTCAATAATCTAACGAATATTTTACAATTCTTTTCTTTCATTACAGGTGATGACTAATCCTTCCTGCTTGGAGTGAACTTCAAGATGCAGTGCATCAATAACCCAAAGAGGTAAATACCCCTTTTATTAGCAAGTGAATACTAACTAATAATACTGCCAATTAATATTTATAACAAATTACTTATTTTATTTTTTTGTTTTATATTTAATTTCAGGGTAAAGTGTAAATTGTGCGGACAAAGTGGTTGCAGTGGTTATCTTTCTTGAGGAAGACGAGAGGTTGATGGGAAAACCAAGGATGTGACTGAGTGAGTACCAAACTTTATTTATTTATTTATAATAATCTTGTAGTTATTTAAGTAATTCTGAAATTAATCAGTAAGGTTTTAGGAGAGTTACTACCTACATATATATTTCAATTCGGACTGATTTAATTCGAGAGTGTATCTGCAACGTCGGCTTCCAAAGCCAATGAGTTTCCACCTAAAAATGGGAATCGGAAACAAATGAAATGATTGCATTGAATAAGTTTAATAGATTTTGCCACTCAAAGCGTGACCCATATATATATGATATAAACATACATTCGTACAAATATAATATTTGAAATACATCAAATCAGACAAACACACGCAGAGCCGAACAATCGCAATGAAAATTGGCGAACTTTACTCTTATTTTGGGGGCGTGGCAAAGGCAGGATTTCTCTCCTTTTTATATATCTGTATATACATTATTTTTATATGGGGTGGCACAACTGGCCATTGTCGTTCTGGTGAGGAAATTAGGAAGCTCCTGAACAACAAAAAAAAAAAAAAGGAAGGAAAAGAGGAGGTGACGAAATTAGCGAAGAGAGCCGCACACGTGACACGGTTTTTGACTTCTTTTGACTCCTTGACGCCCGCCGTTATCCTTTGACTGCTCCTGTTGCTGTTGCCACGTGTTGTTGTTGTTATTATTGTTGGTTGAGTGGAGGCACGTGTCCCAGCGAATTGGGTGATGTCGAGACGGGGATGTCCTGCAGGCCCACTGCCCGGGGGCAAGGCCATCCGGAGTCGCAGTTGCAGTGGCATTCGGCAGTAGCATTCAGCAGTAGCATCCAGTAGTAGCATCCAGCAGTAGCAGTAGAATTCAGGAGTAGAAATGGTTGTATAGAAATGCGGATGTCGACGCGCACGCCAACCGCATGCCGGCAAATAACAATGGCACTGCGCTGACGCCAACGTCGAAACACGCACACAAATGCAGATGAATTAACCGAAACAAATCCAGATACATTTACAGGAACGAATACAGATGCAGAAACAGTTGCAGGAACAGAAACCGGAATGGAAGTGGGAACCAGCACTGCTCACACCTGCAAAGCCCACGCGAAGGACCTCCAATCCTCGGGGACCAAACACAATGGCTGCAGAACAAGTTCTTCAGCACCAGCAGGACATCCATTGCAAAGGATCAGAAGTGCTGGATTCGATGTGCCCAAACTACTTACAAGTGGTTGCTGCCATTAACATAAAAAAGGTTCTATAAATTTACAAAAAACGTAAAGATCATGATCAGTTTTTACCATTTATACATGGTCTTTTTAAAAAATAACTGCTTTAAATGTAAGAAGAACTATAATATTTAATTGATATATGAATGTAATAAATATATTATAAATAATAATAAATAAAAAGAAAAGAAACACTATTAAAAATGTTGATTATAAATGTTATACTTATTGTAAGAAAATGATAAAAGTTAATAAATAAAATAAAGATTTAACTTCTCTATGTTTAAATTCCAAAAAAATTGTATTTCAAAACCAAATAAATTGAATACCAGCAAATGCAATTGAGACAGATTGTTTTCTTGAATTTAAATAATTTCCGTTTAAATACAAAATCGTTTCTCCTGGTGTACAGTATATATACAAAGTAAGTAACCCAACTAAACTGACTTAACTTCAACCAGTTGCAAGGAGGAATCGCGCGAAGGAAAATCCCTAGATGGGGATGGGAAATAGGCGTTGGGAGTTGAGTGTTCAAAAGGACGAGGCGGAATAGCGGGATGTCAGGATGGAAGGACGAAAGGACGAAAGGAGGAGTCAGCTGGAACACATGTGCAAATTGATTTCGAATTTCTGTGGCATAATTCCACAATTCATTTGATCTTGGTTCGCCTGCAGTTGTTGTTGCCTTTGTTACAATTTCACAATTGTTTGCTGCCATCGGACGCTAAAGAGGCGCATCGGCGGAGGACAGGACATCCCAGGACATCCCGGGGTCGTCACATCGGAGGACACGCCGGGTCGTTTTGCCTACTCGAATTACCAGCACATTGACATCGACATCGACACATTAGGGCAAGTGCAGTGGCAATTGTCGAGGGTGTGGACTTGGGTTGGATGAACCGAACCAACCAAACCAACCAAACCAGCCAAACCAACTAAACAGCAAACCAAACCAAATGGAATAACCACCCCCGATGAATCGCAGTGTGGATTGAGCACAAAAAGCTGAAACACTGGAGACTTGAGTCGCTGCCTCTGATTCACGCAGTTGTCCATCAGCCAGGAGTCCTCCTGCTGGCCATCCATCCATCCATCCATCCATCCATTCTTCCTTCTATTGAATGTCCTTTACTTCACTTCACTTTGCTTCCCCCTTTTTTTTTTGGCGAGCGCTTTAGTTCGACACCCCGAGGTGTTGGCTATCGCAGTCACTCGAAAAGGACGACTCCTGGCAGGTCCTTTTCCACCCCTCCCCTTTCCCTCCCTTTTCCCTTCGCTTCGCCCAGGACTTTTAGGCTGAATCGCGCATATGCGCACTTGGATTAGTCTGGGAAATGTGTGCCTATTCAGGGATTTCGCGTCTCCAATTGCAAATGCTTTTCGGGTTTCTATTCAAGGAAGTACGAATTAGCCACTGGTTAGGAACACAAAGGGGTTCAAGTGCAAAGTCTTCAAGGATCACTTCCAGATGGAACTTCGATCTTAATATCTCCTGTTTACAAAGTAAAGTGTGAACAAAAGCTTAGGTCAAGAGTGTCATCTCAAAGCGACTTCCTTCAACAGAGAACACTCTCTTCATTAGCTATAATTTTTAAACATTGGTAAGGAAGTAAATGTTGTAAATCCTGTTAAACCTTCCCACCAATGATCAAAAATGAGTAGAAACGAATTGAAATTAATATAATTAGGCTGCTGTTCAGCCATTTACTTAATCAGGATATTGAATTGCTTTAGAAGTTCAGAAAGGGGTTCTTTGATTATTTTCTTCTCACTCGTAGAGAAATAATAAACGCTTATTGTTTAAATTAAAAATGATAACGATTTAAGAAATTGTGTTTGCACTTGTAGATTTTTGTAGTAAGGAAGTACCATACTTCACGTGACACAAGGTTCAATGTTCATTTAATCCGATTTTTTAATGAATTAAATCGTTTTAAAGGATTTACATAATTTTCTAATCTATTCATATCAACCTGACGAGGTTTGTAAGAGTTCCCAATCTTTCCTTTTTACCCAATTTTATATCTGCAGTTGTGTATAAATTAACATATAGTCAATGCATTTCTAGTGGTTGGGTTTATAACCCAGACTTCCTGCTAACCCTATAATCCAGATACATTATGCTTTTATAAGGATCCCCCGGCGATGACAACCGAGTTGGAAGGATGGATTGATGAATGGATGGATGTGTCTCAATTGAAGGCGGACGTGTAGTGCACTTGTGCAGGACCACCGTGGGTGTCGCCACCCTTTTGGTGGCAACTTGCCACCCCATCGAGATTCGAATCGAATCTGAATCTGAATCCGAATCCGAAGCTGAGGAACAACGAGGTTCAACTGCCCGTGTGCGAAGGCCTCATTTGAAATTATTTAGGCAATAATTACTATTGTGTCTTATGCTTACATTTTGGCAAAAAGGGGGAGGTAAGCTGGGAGGTGAATTCAGAGGGGAGGGGGAGGGAATAGAGGGGGAGGGGTGTGTGCCCACGCCCCTTGGGTGCTTTCCCGTCCAACACGCCCACCCCATTTCGCCATCGTCACCCTCTTGACTTAATGAGGCCTTTTTGTGCTCTTGATGGATTTTAAATTGTTGTCATCATCGCTATTTGTTTGCTGGTGCGTTGCCAAAGTGTTTTCTTTTTTTTTTTTTTTACCCCACCCCCCCCTGTTTTGTTTTCCAAGGGGGATGGACGACTGCAGGGGATGAAGTGGGTGAGGAGCAGAAGGCATCTCCATTTGGACGGGCAGAGCTAATCCTGGCAGTGGGATTGCGGTTGCAGGACCTGCTTCGCCAACACTTTTTGTCCTTTGTGTGTGGAAGAGGCTTTTGACGCTCAAAGCGCCTTATCTGTGCAACTTTATCTGCGGGTGCTGTTTACTGGGAAGAAAGGAATTCCGAGCGAGCTAATCACTTCCAAACAATTCCGGCTCAAACGAAGTCAAGCCAGTGAATTTGGGTCATTATAAGAGGATAAATATATAAGGATTAACGACTCTAACAATAACTATTTAAATGGTTTTTTTAATGTAATAATAAGGACTTAAGAATACAACTATAATTATATTACAGAATTTTAAAGAAATTGTATAATAGAGAATATATATAATTTACTGATTTGGTTATTTAATTTAATTTAATAGTTGTTGTGTTTAAATGATTAAATTACAAGATTATTTCCAAACAATTCCAGCTCAAACAAAGTCAAGCCAGCGAATTTGGGTCATTATCAGAGGATAAATATATAAGGATTAAGGATTGTAACAATAACTATTTAAAAGTTATTTTAATGTAATAATAAGAACTTAAGAATATAACTATAATTATATTACAGAATTTTAAAGAACTTTTATAACAGAGAATATAAATAATTTACTGATTTGGTTATTTAATTTAATTTAATAGTTGTTGTTTAAATGCTTAAATTACAAGATTATTTTATTATCTGAGGATAAATATAAATGGATTAAGGATTGTAAGCTATAAGTATTTCAAGATAACTGTCATAATAAGGATTTAAAAATAAAACTATAAATATATTTCAGAATTTAAAGGAACTTGTATAATAGAAAATATAAATGATTTACTGATTTGGTAATTTAGAGAATAGTTGTTGTTTAAATGATTAAATTTTAAACATTTACTAAAAGATAGTTAATTAAAATATAAAACAGTAGTAAAGAGTCCTTTATGAAACGAAAATAAAGTGATGTATCATACAACAAAGAACATATTTAAAAGAGTGTAACTTAATGGTAATATTGGAGATCCTTTGGCATATGGAAACCTATATAAAACCTCGTAATGCTCCCAAAAATTCTAGATGCTGTTTAAGTCGCAATAAGTAGCTACTCTAAATATGGGAGGGAAATTGTCTTTAGCCCGACTTAAAGGACTTATTGGGCTTCCAAAAAGCTTTTGTCTCCGCACCCGAGGACATTAAAGATTTAGCAACCTGTCGTTTCATTGACTTCACCGCAATGCTGCAAACAGGCAAACTGGCAAACAGCAGGACCCTTCGTCCTTTCTCGACTTGGTTCACGCATGGTCAGGATTTTTTGGAACGGGGAATGCCAGTTCAAAACAAAGATGAGGAATGAGGAATGGGGAGGGGGAGGCTGAGGGGGAGGCGGAGGGGGTGGAAATGGGAACGGGATCATGAGCCGGAAATGCGGAGCGGCCGCATGCTTTCGCCCCTTTACAGTTGCAAATTACATTCAAATTATACGATTTTGATAAGAGGGACATTCAAAAGTTTCCAATTTCAAGTTGTGCCGCTCGCTTCAAGTGCGCCGCATTGCCCTTCGTCCTTCGTCCTTCGTTCCGTTCGTCCTTTCCTCAGTTCGTCCTGCGCTCGAAAAGTTCCTCGCTAAACTTGTCACAAAGTGTGCGTGCAGGCGAAGGATGAAAGAGCACGACAAGATGCGGATCCTGCTGCGGATGTCGGATGGCGGATGGCGAATAGCGGATAGCGGATGGCGGATGCGGATGCCAAACTGCAAAGGCAAACGACAAAAAGTTGACATATGTGCGCCCCGAGCACTTTTCCGGAAACAGCAGGGCGACATTTTTTCCATTTCCACCTTCTTTTCTACCCCATCGCCGTCGCCGTCCTCTTCTCTTTCCTCCTCCTTCTTTTCTACATGTATCTCTATATTTTCTATTTTATTTTATATTTTTTATATTTGCAATGCGTTTTGAGTGTATCTTGAGCACCAAGGGACATTCACTTGATTTTTCAGTCGAGAGTCCTGGATAATCGTGTTGTTTTTCGTGTAGTTTTTGATGTATCCCATCGCTGGCCTCGAAAATTGTATGAGTGAAAAATTGATGGGAAGCGAGTCCTGCGGAGGCGGAGCGAACCCAACTATATCCTTCTTCCTTCCAGCAGCCATCCTTTTTTCGCAGATACAAACAAACACAGACTCCCACACAGACACACACACACACACACACACACACACAAAACGAATAGGGAAACA